GCACTTGATATTTGGAGCTAATTCGCGCACGAGAGGTCTCTAGTCGAAGGAGCGCTCGCGCAGAAAAGTGCCGTGTTAAGTTCAATTGACGCGAAGGTTGTGATTTGCCACATGTTCCATGTGTAGTCTTTCCCCGCGTAGACAGGTTCCAAGCGCACGTATCGGATGATCGAGACGATGATTATGAGGAGACCGAAACTAACTATAGCTAGGAGAAAAGCTTTCTGGAGTTTGGGGATTTGAAGTGGTACTGTAAGCTTACCGTTAGTCGTCTATGGTTTTAGAAAGTGGAGCATGCATGAAGTTTTTTTTGAGAAAGTAAAAGGAAAGGTAGGACGCACAAACTCTTGGCACAGCAAAAGCAATCAGCGCCGCATCACTAAACACACTACAAACTGTAAAAGCAGTTATGGCGGGCATGGGATCATCACAATGAATTTCCTCAACGTTAGGATCCCATTGCGAAATGATAGGATCGCATTGAAAAACCAAAACCAACGTAGCAGGAATGGTCGCAACAAGTTGGAAAAGTATCAGGAGGTATATGATGATCTTACTCGTTTTATCCTGGAAAATTCGCAAATAGAGCAAGCACATGGCAATCCGTACCATCATGAGACCAAGTTGGTAGAGAAGTCGGGATACGAATGCGAGGATGGCTAAGGGCTTGAGGTCGTCGGGTCTCTGGAGCTCGATGTGGCGACCACCACCGTAATTACAGGAGAGACTGGCGGAGACAGTTTGGGAGATGATAAGGACCTGGAGAGAATTTTAGTAAAGATTGTTGGATGGGTACTTTTGAATGAAATGGAGCTTGACATACCCATGCTGTAACAAGGCAGAAGTCGTCCCATCCCAGAATTTTTGTGATCACCGCTCGTGTATATAGATGTCCTGCGACGAATAGCGTACCCAATGCCGCGGGAAGTATCGTCCCTAAGAGTAACAATTGTACCTGCGACTCTTGTAAAAATGCATCGTTCTAGTTCTCCCGTTAGTGTCCAATCATACAACTAAGCCATAGAACGTTCGTCTCAACGTTGATCTACTAGTGCAGCCACTAGTCAAGTCGATCTGAGGACTTGACTATAGTCTCCCCGCTCAATACAAATCAAGTGACAATGACGGATTTGGCTACTGCCAATATTCAGAAATTACGGAGAACGAAGAAGTTCGACTTACTGAAGACATCAGAGGCAAGTTACTTGTGTTTGACGCGCCAGGGTAAGGTGTCAACATTGTCATACATAGGGAAGAAGAAATCTTCTCATATTTTAACGTCCCCAGATTTTCTTTTCGACAAGATTATTATCAACGAACATACTCAGACACAGTAGGCAAGGGAAAAGTCTGTGCGGTAAACCTTCCTCCTCTGCAGGGGACAATTTTTACTCATGATACAAGCATGAAATGAACCTTAACTTTGCTATAAATTCATTACTTCAGATCAATCTAGAGCTTCAAGCAGTGCGGATTTTATGTGGAAGCTAGCATGATCAACGGATGGAACGGGGAAATCTCGCGCGGACATGGGAATTTTCCTAGCGGGGATCATGCGTCAACCCTATTCCATAGCGCCGATATTAATGCGGGACTAATAGGGCAGGGTCCATGTACCCCTTAAGAAGACAAGCTGCGGAAATCGGTGATACGTTCCATAATGCTTGTTTTCTTGTTCAATACGTGATGAAATATAGACCTTGAGGAATAAAAACAATCTTCACCGTCGCTCCGGACCAACCATAGCACCTGGTCCTGTTTTCGCCAAGAAGTATAATGACTGCAATTCTAGAGGCTCTACTACTTTCTTTTCAATATGATCTAGGTAGCCCATATGTGCCCTAGTAAATCTAAAGGTTATAAAATAGGCTTTAAACTAAATTGAAGATCTAGTGTATGACGCCAACATAAGCAACCTGGAATATTGTTATTCTTACTGAACCATTTCAATAACGAAAACAGTTCGCAAAAAGAATTCATCACGAGTAGAGAAGCCCCCGGTTCCAGGTGAAAAGCTCTCCTTACTATATAGATCAAATAGTGAGGCTGAAGTTCTTTCCTGAAATTCGGATGTTTGAAGTGGCGTCTCAGATAAAAACGTTGGCAAGCGTGGAGCGGCTAGACGGGTACAAGCTGTTAGAGAGCTAGACTAGTTTTCCCAACTGTTATTAGTTCAGACGAGTGGTTTATTACGAAAGTGGAGGTAAGACATTTGGGCTCAACTGGAACGGAAATTCGGATCCTACAAGCAGTGTCATTAAGAGATTGGCAGGAAATCAATGAATAGAGAGATTTGATATAAAACAGTTTCTAGTGAGCAGCTTTACTCAGCTAAAAATGGCCAACTTGTTGCGCTTTGACTTGTTGAAAACATCGAAATTTAGTGACCATACAATCCATCATGAGATTTTGGAAGATTGCATAATCATTTTGAACAGATCCAAATCTTTCTTCGCGTCCCCGACACTTGTCTTGGGAGTCTTCCCCTTCACTGCACAATCATGAAATTCCAAGAACTCCAAAGTATATGGATCCTCATATGTTTTCCTCACAGTTCTTTCCTGGTATCCTGATTCACCAATTCTTTCTCTGATCGTCATTGTGACGGGGAGCCCTTTGACATACGGAGTGTCATAATTGACTCGAACGATCTTATCTTCCGAATACACTTCTAGATGAGCATCGAAAATTGGGACGTTATTGACACCCGACTCATAAGTCACAGCAAAGCCGTCGTACTGGAATAGAACCGTCCAAAATGGTAAGCCGAGAGACGACCCCAAGACTTTCTGAGGCATACCCCCGAGTATTTCTCGCATTGCACTTAGGTCATGGGTAGCGAGACTAGATAGATTAGCAGGCGTTTTACTGCAAGCTGAAGTTTTGCGGGAGCATTACATTCCAAAAAACGCTAGGAACTCCTTAGCTGATGGTGTTACATCTATCCCATACTCTGTTCCTAATGCGTGCGTAATCTGTTCATCTAGGAGCGCTGACATAGCTTGTGAATCCTCTTGCTTAAAGTCTGTGAATTTCCTAGGGTATGTTGCCGATTGACCTACAAAGACGCTGTTGGGTCCAATAATGTCTCTAACGCGCGCATATTGGATCTTTCCGAGCCCGCCTACTTCGGACACGGCATCAACGAATGCCTGAGCATATCGTCTTTGATATCCAACAAAGATCTTGCCTGCCGATCCCTTTTCCGCTTCTTCGAGTTGCTCTATATCTCGATAACATAATGCCAATGGCTTTTCGACTAATGTGTATTTGTCGTTGTGTAATGCTAATATAGCCTGGGAAGGATGAAAGCCGTGTGCGCTACTTATCAAAACTACATCGACATCGGGCGACGAACAGAGTTGCGCTGCGTCGGTGGTCGTTTGGGGTTTGTTCCCGGTCACCTTTGAGGAGCAATGCTCAAGAGCAGTTGGCGAGGGATCGCAGAGGTATGTGATAGTATAGTAGTCGGAGAGGCTGTTCAGAACCGAGATATGTGAGACCTATATTAGAGGCTAAAGGTTAGTTGCATCTCGCTGTTGACATCTTGAATTGGAAATACCTGTGCAATCTCCCCAAGCCCTATGATACCAACTCGTAGTATTTCAGGCATTGTTGAAAGACGTGAATGTCCAATGGTCTGATAATGAATATGTAGAGATGATCGTCCAAAGGATAATTAGCAGAACACTGTGCCAGTGAACTGAAGACCTAGTTTAATAATGTAATGTTGGCTGGAAAAAGACTCTGGTATTGAATCCCCGTGTTTGAGTGCGCCAATCTTCAGCAAGTGAATAAATATATACAAACCTAGGTACTGAAGGGGAGGGCGACCGGAAATGCAGTATAGCATCATAGGTACACGACAGACAGTGGGGCATAGTTTTACATCTTCAACCCCGCAATAAAACTTATCTTTCGATGAAACCAGCTGTTCAATCTCGTTCACTCGAAGGCTCAAGTTTCAAAAGTATGGTGTCTTTTGTTGTCCATAATGTCCACTGGTGGTCGATATTTACAATGAATGGGACTGGAAGTGCTTCTGTTTTCATGGCTTATTATGTTCAAAATAATGGTCCGTGCGCACCACTCGATTTCTCCGACAAGGCATATCATTCATTATTCATACATTCTTTGACGACCCCGTAGATTCTCAAATCAAACAGTCCTTACTATGAACCAAAGCCATCTCACGGGATATGCTTCTTACCACTTCATATCAGCTATGTATGCTCTCTATGGTGACCGTCTCATGAAACGAAGAGATGTCCAGAATCATCGATCGAGAGGAATGGGACCAAAAGCATTAATATAACTTCAAATACTCCACTCATTGACCTCATTACTTTTGAAGGGCTGACATCTACTCCTTGACCCGCTCTCCATATCACACCACTTATCTCCACTTCATTTCCACTGAAGGAATATACGCAGTTTCATTCAATTCAGAGTACTGATACTCAGGACCATTACCGCTACACACTTGGTGAGTTGAAGGTCTCTGTGCATCAGTTCTGGGAAGAATATACACAGTACTCGCCAATTCTATCCTATGTTCTACAGGACATGCTGGTTTTGCGATACTCACCCAGTTCCCGTAGAATGGTGGAAGGGAGTTCGGCGTGGTTCTTGATATGCATTATTGAGGACAGTCACTGAGACTTGATCAGAGACTGGGGTGGTGATGGATCCGATTTCTTTCTTCTAATGATGAAAGCGATGGCAAAAGTTAATTGACGATTACTACCACACCATCAACAGCTTCATTTATAATGGCTCCTAGTGGAATGCCAGATATCTTTTGAATTGCTGTACTTGCGACTAGATCTCTTAGTTACGATGAAGATGAAGGCGCTGAGCCACGTGCACCTGTCGTGGACAAATTATTTCCAAATGCACTGTTTAAATCTTCAGCGGCATCTCGGTTTTGAATACTGCTTGCTACGGAAGCGAGCTCTCGAGATATAGTGATGACAGCGGTTACAGATATGTATTCAATATCAGTAACCGGCTGGTCGGACATGGGATAAAATGTCGGAGACTTCATACAGCGGTTCATGCTTCTCTAGGATCATTCCAGGGATAAGTTGCACAGTTTGGGCATGCGGCATTATTTCAGCATCGTGTTAAAGATCCTGCTAGGGCAAAATCTACTGAGCCGGCTATGCAAGTCGTGAATATATTACAAAGTTCGATATCTTCCGAACAGCAACCAATTGCAGAATACAAATTATGAGCGCAGTGACCCGCCCCAGCACAAGTGAAAGCTTCCGCTTCATATCATTAGTTTTCATCTGCTTCCCATGGCGTTAAACTGTGGGAGTACGAACATTCAATACCACTCAAGTATCCGCACGTATTTATCGCATTTGTTCGATGTTCCAAAGGCTCTATAATTTTAAAAGCTTTGGTTGAAGCTGCTATGGTTTCAGACCCCAATCCTCATTGTATTGGGCCCGAACATTAGTCGTATGTACTACCAAGCTGATTGGTCACTATGAACGACATCGTTGGGCGATTGACACGCGAGAGCTTCGTCTTGTGCGTTGCATTCCAGAGAAAAACAAATATGCTAATAGTACGAAGCCTCTACCATCCTACTTGTTATTGTGCAGCACAAAAAGCAAATTGATCAAATCAGCACACGAGTCACGATAGAAGCTGGACTGGCTTGGCCAATTTTAGAGCCGTACTTAAAATATAAATATCATCTCAAGCTGAACGTGTGAATAAAGTTCAGCCACTGAAAGCTCAGGCCCAAAAGGATCATTTCGCGGAACGAGAATTTTTGATTGGTTTCAGCTGCCCAGTTCACCAAGTGAACGCCACAACAAAAATTAGTTTGTACTTTACGGAGTATGAGACATTCCGGGCAGCGGGTGATTAATTCATGGAAATATTCAGTCAAGTTTTCAATCTGTCCGAGTTAAGAGAATCCCGGAAAATATTGCTCCTCGACGGAAGTTTCTTTGCCGCCGGGAATTCACGTAAAATTTTAGTATGTGCATTGCAGGTGAATTTGAATCGTAAGTTCCATTCCGTACTCAGTATTTTCCAGGCATACGCTTCTAACTATCCTTTGCCGGTTTATCAATAATGGGAGAAAAGTATGCGCAGCTACGGTTTCAGAAAAATCATCGGCTCCAATAGCAATTGCGATAATAACTTGGAGGAACCATCAGAAAGCATCGCACGCAACATCAACCATCAGCTTGATTCTACGACACGCAGGTTTAATAGTGATGAAGGGCCATCTTAACACTTGAAGCAGTCGTCATCTCCTTCCTGACAACAAAAAAATCAAATCGATGCAGACGCACTTGGAATCGAGGTCATGTGTAGGATACACTCATGACCGTCTTGACTTTTGACCGAGCATTTCTCGCCTTCTCTAACACGCCACATGCCACCTTTAGATATGCGAAATTTTTCAGTTGCAAGGGACACCCATATGCTACCTTGAGCCACTGAACAGACTTGAAGTCCGCTATTCTTGTCCTTCAAGACTATAGTTCCACGGTTTTTAAGATGAACGATGTTGAAATTGACGCCCGCCACATTGATACCTTGCGATTGGCGCATTGGTGATCGGATATAGTCGGACGAGAATGCGATGTCTGAACGGGCGAAAACATATTAGCAGAAGTTAAATGTTGGTTCTAGGTGATTCGACTTACTCTCTTCACGCTGTGCATCCTTTTCCATTGGATTACCGACTATTGCACGAATTTTGCCAGTGTTGAACTCCCAATCATCATCCTTACGCTTATGCTCAGCCGATTTGCTGGACGCCGGTAAACTAGCTTGCAAGAAAGGGGACTCTACCGAAAAGGTTGGTGGTGGTTGAGAAAAAGCGTTGCCGGTAGAGCCACGCCTCTTTCTGAAAGGTGACGTTGGTGGTAAAATTGGAGTTGAAGCTATGGGAGATACGCGGAGAAGATTCAAACGACTTGGAGAAGCTGGTGGGAGAATGGGTGTCTGTCCGTTACTTGAGTATCCTCTTGGACGTGTGGGAGGAAGTATCGGGCTGGAGGTCAGTGGTAAAATTGGAGTGTGAGATCGAACGGGTAAGATCGATGTCATTCGCTGAGCCGAATCGCCATTCATCCTGACTCCCTCAGTTTCCGCATTCTCTCCACTACTTTGAGTATGGCCATTGCTCAGTCCTTCAAAATGTACAGCCTTTAGACTCTTTGATTTGCTCTTCTTTTTCTTGCTTTCACTTGCATTTCCATGCTTTTCCTTCATGGCTTTGGGCATTGTAGCTATCGACTGTTTGGAATTGCGAGCAGGAGGTAAGATTGGTTCTCCCAATTCCGCGCTTATCTCTCCTAGGCCTCCACTCATCAATGTATCTTCTTTCCGCTGCAATTCATGAGAATTGTGTTTTGACTTTTGCTTCTGCTTTTTCTTCTTTTCGCCCTCACCATTCTGCTGCGCATCTTGATGCTGATGATGATGGTTCTTCTTCTTCTTCTTCTTCTTCTTGTGCTGGTGCGTAGGAATATCGGTGGTACTGCCGTTTGTATTTTTGGGAATAGCCTCGTGAACATGACCGTGATCATGCTTGCGTTTGATACCATGAAGATGGCGACTCCCATTACTGGGGAGAACAACCATTGGATGCGCTGTACAATTTATAGGTTTGTTAGTCTGATTCCGTTTGTTTGTCGCAGGATCAAGATGGAATTATCTGGAAGGCATTGTGTACGAGCAGAAACGCATCCTCGATTGAACCCAAGATCAAAAAATCAAAATAGAAACAAAAATCAACTTACACATCTCCCACGAAACAATTGCGCGCAACTCCGATACAATGCGACAGCAATATCCGAATATATCGCAGTAGAAGTTGTATGCGAAAATAGTGGTAGAGGAAATAACAGAATAGAAGTCCAGTTTTAAGATGAGAAGAGAGAAAGGTTATGCGATTTGAAGATTGATTGATTGATTGATTGAAAAGTAATTATTTTTCATCCCTATTCTATCTAGGTATCTTATCTTCTTTGCTTTTTTCCCCCAATTCTTTTGTAGCTAGAGGTGAAGCTTTTAATTATTGTTTATTTTGTTTTTGAACCTCGGATCTAAAAGTGATGGGAAATGTGATATAAATTTAAAGAGAGGTTGGTTTTGATTGGGTGAGTTTTTGTTTACTTTTTTTTTATAGATCTGAATATGTTATTTTATGAATCTCATTTTCTAATTTTTATTATCTTTAAATAAAGATTACACTTAATTACTTTCTGAATAAACTTTCTCGATTGAAAAGAGTACTCTTATAACCTCACTCTACAACCTCTTATATTGTATAACTCGAGAGTCCTAAAGTTCGTTTGCCGGTGTAAGATTATCTCGCATAATTGACTTCTTTATATACCTTTCCCAAACTTCCTTATAACTGTTCCACTTTCGCTATCATCAAAACTCATCCTTTTGATATGAAGCTGTCAATGATGTCAATTTGATTCTATCCTTGTTAAAGATACAAAAGATAGGAAATATTGGGACTTTGGGAATTTCCGTATTTCTTTCTCTCGTTTCTTTTCTTGCTTTTATTTAAGGGTATCTTGAAAGGAATGATGAGGTTAAGGTGCATCAAGTGAATACAATTTCTTTCTCGGAGGTGCTCTTAGTGCCGAGAATATCCTAGACAGCACAATTAAGAATGCAAATTGTAGCTACATCCATCTCGGTGTCCGATTTTGCGCAATACTCGGACAAGATGAAATCGGTTGCATCCTGTGCATCGGTATTGACGTCCAGATCACTCGTCGGTAGCTCTGTGCAAACTTTCTGGCGAGTCATATTCGGTGAGCTTCTGCCCGGTAGAGGAGAAGAAAGAGCTCCCGAGACTCCGGCAACAGATCAGCTATTTTGGCGGGTCTTTGTTTGTCACAGGTCGCATTTTTTAAAGCGTTTTTTCGCGGCAGCAGTTTCTAACGGGGAACAAATGAGAGTTCTCATTAGCAAGTGGAGCGAAGCTAGGATATATTTCGCTTATTTAGTAGGTCCTATATGGGAGCCGAGTATCTGTTTAGCTTTTTGCCCTTAAATCTTATATTAGTAAGTCTCTACGGGCCACTCTTGCCCGAAGCTCCTTGTTTGCTATGGTTTATCGAAATTGTACACCAGTAGTTGCTAACTTCACCAGGACATATTCTTTTTATCTCTTGATTTTTGCATAATGCTTCTCGGTGTTCTTGTAATAGCTGTCGATGATTATGGCTGCCTGAATAGTTATCTTGAAGAAAGTGATTGAGCCTCAAAGAGCTTCAAAACTGTTATTGTGGAGAGTTGCTATGTCGTTAAACACTTGCCTGTCTATAATCAAATTACTAGAGTAGACTTGTAGTTATCGTGCTCGGCCAAGTTTGTTCCAATAGAGTCTTTAGTATCTTACGTTTCTCATTGTAATCTTATATCTTGATGGTTACTCTTTTTTCAATCACATTATCAGGATTCAGGTACTCACTTTTCTTCCCATCCTGTTATAGTTTCTAGGATTATAACATGTGATCGTGTCTCTCCTTCGCCTAGTCATTAATAGATAGTATCCTGACCAGTCTGAGGCTCCATCTCCACCTTGTATCTTGAGTATTTTTCTTCAAGCCATAAAAAAAATGTCAGCTTTGAGTAGGTTGACTTCATATTTATTACTTTCTATTAAGTTCCGTGATATTTGTATCAGAACACCATTGGAATCCCGAATTTTTGAAAAGAGCTCAATTCAACTAACTAACTAATTGCTGATTGGGTACCTAATTATTAAAAGATATAGGAAAACGAAGCCTAGACTAGCAAAACATGCGATCATCAAAGATCCGTGGCAAACAATGGACTAGGTTTCCATCTAGCCTACATGTTGAAATGCAACCCTTGGTACGATATCAGGGCACTTTTATATCTATTCAGGGAACTGATAGCTATTAAGCACTATATTTGTAGATCAAATCGCCAGTATCGTTCCACTGAATGAGCGTTGACTGAAGGAGCAATGACAGTACCGCGATCAGCTTCTGGAGCTAGGTTCCGTTGCAGTAATCGAGGCAGTAATCGAGACAGCAATTGCATCGAACATGGCAGCGAAGGCGATAATAGCCGCAGCGGAGAACTTCATTTTGATGAAAGTGCACATGTCTGATTGGTTTTCCTTCAGAGAAGAATGAAGGATGAGGTTTCAAAAAGTGAAGTCGAGTGACTCATAGTATGTTTAGTCTGAGTATGGAAGTGATTGTAGAATGATTGTGAATGTGATGATAAAATAATTCGAGAGAAGAACAAGGAGGGTTTATATACTCTTCTATTCCCGTGTAACTTTCATCTATCTCTAGGATCTTGCCCACCTTGAATTCAAACTCGAAATAGAGTTTATTTTCAGTGCATATTATCACCCTGATAATCTGTCCAAGTGTACCAAGACTTTAATTGTATTACATACTATATCCTATGGATTCTGGATTGACATTGATTCAAGATGTATTGTTAATTTATATTTGTCAATTTAAGTGAATATAGTGAGAAACTCCAAATGTCTCAGTGAACATGATATTGTAGTACTTTAGAAATGCTATCCCAGGATACCTCACTATGTGATATTATGGATGACAGTCAATTAAAATTGTCGTTTCTTCATTCTGACCATTTGACAAACGTTATTTGCAGACTATCACACCCGTTCAGTAGCCCCGATGCACCCGATAGCCCTGCCGTCTAAAATCTGAATGGCAGTCTAGACGGCTATCTCATGATTCATTTAGGCTACATAGGAGTACTGGAATGAACCTGAGTGAAATTATTGGGTACTTAATCTAAATTCTAATAATCCTAATAGTTATTTAGACCTTTGGTTTGAGTAAAGCGTAACTCTAGTACCCTACTTTTCGGCCACCCTTTTCCACCAAAAATCATTATTTTCATCTATCAATAACTTTATAACAATTAAATACAATTTAAAAAAACATCTGAAATACAAATTTATTTTATAGATAATAATAAATTTCAAATTTGATTTCGTTGATATCTGTAACCTTAAATTCTTCGATTTTCGTCATTTTTGACGGCAAAACGTGGCCGAAAAGAGGGGTCGCCGAAAAGTAGATTACCATTATAATTTGCATGATTAAAAACAAGAATTTAGAACAATCGAGAGTCTGAATATTTGAAAATTTGAGCTAGAAAACTGAAAGTATAAAATCTTCGAAAAATACAACTAGTCAAAATCTCCGGACTATTCAAGAAATAGTGCAGTTTTAATCCTGTTGCTTGATATCAAGTTAAATGCTAATAGGCTTTTTCAATGGACTTAAACTTGACTATTTAGTTCAAAACAAATGGCAATTAGTACTTCCTGCATTCCGAATTATTAGAAGCATCGTCTAATGATGCAGCAGCAGAATTGTACCATTCTCTCCCCCCACCGTTGTCGGATCAATATAGCAAGTAATATTGTGTGCCTATAGCTTGGCCTGGATCGTGGTTTCAGTAATAAGACAACCCTCTTCAGATACACAATTAGAAACCATTTATATCGAGTATATACAGGGACAGTTCTTAAGGAGGGAAGTTCCAGCTTCAGGAGCACGATTTTAAACCCGAATCTTTCATTAAAACTTCCAAAGTCGACATTAGTGATGCTCAGCCAGTACCGAGAACTACATGTATACTCCTCAATTGATATCCTATACCTTACGCTTCATCTCAAAATTTGATATTCCTTTCTTCTCAGGTATATTCTTCTTCAGTAAACACTACACAATTCCGAAGTAGCTGAGCCTAAAAAGTATTATTTCCAATCATCCGGATGTTTGTGTCATGAGAATAGTTGACGATAAATTTAATTCCGTATGATGCTATCTTAGGTTTTCAAGGATGGTACACCTAGTTTTAAACTGCGTAGTGCTGGTAGTTCTCTAGCTTGGATCTTCGCTTCAACGCTTCCTCTATTTCTAGTACTGCATGCACTACGGTTGGTGATTTCAGAACTCTAATTGCTACTGTGAAGTACTTAAACTGAGAAATAACAAATGGAAAGGAAGTTCTTTTTCACGATATGTTATAGATATGATTAAAGTGAGTTAAACATATCACATCATCAATAGACGTTTACTTGATATTCTTTTGTTCTTTCTTTAAATTATGCTTAGCGGCTAGACTATGTACACATTTAATCATAAAATTTTGCATTCAGAATTACTAGTGATTCATTTCAGGGCTGTTTCTCTTTCTTTATACAATATATAGGTCCATAATACCCGTGTGACATGTGTCCCATTCACTCCATCATATTCGATTCTAATATCTGAGCTTGGAACATTATAGTATATCATCTCGAAACATATTATTCTGATTTTTCGAACTCCTAGCTCTTACATACCAAGTTCATCTCATCATTTCCTCGCCTCCCTAAAAGATCGACATCCTAATCATATCAACTCCAACAATAGTGACGGGGAACCTAATGACTATATTCCAGAATGCACCTACATCTATCCATGTATCTTATACACACTACATCTTTCCATATCCATACATTCTTAATTTCCCAATAGCATATACGAGTAACCCATCGTCCCAAACCAGTCAACGGGAACGATATATACAACATCCCCTCGAACGAAAAGGTACACGAGATAGAGTATCAAGACCTCATTTTGAATCTCCAGAACAGACAAACAATCAGACGAATAAAAAACAAAACAAAACCAAATAACCCAAAATCCACATTTTCCACATCTCTCACTCTATCTAGGCTGATAAATTCCCCAAGCTTAAGCGAGCCATATACAGTAATCTAAGCGAAAACCAACACTCCAGGAATGCAAATCCAACCACCCAACTCGAAAAAAAAAGCCATAGTAAATAAACACATTCCTAAAAAAGGCATCTACAATCCCCAGCCGATCAAAACATGCAGGAATATTACTAACTAGGTAATTGCTCATATGTACATAAGCAGCAATTCCATATTTCCCCACAATGACATGAAGTCATATTTTACCTACGTAAATACCAATAAATTCCCCACACCAGCCCGTTATCTTTCCTTCACTCAAGGACATCTTCCCCGGTACTTAGGACCTTAGTGTAATTATTACATTTCACCTGATCCGGCGAAATAGCTTAGGGAATTTCATACGATCTCTAGGAGCGGAAGTATCGTGCTGTTTATCGTTGTGAGGTGATATCAAGTTTGGGCATTTATCGAGTGGAAATGAACGTTTTTGGATTGAGTGGGGAAGTTGTGTTGGATTTGCATTTGCATTTAGATATGGATATAGATATAGATACAGATGTAGAGATTCCTGGCCCAGAAATCTTCTAGAAAGCAAAATAGAGTTAAAGTAAAGTAGAGTGGAAGATGAGGGAGAGTTATTGTTATTATTTTTATTATTTTCATCATTATTATAAGAATTTGGAGTAGCCATATCACATCACCACACATCAAACACAAAAAATTAATATTATCGAATCTCAATTTCCACACGAATAACTAAGATACAGATACATATCTTCCGCTCACATAGCATACCACCAACGGTCAACCCGCCAACCCACCACCATGACCAAAAACCCCCATACAATCATCGTTCCGCGCGCTCAAATCCCCATCATTAATCTTCGAGTATCTCGTACACAGCGGATCTTAACACCGGCGATTATTTTAGGGACGTTGATTTTTTTGTTGCTCTGTGTGGTTGGAGGTATTTTTTTGTGTGTTAGGTTATTTGGGGAAGTGGGTGGGAATACGGATAGAGAGAAGGAGAGGGTTGGGACGACGTTGAGGGTTGGGACTGTGTTTGTCGGGGTTGGGGTGAGTTGGTTTATTTTTCTTTTCCTTTTAGTCATTTTTGAGTTCTAGGGTTTTGATGGAGGAAGAAAAGAAGGAGGAGAAGGAGGAGAAGGAGGAGAAGGAGGAGAAGGAGGAGAAGGAGGAGAAGGAGGAGAAGGAGGAGAAGGAGGAGAAGGAGGAGAAGGAGGAGAAGGAGGAGAAGGAGGAGAAGGAGGAGAAGGAGGAGAAGGAGGAGAAGGAGGAGAAGGAGGAGAAGGAGGAGAAGGAGGAGAAGGAGGAGAAGGAGGAGAAGGAGGAGGAAGATGAGAAGATGAGAAGATGAGAAGAAGACTTAAAGACATATGAGATATTCCTTCCCACGAAAACCCCGCGCAAGGAGAGTCGTAAGCCAAAAATTCAAATCGAAATACTAACGCTCAACCCAGTGTTTCTTCACCACCATCTACCTAATCCTCCACCTAACCAACAGCATCCAAAACGCCCCTATCGGATTTGTTCGACCACCAGAACTAAAACTCCACGGATACAGTTTCATCTTTGCGCGCGTCACGTTGGTATGTTGGATGATATCACTCATATTATCCAGCATCATTGTATCCAAAACAAAGGTTTGCGTACCGGGTACTCCAGAGTGTTATGTGCAGATAGGAGGGGTGGTTATTAGTGCTATTGGATTGTGAGTCATTTTCTATTCTTCTAGATGGGAGTTTTGTGTATTATATAATGGATGAATTGCTACAAGATATAGAGCGGGAGGATGAAAATTGGATTGAGCTAAGGACTAGGCTAATATTGATATTGAAATATAGTACAAGTATAGGAATCATACTCACCGCGCTAGAAGCCTGTCAATATTCCTTCCAACTACCCACTCGCAGTAGCATTCTCCCAGGCACGGTAAACTGCAGAGTTAGTTCGTTTGGGGATGATTTGGTAGATAGTAATTTTACGTCACTTAATCCATCTGCTGCGAATATATTATCGCAAGCGCAATTGAGGAGTGTATCGACTAGCGCGTCGACTTCTCATGAGACGATCCCATCGCTGCATGACGATTATTTGTTTATGGGGAATGAGAAGGAAGAGTGGGAGAGAAATCAATCTTTGGCGATTGCGAATGCGAGGATTAAGAGTGGGTTTAATGTGAGAAGGAAACCGGTTCCTAATAATACGGCTAATGCGGTTGAGTTGAAGTTATCGAAGGAAGAATCAAAGAGTGAGATGATCTCTATGCCGGGGAAGTTTCCTGAGGAGAAATCGACACCAGTGCAAATTATGCCAATAGCTACTTCACCTTCGTCTGCTTCAGCTTTACCCACTTCACCTCCAACAATTTTACCTACTCCTGCTTCCTCAGAAGTGAAACCGAAATCTAAAGGTTGGGGAATTGGTTGGTCATATTTGATGAGAAATACAGAGACAGAATCGAATACGAATGAAAAGTGCATTACACATTCCGACTCAGCCATTTCTCTAGGAACAAATAACAATACTGAATGCGCCACTTGCGGAAACTGTACCAAACCCCCACCTTCAACAAAACAACCGACAATTCCTCCTGTCGCGCAGAGAGTGGGAAAACAGAGGATCGTGACGCCTAGTAGTAGTATTAGTGATATTGCGATGAGATCACCATTATCTACCATGAGGTTTGTATTTAATACTACATATCTTCTACAATATACTAATGAAATCAGAACTGCCGAGTCCCTAGATATAGCTATAAAGCCCGAAGTGGCACTTGTTCCAACTAGGGTTCCCTCATCACTCGATCGAATATCTCCGCGCAAACCTGCTGTTACACAAGCTTTACCCATAGCGGTTCTGAATGAAATGATGGTAAGAAGGCCATCAATTCCACCTTCTCCTACGAAAATGCCAAAGCCAGTCGTGCCAGAACATGTACCAGTACCTCCTAAACATATAACACCACTGAAGCGAAAACCCATGGAAAGTAAAGTTACCAAAGCACCCCCCAAATCATGGAAAGAATCTCTACCAATCCGAGGAGGCAGTTTTGAAATCGAAAGAAAACCCATCGGGAAAACTAAAGAAATTATCTCGAATAAAACCCAAAGTCCTACCACTAAACCAACACCTAAATCCAAACCCTCGGAAACAAAACCAACCCTAAAATCCTGGAAAGATTCCCTACCCATCCGAGGAGGAAGTATCGAAAGCGAAAGATCCACCGCCACAATCCGTGACATATTCCCCAACATATCACTAGGGCCCAACCCAAACAAAACCTCCACCAATCCACCCAAACCCAGCCCATTAAAAGCCAAGAAACCCCCCGAAAATAAATCAAAACCATACACACAAATCCCCACCAAATCACCCAATACCACCATCGTCATCAAGAAAAAAAATACCGAGATGAAAATCCCCGGATCTTTTATCGAGAGCCCGAAAACGGATTCGTCGAAACGACCTACTAGTCGTGAGATTAAAGTTCCTGGTGCTTTTATTGATGGTAGTTTTATAGCTGAGAAAGGGGAGAATTTTATTGAGAAAATGCAAGAAATAGAAGAGGAGAGTATTGTTCGGAAGAAACCGCAGGGGGTGAGACCGCTGAAGTTACGAGCTAGGGTTAAGGGGGGGGAGAAGATGGATTTGGTTGGGAGGGAGAAATTAGAGGATGGGAAGATAACATCTGTGGAGAAGACTTTTAAAGATGTGCTTGATGAAGAGGAATCGTTGTATGTGCCTCCTGTTCCGAGGGGACCATGACCTTTTAGGCGGAAATTGTTTGGGAGGTTGAATGTGGGAGGGGTGGCGGGGAGTCAAGATGGGGATGGGGATGGAGATGGGGATGAAGGGTATGTGGTACCGGTGAGGAAGGGATGGGAGGGGGTATTACCATTGAGGAGGTTAAGTTTGGGGGAGGTATCAACTAGGATGGGACATTTATGGGAAGATTGAATTTATTAGTTTAATGGAGTGATTTGATTTGATAAGATTAGATTGATCGATCGATTGATTAGATTAGATAGTTGACGGGGTGAGGTGATTGAATTCACAAGATTAGATTAGATGAAGTGTACGTACGTACAGTATCTGTTTATGGAGTTAGTGCATACGACGAACAAATGGGGCGTTGGGTATAATTAAAAATGGGGGAATGAAGTAATTTGGTGGGTGGAGATGGATGGAAGAAAGAAAGAGAGAAAGAATAATGGAGACAGACAGAAGTAAAATTCCTAATCAAACTTGTTGTAAGGTTACAATTTTTAATCATACCTACTTACCTACTTAGGTAGGTAGGTATCTATAGAGAAGATCCGAATATTCCGTTTTATTATTCATATTATTCTTATGGTGTGCAGTATAGTGTATAATGTGGTTGATGTATTAAAAATCATCGTATAGTAATCAAGTAATTATGTTCATTCTAACCAATCAAACACCAAATCATCCATAAAATATATGAGCACGTGAAAACGTGATGGAAGAGGGGGAATGAAGAATGTAAATGTGACACCGTGAACGTAATACCAAGATCCTGCAAAGATAGGATATGGAGTAAGGTCACATATTACATACATATATCCATACATACCCCGCTTCATCTTCATGTTTTATCCAACTCAAGCTCCAAGTCAAGCACTCCGAATCTTTATACCCATACATACAGAGTAGGTACTTACTACTTCCGCACGTAATATATAAACTAAACCACTAACTAATGTACTCCACATCTTGTATCCATAATCGCTAGTAACTTCTAGCTACCCACGGAGTATATACCCAACTCCATCAACTCGAACATTTCAGACACCTCGTGCATGAGATATTCATGTGAAAGTCCAAGTATTTCAGTCAGACAACTGATCCATTATCCATATTTCTAACGTGATTCATGAGGTTTGATGATGCCCAATGAGAAGAAATCAAAGTGATCGGCTGCAGGATGACGTTATGTGACTTGGGAAGAATCCTTGATATTTGAAGAGCACACTGGTGGAGGTTTCTGTTGCCGCGATTTCCTGATAAAAATAAATGTTGATTTGGGTTGTGTTGTGTTGTGTTTGGATTGATTGATTGATTAATGGAAATGGAATGATTGAATGATTGAAAATGGAATGAATTCTTGAAATGAAATGTTGAAAGATGCTCTTATCCATGATTGCTGCTGATGCTGACTGACTGAGTGACTGAATGACTGACGGTAAAACTGGTGATGTGATATGATATTAATAAACAAAGAAGATATTCCCATCTTCTTTTTCGTCTGGATATATATACAATCTACCTCCTCCCTATCCGCCTAGGTAAGCCCTCTACAATTCTATCAAATTTGATAGAAAGCAAGCCAGCATCTAATTCAAGCGGTCATACCCGATCATATCACATCACATCACATCATATCATCAATCAAAAATCTCCAGACTCCAGCCCAAAAAAGCTTCTTATGAGCCTTTCGAGCCACAATTCTCCAACTTCATCACCATACTAAGAGTGAAAACTAAGGTGGAACCCTGTCTTTCTCCATTAAAAATCAAAGACAAGAGACAAGAGAGACAATTTCACTTTTTCATTCACTCACACCCACATTTTACATTTCACATCCACTTTCACATTCACACTTTAAATTCACTTCAACCCCATCTGTCTCTTAAGAATTGGAATATTTTACTCAGCTGCCCTCTTTTTTACGAAGTCACACGAACAGTTTTTTACGATAACCTTAACGATTTTTTTATTTTTGGAAAAAAGGGAAAAAGAAAAAGAAGATATCTATTCTTTTTCTTTCCTCTCCTCTTCTTTTACATTTTTCGAAGAGTTTGGATTTTTTATCGTTACAGCTATTTACCTACCTACCTACCATACAAATACCTACCGGTCGTACTACACCTCCAAAGAAAGTTCTCGGGAGACACACGGGAACCAAACAAAACCGGTCTAAACTTAAAGCTTAGATACTCGGAAATATCACAACCAACCAATCAAGCGCATTAAAAGAAGTGGGTGGCAAGTTACAACAACAGCAACAATAAGAACAACAAATAAATCCATCGAGTCTTCAAGAAATCTCATAATTCTTCAACATTTCCGAGTCTCAAAGAGACACAATTCGCTTGAAGCAATGACTACCACCATGTCTTCTTCAGAAGCTCCAGTTCTTCATAATCCTCCAAGTCCTACTGCTAAACGCCCAAAAGGTATTTATGATTTATAAATTCTTAGCAAATTACCCCGCTACCCCCTCTTTCTATCTATCTACTCATCAAACAACAATAATCAACACTAACATCCATCACCAAAGGCATTCTCAAAAACTCCTTCCACCGATCTCCTCCCTCCCAAGCCCCCATCACCACAAGCGCACCCCCCATCACCTCCCCAAAACACGTCGGCATTCCCCTCTCCACCTCCCCAACCGGCATCTCCGACAAAGACGTCACACTACAAAACACACTTCAAAACGCCGGACCACGAAGATCCTCATCAAGCAGCCATCCAATCCGACGACAATCATCCGGATCCGCCCATCACGATGACAATAACAACATGCGCCTCCAATGGGACGAAGCCAATCTCTACTTAACCGAACAGGAAAAAAGCAGCACGATGAAGATCAACGAGCCAAAGACTCCATACGCGAAACATTATGATCCAGCTGAGGATGAAGAGGAGATTCGCACGATTGATGCGGGGGAAATAGTAGTGGATGAATTAGATAGGGTGAAAGCGGGACAGATGAGAAGTCCCCGATCGAATCGAGCACGGGATGAGGAAATTCCTGGATTGAGTTTGGGAGAGCCGGAAGAGGCGGTTCCGGATAGGGAGGTGGTGATGGGAGAGTCCGAGGAGAAGAAGGTGCATGTTGCGGGGGAGGGGAGGGATGTAGATGCGGATGGGGATGATGGGGAGGGGATTGGGGGGATGACACCTGAGGAGAGGGAGAAACATGAGAGGTTTGAGGAGTTGAGGAGGAAACATTATGATATGGCTAATGTGGCGGGACTTTTGGGTCATCCGGAGGAGATTGATGTTGATGAGGATGAGGAGATGAATGGGAGATAGGTGGGATGGGTGTTAGGGGTTTGGGGGAGGGTTTCTGTTGGGGTCTTGATGGTTTGGTGATGGTTTGGTGATGGTTAAGTAACGGGTTACCTGGGAAGGGGATGGATGGATGGATGATACGAATAGGACGAGGAGTTAATATGTAATTATGGCGTTTTTAGGTTTAGGAACAATCAATCAATAGTTTTATTTTATTTTACTTCTTCTAAACTTCAACTTTTACTCTATTTAAAGACCTTGAAACGACTAATTTTATTTGAAATGGGTTTTAGTATATTCATTCACATATACGCATAGCATAGTCTCTATCTAGGAAAGTAGTGTGTGTCACTTTGATTAATTTTTCTTTTCTATTGTTGTTGTTGTGGGATAAAGAGTAGGGAGGAGATGACGAATCGATTGATTGATTTATTAGAGTACCTAGGTAAGATTACTTGATAATTTTACAAAATGCAAAGTTCTTAGTTAAGAATTTGGATGACTAAGCTCATCCATCTAAAAGAGAGCTAGGCTAGGTTACTCTAGCGATGGGAGTGAATTGTGAAAATGAATGTCTTTATACACCTAGGTGGGTAGGTAGGTATTTTGATGACTTTGTTTAGGTATTTTGTTATATAGGTAGGTATTGAGTTTATTTATCGATTTAATTATTATTACTCAATTCACCAGTACAGTTATTTTTAATAAACTAGCTCATTTCAAAGAACCAAAATAAATCAAACCCCCCTCTCCCTCTCCCAAAACGACCTAACAATCCCAATATTACTCCCCTCATACTCCCTAACCTCAACACCACCATCCTCCCCCAAAAAAGTACTACCTTGTACAAATTTCCACTTCGGCTCTATATTCCCCGCTACGATTTTCCTCCGTACCTTATATTCTCCATCTACAGCACTTAATCCCCCGTAGAAAAATCGACATGTCTCGATATTCGCCGTAGAGCGCCAGATGTGTAGTTTACATAGCGTGCGACCGAGTGAGGGTTTACCGTACGATAGGATCTTGGAACGATCGAGGCGGATGTGTAGTGTGCCGTTTTGGGCATCGTGGGTTATTTGGAAGAGGTTATGGGTGTTTTGGTGGAGGTGCTTTAGGATGGTGAATTGTGCCTGGGTTTTGGAGATGGGGGGGTTAGTTCGGTGGGTTTTTTTTTAATAAAAAAACTAAGATTACCTGATCGTGGTCGCTGCCCCAGGTTTGCTCGTCGACTTTAAAGCTGCGTAGGGCGCGGAGTCCTTCAATTCCTATCTGCAGGTATGTGTAATAGTTGACTTGCTTATATTAGTCACTGGATCGGTATTTGGATATCGGAATACATATACTCACACTCATCTGCAGTTGGAGTGCTCTCCTGATCATAGCCAAAAAGCGCAAGAATATCCTTACTGTCAGCTAGATAGTCCGCTATCAAAAATGCTCGGCATTCTTCTACTGTTGCTGCTAATTTTCCAAATACACTGTTCCAGGTTTGACCTGGTTTCTACCATGTTTGTATGGGTTTACCGGTCACGGGACTAATCAGGGGGTTTGCATGGCCGAACTTGAATTTTCCGGTAACTGTTTCAGAAAGTAGTTTTCCGGTTCCGTGGCCGATGAGCTCGTAGATGGCTGTTGTGACGAAACGAACTCGGTGCGCATAGGTCATGTATGTTTCAACTTCTGAAGGGTGAATATAGTAACATGGACGATTGGGACTGCTGTTGAGATTCATCCGGTTACCATAGACCATGTTTTTTACGCCGTGTCTCTTGCCATCATCGTCCTGCATATATGTTAGATTATGCTCTTCGTCAATTCTAGAGATATGATACGCTTTTCAGAAACGTACAATGGTGATGTTAGTGGCGTCCCATACGGTGCTTGAGACGGAAGCGAGTACTGAGCTATTGTTAGGATAGTTTATCTCTCTTAGCTATACATCTAAAAGATACACTCACCATGAATAACCGCAAAATCAGGAACATATAATTCGCTCGGCTCAAAAGGTCCTTTACCATCATTAACATTCTGCACCGCTCAAGGAAGCATACGAATAAATTCTGCAGATTTATCAAAAAGCCGCCTCATTTTCTCCGTTTCTCCAGAATGATAAATCCCAGCAACAGCTTGCCACTCAGCTCTTACACCATGAGCATCGCGATACCCAAAGAGAAAACCCATGCAATATTCCACTCGAGGATTCTTGTCCGTAACCCATGTTTTCTGGGCAGAGCGAAAGATATCATAATCTCCAGTGAGGAAACTATCCACAAGCTGGGAAAGCGCGGTTTTTTGTTCGTCGGTTGCAGCGACTTTGCATGCTAGAGTGAGCTCTGCACATATTTTGCTCATTTCTTCACTATGGTCTCCGCGTCGGAGATAAATTCTGGCGCGGCGTTTCTCTCCCATAGTGAGTTCACCGAGAAACAATGGCTCTGCATCTCTTTCCGCAGAAGCCTGGAGGATTTCAAATACGTCGGAATTTTCATCCGCTAGACGATTGCTAGTGGTGAGTTTTCGGAGACGAGTGTTTTCTGGGGAGATTCCTCTAGCTTCCATCATCTTAGTGATGGCTTCGATATCTTTCTTTTTTATTTTTTCATCGCCGATGTAATACCCAGACTGATTTGCACCATCTGGATATCCCAAAGCAGCCGGTTGAATTTCCATCATCGGGGTGATGATTTCTTCAAATTTTGCGCTTGCATCGGGAGATACACTTGCCATTTTGCGGAGTACTTCGTGGGAAACATTGGGTATGACTTTTCGATCTCCATCACCCTATATTGTGCATTAGCAATGTAAATCTCAACTGCAGAACCTAGAAAACTAAACAAAATACCTATGAAATAATTACCCAGACTCGATAAAAACATCCCCGCATACTCAAGCCATGCATCAATATCTTCCTGCCTAACATCTCGATCGAGGAAATATTCCATTTTCCATCACATGCCTCATGCAACGCAAGAATTAAATCAAAGATTCCTTCTGCTTCACTAGATGTCTGGCGTAGCATAATTCGAGTTCCATGCCAACATGCCCGTGCTAGGTGATGCGCGTATATCGTGTAGGATTTCCCGTCTTTGAGGTCTTCTTCTTTGAGGCTTTGGAAGACTGTGTGATATTCTAATTTATGTGTTATTTCGTGCTGTTGGTGGGGTTTTGGGGTTGAAATTTTGGGAAGGAGATGGAGGCTGGGTTTGAGCTCGAGATGGGTGTTAGGTCGTTTGTAAGATCTTAAGATTACTGGTGGTTCTTATGTTAGGAGCTGGGATATGGATGTCGATATCGATGGAAGATTTAATAGGAGGGTAAAGTGGGAAGCATATGCATATGCATATAGTAGAGTAGAGTAGAATGGAGCTAAAGACTTTAGTGATGGATGAAGTGTTTGATATCTCAGATTTTGGCGGCAGGCCGCAGGTTTCGAATCAGGATAGGGTAGAGCGGGGAAATTTAGAAGTTACTGCGCGTAATAACGCAGGTTTCCTCTCGGCTGCTCTGGGTCGGATTAGATACCCCGCTTCTTGTTGCTGTATGGTTCATAAATGGAATACTGGTATATCTAGAGCGGACGTAAAAGGGGCACTGGATGAGAAGCTGATGGCATGGTCCGAATGATCCAAGCTTTGAAGGGTTTCTTTGTTATTGGAGGAATTATAGCTAGGAATCTGAAAATTGAAAGTCGTTGGTGAGTGAGTGAATGGTTGGGCTGTGATTATTAGGATGATCTATTGAAAGATTGGAAATGATTCTGGCTTGATTATGTGCTAGGGAATGGGAAAAGGAAAAGAAACCCCAATGTTGAAGCCAGAAGTAATTAGATTGTTTACCACACATTGTCCACAACAGCATTCTTGGTAAATTTGCTATCTTTCGGTCAGTTTAAATGTGCAAAACCCTGCGTATGTTATTCTCTGGGTGTATTTTGAAATGTCTTTTGGACTTTTCTTTCCTCTTCCCTCCTGTTCAAAATTGATTACACAGATGATGTTTTCATCTTCCACATTACTGCACTAATCGGCAGGCTAATAGACCAGATCCCAATTTAAAACTATATTTTCTCTGCTGCGCCGCTCATATACTTCACTACAGTGGCGCAGTTTGCAAACCTTTTAGCCCCGAATTAAATACACCAAATACATCATACAACCTAAACATCATCGAAACCTTCATCTGATGCACCTGGTAGAACTGTAAGCGCTTCTGCGTTTATTTACCTATTACCTTCTGAGACTAATATGATGGATGGTATATAAGAGAAACGTTCTTCACGACCACTTGCAACAGGCTGCAAAGGTCAAGAAAGTCCAAGTCATCTCTAGACCCTGATGACCGTGACACCTTTGATGCCTTCATAACATGGGGCGGCGGCGTAGCGAAGTGGCTGATTAGCAGTGGCCCTCATCTATCAAACTGATCCGACCGGCTTTAGGATATCTGCACGTTTTGGCAGAATTCTTCACGTAAACCGGGTTCGTAACGCGATACATCGTACCTATAGGACTCTTTAGCATGTTTGATGCAAATTAGTCCGTCGACCTTGAAGATACTAGTTCCTGCAAGTGAGTCTAGTACCCCTCTTTTCGGCCACCCTTTCTTTTTGACTACCCTTTTACATCAAAAATCTTGATTTTCATCTATTAATAACTTTATAATTAATAGATGGAATTTGATAAAATTGGAATTATGAATTTTTTTATATAAATATTAATAAATTCTGAAGCTTTTGGATTTTTTATAATTTTATTGATTAAAATATAAATGATTAAAATTACGATTTTTAATTTGTATAGTGTTACGTCGGACAGTAACATAGGTCACGTTCTTGATCACATGATCAAGAAACCGACAAATCGAGATCGGCTTTGCGGTGATCGATTTGTCGGGCTCATAGCCATCGGTTTTTTAAGGAGGCACGAAGGTCTATATAATCAAGATAGATTTCCTTTGTATAGAGCTTCGTGCTCAAGATCAATCATTTAGTATACTCTACTATTAGTTACGAATTGCATATCATTATTGTCATTACTTAAGTCCCTGCTTGATGCCTAGTTATAAACCACTTCGAGAGCCTAGAGCACTTCCACGTGATCTAGACGGCAAACCTCGTAACATTCGGCTAGTAGCAGTGCGTTAGTACTATACTAATCCTCGCGATAATATCAATAGCTCATATCTATAATCTAAAAGATGTAGAGCAGGTCCACGTGTGATCAAGTCTCAGGTTGGAAGACTGAAGCATTCAACGGCTATTGTAAGTCTTACAAAAAACAGCTAAATCGGTCTCGTGATGAGAGGTTTGCTTCGACCGCGGCTCCAGCTTTCGGAGGGTTTTACTCCTCGTCTCTATTTAATATGTACACATTGAGGTGAGCTGGAGCTTTCGTAGTGAACAATTGTATGAGCATATATGAGCATTTATGAATGAACTGTTGAGTAAAGATTCAGGTGGGAGATATTCTATTTATATTATAAAAAAATAAGAATACAAGACTTTAGCGACATATATACCAACACTACGAAGAACGTTCATTCCGAGCGTGACTATGCTCGGCAACTTTACTGCTACGTATCTTATTGCAATGGAGGACACCAGTCGCTCCTTCTCATTTTGTCGCTTTCCAAATAAATGTATCTCACTAGCACACTTTCATTTCTCACTGAATTTTCCTTCCTACTTGCTTTATTTCTTCTTTCTCAAACAAGCTTTCGCTCTCATCTCTAGTGAGAGAGAGTATATCCTCATTTCATTGATTTTATCAGGCATTTTGTGTGTTCTTATCTCATTTTTTATGTGTTTCAAGAAATATTCTGATTGAAGAGTTTCATTTCATCATATGAATGTCATGATGTCTTATTGTTGGGTTTCTTAAGACCAGAAAGAGTATCAGATTGAATTGATTTATTCTCTAGCTAAGCAGTTAAGCTGCGAGCATATATTCAAAAAAATGAAGGAATAGGTTGGGTATTCGGCCTTCGGAATTAAAGTGCTTTGAAATCAAAATATTGAAAGCAAACAAACAGTATACCAAAAAGGAAAGAATGAATTAAAAGTTGAGTTTTGTTTGCTCCTTATATGCATATGTACTATATATGCATATGCTGCCAAGATCCCAGGAGGTCAACACTTATCTTCACGTGTACCGAGTTTCCCCCTCCTTAGCCTCATTGTCACGTATCAGCTTACTATTTGTCTCTGCCTGGGGTCAACTTTTTCGGTTAAGTTGAGCTGAATTCGTTGCTCTCGCGAAAAACATTTCTTATTCTTCCGCTCAGTAAACAATCTATATATATGACACCTTATCCACTGAGTATAGGAAATACGCAAAACTACTAACTGCCACATAGCGACTTTGATCCCCAGGCTGAGCGGCGCGAAAATGCGTCTACTCAACGTTCACACTCGTCAACTGGAGGAATTTTTCAGCACAAATATTTCCAAGTATGCAATTTTGTCTCATACTTGGGGCGATGAAGAGGTGCTTTTCCAAGATCTCTCCAATCCTATACACAAAACCAAGAAAGGTTACGAAAAGATTGAAGGTTGTTGTCAACAGGCAATCCTCCATCAATTTGAATTTTTTTGGATTGATACGTGTTGTATAGACAAAAATAGCAGTGCCGAGTTGTCTGAACCAATTAACTCGATGTACGCTTGGTACGAAGGTGCTGGAATGTGTTATGTCTACCCGACAGATTTTCCGCCTGACGAAGATCCACATGAAAGCGACTCGGCATTTCGAAAAAGTCGTTGGTTTACTCGAGGATGGACATTTCAAGAATTGCTTGCGCCTAGGCAGGTTCTTTTTCTCGATAGAAGATGGAACTTGGTTCTCAACTTTTCAGAAGGCTACCAAAAAACGAGTGGGCATACGCGGTAAATGATATCTCTCTACTCAAAGATATCACCGGCATTGAAAATATTTACCTTCGCCTTAAAGCTGAGATCCGTAACGCACCAGCTAGTCTTAAATTCTCATGGGCTGCTATGCGAGAAACTTCTCGTCCGGAGGACCTTGCCTACTGTATGCTAGGTCTATTGCAAGTCAACATGCCGCTACTATATGGAGAGGGAGAAAACGCTTTTCGACGCCTACAAGAAGAAGTGTTCAAACGACGACAGGATCTCAGTATCCTTGCTTGGGGCTTTGATATGACTTGGCAGGAAATCAAGGAGCAATCCAGCTTCAAAGGATTACTCTTGTCTGGTCCTTTTGCGCCGTCAATCCGAAATTATAAAAGATTCCCTAAATCTTGTAACAAAAATATAAAATTCTTCGAACCCACTACCCATTCCATGATCACTAACTTGGGTTTGAACATAAGCTTGCCTCTGATGTGTATTGACTCGTCACTGGGTATTTACCTTGCGTTCATCAGTGTTTGGGGAGAGGCAGATTCAGAAGCATTTGCACTGCCTTTACTGAAGAGAGATAAGGGAGATGACAGCCAAATTTTTGAACATATTCCTGGTAGTCCACATTTAATCTCGTTACGGGAGGGTACAATCCGGCGCAAAACTCAATTGAAAACGATCTATCTTATTGAGTCTCGAGCCGTGTTTCCGGTCTGGAGCCGCCCCAAACAGAGATTATTTCTTAGTGAAAATCTACGACACAGAGCGATTGTCATAATTAATCACGAGCAGATAGACGAGGCCGGATTTGAAGTGAGCAATGTCTTTCCGCCTCCAATTTATTATTCGAGCCCAACTTTGAAATGGAGGGTTCTACCAGGCTATTTTGAAATCATCATGATTTTCTCTAGAGCGTTGTCCGATTGTTGCATCGTCCGCATTCAGGGCCGCTCCACGGACAGAGGTAAGACCGCAGTGCCTCAGATATCGATTGCCTGCTGTGAGTCATCGTCATTTGCATTGAAATATGTGAATAACAGTCGATGGCGAAACCCTCTTGCTATGATTGAACGGCCATGGATTGTGGAAAGGTTGAAATGGAGATCTGAGGTTAGCTTCGAGCCTATTCCAAGGAAAGCGCCTGTGCGGGCTTCGATTGAAATGGAGATGATCGATGTGCAGTTTCACTTTTATATAATTTAGAGTCTCATACTGGAACTGAAGATTAGAGGCTGGGGTTTGCTTACCCTACTCTAATTTTTCTGCACGTGTTTATTTAGGAAAAATATCTAATAGGACAATTGACTCTGGTCACCTGGGATATAAATGTGCCTTTTGCCTTCTTGGGATAATGGGACTGAAGATGAGATGGTGGCCAGTTCACTTTGATAGTAAAGATGAGAGATAAAAAAACGACGCATTCATCCTCGTGAGTGAGACAGGTGTAGGATATCGACTGGCTACGGAGAACTTGACAACGCTGAAGAAATGCTCAATACATTTAGCGGTCGAATATAGGACATTACTCGCATCGGAAGTGACGCAATTTTGGCGATTGACTGATGTATAGAAAAGGCAGTAAAGGGGATGTTGAACTTAACTGTCGGGCTATGGTCCATCTACAGCGCGCTCTTTTATATTGGAATATTAGATCGATACCGATGTAGATTCGAATTAATTGAAGGGTGCTTTGTAGAGGCGCAGAATATCTGGCCGAAGGATAATCACGTCGGGTTCCACCGTTCAACGCTGGAATCCTATACAAGTTGAAGCGTGTTGTCGTAAAGTTGACTGGGAAAGTTTGAAGAATCAATGTATGTTACCTGCAGACACACCAGATAGTTGAGATCTGTTATCTTTGGATCTCCAATTCTAACATTCTTCTTTTGCAGCAAACACATTGAACATTTCATTAAAGTGTCTGGATTAATATCCCACAGATATGCGACGCTAGTCGAACACAATCGCAACCTACTCAAGCTCTTTGAAGTCCTATTTCAAAATGGAGATAGTAGCACGGAGTTACGGAACAAAGACTGTGTCATATATAAAGATGAAGATGAAAAAGCCAGATGTGGTTGAATCAGACGCAGAGGCTACTTAAGATGATCTAATTCCAATTTATGGGAAACAGAATACCCTTGTACATATGCTGTAATGCAAGCAAATAGGTTGGATGAAGCAGAGGATTATATATGATAACAAGGCCATAAGCCGTAGATTTTTTGATTAGCTATTTAGGATTACTATATTAGTAACCTACGGCAAACTAAGCGCTGTAAGGATACTCCCTTTTATAACTCTCCAACTTCTGATGCTCTAATCTTCAAGTTCTCATAACTTTATTCTATAGTTATAAAACTGCCTAAGTCTAGCGATTCTAATATTTCCCTATAAGTAGATAGAAAAGCATAATAAAAGCTTAGATCTAAATCTAAATCTAAATCTAAATCTAAATCTAAATCTAAATCTGAATATATAGCGGCGTTATTACCCCACGTCGTGATCAATTCTATCAACTAAAATGATATCGATCAATGGCATAAATCATCCATAATTAGCTAAACCATTCCAACCACAAACTGCTCATGCAATAACCTTAACGCAGGAGAATCTCCATGTAAGATTACACTGGTCTCACGCAGAAGACCACACAAATAGTGCACTAATTCCATCGATCTCATTGATCTCGGTAGAGATCCGTACATCCTAGTAAACTAGCGCCTGATATTGTAATCTCACCATTGCAAAGCCACACCGAATTTCAGAAGTTGGAATTTCTGGATCATCCCGGGGAGAGCATACGTATATCTGACTCGACCCTACAAAAGAAGGAATTAGATCTTCTGACAACCAGACCAGCGATGGAGAAGTGAAGAGATTCTCGGTAAGACTAGCTAGAAAGAGCGGAATTTAACTTTCGCATTGCGAATATTTACTTTACGGGAATAAATGAGCTGATTGGGAGTGAAGTTGGATTATCGGGAGATACCACAAAATGGTTCATATATCTCTTAATAGTATTGATCCTGTAATGGGAAAGGACTTCTATGATATTGAAAGAATGGTTGTGATATAAAGACGATGCTTGTATAGCATGGTCAAAGTCTAGATGGGAAATCAGAGTATCAAACCACTTGATTTTGATTCGCGGGCCTTGTAGAGGGACGTTGAGGCATAACATAGACTCGGCGTCAATATCAAAATCCTCATCCTCTGATCAACATCCATGGTATTTTACAAATAAATCATCTACCTATACGCCATTGCTATGCATTAATTTAGAGACCAACGCTCAAAATATCCTACGCCCTCATGATATGAAATTTTATGGTCTCCTCCATCAAACATTTCCGCGTCAGTTCCATTTATATCATCTTTCATCCCGCTCTCATCCACGAACATGACCCGAATGAGGAAATTCATCCTCCAACTTCAATCTTACCAAAACATTCATACTGAGCATTTCCTGCACCAACAATTTAGCCGCATACGGCATCGTCATAGTCGAAACCCCCTTTGAACTCTTGCAAGTTTGACACCAACCCGAATATCCCATCAGACCACACGTCTCACAAATATCCACCTCGTGAGCATCACTACTGAGCATAAGTCTCTCGAGTAATAATTGACTTGCACCATACGCGATAAGACAATCTCTCTCCATCTCTCCCAAACGAAGACCACCATCTCTAGATCTACCCTCTGTTGGTTGACGTGTGAGAATCGCACGAGGACCGCGAGATCTAGAATGCATTTTATCTTGAACCATGTGCTTGAGCTTTTGATAGTAGATTGGACCGAAGAAGACGTAGGCTGGTAGAGATTCTCCAGTGATACCACTTGTGACGAAATCTTTACCCGAGTAACTAAATCCTTTGTCGATTAAAATCTTGCCCATAACATCGACATTACTACCTCCAAAACAGGTACCGTATTCAAGAGAGCCATTAACAACACCGGCTTTTCCTGAAAGTAGCTCCAACATTTTACCAACCGTCATACGAGATGGGAAACCGTGAGGATTCATAATAATATCAGGAGTAACTCCAGAATCGGCGAACGGCATATCTTCTTGATTGACAATGATACCCACAACACCTTTTTGACCATGGCGAGATGAAAATTTATCTCCTAGCTCAGGTCTTCTAGTTTGTCGGGTTTGAACTTTGAGGACTGTGCTTTCATTCTCTGTTTGTGAGAGCATGACCTTATCGATGTAAGCATAATCGTGTAGTTTGTAACCCATTGGTGCAGGTTTCATATCATTTGAACCATAGTCATTGCCCATTCCGGATGAATTTGGATTTGAAGGAGATTCCTTATTCAGATAAGTCTCGCCAGCATTAATTCTCTCACCGACCATGGCAATTCCATCAACTCCTAGAATCCTATGTTTTGCAATAGGTTTACCATTCTCGCCAACCTGCCTATCGGCAATACGATCTTGAGACCGATTAGGGTATTTCTTCAATTGTGTCGAGTATTTACGGAACACCTGGCAACGTCCAAATCCACGATCACAGGAGGCTTTATTGAGAACGAGAGCATCCTCAATATCGTAACCTGAAAATGACATGACAGCAACCGTTGCGTTTTGACCAGCTGGAAGTTTATCGTACTTGATTAATTCTATCGTGCGAGTCTTAACCATAGGTTGTTGTGGATAGACCATAAGATAAAGTAAAGTGTCAATACGAGAAAATTGATTATATGCAATAGCTCCAATAGCTTGCTTACCCATAGCACATTGATATGTGTTTCTGGGGGATTGATTGTGATGAGGATAAGGGATAAGACCTGCCACTGCTCCTAGGACGGTAAAAGGTTCAATCTCAAGATGTGTCGTCGCTTCGTTGATATAGTTTTCTCTAATGGCAATATTAGAATCGTTCTCCTCATTACAGTCAACATATTCGAGAAGTCCTTTATATAAGAAATCGTCGAAATCCATCGTTCCCTTTCTCAGCTCTTCGAGATGGCGTTTCGTGACCTTTGGTTTTTGGTTCTCCACAATGATTAGAGGCCTACAAATTCGACCTTCATCTGTAGCAATGTGGACGGATGTGCTGTGATGGTTGATAAAAATGCTGATATACTCCGAAATACGACCCATGCGTCGAAATTTTCGAAAGGAGTTGAGAAACTTTTTGGGTTGTCGAGTAAGGGCAAGAGGTGTTCCATTAACGAAGATGACATACGCTCCCTTCTCATAAATTTCTTTTCCGCTCATGGAAACAATGTCTTCTGCACCAAGAACGAAAGTTAATTTTTTAACCGGTTCCTCATCATCATACGTAGTAATATGAGTCATGAGTGCTAAATTCTTGACCAGTCCACAAGCCTCTCCCTCAGGAGTATCGGATGTGCAAAGCATGCCAAATTGCGAAGGTTGTAAAGCTCTCGGTCCACTGACTTTCCTGGTCTTCTCGAACTGACTGCTAATTCTGGTCATCATTCCAAGAGCACTGATATAGCTGAGTCTACTCAGGACGTGAGTAACACCTGCCCGTTCCATCTTGAACCGTTTCAAACTCCAATTTCCTGTGGATATAGCACGGTTCATACCAATGGTGATGTAATTACCGTGAGATTGCATATGATTGTACGCATCAAACTCCATACCCCTATTAGGCTTTTTCAAAACTTTATCGATATTCATCTTCAGATCAGTGTTGAACTTCTTGAATAAATCCTCAAAAAGCAAAGATAGAAGTTGCCCAGCAAGTTCCAAGCGTTTGTTACCAACATAATCTCGATCATCAACAAGCTTGGGATTTACCATCGCCATGAGAACTCGACGAACCATAAAACAAATATAGAGTGCCTTCGGGCGGAAGTCTAGCCCAACGACCGGAACATGTGTAATTATGATATTTGCGAGGGCTTCTAGAGCGTCACCAATATAATTGCGACGCTGGGGCCCTCCTCCTGGTGCTCTTGCCCGGCTACCCATTTTTACACGAGCTCCAATATATTCAAGAGCTTGATGTTGAGTATGGACACCGAGCTTAGTGGCTTCTTCGAAATTTACTGAAAATTCGTCTTGGTATCTCTCATCAGATCCAGCGACCAAAAGTAATAATTCGTGATCTGACTGTATTCCCATGGCCTTTAGTACAATCACGATTGGTAATGCTTCTTGCAGGATGTTGTGCTGAAGAGAGATTCGTTCCTTTTTAAGCATTACATAACTTTTCGATTTGCGCTCGTGCGTAGAACTGTTGAGGGTTAGCAATGACACGGATGTACGGGAAATACAATCTGACCTAGTAACGGAAGCAGAAACAATCCCCTTCTTTGGGTCTGCTTCGATAATGACTCTGTTCTTGCTGAGTTGTTCCTGAACAAGGATGACCTTTTCTGTCCCATTGACAACGAAGTAGCCGCCAGGATCCAAAGCACACTCATTCATATGAGCCATTTGGCGATCATTCTTCCCATTCAGCCGACACTTGGAACTTTTTAACATGATAGGCATTCTGCCAATCGCGATATTCTTCCTAGCTACAATAGTTCTCCCTCGCATGTATTTGATGTCGACTCTAATTGGCGCCGCATAGGTCATATCACGAAGGCGACATTCGTTCGGTGTAATTTCGTTTTGCGGTTTGCGATCATCATAGTCCATTCGTTCGGGTTCACCAACACGAATATCGGTATACCTACCAACTGTCAGTGAATACACACATATCTTTGCGATAAGTTTCAACTGACTCCAACCAGAATTTAGGGTCTACCTCACTGGTAACTCTTTTGTTTGCCTTAACAATATCCTTGATTTCGTGCTCGACAAAGTAGTTGAAGGAGTCAATGTGCTGTTTGACAAGACCTTTAACTTTCAAGAAAGCCGGTACCAGATTCCATTTATCCTAAGGTGCATTAGAGAATGTGCTAGAAAGTCTTCGAGGGCTTTTTACCTTCGCTGTACTGATCGGATCCGTCAAACTCTTCCCATCATAGAATGGCTCGAGTAAGGCGGCAAAGCCCTAGAGTAATTGTCAATGCAAGCTCCAGAACGGAGTGAGAAGCACCTTTACATCATCATCTCGTTTGGGCGCAGGTCCTACAACCGTAGCTTGTCTTGTTTTTGTCGCTCTCTTGCGTTTTGGATTCTCGGGTTCTATCGAAGGTCCATCGCCTTCATGCGCAGATTCTTGAGCCTAGATTTGGAGTAAGTTGTCCGCCATAATAATTCGAACGGGTTCACTTACCTTTTTCACAGAGCTTGCTTCAACTGTAGCTTCTACCGGCCCAGCAACTCTCTTCTTAGGAGGCATCTTTAATTGATGAGGGTGTGCATCAACAAGATTCAGTCGGTGGATTCAAAAATTAAAATTATTAGGTTGGTTAGTTACAAAGTTATCGGTCAAAGTTTATTTTACGCCGAATACCCCGCGAGCTAGAGCCAATTATTTGATAACGCTAAGGTGTGGACCATGCAAGGCTACCAGGCTGATGGTACGCTACTCAGCCTTGTATCTCCATAACTTCTTTGGAACAATCATCATCACGATAACGGGTTCACAGCCAATACCTAGTGAACGTTACCTACCTAGTATATCTAGATAGAAATACCGAGCAGCCTTTGCAAATTCAACTGGTTTCGAATGAAGTTGAAACTGATAAAGCGTTTGTACAACTTTTCAATTCCTTTACAGAAATGAGTCTAGATTCATGATTCATCCTTATTTGCACTACTGTATCTGCAAGGCACAGCTACAGTAGTTCTATGGCTTTTTGCTTCCTAAAATGCTTTGCTCGCATCAACAGACACTCTTTTTCCCAGATTTCTAAATTTGGGACGTATGCTTCACCGCCAGATTTGATATTTTTTTGGGCTCTCTATCATTTGCACGCCACAGAACAAGAACCCCACTCTCGGTCACTCAGAATTCAATGTCGTGACGACTTGAATGGTAAATGAGGAGATTTGACTTAGCATGTCAGTCCCATGGGAAAAGTAACAATGATTTAGAAATAGTTTCCTATAGTCTCTTTTCCAAAGCTGTTTTTAATGCTCCCGAGAGAGAGAGAGACACTAACGTCATTGAGTTGCAGTTGAGTTTCTGTTTGATTCGAGGATCCGTAGTCGCATGCAGAAGATCGTGACCAAAATTGATTGGAGACGCATTATATAGGTTTGGTACTCCACAGTTAAAACTTTGCCACTGGTAGCTTGCGAATCATTTAGGAGTGGAATTTCAAAGGTCTTAAAGAGGCAAATTTGTGATTGTTCCTGCGAACAATTGTGGATTCACAATTCTACGGATGCTTAAGCTGCATACTTAGGTGCTGAAGTACAGTACTTCAAGTACATGATGGGTTAACAGTCGATCCGGATGAGATCATTAGACATCGATGAAAAAATGGAAAGAATTCGGATATGTGCAGTATGTTTTGGCTCAAATTGAGAAAAGGTTCCAGAGGCTAATAGGGTTAGGGTCTTTTTACAGGTTGAAGAGAGAAGCCAGAACACCCCGAGGATGGAGGATGGAGACCGGGGGATGGCTGTCAATGTTTCATCAACGCCCCGCCTCAAAGTAGTATCGAAAGTATCTGAGATTAGGGATCATGGCGCCCCGTGATTACCTAGGGATTTCCTCATTTTTGCTGGATTGCACGAGAATGCGATATGTCGCATTCACATTCACGCCTCATTAATATTTCCAAAGCTCACCGTTACCATTGGGAATTGATGTCAGGTAAGTTGGGCAAAGAATGCTTTGATCCTGCCAGTGCCTGCCAGCTGTACGGAAGTTGCTGCATGTTACTGAGAGTTTATAATCCCTGCTTGATTGGCCAGAACAACAAACTATTACCCCTCGAATCACTTCGAATCAGGGTCCATCTTAGCAGTTATTAATGTGGGAGGTGGTGAGAAGGAAACAAAAAAGGGGAAATACTCAAATGATAATATATCAAAGTGTTTTATATCTAAATCACATATATGCAGTTCTAAACAGAAGCAAATCCAGTTGATATAATCCGAGTTCGCCGACTTCAAGTACTCTCGTTTGTTATCGAGTTGTAAATTGAGTGTACTGATCATACTCGGTTGGGTGCAGACATCAAGGGAAGGGAGCGAGTTTGACACTTTGCCAATAGCTTTCTACCTATCACCGACGTATCTCAATTTGCCGCAACTTCTTTTTTGTAGAATTGATTTGACTCGAAAAATGCAATAATATGTATCTGAATCTATCATATCCTAATAACCTAGAGAGAACCAGACTTCCGCTATACCCATAAAAATCTTAGATATCTTGTAAGCATCAATCCTTTGGGCACGTCCACACACCTTAGCGTGGTAGCGTCTAAGGTTATCCTCGTTTAGCGCCATCAACCTCCCAACTTCAATATACACTCATTTTGACACAACATTTCGTTTCCCGCGCCTGGATGTCCAGGACGAGGAGGATTTTTTTGGATTGTTTTCATATATTGTAGGTGAGTAAAATTGTGAAGTATATGGGTGATTTATTCTCAATATGGTCGCGCATCTCACCCCACGTCAAAACCTCACTCCAGCCAGCCTTCAATTGCGCATTTCCAAGTCTGACCGATCACAGTCATATAGATAATCATTATGGCATATTCGAATAGCACTAGTGATCGAATGGACGAGCTACGATTTCGCAGCCAGCAGACTTCGAGGAATGATGCTTCTATGCTCGGCCTTGTTTCTCCTCCGCGAAATGGCAACCGAATGTCACAATCATTTCAACAGCAAGAGAGCCGTGGAGGATTGACTAGAAGATTCACCACTGATTCAGGGAGAGTGCCAACAATCGCTTCTATTTCCAACCAGCGCAGCACGCAGGAAACTCAAGAATACGGTCCTTCAGTAAGCCAATCGAATTTGCCTATTCGATCACAACTGCTATTGTCTTGCAATGGTTCTATTCTCATTCCTGAGCCATTGTAAATCCCATTTCACGCTGTAGCATTTACTGACTTTTTCTTTTACACTAGACCTACCATAAAGTACAGCTGGTAAGCGATTGTTTTTCTTGAACTACCACGCCATTCTACTGCCAGCCGCCTCTTCTAGAAAAAAGCAAAATTGCATATTCTCTTCAATGCAAAGGGCTCCTTAATATCTCCCAATTTTCAACCAGTATATCAAGAACTGACACTGCTATCAGTTAGAGAAAAAGAAAATCGAGTACGAGCGACTCCGTGAACAAAAAAGACGCTTCGAGGCGGAGATGCAATTGTTGGACTTACAACAACGAAGAGAAGAACAAGAATTACAGCAAATGCAAGAAGACCTTGGTAGATCAAGTAACAATAATAACAACGCCGGCCACCAATCAGAACCAACAACACCACCAGAATATAGGGAATCTTCATCAGGGTTTCCTTCAGCATTTTCTCGTCCCAACAGATATTCGACATCTAGTATTACCTCTCCTCCAGGTCTTTACAATCGCCCTGGAAGATCTGGCTCCCAACTCACATCGCCAAAATCTGGAATCATGCAATCCAGACTCGTAATTGATGATAAGCTACCCTCGAAGTCCGTGCCAGGCTCGCGCCGCAATTCAGATGAAGATGAGAAGGAAGAAGCAGTAAGGCAAGACCCGACCAGCCATCGTTCTACCAATGCGTACGTATTGAGATTTTACTTACACTCTGATATGAACATATATTTCCCGCACATTGCCATCAAACATGCTTGGGGCTTAGTTTTACATTCACTACAAGCTTCTGCCTAGAAGACAATAAGAAGACCCCGTCCAATCTTCCAAGTTCATTCACTGGACAAGTACATGTTTATGGGGGTTGTGGTTTGCTTCTTCATCTCTAGGTATGCCAGTGGCTAGCTTCTGCCTCAACATAACATCCATTCGAGTTTACGCCTATCTACTGCTCAAAGCAGAGCAGCACTTGCACTTCAGTTTTGAGTTCATTCCCCATGCAGATTGGAGCTGCTTGTGCTCGAGACACGGCAACTTTCAGAAATTTTAAAATTTTTGTTCTTGGGAAAGTTCTTAAAAGACAACATTCTTACCTTTTATCTTTCTGATGATTCCTTCTGGTCTTTACAATGCAAAGGTGAAAATATATTGAATCGAAAGAGGTTGTGGGTATATCCAAATTGTCTCGCTTCCTTCCGCTTTGACCTCAATATACCTTCCAAATCACCTCACCACCTTCAATATCTGCCGATATATTCAATCTATTGGATTGAACAGGAGTGATCCGATTGATCTAACTGCATATTTGCTATTGTCTTTTACCTCAACAATACGCTCGGCCACTAATGCCATCGTCCTACCAACCCTTCTTCTTCCTCAACTATTCCTCAACTCTCCATCTTCAACCTTTAAGCTTACAACCTTTTAATTTCCGATCCTTAAAACTTCCTTATTGCTTGCTGGACAAGGCTTCACTTCAGAGGAAACCCAAATCGATATTATTTCTTTTCAATATCCTCAATATCCTCAACATACTTCCCATTTATTTATTTCTCCGTGTTTGATCCCGGCCAGCCTTACTTTCTGCCCTTTCGGCTTGGACCCACAAGACTCGAATCAAGCACACTCTTGCTAATACACCCCAAGTCTTAACAGATATTCTATGCCAGTTACTAAGTCTCGCAACGGTATGCACGACATGTTGTCCCTTGACCAAACCAACACCACTCGTTTTCTCTTCGGTGAAGATGAAAATGCGGCACCCGGAAGCGTTGACAAGTATTTGAATATGAATGCTACTGATGACAAATTTCCAATTCTTGTTCGTCGTGACGAGTATCCCGGTTTGGTAAGCAAAAAAAAAACAATTAAAAAAATTCACTCGTCTATGCTGACCGCTCTATGCAGCTTTCCGCTTCTTCTGCCGCTCTTGACTTAGCTTTATCTCAATCACCTGCACCAGAATCCAACTCAAATAGTTGGGGTTCGTTTGCTCGTCATCGACCAAATCAACAAAGTCTTCCAATGAATAGCCTTCAGTCATCTCAACAAGTCGCAACAGCTGTGACTCAATCTAGCTCTGCGGAGTCTCCCATCAGTGTCCGCCCGTCGTACCGTCATTCCTTGGATTTGAAGTTCTTTGAAGGCCCGCAGGAGGGCAGTGCTCAGGTAGCCTCTCCATCAAAGCATATCCAAGCCACACCGCCTAAACTTCAATCATCCTATTCTGCCAACGACGTTCCGACAGTTCGCGCAGGGACGAACGGCATGCAAAGCAACAATAATACTCCTAATTCGCACGCTCAACAACACTTGCACAATCATAATGCTAGCTTGGGCCGCATTCCACCAAACGCTATGAACAGACTTAGTCGTGAGATGACTTCTGGGGACAATGGTAGTCTGCGTGAGGCTCAGAATGGTGGCTATCAGTCGATCCAGTCTGCATTGCAAGCCAGTGCTGCGCCATTCGGTCCAGCTTTGACACAGGGTATGCCACAAGGCATGTCGCAAGCTCAAATGTCGCCATCTGTATCCTCTCCTACTGGCCAACAAAACTACCCTGCACAAGTTCCTCCCTTCTACAATAATTATGGCATGCACATGATGAGCTTGGGAATGCAGAACATGCAACTTAGCCAACCAATGTATCCTCCTCCAAACTCTTACAACAATTACAACAATTCCATGTATCAACACAATGGTGGACAAAGAGATAGTCAGGCACGAGTCATTCAACAACGCCGTCAAAATGACGGCGAAGGTAAGCTACTGAGTACCCTGAAATTGGAGCAAGCTAACATACCTCACAGCAATGAATCGTTTTGCAAACCTAGCTCTGGAGCAACTTGGTGGTGAGATCTACGCACTTTGCAAGGATCAACATGGTTGCCGCTACCTGCAGAAGAAGTTAGAAGACCGCAATCCCGAGCAAGTTCACATGATCTGGCTCGAGACAAATCAGCATGTCATTGAGCTCATGACCGACCCTTTCGGCAACTATCTTTGTCAAAAGTTGCTTGAGTACTGCAACGATGAAGAGCGCACTGTCCTGATTGAAAATGCTTCTCATGATCTGGTCCGCATTGCCTTAAACCAGCATGGAACACGAGCCCTCCAGAAAATGATCGAGTTTATTTCCACACCAGGACAGGTTCAAACCATCATTGGCGCCTTGCGATTCCGTGTCGTCGAACTCATTCAGGACTTAAATGGTAACCATGTTATTCAGAAGTGTCTCAACAAACTCTCTCCGACAGATGCTCAATTCATTTTTGATGCTGTTGGACAACACTGCGTTGACGTCGGAACTCATAGACATGGCTGTTGCGTCCTTCAACGATGCATTGATCATGCTTCTGGCGACCAAAAGGCTTGGTTGATCAGACAGATTTCGAACAACGCCTATGTATTAGTTCAGGATCCTTTTGGTAATTATGTGGTGCAATACATTCTCGATCTCAACGAACCAATCTTCACTGAGCCTTTGGTTGCTATGTTCGGAGGACGAGTCGCCCAATTGTCGAAGCAGAAGTTTAGCTCAAACGTCATTGAAAAGTGTCTTCGATGTGCTCAGGAACCTTCAAAAGACATGTTGATTGAGGAAATGCTTCAACCAAATCAGCTTGACAGTCTATTGCGGGATTCATTCGCCAACTATGTCATCCAGACTGCCTTGGACTACGCCAATCCGAACATGAAGACGCGTCTCATTGAGGCTATCCGACCCCACCTACCAGCTATCCGCACCACACCTTATGGTCGCCGTATCCAAGCTAAGATCCAGGGTAATGAAAACCGAGGCAATACTTCTACTGGACCCACCACTCCTAATGATAACGAAACTGGTCAGCTTGCTAATCGTCACCAGCGTGGCATGTCCAATGCATCAACTGGTCCTTTTGTTAGCTCCCCAGGAGGATTTCCAAATGGCATCGGACCTACGCCCATCACCAATGGTTTGCCTCTCCCCGCAATCCGATCTTCAGCTCAGCAAGGATCTGGCTTTCCACCAAACGATCGCCTTGCTTCGCCTGCCGCTGCTCATCCATACAATTATGGTAGAGCTGGAGCGCATCCTGGCGCACAACCTGGAGCAGGTAGTGACTGGTTTTAACCCGGAAGTTTTAATCTTAAATTCGGTTGAATTTCGGCATGACGATACGATTTCAACGCTTGTAACGGTACGAGGAACGATATTCATTTTCGAATCAGTTGGTGTGACAGTTTCGTTTAGCATTTATTCATAATGGGATCTTTTCCGAGATTTCTAGTGTTGAATATAAGCTATCTGGGCAGTTCATCTTCTATGGTTGTATTCACAAACGATTTTCACGGCCCTTTGTTGTTACATTAGCATCATTTTAGAGGTATTGCATCCCTGCATGCCTGTTTCTTTTCTATTTCAGTTGGCGATAACATGCATCATGGAAACGAATTTTCCTGCGAGTCTTCAGCCTTTTTGTACCATAGCAGCTCGATCAAAAAAAGATCTTAGCACGATTCAATATGATACCTTCTATCTCTAGCGCAGGGTACAATATGAGCGACTGCGCAGCTCGCCTTGTACCTGCATCGGCAATGACAATAGACTCGATTTTCCTTGTTCTTTAATTTCTTTGCGGTGGACTTTTGGGTCTCGTTACTCTTTGGCATGTCAAATGGTTTTTTCACTCGATAGTCATGAGCAGACATCTTGTGCCTACACCTTCTGCACTCTCTTCCCTGCATCGTTTCTCTGATAGGAAAAAGCCTCTTCTTGTAACTTCCGAGGCTGCATTTTCTTTAGCTAGCTTGACGTATGTTATGCATCGTCTGTTTCCACTTCGGCAAAAATGTGCTTCACCGCATTTTCTGGTGGGTAAATGGACCATCTTCAGCTTCTAAAGATATTCTGACATTATTATTTCTTTCCTACTTTTGTGGTCATGGGCTCTAACTGCGAGGCAGCAAACTGTAACTAGAAAAGCAATGAGAAATGAAAATCCCTCAAATACACCCTGTACTTTCCAGTGACATCCTACAATAGATATAACCCAGTAAAGCCCTAAATTACCAACCCATAATCCTCGATATGTCCTTTTTTCCTAACAAGAAGCTTGAAGTAGTCAATGATGCTGTGATGTGTCACGTGAAACTTGAAGTTGATAGATTTTTTGCCGAGTTACTAGTGGGGTTGCTTTTTCTGCACAAACATTTCCCCAGAGCCATATATACCTTATATACCTTGGATTAATTATGTATTTGCAAAAGAACTGAGGCTGAATAATTAATGGTATACTAAAAAAGTGTGTCAGGTTGTCTTAGAATAAAAATGAATAGAGATCTCACTAGCAAGAAGGCTGGGGCTTCAACTAGTACATCAGGTGGTCTCATTCCTCTCAAAACTACGTTAGAAACAAGGGCTCGAGATTCATTGCTTAGTGTTTACATTACAAGCGTTCCAGCAAAAAAAGCTAGTAATGTTCTTAAGTAAGTGTGAGATCTCATTCTGTTGATTTACACATCTAATCATACTTTCCTAGTTTGACACGAAAACTTCTTCCTGAAGATGGTGGCTATGATTTACAGCACATCAGGAGATTTGCGAAACAAACGGATGTCCCAGATCATGTTCGTACTTCTTTGCTAGCAGTGAGAACAGATAGCCAAGCAGATGCGGATCTCTCCGAGCTTTTTCTGCTTGTGGGAGCTACGAATCTTATCAGCTCGGAAGAATTGCAAAGTGCTCTTTCTCCCATTTTGTATCCAATAACCATTTGTTCCATCAAAGTACCCTTGTTAGCACCAACTTCTCAAGAGCAAGCCAAATCCTGGTCATCTCAATACTGGCCCATAGTATATAAGAAAAGCAATCCATTTGGTCCTCATCCAGCTATTGTGTCCAGAGCCGAGGAAGAAATACAGAGCGAAGTTCAGAAGTGGATGGACTTGGCGGCCGAAGTAGCTCATTTATCGAGCACTGCAGGTTTAGGGGAGCAAATTGGTGCTGTGATTGTCGAACGAAAGAATGGAGTTGCGCGTACACTTGCGCTTGCTGGTGACGCTAGATGGATGAATTGGCCACGTGTTGGGTCCGGAAATGTTACTGCACATGCAGCCCTGCGAGCTATCGCAATGGTAGCAGATGGAATAAAGATCCAAGAGGAAAAGAAAGCTGGCACAGAATCAGAAGAGGGTACTTCAAACGAGCAGATGATCTTCCGAGATCAACCTTTGGACACGCTAGAGGCAAAGCACCACAAATCGGCTGAATGGGTCGATGGATATCTTTGTCACGAGCTGGAGCTTTACATGACACATGAACCGTGTGTTATGTGTTCCATGGCTATTGTCCATTCTCGTTTTGGACGAGTGGTATTTGGACACCGTATGCCGAAGACTGGTGGCCTCTGTGCAGACAGTGAGCTTGGACACGGTCTATTCTGGCGGAAGGAGTTGAATTGGTCTTTGCTGGCCTGGCAATGGATTTCCAATGGAGACGAAATCGAAACATCTAAAGAATCACAAAATCTACTGCCGCATACGAATGTACATGCCTAAGCATTTGAGAAGGCTGCAAGGAATAATTGGTGCGCCTCGAACGACGGGTGGGACTTGCCATAGAACTACAATTTTGCCGTTGTGGATGGGAAAGACACATTGTCTCATGAAAATTCAAGATTGACATGGCTCCGTGTTTCAATGTTAGTCGATAGTTGACTAGCCATACTGTTCCAGCTGATTCCAGTAAACCTTAAAGACTTACTGGATTTGTATATGCCAGCAAGCATGTACAATTCAGCTGCTGGTGATATTAAGGAGCACATTGGCTCGATTGTTGGAAACCCAACTTCAGCCAATTTCTAGGTGTGGTAGTGGCAAGGCTGACTGCACAAACGAAAGGGAAAAGCACTGTTATATTTAAAGACGTTGGTATGCGCAGCTCGTCCTGTCTAAACCCCTGTTGGAAGAACGTGCTTCATTTCAAGCTCCCCTTTCATCACCTGCTAGACACCGAAAATTCCTTCTATGGAAGATTCAAATGGTATCTATGCCAAGAGTTTTCCGTATCTGCGGTACGGTGGCGCAGATTGTTATTGCTAATATGGGGTGATCATGTATCTCATGTACTGTGATTTGAGAGTACATTGCGGACGGAGCAACTTCGCTTCATAACGGAATATTATGGCGCTTCCACACTTCTTATAGCTGGCATGACATAGCTGCTGCCTTCGTAATTCAACATAACCTATGTTTCTGGGCCACATAGCAATTAAACTAAATAATCAATAAAAATCTAGAATTAGTTCCGAAGATTCAAAATTTGGTACGATGTCGTTGGTGGTAACACTACGAAAGTTCTTAAGCGAATCAATACAACCACTCACGAATTCGAGGGATTTCGATATTAAAGCCGCTGTAAGACAGGTTACAGGGCCTGATTGGAGAAAATTGGTCAATCTTGTACCGAAACGTGTTGATCTCACAACTTCTGATTCGCCTATCTCTATTCTTCAATATCAGTCTCGTCACTGCGGCCATCAAATCCAATAATCTCGCCGTCCCTCCTGAAGCCCGTTTCTATAGCGTAGTATATAATTTGTTGATATAGCATGTATCGCACCACCAAATTTACTACGCCGCAACACAGACATGAAGCCACTACATACAGTGATTTATTTCCTGATTAAAATACCTAATGAGAGATAAATTTGGTCAACATTTTAATGTTACCCAATAGCTTGGCTACCATCTATTCAACGCTTGATAAAGCTGAGTGTCCTCGTGGGCATTCACAATGCATCCCAACCTCAAGCTACTTGAAGAATAAAAGTGCTATAAGACAAGCATAGAGGACGAAAATCTCTAGTACTATAATCACCAAAAGATGACGAATACTGAGCAATCGAGAGAAGCTGAACCCAAGCCATTGATTCCCGTTGTCCTTCATACAACATCAGGTGGAAACGCTGTTTGGCACAATTTCCACAATGACTTCGCTCACATCCAAGATCCTAATGAGCGACGAAGACTCGCTCTAGCAGAAATCGATCGCGCTCCTTTTGGATGGTATCATATTCGCGCATGTGTCGTTGCCGGCATTGGTTTCTTTACCGATTCCTATGATATATTCGCCGTTGGTCTCCTCACATCTATGCTTGGAATAGTTTACTTTCCGCATAATAAAGGAGTTATGCCGACGACTTCAGATACTGCAATTAAAGTTTCCACCAGCGCTGGCACGGTGGTGGGACAATTTGGTTTTGGAGTTTTGGCTGATATTGTGGGACGGAAAAAGATGGTATGTGGTTCTACGGTGCTTTAAGCCACAAAGCTTATTTTTCTTCTTAGTATGGCCTTGAATTGATCATTATTATTTTTGCTACTTTGGCACAAGCTCTAACGTCGGGTTCGCCGGCTGTGGATATTGTTGGGATTATCATCTTTTGGCGGGTCATTATGGGTATTGGTATGTTTAAGTTTTCGATATCATGAAGGAATGATTAGATTGATTCAGTTGATAGGAATTGGTGGTGATTATCCACTCTCATCCATTATTACATCCGAGTAAGTATCTTTTCCAGTAGCTTTTCAACGCTGCCTGCCGACGTGCAAAATGTGGCCGATGTTATGTTCATTAAGAATCGGACATTCAAAACCTCTTTTGGAACTCCAATAATGATTTACTTCCCTCCCAAAAGTCAAGCATAATCTAACAAGTACATAGATTTGCAACAACCAAATGGCGCGGAGCAATGATGGGAGCAGTCTTCGCCATGCAAGGAATCGGACAATTTGTCGCCGGTCTCGTCATGCTAATCGTGGTCGTCGGATTCAAAGAATCTCTCCTCACAGCCAAATCCGCCGCAGTATGTCAAGGAGTCTGTGGATTAGCAGTTGATAAAATGTGGAGAGTACTCATTGGATTTGGCGCCGTCCCAGGTGAAATACTCCTGACTTTAGCGAAAAAAAAATTACGGGTCGAATATCCACTAATATTCGCCTAGCATGTGTGGCACTCTACTACCGTCTCACGATCCCCGAGACCCCGCGATATACATTCGACGTCGCTCGAGATGTCGAACAGGCCCAGCTAGACGTTGAAGCGTATATTGCCGGCAAAGCCCAAGGTCACCCAGACGAAATAGCACGTGTACGAGGTCTTCAAGCGGGCAAACAACAGATGAAAATCCCAAAAGCAAGCTGGTCTGATTTCATCACCTATTATTCCAAATGGAAAAATGGAAAGATCCTCCTCGGTACAGCAGGTTCCTGGTTTCTGCTAGATGTAGCTTGGTACGGATTATCCTTGAACAATCCTGTGATCCTGACCGCGATTGGTTATTCGACTGGTCCAACAGTTTACAAAACTCTGCTTAATACCGCGATTGGAAATCTGATTATTGTTTGTGCGGGTGCGCTGCCAGGGTATTGGGTTACGGTTGCTACTGTTGATACGGTGGGGCGGAAACCTATTCAGCTTATGGGGTTTATTATCCTTACTATCGTTTTTCTGGGTATGGGTTTCGGGTACCATAAGCTCTCTGGTCATGGTTTACTCGGTCTCTACGTCGTCGCACAATTCTTCTTCAATTTCGGTAAGAACATCGCATCCCTATCCCATTCCCATTCCCATTCCCCGCAACCCTCTAAGTCTCCCCCCCCCCCACCCCACTAATTCTCCCCCCAGGCCCCAACACAACAACCTTCATCGTACCCGGCGAATGTTTCCCCACACGGTACCGCTCCACATCCCACGGCTTCTCGGCGGGAATGGGAAAAATCGGCTCCATAATCGGACAAGCGGCCATTGCACCCCTACGCATCAGAGGCGCCACATCCAAACATCCAAGTCCGTGGTTAAACCACGTATTGGAGATCTATGCTGTGTTTATGTTTGCGGGTATTTGGACTACGTTGTGTATACCTGAGACGAAGAGGATTTCGTTGGAGGTTTTGAGTGGGGAGGATTATGGGGAGGGGATTGAGGTGGAGGAGAGGGGTGTGGTGGCTAGGGGTGGGGGGATGGAGGGGAGGGAGGGGAAAAGTGCGAGTGAGGAGCAGGGGAAGGGGGTGCAGGTTGAGGCGAAGAGGGTTTAGCGGGGAGTGAGGTGGTTGGAGGTGTTGTTGGGATTGGTGGATGAGTCTTCCGACGGGAGAGTAGGTAGACGGTATGGTAGTATGATGTCAAATTACACTGCTGGTGTTGCCTGCAGGGTCTTTGTTTGATGCTAAGGTAGAAACGAAGGGATTCTTGATTACAATTTCATATGTGGATGGAGGATTCTGGGATTACAAGGAAATAAGAGTAGCATTAGTGATTTCAGATATCACGTTCTTTTGTACGTCTTCAATTACTGCATTAGATGCAATGACCTTTTTTTCCCTGATATCAAAGAAACAACACAAGAAGCACCCAAAGTCAACTCTTCGGAACCTAATTGAAAATGTATAAATTCGCTTGTAGGTTGTTTGACTGAATTTCCATACCTTTTTATTCATGTTGTCCAATTTGCAATTGCTCAGGTTCAGTATCTGATTAACAGCCCATCATCATTTATTGCCTTTGCCTTGAGTTCATTTCCACGCGTAGTAATACAAACGCTCCATACCCATTGTCATCAATTCATGTTTACAAAGGTTCAAGTTACCCCCTGCAAAACGCCCATGCTATAAAATTTTCCAATTACCAATTCCCCATATACATATGCTAAAGTATTTGCATTTAATTATTAAAAACTGGAGCTTTCATTTGCCAAATAGCAACTTTAGCTCTCTCTCTCACGTCCAGTTCCGGATCATGTTCCAGGTTTTCAATCTTTTGAAGGATACCAAGTTGTTTCAATGAATGCACGCGTTGCGCGCAAGCCGGTCCATCGTTCGAGTCGTCTACCCAAGTGAGATTTGCAATTAAAAAGCACATGGCGACGCGGACTTCAAAGGCTGGGTTGTTAAAATGGGGGACGAGAAGTTTGAGGAGGTCGGTTTGGGCTATGACGATCTGACGATGTTGCGGAATACTAGCGGCCATATGGACTAGAATATAGACGACAGCAACGATGATCTCTGGTTGAGGCGGAATAACTTTTGCTTCCGGTGCACTAGAGCCCCGGCCAGTGGAGTTGAAAGGACGATTGATGATCTTTGGTCTAAGCTTGGAAGCTAGAATCTCGAAAACTCGGTCTTGGCCCAGAGAACTGAATAGGTAATCAATCATTTCAGTATTTTCTGCGCTATTGCTATGTCCGGATCCTGCACTTGAAATCAAATTCCGTATAAAGTCCAGACCTTGTTCTTGAACTGCGAGGTCATCTTTCCTAGCCCTTTTAGCGGGGTTTAGTTCAGCTTCTCGTAGAGCAGCGAGCTTCGCTTCTGCTTGCTGCAAGCTTTTACTGCGACTGCTGTTAGGCCTAGAATTGTTATGAGCCGAGAGTGAAGCCCCCGTCGGCGTTTCAAACTGATCCATCTCCACATCTTCATCCATAGCATCGTCGACGCCTGAGGCCGTGTTTTGGTTATAATTATTTTCTTTGAGGAGTGCCTCATCTTCTGTATCGTTACAAATGAGGCGATCTAACCATCCTGATCCCAATTCTTCTAGACACGCTCTTTTAGTTTCGTTGCCGACGCCAAGGACAAAATGTTTGAGTGCCCAGGTAGCATTCAGACGAAGCTTTGCGTTCGCTGAGTGTGCCTGTCCACAAAGTATTTTAAGTACCCCATTTTCCATGAAGCTCTGCAAATGGGTTAGTAAAACCGTGTTGAAAACAGCATGAAATGTGTACAAACCTCTCGCATTGGAGCAACATCGGTAAGGAGATTACAGACTGCAGCGGTAGCAGCAATCTGAACTTCGATGTCTGGGTGAGAAAGAAGAGGAAATATCGGCGCAACCACTCCATTATCAATCAAGGTAGTCCGAAGTATACAAACTGACCTAGCCAAAGCTCGAGTCGCCGTACAAGCAGCAATAAGGACGCCTACGGGATTGATTCCGTAGCCTTCCTGTTTAACTTCAGGGTTACTTGAATCGTTTTTCTTTTCGGCTTTGTCGCCTTTTTCATTGACTTTAGTTGATGGCTTTTGCGGATTAGGGTTCAAAGATTCGACAATGTAAGGAATTATACCGTTATCCACAACGGATTTTCTATGTTCTTCTTTGAATGGAATGAGTGATGCTATAGCCCTCAATACACTTTCCCTTACTTTGATTTTGTGAACGAGAAGAGCAGATTGACCAGGATCGCCAAGACGTGATGAAGGGGTTTGTTCCACATAGTCCTCTTCTGCATTTGGTTTGATAGGCGACCAATGCTGTGCATTGGCACTTTCCGGTACGGGTTCGTAAGATAGTTTAATCAACTTAGAGAGCTTGACCATTGCCTTATTTTGAAAGGTAGCCTTTTGGAGGTGTTCGCTATCTGTAATCAGCAACGACAAGATCCGTGGTGCCATTTCTGTGATTGACCACTCGACTCTCAACGATTCATGGTCACAAGAGATATCCTTGGACTTGACTTGTGTCGCCTCTTCATCCAACATCTGCACAAGTAGAGGCACAACCAGTAAACCTAAGGCTGGTTCCCTGGCTTTATTGATAAGGCCGGCTCGAAATAGAACTGTCAGTAAATAAGAAGCCATGAGTCTCTCCTCGCCTTCGCGAGATCTCATAATAAATATCAGGTATGCAACTAGAGGGGTTTCGGGGTCCTCCAGGGCGGCCTGACTCTCTTGTGGTGAACCATTGCGCTCCGGGGGAGGGTCAGACCATATAGATGCAGAAGTTGACTTTCCACGACCATTGAGAGGCTCCCGAGGTCCTGATGAACCAAGTGGAGGAAATGCAGATGCCTGTGCGCTCTTCACTTGATACTGTGGAACGATCGGGAGCAGGTAATCGATGGCACTTAATTGACTCTGTCGTGAACTTAAACTTCCTGTATTGAACGTGTTCCAGGCAGCTCTCGAGCTTTGCAGGATCGGCGCATCGCCTGCAGGAATTGACGGAAATACCGCCATTATTGATGGGTGATAAATGAGTTGTGAAGCTCTTAACTTGGATTCGGCAACAATGCTAGCTATAGCCTCCAAAATTCCCGAAAAATAAGCATTTGAAGGAGCAGCCGCGGGGATGTATTCCCGTAAACCTTCCCTATGCGCAATGATATCGGCACCTGGAATAACAAGGCCCTGAGCCACAACGAAGCTTGCCAGTCTTACAGCTAAAGCATCCAGAACACCAGAAGTTGCGAGACTTTGTTGATAGGACTCCTGTCGACATATTCGAGCTATAAGTGTCGCCGCCAAAGATATTTGATTTTGTATAATGTGAGACGATGAAGTCTGGGAGATGATGCGAGTTAGAGAGGCGAGATGTGGACGAACGAACAACGCTGCTGCCAGGGACTTGATGGTAATAGGGTGTGTGCTAGTAGCAAGCACTGCGGATTCTGCAAGGTTGGACAAAGCCCGCAGCGCTGCGAGGACTATTTGTGGCGGATTACTTATTGGGCAAAGATTCGATAGGATCGCCGGGAGCGCAGAGCCATAGTGTAATGGAGCGAGGAAGGTTGGACCACCTAGTTCTTGTTAATAAAGGCCATCATGAAAACAGTAAGTATGCTAACCATATGCAAGGCTTCCTAGGATCTGTAGAGCCTGTAGTCGAACCATATCCTCTTCTTCTAACGGTCGGATCGCATAACTATGATCGTGTGCTTTTCCATCCTGATTTCTGGAATTGAACTTATTGAAACTTATGCGTACGACAGGTTCCACAAGGCCCATGGTTACAGCCATTTCTTTCTTTGGAGCATGTCCAACGATCTCATTTTTAAGGGCCCTCAGATTGGCAATCTGCTCTGAAGTAGTCCTAGCATTTCGAATCAAGGCCGGCCATCTTTGTGTGGCCAAACTTCTAGCCATGTTGTATTATCAAAACAGCGGATTCGGTAGGAATTATCTCCAAATTGTATTCGATGATGAGAAGGTTTATTGAAGTAGCTACGTCTGTGTCTGGAGGATGATTTATCTTCGGCAGGGTAAGGTTTCCTGATTCGTGGGTCGACTTAGTATGCCAGAATGTTGTACGCAGTTATGAAGTTGCGAATGACGGACGAATGACATATATTTCGTAAGAGACTTAAGAGACGTTCCTGACAATAGAATTGGGTGAGACCGAAAACAGATACAAGAATCGGTAGGTTACATAGAATTGGGTTGAAAGGTCGATATGTAGATAGTATTACAAAATGAAGGCAGGTTAACTTCAGAATGTTCTGAGCATCAAAATGTATACGTAGGTTAGTAAATGCAACAACATACATGGGAGGGACATGACGCGCTGTCTACTCCTAAACCTTACGTGGTTTTGAACTCTTTCACATGGATTTGTACAAGCATTTTCTATATACGATCGTTTATATGTACACGATCGGAAAGGGTCTTCATTTACATAAGTAATAACATAACGAATGATGAGATAAAATCAAAATCAATAATAACATCACACACACCTGATAAAAGGAGACGGACATTCTTGTACCACGAGTCATATCTGTATCTCTTAGAATTCTAACTTATTCTCGTACAATCCCAACATTAACCGGAAGCACCATTGAGCAGAGTTTTTCGAACAAGACTTCTTTCACTTTACTATTGTTCTTTGCTGCATTCTGCATTTCAAAGGTGGTATAGACAAAACCTTATAATATTGTACATACTTTTCTTCCAGTCCCTCAATAGTCAAAATTATCAAAAGTATCGAATCGCAGCTATTACAGTCACCACGCCTTACAAAGCCCCACCCCATCGCTCTTACCCACCCAATCCACTCCGCCAATTTAGATAATAAGTCGGAAGGCGCTGATCATGATTCAGTTTGAAAAGGGAACATGTTGAAGTCGCCATCATTGAGCAGATCTCAAGCTTCCCCTACTCTCTACCACTATGCAACTCCTGCGACACGACCCTCACTGTCGCGCAGAACATCGGCTGCGAACAAACCTTCTCCCTCGCCACAATCTCAACAGCAACCGATCCCTCAGTCGCAACCAAAGAAATGGGTCTATGTTGACGCTTCTACTCAGTGGAGCCCTCCCATGATGCCTTCTAGTATGGCAGATGGAACATCAACGCCGGTGCAAGTGAAAGTTGAAGATTTCCCTCCAGAACCCACCATTGCGCCAGAGCAACCCAAAGTTGATGTTTCACGAGGTATAAACCCACCAATACAACCGGAATCGCCAAATATGAAGAGAAGGCAATCGGCAATCGACGATGCGCATATTGCTAGCAAGGGGGTTTCATCCCCAAAGAGAGTGAAACCTCAAGCGACGGTGAAGATCCTACCTCAGAACTATGAGCATTGCGAGGAAGAGGATATGGTCGTTCTCATAGCTAGTATGATTGCTGAATTGATTCAAAGAAACGATCTTCTTCCTCCGCAGAACGGAGTGTTAACACGCTTTCATTCTAGGTATGCATGTGTATATATTTATGTTTATATGCTCAATATTAACGGTTTCTAGATCACCACCTGGAATTTCTGTTCTTGATTACCTCCGCCGACTTGCAAAGCATGCCACTTTAAAACCTCCTCTCCTACTCTCCATGGTTTACTATATCGACCAACTTTGCGCTTCATATCCAGCATTTACAATCACAACTTTAACTGTTCATCGATTCTTGATTACGGCAGCGACAGTGGCCTCAAAAGGGCTTTCAGATATTTTTTGGAACAATTCGACGTACGCGCGAGTTGGTGGTGTCAAATTGGCAGAATTAGGATTGCTAGAGCTTGAATTTTTACACAGAGTCGACTGGAAAATAATTCCCAAGCCTGAAATGTTGACCGATTATTATAAAGGTTTGATTGAGCGAAACGACCGTTACAGAATGGAAGGAGATTTGTCTGACGAATCAGACGAATTGGATGATGATGAAGAAGAAAGCGACGAACTTGATACCCCCGAGCAGACCGAGATTGGAATTGACGCAAATATGAGAGACTCGGAGGCAGATGCTCTAAATCTTAAGACGAAGTTTGGACGAGAAGAAACATCACAGCCAAGAGCGCCCTAATCGCGTCTCACAATTATCATAATACCCTTTTTCTCTTTCGCCGTGATGCTTTGGTTTTCTGGCGTTGGGAAGGAGTATTTTACACAGCATTGACGAATAGATCAAGGGGCGCCTTGGCTTTGTCGATGGGGAAAAGATGTATATATCCAAGTTGAATTGCAAATTATTACATTTGCCAAACCAGGTACTTCTAGAAAATTAGTACTCATTTTTAAAGTTTACAGCCATACGCCAATCGAAAAGTACATATTAGGTAGACAAATACTCTCAGCCTTGTAGCCTCAAGGCTCGAGGTTACATAGAAATTGACCCCACAACCTGGAATCTGGAACCTCGAACAAGCTAAATAGATTACGTAATCACAGCCTGCCCAGAACCGCTCCACGAACCTCGAACCTCAAAGCTCCAGCTAAGCTCCATTAACCAAGCCAACCCGACCACCACAATGAAGCCCAGCAGTTTTTTCCTTGCGCTCTGCGCATACATCCTCCCCATTGCCGGAGCCATAACCGAAGAAACAGACACAGCAACAATTTACATCCAACCTCTCGTCTCCGACTCCGCCTACCCACTAGCAACCATATCCTACAACCCCTCCACGCTCTCCGCCTCTCTCGTATCTTACGAACCACCCGTTGATCTCCTCCCCTCCTCGTCTTCCTCATCTTCCCCCCTCGAAAACCTCGCCCTAACTGGCACATTCGACACCCAATCCTCCGTTTTCAAATCCTCCACTTCGCTACTCTCCCTCGATAATTTTCAGAAAGGCTATAAACCCACTATTCTCCTAACGCTTGATTCTCAAGGCGCGGTATTGGGAGTCACGATTAAGAGTGGAGTGATAGATGCTGGTGCTACGAGGGATTTTGCGCCAAAGGTGGAGGGTAGACGGATGGTTGCGGGGAAGGAACCAGTTCTGGGGCCGAATGTGGTGTTAAGTAAGGAGGGAAAGTTGGAGGGGGAGGTGGTGGAGAAGACGTTTTTGCAGAAGTGAGTTCTCTTTTTCCTACCTTGGGAGGAGGGTTTGGATGGGGAATGTGACTTTTAATGGATGATGAGTGATGAATGGATGGATGTGCTAACAACGTGTCAAATTATAGGTATTGGTGGGTTCTGTTAGGAGCAGCAATGTTGACGATGACTGCTGGAGGTTCTGAATAAACTGGCTTGGCAATGGATTATGGGTCGGGGCTATGTTGGGAATGCTCGGGAATTTGACAAATTCGTTGGATATCATGGCTACGTGTGCGACAAAACAATATACTGGTCGAATGAATAGCCTGGTCGATTCATGGTGGAAGTCGTTTATGAAACCATCGGAAAAAGGTGACATCACTTGATAAGGCGGTAAACGTTGTAAGAGCCTTCTAAATGGCAAGGAGTAAGGAAGCTGCTAAAAGGGTTGGGACATTACGGCGCAATAGACACTCGATCAATGAGTAGCTGCCTCGTTGAAAAGAGGGAATATTCATACCTACGATACCTCAAAATCCTCACCTTAGGGCAGAATGATCAAGGGGACAATGATTTTTGAACTATGTTAGACCAACTCTACGAAACGAGGGTTACACATGTAGGGGTTTTGAATGTACTCTCCTGTTGATCATTTATAGTCAAGCGAGTCTACAAATTTACAAATCAGAAATGAGAAATACTTCCAAGGATGGATGTAAACCATTTTACACGAGAAATACGAGAATATTCACCTTATCAACTTCCCAAAACACACCACAAATTTTATAATAAATAATTTTACTAGCCCACCTTCCCGTTACTAGTACTCTTATGTCTATTCGCCCCTTTCTTTTTCCCACCATCTAAACTATACAATCCGCCCGCAAAAAATACCAAACAGGCACCTACCAACGTCCCAGGGCTGAGTCTATTCCCAAATAACCAAATACTCAACAGTAAACTAATCAATTTCCTCACATTCAACACAATAGTAACCGTCAGCGCCGATGACGCAGCCGCGAGGAGATTCACTCCGCGGATACATGCATATTGAGTGAGGACGTTCATGGCGAGAAAGACGAGTTGGCTTGGTAAATAGATATGCGAGAGTTTAGTGAGGAGATCTGAGGGGAGTGATTGCAGGCTTTCGAGGATGGGGAGGGTGAGCGGGGTTGAGGAGGCTAGCTTGAGGAGTTGGCGGTGCATGGAGGGGAGGAAGGGGGCGAAGAGGGGGAGGGCGAGAAGGTGCGAGTAGAAGAGGTTTTCTTTCCAGTGGGGTCCGTATTCTTTGTAGGTTTCTTCTGTGTAGAGACCCATTATTGCGGAGAGGACTTGGGCGATGAAGAGGATTATGAGACCGGTGTTGAAGGAGGGGATATCTTCGTCTACTTCTCCGTTCTGCGGGGAGATTGTTAGTGAGGGCCGAAGCTGAGAAGTTATGCACGGTAGGAATACCTTAGATTGCGCATCAGACCAAGCTGCTGTCACTACTCCAATTGTTAGGAGAGTAACAGCTATAACCTGTATTCTAGAAAATCGTTTCCCCCATATATATCCCGCAGCTAAAGTAGTGATACTGCCTCCAGAACGTAAAATAATGTGCATTGGCACGGATATATTGTAGCTAAAAGCATGATTATTCAAAACATTTATAGTAAAAAATAAAACGATGTTTATAATCCATCGACGTACCGGGACACGATTCGGAGTAAGGAATAGCGGGGGTCGACTTCGATCGAATTGGGAAATGTAGCCAGTAACGGCTACAAAGAAGAATTGGACAAATGTCATAAGAGTTCCTTCAGAAAGTTAGAATGCTTTTCGAGGACGTAGCTCGTGGAGAGGCATACCGCTATCTGGCTCGACTCTGTTTTTTTTTTCATCTTCGTCAGCGGGGTATTTTGGAAACCAATATATCCTCAAAAGCAAGGGACTCAAAAACTTACTTGACAATAGCTTCTAACGCGAAGACCTAAATATATCATAAGCCCCTACTCCCTTCAAAAACTCCCTAGAAGCGTAGAAGCCCCCCCAAAAAAGGAAAAGAAAAGAAAAGAAAAGAAAAAAGGAATCTCACATTAGAACAACAACCACCAAAAATCAACCCAAGCATCACACCCACCGCCAACCACTGGGGAATCGTCTCAATAAAAATGCGCCCCGTCACCGCGAGGATCTTGGACGTCCTCGATCGTTTATCATTAATACCGTACATTTCCGCCTTCTCCAACGACGGAGCTGCATTAATCACCTTGGGGGCTACGACATCCGTCTCGTTATTCGATGCTTGCAATTCACGCAGCGTGGATCGTCGGCGTGGAATTGTCATGGGGATTTGCTGCTGCGTTCCTCCTGCTGAGTCGGCGCGGCGTCGTCGAGCCATTCATGAATGGATGGATGGATGGATGAATGGATGAATGAATGAATGGTTGTTTCCTTGCTTCTGTTGTTTACTTTGTGCGTGCGTCGGTGGCGGAATAGGCTGCGTTTCTCGAAATTTGTCTGGATGCGCTTTGCTGTGCGTGCTGCGAATGGTTGGGTTTGGGCTTCTGCTGTTGTGGAGGTTCCTGGTTTCTAGGTTCCCCTGATCTGATGGTGGTGACTGGATAGGTACGGTACGATAGGATATGTAAGATTTTTATATGGAAATTTGATAGCTCATTTATTGCTCTGTGATATATATGAGCAAAAGGGAAATGATTTGTGAGAGTATTACTCTAGTACTTTGAAGATAGATTGGATTTTTGGACACGTAGATGCGCTACACTACTATTTACTATATTTCTATTTTTTGTTTTTATTTTTTTGGTTTGGCTTTTAATAATCCTCTCTCCCCCCTCAATGGCGTACTGCAAGGATAAGCTAATTAGAGCTTTGGGGTTATTTTTAGGGTAGGTTTTCATTTATACAGTACGATGTAAGATATGTATTTACTTATTAGGGTACGTAGGTACAGCAATATAATAAAGGACAACATGCAAATATCCTAGCAATAAGACGAACCGTGAAGAAAGACACCAGCAAATCGGAATGACGTTAGAATCAATCATCAATACCTAGGTAGGGAAAGTTAGGTACTTATTAGTGAGTAAGCCATACTTCACCCAGCTTCCAAAATCAACATTTCAGCCTTGAAAGAACCTAGAATTTACACCATGGTCCCTCTAGGTTAGGTTAACCTTAGGTCAAGTTAAAGTCAGAGACCCTAAAAAATTAACATATGATTTGTCGAATTCTCAACTGCCGAATCATCCCGGGAATCACTTAAGGTTATTTATTTAAAACTTAAGCTTAAGCTAGCTTTCTTCGGTGCGACTTATAATTATACTCGTACCTATTATTGGGTAATTATTGGCATTGATTGTTAAGTGCCGATTTTGGTTGAAGAATATGTACTTGGGTAGGTAAGTCTTACTTTAAATGCAGGTGTGTTAGTGGCGCTTAAGCATGAGCTCGAGGTCTTCACCAACTGTTGGAAGATGTGGCGGGGCTTGGATGGAAGGAGGTCTTTCCGGAATGTTTTTGTGAGGAGATTGTTTGTGGGTAAGGTGAGGAAGCTTTCTCAGCTTAATTCTTATACATATGGCATAGTCTATACTATGTAGGGACGAGTGAAGAGCATCGGAGTAATAATGACAGTTGAGCAGCTCATCGGGGACAATTACTAGAGATAGCCTCGGGTGATTTTGTAGGTGATTACTCTTTTATGAGGAACCTAAGATTTACTTCATGTGAAAAATAATGGCATTATCGATGCCTTCCTGAGCTAGGAATACAGCTAGTGCTGTTATGGTATGTTCAGATGAGGATTCGTCTATATATATACTCATATAAATACTGTCGTTCATCAAGAACTCAATAGACAAGTTGTGTCGATGTTTCTTGAGGGTCTTCTCATCCCAAAGTTTCGGCTTGTGTCTTCTCTAGCTATGCATATTCAAGTGATGCACGGAGTACAGCGATTTAATAAGGGTAATACATTCGAAAATGCTCATGAATAATCGTTGCCAATATCAAAAACCGCCAGCGGCATTTCCTGAGCCTCAATCTACCAAACTCTCCATACCTAAAAGATCTTTTGCACCAACTTATCAAAAAAACACCTCCCTCAATACGAACTGGAAGCAAAACCCAACCGTACATCATCTAAAACAGCAGAAGCATCCAAAAAACAGCTCATCCCCCTCTAAAGAAACAAACTACCAACAAAACCTATCAAGACATACCCAAGCAAACCCATTCAAAGCCAACCCTTTCCCACCATCAACATCATAATAATTCTTCACATCTTAACCCCACCCTCACTCTCAATCTCACTCTCACTATTCCCCCTAATCCTCGAAGCAATAATGCGTTTCCGCTCCATCCATTCATCTCTAGACTCAAAACTTCCTCTCCGTAATAAATACGTACCATCATCCCCCTCCTCACTATCTCTATCCCTATTATCTCTCAAAAGAGCACCATGTTCATGCTCATCCTGCTCATTAGCTGACGATACCCGTCGATGGTGAGAAAAAGGATGGGAATGGATATGAAAGTGTTTAGGAGATTTAGTAGAGGAATTAGAGGAGGAGGTTTGTGATGTGGGAGTTGAAGTTGATGGGGAAATAGATTGGTGCGATGATGTGTTGCCCATTTTTTTTTATTTGTTTGGGTTATGGTTATGTTTATATATGGATGGATGGATGACGGGTTTTAGTGGTTGAGAGAGTAATTATGTCCTAGATTGGTGTGGAGGATGATTACTATTCATTAACTAATAGATCAGTGATGAGAAGATTCATAAATGGACAGCGACCCCAAGTGTGCGCGGTCCTATGTTCGCTCTGTCTCAATATATTCTTCTCGGATTCAACTACTCGCTCTTACTCACTTTTACTCCAACATTTGAAATTCCACCGCGGCCAGTCTAATATACCAAGTAGCGTCAATTTCACAGGCGTCGTACTATTCTCCAACCTTAACCCCTGTACATGTAGCAACAACGATAGTACAAATCAATGTCGTCTTATCCATGAACATCACATACTAAGCCCCATGTAAGTTTACAAGAAACCCAAATCCTGCAAGTTGTCCATAGGCGCGCGACTACGTTGCATTCTATCCATTCTACCGCGTTGTACATAGGAGCGGCCTGGTTGGCATGGGTAGGTCTTCATATATCCACCCTCAGATTATGCAATCTTTCTGTAAGTATTACAGTAAAGAGTTCAATGAAGAATTACTAGGTAGCTACCTAGTAACAAAAGAATTACAGTATACCTTGACATACGGATAAACATTGGGGAATTATTGCTTGCTTTACGAAATTACCATGCTTACTCGTAATCGATTCGTCTAGTGGTACACTAATTAGTAATTAGTATTCTTCCAAGTTATATACTTTTTTTTAAAAAAAAATGGGGTGTAGGATTATCTTTTTGGTATTTTCTTTTCTCTTTCTTGACTCAATTAGTATGTGGTAACTCTAAAGAAGATGAGGAGGAGAAATATATTGCTACTCCCTTGCGATCATAAGACTAACATTAAACATTAAACCATGAGTAACCAGATGGAATTGGAATAATTCTTATAAATTTCCTGAAGTTTAATACTCATTCACCCGTATACATGTATAACTGAAATTCCGATTTTGATGATACTTCTCTTGGTATGATAAGTTGGATGAATCCATACACTTAACGGTCTGGATGGGAGTTTTTTGAGTAGATGAATGGGATGGAGTATACATGTAGTCAGAGGAATGTATATTCATGCAATCAATATGTTTCTTTTGATTGCTCATTGTCTTTTCTGTATATAGATGAGTTCTAGAGTTATTTTTCGAGGTTTTTTGAGAAAGTATTTTATGGAAGATTGAAAGGTATTTAAACATTGGAAAGTACTCGAATGTTGGAAACTAGATGATACAAAAGTGCTTGTAAGATTATATCGTTAATTCCCATAACAGCTAAATTGTATTTCTTCTTCCTCCTAAGAAAACTAAAGTCCTCCCAATTCGGCAATCGTCTCCTTGGCCCTAGAGGAAGTTGTATAAATCAATATCTCAAATCATTCAAGATCTGCAATACTTCCTGACAAATTCCTCGAGGCCTCGAGCAAGACTTACAACTATATGATATAGCTTTACTACACACTTCATACTTAGAACACCCAAAAAAATAGTTTGTAATTAAAATATCCATTCCCCTCATCCCCCTCATCCCCTTTCCAATCTAAACCAAAAACATCCCCCAACCCCAACCCAAATCCAAATTCCCATCAATCTAACACCCAACGCCCCAAAAACAATCGCTGGAAGTTATAATCATCGCAATCTTACAAAGTTCAAATATTACCCCTCGTAATGAATCCCTAAGTCTTAAATCTTAATCTTAAATCCAGGTATTACCAACTTACCTACCCATAATTACAGCGATTTCCTCCCCTTCCCTTCCATTTCCGAACGTCTATTACCCTTTATAAAAATAAATCCATGCCGTGTTATATGAATATAGAATTTGAAAGGACACCCATGATTAGGAATGAGAGGAACAGAAAACTGTATCTGTGAACCCGTAAAGATGGAGAGATAGAGCGGTATGTTATATGAAATCATAGAATCATAGAATGAGATAAATGTCCAGCATAACCAATGCATTGCAGTTCCACATTATCCCTCATAATTAATCATTCGTCCTCATCTCATATCATCCCATCTCTTTCTAAGAATTCAAGTTCCCTTTCCTATCAAAAACCGAATATATTAAATCATCTCCGATATCCATTCCCATTCGCACTTCCATTCGCATTCACATTTCCATTAAAATCACCATATGCACCCCCCTGTCCCAATTGCGCTGGCGCCGGCGCTCTATAACCCTGCTGAACAGCTCTCTGCGTATATCCCTGAGTTCCATGGTTATCCCTCCCATCTTTCCCATCTCTCCCATCCCTCCCATCCCTCTCCCTCTCCTTATTCCCTTGTCCCACCTGTCCCACCTGTCCCTGACCTTTCCCCGAACTTTTCGAATGATGACTACTAGACCTCGATCCATTTCGAGCCCGATCTCTATAATCTATATTCAACGGTACAGGTGCTGATCGACCATTCTGAATCTGATTTTGATTTTGAGTATTTTGATTATGCAATTCTTTAATTTGTTTTATTCCATGAGGTTGAATTTTTGGCACAGGTTCGACGTATTGGCCACGGCGGGCGAAGCAGCAGCACATTTTGGTGGGTTTAAAGAGGGGTTTTGGTGAATGAGGTTGGGGAGATTGAGAGGAATTGTGGGTGAGGGGATAGTGAGAGTGCGGATGTGTATATGTATATATATAAAAAAATTTATATATTGGATAGATAAGAAAGGAAAGTCAAAGAAAAAGTATCGAAATGAAGTACAAAAAACAGCTTATATTAAAGTTTTAGAAACACATTACAATGCAAGAACTAGAAGTGGAACAAACTAATCTTCTCATCCAGTCTATATACACATACCACATTGAAAGAACAATGTTAGATAACCTCATCCCAACGCCCGCATTACACTGCGGATTCCAATCGCGCTACATACTTACCCATTTGTGAATCCGCAATACAACACATAATTCCACACAGCCAACTTCCACCTATTCAATCTCAATCATATGTATCCCAATAGCCTAGACCTCAAACCCAGATAACTTTTAATGACATGTAGGCTGAGCGATGAGGTCTGCGGCCCTGACCTATATGCATGTTTCAAAATATATGCACAAAGTACAGGCGCGGTCGAGGTTGCGATAAAATAACCGCCGCAGTAATTTTGGAGCATGGTATGTAAGGATTTGGAGATTTAGGAATTTGACTCATCTAATAGGTGTACAGGAATATACTAAAGCCATGGACGCATCGGCAAAGGCAATTCATTGACGATAAAGATCCCGTAAAAGATAGAGTTGTAAGGGAATAGGCGCCAGACCCAGGTATATGGCTACCAAACTACCGGACCACTAGGTCAGATCCAATCCTTTAGGATGCAAGAATCTTGGGGATATTTCGTCATTAATTTAGCGGGTCTTAAGACAACTTTTGGATGTGTTATTCGTGATATGGGATAAGACTGGAAGGAAGTCCAACGTCCCAACCTCGCGGGATTGGGGGAAATGGTTAAAAGGAGATATTTAACTGTATTTCTTTGTGATTTTTGAGCCAGGCTGGGATGGAAATGAAAAGAAAGATGTATATCCAGTTCTAGGCTTTTAGTTCAATACATTCAAATGCATGGAGCTGGTAGCATCTGGTTTGTCCTACCATTTTCACCCATGATCTGTCGTCATAATAGATGATATGTAAGAAAATTCATTCATTCAAAAGATAAGTGAACGCTGCATTGATGATGAAGAGCCAGGTCTACTACTAAAGAAGCCACTTGGCACATTAGGCTAGGAATTATACGCACTCTGTCTTCCACCTTGAATAGTCTCTTATGATAGTTGATGTCTTGCACTCTATATCTTTGTGAAATTCATGTTTGTGAATACAAGATGAATGACCATTATATACCATCAAGAGGTTTCAAAATACTGTCGCGGGATATCAAAAATCGAACTCTTAAGTGTGTTGTCTTGACACGCCCGCTTTGTCTGCGCTACCTTTCGCCTGATTGATTGACACATGGGTCCTGGGTGTGAAGTCCAATACATGATCATATCTCATCATTCCCTACCGAATATGAACAAAATTCATAACCTTAGCCGCCACATTCATCTAATAACTTCTCTTCCACCACTTGGAGCACTTCCCTCGTTCTTCTTTCCCCCAGATCCAGCCAACCAAGCCGCCGCATCAAAATTTTGCAATGGGTTTGCGCCATTAGCACCACCTGTAAGTCCACCACTCTTCTGGCGCTCCTCAAATTCAGCTTTGAGTTCTGGATCCACTTAAAAGAGGTAGAGTTAGCATAGAAACGATATAAATATATTGTATGACAGGGCCTAGAGCCTTATATCTAAGTCCCAGAGCACAAGATAAATAAATATACGTACTATTATCCATAAGATAAGGCATTCCAAACACAATAAGCATACTAAACCCAGCAATCAAAATCATAGGATTTTTCAATAAACTCAAAGGCGAGAATCCCACTCGCTCCAAGTAATAAATCTTCTCAACATGCGCCTTCACTTCCGCAGTATATTTATCATTTCCAAGTTTAGAAACAGGGATAATTTCTCCCTTATTACTCCATTCGTTTGCGCGAAAAGTGGTAAAAGCTTCGATGGGAATGTGATTTGGCTCTGAGGACGCAGGATGGATATCAATTCGAAGAGGGATGAAACCGTGGGCTGGAGAAGAAATTGTGAGGAGATATGAACCGCTTGTTAGGTTGCGGAAGGAGAAGGAGTTGGATGTTGTGAGAGGCGCGGTATGTGTGTGGGAGATGGTGCTGAGGATTGCGTGAGTGGAGGGTGGGAGAGTAGAGGGGTTCAGTTGGGGTGCTGTTGGGATTGTGAAGACAAGGTGGGTCGCGAGGATGGAGGGGAGGAGGGAGAAGAGCGAAATAACGCTGATGGTTGGAAGACGCATTTTTGATGTGTTTTGAGAAAGGTGTTCTGCTGGCATTGGGAGCTACTTGAGGGTTGGTGATGTAAGGTTACCAGTGAGATAGCTTGGGCCGGATAAAAGAAAGGCCGAAACCCATTTCATACAAAATTTCAATTGCAGCGGAATTACCTCTCTATCGTGATTATACCTTGATTCATGATACACACATTGTAATTGTCTTCACGGCAAGTCATAAGTGTTGCATAGCACAGAACCGGCTCAGTAATCCTAGGCTAAGTACAACATTTATGAGCGTTGCCTAAAGAGTAACCGGTCAAGTCAATTGAAGATATTTTCAAGCAATCCTTGAAGTACCGATCCTTGATTTATTGAGACTTATGTTCTGAGGGCGGGCAGAGGAGAGTGGACGTTACTGCCATCTGGAGATGCATTGATGATATTAATACATCAAAAAACTATGGAGCTGATTTTGGAATTCTCAGCTACAAGCCGAAGTTGTGGAGTCTTAGTCGACACTATTGGAAACCCATGGGCATTAGGAAACGCCTATAATATCCAAGGTGTATTAATTTCGTTTCATTTTCTCATATGCCTCCTGGGCCTTCTGACTTTCCTGGCTTTCAAGATGAACAAGTCTGCAATGTCTTTTTAATGCATCCCGAAGTGAGAATATATTTTTACTATCAGTCCTGTTTAAGTAAGTATTAATATTGCATCTATGCTCAGTTGAGTGTTGTCCTTCTGTAATGGGTTGCCCTACGCTACTGCTCTGTGGTCCTCTACTAGTCCCATTGGCGGTTGCCATGCTCGGCGCTGGAAGGATATTAGCAAGTCTTTTTGATGGTTGCGACTCTCGTGGTTTGCTGCGATCGCGCTTGGTCTGTGTTTGTTCCTTAGAGCTCTGTTCTTCCCGACTCGATGTTGCGTTTCCAGCGCTTGTACTTGGGTCTAGGGTAGTAGCGCTGTTGCTGTCACTTTGGCGCCCCGCGTTAGAACTGATAGGTGCTAGCATCCTTTCTAGGGGACGTCTAGAGCTTTCATGAGCACTGCGTCCCGGAGCCCTATCATTCAATGACAATCTTTCAAAATTCAGCAGTTCATTTTTAGCGTCTTCCCTGTCTCTCTTCCTTATAGCTTGTGCCACGAGCTTATCATCGTAATTAGCTCAATAATATCCTAAAGCCTATGCCTTGACTCGCAATTACTCACTTGTCCAATTTCTTTCTCATCCAGCTAGTAAATTTGCAGCAGCATCCTTATTCTGCAAAATCTTGTGGTCAGAAGATCTCGTAGCTCCTGCTTTGCGTTGCACATCAGCAGCGTACCACTTCCACCAGTCTGGGGATTTAGTCGGAGCAACTGAAGACATATTGATATATGGAAATGTGAAAATGATATTGATTATTAGGAACTTGATAGAGGCGGATGACTATGGTAGTTGTGGATAATTGCGGATCGAATCTGCGAAAACAAAAACGGTTTTCCTTTATTGTTTGATAGAATAGTCAAGAGATGATAGGATATGATGTGATGTTGTGTATGAAGGATGTATACGAGGATGTATGAGTATATCTGAATGTATGAGTATATATATCTATATGAGATAAGTAAACTAATGGAATCAAAGTTGTTGAGTATCGATGAAACTTGCGGAATTACTTTTTGCTGGAACAAAGGGATATACCTGTCCAACGGGGGAATGTTGTTACAAAAAGTAAGGAATATGAATAGTTGAAAGTGTTAATGGAGTGTGTATTTCATCATCAGCATGCTATTAGTTCGTTTAAATGTCGCTAGCGCTTTACCATAACCCACAAATTGAACGGCATCAATGAAGAATTTCCCGCTGAGATAATTTGAGTATAATATGTATTCTTCACCAAGCAGACTGAAGGTAAGGATGCAGCAATGCCTCTGAAGCTGTAGGTCTTTTACGATGATCTACGACCAACAAGTACTCAATAAAATCCATCAATTCCGACGGTACTTTCGGATTTTGTAGGCGTCCAAGTTCTTCACGCAGTGGACCCTTTTTAATAAATCTCGTCTTTAAATTGGTATCCGGATGTATGAAGATAGTTGTTTCGAGGTGGTTTGCAACCAAGAATTCGTCTTCGTAGTCTGGATTGATAGGGGCTTGCACTGGTCTAACAAGACGTTGGATTTTGGCAATACACCAAGCCTCAGTAAGGCCCTGGACCATCTTGTCCTTGGGCCCGAAGATTGGAGTTCCGCATAACCAATGTGCCAACTGCACTTAGATGTTAGCTCCGAACACTCGAGAGTATACATCACAACTTACTGTAACGCCAAGCGACCAAACATCCGAAGCAGGCCAACAGCCTAAGCCTCGCCATACTTCCGGTGCTCGAGTTTCAAGACTTTGGAGTCGAATTTTATCGTAGCCTTCAAGCAACATTGTATAGATCAGCATCAGCACATACATAAAACACACCATACATACTATTACCCAAATCCCCCAATTTGACCACCGGTTCCTGTTCTCGAATATTGGATAGAAATATATTATTTGGGTTCACATCTAATAAATTAGCAATATTCACCCAAACAATTGCGACACACTTATTAACACACCGGTATGAATCGCCTTAAATTTTTCTTGTATGAGAGCCAATGCTTCCAAAACCGACTTTGCCACGATTTTCGGAAGAGACCCAGTTCGAAATTGGCTAGAAGGTATGGATTTTAGATCATTCTCCATCCATTCAAAAATAAGGTAGAAATGACTCTCACTTTCGCTCTCACTTTTAGATGCCGTGTTCGATTGTACATTATCATTTTCGAATTCCCTCTCGTTTTCTACCACATCAAGAAGACTGCGAAAATATGGATTAGATGCTATGGCGTCGAGTTTATAATTGTCTCGTTCGCGAGTTAGCGCGATTTTTTGATCGTCGAATGCATTTTTTAGGACGGTACTGTATATATTCGTAAGATTAATATCGTCAGTATGTTAAATTTGGGTTTAGGTTAGCTAGACGGGTAAGAGTGAGGAGGGGAAGAAATTAGAATAGTACAAGATTGGAGGGATGCGGACAGCATTTATGTGTAAGGACTGGGCTTTGAATACTGTGGAGACTTTTAGGACTTCTAGGAGTTGATAGCTTCCTTTTTTGCCTTTGAGGATTTTTCCTGTAGATAGAAGCATGTCTTGAGTTTTTGATTTTAATATTCATATGATGAATGAATATTGGATTCTAATAGAGGAGAAGCTGAACGGGAGGTAGAGAATTGTGATTTGTAATTAGAAGAGGGCGGGAGGATCGACATATTTTATATTGATGTGATTAATAATGTGACGGAAATCCCTGCTTTCCTCCCACCTTTATTATATAAGAAACCTCAGGTACATTAACCATGTCCACACATGATACGATTACTCGAGATTAGTATGCGATTTAGGTGACCTGAGGATCAGATCCGGACAAGTACTAGGTATCAATGGTTATCGGTAAAGTAAGATCATTGGAGGAATAAATATGACTTCTTTTTGCCTAGCCATTGCGGCTAGGCCATTCATTTGTGTATATATAGAGTAGCTATCCCCATCTACAGGTGCTCTTCACCTGTAGATTCTAAGTTAAATACAATTGCTGGTCTATAAACACCCTTTTGGTCACATTATCTACAGGTCATTATTATATTCGATTCGACTGAGGGATCAGTCGTTAATAAACATTCAAACCTCCCTCTCAAATTAATTCCAAAAGACGTTCTACACCTACCCGGAGGTGAAGCAAAAAGAACCTTTTGAAGGCCCCAATTCCGTGAGACGCACTCTCTCGACGTAAGGCTCTCCCAACCCCTTAAAAAAATAAAAACGACAAAATCGGAAACCACTTGCTACATAACAAGATGGCCCCTCCGAAGGAATCACCAGCCAACTCCCCAATTACCTCTAGAGTGAATACACGAAGCCGGAAAGGAAAAGAGAAAGTTCCTACCTTAACAGATCCTTTCGCTCGTTCTGGAGCACTACCACGATCTCCTCCACAACTAGAAGAGCAAGAACCACCATCCTTATCCGACGAAGACCCTAATGATTCCGAATTACCAGGACCACATCCCTTACCTCAATATTCTGCTACGGAAGCTTCCCAGCCCATCCCCTCAGATGCCTCAATGCAACTCGAGCTACGCAATCAGATATTGGAGCTCCAAAACGAATTACGTCGACGAGATGAAGCGGACCGATTACGAATAGCAAAAGGACCATTTCCACCAATCGTTCCTCCCGAAGAAACAGGACCACGCGCTAGGAAACACAGCCCCTTCCACCCCACTCCCGCGAGTGCAGGGCACGACCCGGATTACCCCGAGAACCAGGCCCTTCCCTCAATTGAAAAAACGCCTGCACCCGATCCCCGCCGCCCCATATCAATTCCCTTGTTATCAAAACGGAAAGTTGATTTCTCCGGTGGTCCAGGAAGAGAGACCCCCCAGGTTCAAGCTGTACGACAACAATCATTGCTAAATCCCCCTGCCTCATATTATCCAGAGAGACGCATTCCCAATCTTTCATCTAAACTCTCGGATGGGAAGGCTCCTAATATCCGTATACGTGCTTGGGAGAAGATGATCCTAGGCCACCTTCTCGATTACCACCATGATTTCCGATCAGAGAACGCACGCCGTACATGGGTATTCAATCAGACCGAAGATCGAGCCATGACCCTGCTCGAAGGTATTTACTTGGATGATGATTACGATGCATATGCACTAGTGGATCATGTCGTCGCTATCCTTACAGACCCAGCTGAGGTTGCTACCGCCAATATTGAATACAACGCTTTGCGTATGTCTTCAAAAGAACACTTTTGGGAGTTCTATAGTAGATTTCGAGATGTTGCTACTCGTGCCGCCATTACTGACGATGAACGATTGAAGAACGATCTCTTTGATAAGACCCAATATCGTTTAGTACACGACAACAAACAAGAATTCCATCAAGCACGCACAGTCGGAGAATATGCTAGAGCCCTGCAGAACTCTGATATCGCACAACAACGACTTGATGCCCGGCCCAATTATCAGAGGGCCAAAGCCCCAACTCTTGGCACTCGGAACCCTGGAACCACACTCCGCTCCGATCAACAACAATCCAGAACCTCCGGATTTGTCCGTTCGCCTCCTGCTTCATCGGCCGCCCGAGGAAATATCCCTCCGAATGCTGTCCTGCCTAAGCACGGCACATTCAACACCCCTAATATCCAATCCAATCGACAACCTTCTGCCTCTCGCGAGACCAATGTAGTAAGCTTCAACGAAGTCGATGAGGTCGCCCTTCTCGATGCCCATGAGGACTATAGTGAGAAATATGAAGATGCATTGGATACATTCACAAGCTCCGAGGAAGATCTCCCTCGATCAAAAAAAGGTCAACCATAAGCACTGTCTCGCTTATGGGATTCATAAAGGATATGTCAGGACTCGATTTACGCACCCTTCTTGGAGGTCCCCATATCACAGTACCTATCATGTTGGTACGTGATGGGATCGCAGTAAAATTCGATGCCCTGATCGATTCTGGAGCAAATGGTTATGCTTTCATGGATCCAGCTACGGTTAAACATCTGGACCTCCTCTCAAAAGCAAAAACGCGCAAGCTTCCCAAACCTCTATCTGTTAAAGGATACGATGGCACTATTGGGAAATATGATATTTCTTTTGTTAGTTATTTTGATTTACATATAGACAAGCGTATACAACGCAAAACCCCTTTTTTGATACTTCCACTTGGAAGTCATCGTATTATTCTCGGACGCCAATGGTTAGCTTACCATGACATCTGGTTGAACTGTCGCCGACGACAATTCAGGTGGCCTGAAAGCACCCCCCCTTCAGTTTCTTTTTCGCGATATATCACTATTCCTCGAAACTCTCTCCCTATCCAGAAAACTATCAATCGTTATCACCAATACGATGCCGATCGAAGGGATCGGAAGTTTGGAAAGGATATCGCAGCTCCAAAGATCAATTTGGTTGAATCTTTCGACCAAATCGACCAAATCGAACAATCCGATCCAATTGAACCCACTCCATTGATTGATCCCCAGCTGAGCCAACCAGATCACAATGATACCATTGCTTTAGAAACATTGGCCCCAACCATTTCATCAAAGCGAGGGAATACCCACGAGAAGTCTTTAAATAGAGATATTGTTCGAATGAATAAACTGTTGAAAAGCCCTGAGACTCCGCCTAAGCCCACTCAACCTTATCCTCGGAAACCACGTTTAACTTACCCTATTTCATCATGGGATACCCCTTCAATATTGGATATCGCTGCAATCGATGCACATATCTTTAATCGATATCTTTTAAAATCTACAGAAAAGGATCAGTTATTTACATGTACCTATCATGAGGTTGAGACCCTCCTCGATCAACGCTATGAGGAACAAGATCGCCATAATGAACTTGCTACCTTTGAACAAGCCCTTAAACGCTCTTCCAAAGAACGTAGCACGAAAGCCTTAGCCCTCCTAGCTATGTTAGAACCCGATGAACCTCCGCTTCCTGATAAATATCACGAATTCGAAGATGTTTTCAGCAAACAAGAGTCGGATATCCTACCACCTCATCGCTCTTACGATCATTCGATCAAATTGGAAGATAGAGCTGAGGAATCTTTAACCTATTCTCCACTATACAAAATGTCTATTGAGGAATTAGAGGTTGTCAAAAGATATCTGACCGATAATCTGTCTAAAGGATTCATCGAGCCAAGCCAAGCTCCCTTCGCTGCTCCTGTCCTCTTCGTTAAGAAATCTAATGGAAGTTTAAGATTTTGTATCGACTACCGCAAGCTCAATGCTCTCACTCGCAAGGATCGTTATCCTCTCCCTTTGATCGACGAGACCCTGGCGCGCCTCCAAGGTGCCAAAATTTACACCAAGCTTGATATTCGCCAAGCTTTCCACCGCATCCGTATGGATCCAGCATCGGAAGAGTATACTACCTTTCGTACTCGATACGGAGCATACAAATGCAAAGTTCTACCATTTGGTCTTACCAATGGTCCTGCCACCTACCAACGCTATATGAATGATATTCTTTTCGATTACCTCGATGATTTCTGTACAGCATATCTCGACGATATTCTCATCTATTCTGAGGATCCCTCGGAACATGATACTCATGTCCGTAAGGTTCTGCAACGACTTCGAGATGCTGGCCTTCAGGCAGACCTCAAGAAATCCGAATTCGATGTCACCAAGACTAAGTACTTGGGGTTCATCATCTCTACTACCGGTATTGAAGTTGATCCTGATAAGGTTGCTATCGTGAAGGAATGGCAATACCCTTCCACTCTGAAAGGTGTACAATCCTTCTTAGGATTCTGCAATTTCTATCGAAGATTCATTCCTAGCTATGGAGTGATAGCTTCACCCTTGACCCATCTAACCAAGACAAATGTCCCTTTTTCTTTCAATCAGGAATGCAAAGAAGCCTTCAATACTTTACGAGGTCTCCTCACCACTGCTCCCATACTCCGACATTACGATTACAAGCTTGAAAGCATGCTCGAAACCGATGCTTCCGATGGAGTAATCGCCGCTGTTCTATCACAAAAGCATGATGATCACTGGTTCCCCGTAGCCTATTTCTCGAAGACCATGCTTCCTGCAGAACTTAATTATCCTGTCCATGATAAAGAACTTACCGCTATCGCAAAGTCTTTTGGTCATTGGAGAGCCGAACTCATAGGATCCCCTTTTCAGGTAAAGGTCTATACTGATCATAAAGCTTTGGAGTACTTTATGACCTCCAAACAATTGAATAGCCGACAAGCTCGTGTTGCCGAACTCCTTGCCGACTTCAATTTCCTCATCATGTATCGCCCTGGCAAAGAAAACCCTCTGGCTGATGCGCTCTCCCGCCGTGAGGATGATATCCAAGCCACCAATCACCAAAAGAAGGAACAACGCGCTCAACAGTTGTTTAGACCTGATCAACTAGATCCCAACATCCTCCGCCAGGCAAAGGAAGCTCCTATTCTGGCACCTCTCGAACGAGCCAAGCCATTCTTCACAGTAATCGACAGAATCTTAGAAGCTAACCGCAATTCAACTAGCCTCACCGCTATGCGCAGAGAAGCTATTCGTGCCTCTGAGGATCCCAATCGAAGATCCCCACTCACTATTGAGAATGGTTTACTCCTTCATAAGGGAAGAGTAGTTATCCCCTCTACTGACAATCTACACACCTATCTCATCCGCGAAGTCCATGCTCAACCTACCACTGCCCACCCAAATGCTGAGAAAACCTCATTACTCATTTCCGAGCATTATTATTGGAAAGGATTTCGAGACGATGTTGCTAGATACGTCAGGAATTGTGATCTATGCCGACGTTCCAAAGTCCCGCGGGATAAAAAGCCTGGACTCTTGAAGCCCCTTAGTATTCCTCAACGCCCTTGGGAACATATCACAATGGACTTCTGTAGCTTCAATAAAGACAAGTATGGGTATGACAATATTCTGGTTGTTATCGATAGGCTCAGCAAGCAAGCTATCTCTATTCCTTGTACTAAGGAGTGCTCAGAGAAAGAATTCGCCGAGCTATTCATATATCATGTTTATCGTTACTACGGTCCTCCTTCCTCAATCTTATCCGACAGAGGTACCCAATTCGTCAGTCAATTCTGGCACGAGCTCTCCTCTATCTTGAAAATCAAGCTAGTACATTCTTCTACTGACCATCCCGCTACTGATGGGCAAACGGAGATCTACAATCAATACTTGCAACGACGTCTTCGCCCATTCGTGAATTATTATCAAGATAACTGGTCAAAGTTGCTCCCATTGATGGATTACGCTCAGCTCACTCTGCCTCATGATACCCTCAGCAAGATGACCCCCTTTGAAGTGCTCTATGGATACAAGCCTCGCATCGATTGGGATTGGAAAGAACATAATTCCAATCCTACAGACAAAATTAACGTTGAACAAGCCCACGAATTCGCTACGCGTGCCCATAATGCTTGGGATTTCGCCCGACAGCAAATTCAGCGCGCTCAAGATCGGATGGCTAAACAGCACAATAAACACCGCCGTACTCCCGACTTTAGGGTAGGAGATACAGTGTGGTTGGACTCCCGATATTACAAGACCCAGCGCCCCTCTCGGAAGTTGGATTTCCCCAATTCCGGGCCCTTCAAGATTGTTGAACAGATTGGTGAATCATACCGCCTTGCCCTGCCTGCCTCTATGCGCATATTCGACGTATTTCCTCCCGAAAAGCTCCGATTGGCAGCGGAAGACCCACTTCCCGGCCAAGTTAATCCCCCCGCTCCTCCAATTAATGTCACCGGAGAGGAAGAATGGGAGGTGGAGGAGATCTTAGCTTCGAAACTCAGGTACAAGAACATTATGTATCAAGTTTCCTGGAAAGATCATCCGCTTGACCCTACTTGGTATCCAGCAGATGATCTCAAATACTCTCCACATAAACTTAAGGAATTCCACATTGCCAACCCCAATAAGGCTGGACCACCCAAGGCCTTGCCTCGATGGATTGAACGATATGACGCTGGAGACGACAACTACGACGATGAAACGGGTGACAGACCTATGATGAAAAGCGCGAGGACTCGCTTTTTCAAAGGAGGGGGTAATGTGACGGAAATCCCTGCTTTCCTCCCACCTTTATTATATAAGAAACCTCAGGTACATTAACCATGTCCACACATGATACGATTACTCGAGATTAGTATGCGATTTAGGTGACCTGAGGATCAGATCCGGACAAGTACTAGGTATCAATGGTTATCGGTAAAGTAAGATCATTGGAGGAATAAATATGACTTCTTTTTGCCTAGCCATTGCGGCTAGGCCATTCATTTGTGTATATATAGAGTAGCTATCCCCATCTACAGGTGCTCTTCACCTGTAGATTCTAAGTTAAATACAATTGCTGGTCTATAAACACCCTTTTGGTCACAAATAAATATAAACAAAATCAAATCGAGGAGAGAAATATAAATAAAAAGAATAAATATATATTATATAATTATGATTGATTCAGTTTCCTTTATTCTAGAAAACATAAACCAATATGATCAAATACAAAACAACACATTCAGATCTAAAAATGAGACAGCAAAAAACATACAACAGCAGGGATTCGCTGGTGGTCACCCACCCAACTACTAATCTGCCGATCTGAGGCTTGTGTATGGCAGAGCGGACGGGATGCCCAATTCTCCTCAGTCTATGGTCGTATGTATCTGTTTACGGTAGTTATAGGATTATACTTAATTTTTTAATTATGGTGGAGTGTGCTTGGTGTGTGTGTGATACGTGATCTTGGGCTCCTGTACAGTTTTGTTGTTTTGGATTTCTTTTTGAGGGGTGGGGAAAGGGTAAGATTACTTTGGTATTTAGTGTTTGATGATGCGCTGTGAAGGAGATGATACTTTTAATTAGGTATTGTTTATTGAGAAATGATACTTAGGTAGTGTTACGTGACGGTTGTTATCCCACTAGTGGCTCACGTGCACTAGCCCTGTATATAAAGACCTTCTTACTTAGAATCCTCTTAGTTCTTTAGTTTTAGATTCTAAGTGATTGAATTGACTCCGTTTACGACTTTTCCGTCACAGGTAGTAGATATCTTAATTCATCTTAAAGAGAGTAATATTATTAAATTGATTGATTGAAAAAGATATTTAACAAATGAAAATCTCTTTGTTTATTTTAGAAGGTGAGTAATGAAATATTGAAAATAAAGTTTTTTTAAAAAAAAATACTTATATAAATAAATATGTTACGAGTTTTGCCGTCTAGATCACGTGGAAGTGCTCTAGGCTCTCGGGGTAGGTTTATAACTAGGCGTCAAGCGGGGACTTAAGTAACAACATGTTACAACGGCTATCTTCTATGCCGCGTCACATGACTAAACCAAGGTAACGTGATTAAAGTCACGTTATGGACCGCTGAGGAACGCTGGCTGTCCAGGAACGCTGGCTGTCCAGGACCGCGCAGCGGTCCTGACTAGCCATAGGCATGAAGGTCTATATAATCAAGATGGATTTCCTTTGTATAGAGCTTCGTGCTCAAGATCAATCATTTAGTATACTCTACTATTAGTTACGAATTGCATTATTGTCATTACTTTAAGTCCCTGCTTGACGCCTAGTTATAAACCACCTCGAGAGCCTAGAGCACTTTCACGTGATCTAGACGGCAAACCTCGTAACACAACAGTAATGATATGCAATTCGTAACTAATAGTAGAGTATACTAAATGATTGATCTTGAGCACGAAGCTCTACAATAAGGGATCCTTCCTAGCTATATAGATCTTCGTAACTAGGAGCCATAGGAGCCTTCGAACCTCCAATGCTCCATCATATGATCCTCTAATCACATGGTTCTGTAATTGTTATCGAACCGGATCTAAGCTTAACAGGGTCTGTGCATATTTGTTCCCCACACCACCTTAATTCCATACTAAATCGGTCAAATCGTATCTCGTAAGCACACGATCGGTTAGTATAAGATCCGTGGTCGTAACAAATAATCCTTTAATAACTATTCTTTTCTTATTATTGAATACATATTAGATACCTAGATACATATACTTACCTAATCAGAGATACAAATTACAATTCGCCCAGACGGATATTGTACGACGAGGTAAAGAAATCCCTCATATATAATTTTTGCTTGACTAGTTAGGTACTTGTGAATTGTGGCGGTGGAGTCGGGAAGAATTATTATTAAAGGATAGGATTGGAGTGGATGGTTATGTATGAGATGAGGAGATGTATGTATGTATGTATGTAACTTGAGGTTTTTGTTGTTTATCTACCTACCTAGATATTTGGGGGAAAGAGAGGCAATGATTTTGTTTGTTTGTTTGTTTGCTCGGATTAGAGCATGCTTGGAGGTCTAGGATTGAGGGATAGAAGCATAGAGGCGTAAGTATAGTATCTAATTTGCTGATTGGAAAGAATGTATGGGAATACAAGATAAGTTGATTAGGTACTCTGTATCTGGTTTTCACCGCTGTACAGTACCTAGGTAGGTAGTTTTAGTTGATAGGTATCTGAATTTCGTATATATTGTAATTATTAAAGCTGCCACTTAGCAGATGGTTAATGAATCGATCTTGATAGCTTTCCAATTAATAAATACCTATTTAATATCTCTAGATTCCAGCAATTGCTTTTTCCCAAAGGTAAAGTAAGGATGAAGTTAATCTCTTAAATGACCCACTTTTCCCCGCGAACCAACATATCGGACCCATCCATTCAACGGAGGATATTTTGATTCAGGCAGCGGGTTAAGGTTACATGACTATTCATTTTCGGCGTAGCTTTTGGAGTGGAGCTTTTAACTGCCATGATCTGCGACACTAATGTAATCCTTGAAGAGGAAAGGAAAGTTAAAAACAACCTTATTATTGGTGTTTGTTTTGGAGTCGTTTGAATTGTTTATTAGTTGAGCTAGTAGGTATTCGAGATCGAATGATACTAAAACTAACAGTGTAAATTGCGAATTCCAAACTGTTCATAGATGGATGAATTTTCGTAATAGAATTTTCGTAATAGAATTTTCGTAATAGAATTTTCGTAATAGAATTTTCGTAATAGAAGTACCTAATGGTGAAGAAATGAATCGACGTCACTAGGTAGGTACCTGGGCAGATATGTTGAAAAATGCGGAGACTGTTTATCCTAGTATGCGGGTAGTGAAGATGCGATGAGGAAGGCTACAGGTACGAAAGTAAAGGATTCCATCCAATAGGATGAAGTAGAGACAACGTACAGAAATCCTTGAGTGTCACATTTCTTACCCATTCCCCCGTTTTGATTTGTTGATTTTTGATTTGTTGGGCTTTTCTTCTGTTTGTTTACCTAGGTACTTTTCGATGGTAATCTGGGGGTGGGACGTGCTTTGAGGCAAAACAATGAGGGGAAAGTAAATAAATGATGTGATATCTAGTATGATATGTTATGGCTAAGAGTGCATGATCAATTGAAAGACAAATAAGAAATAGATATATCAAAGTCAATTCCTGGAAACCAATAGAAACCATTAATAGAATTGAATAAAGTAAGTTTGCAAAAAGATAGATTGATATAAAAAGGTGCTGTGAAATTATCTATCAAGATGTAAGGTTACTGGTTACTGCCACTGGTTACTGGGAAATTGATCTTGTCGGAAGATAAAGGAAATTGTTCAATGTATTCAATTCATTCATATATCAGAAAAAGAAAGAAACAAAAGGGAAAGATGTTTGAAAATTTTATGATAACAAAGGCGGAGTCACCTAGCCTTATTATATTTCACTCACTTGAAGCTTTTGACTTGCGAACCAGAATACTGTATTGTATGTACGTACCATTTTCCCTCAAGCAGTGTTACTTCACTCTCTCGTTCAATCTTCCTTTCTCTCTCCTCTCTCTCTCTCTTTTTGCTGATCGTTACTTCCCAATTAAATAACATTAACAAATTCGGACCTTCTGATAAAAATCTTTTTCTTCCAATCATCCCATTAATCCCAATTCACTTTTTTCTATCCGACTTTTTGTCTCCCTTCCTCTTCCGATTTAATCTTCTCTACTTTTTCTTTTTCGACACAACTTCTCGACATCAACTTACCCATCCTCTTATTCCTCTTCTTCAAGAAAGTAATATAACAGTTCCTAATCATTAAGATCTTCCAATCATAGGAATTCTTTCATATTCGACCAGCTCGCGTCGTTTATCCCCAAGAATTTGTTACTTACTTTACTTATTACTTCAACAAATCTTAAATCAGCAACTGAGGTGATTTATCTGCCACTTTAATTTTCTCACCGTGGTCGCTGTCGCCATGGCACATATGGCCGGACATCATGGTCTCCCTCACCATGATACAGCAGGTGCCCAATCGAGCAACAACTCATCCGATACACCTCCAAATCACTTAAAGGCTAACATTGAACCCGGTCAATTCGACGAAAAAAATGGTGGCATTGAAAACTCTACTCCTGGTGCTACCAAGCATGAGGAAGAGGAAGAAGAAGATGAGGACATGGATGCATTGATCGATGAACTCGAATCTCAAGATGGTCATGTTGAAGATGAAGAGGCCGAGGAAGAAAATGGTCCTGCTCAAGAACGTCCTGTCCCAGAAGATTTACTTCAAACAGATACTCGCATCGGTCTTACAGATGCTGAGGTTCAAGTTCGTCGTAAGAAATGGGGTTTGAATCAGATGAAGGAAGAGAAAGAGAATTTATTCCTCAAGTTCCTTGGATACTTTGTCGGTCCTATTCAATTTGTTATGGAGGTACGTTGACACAAAGTTCTTACCATCATCCTTCCATCCCCCGCACCCCATCATTTTCGCGCATTTTAAATCTGCATGGATCCTCCACAGATCATCTAGTGTTAAAGGCCAAGGCCTTCAATTCGAGACATCCGAATGGAGTAGCTTAGAAGTTCTTCTAATTGAATCACACTAAGACGTCCTTGCTAATTGATCAAATTTAAATAGGCTGCTGCTGTTCTCGCTGCAGGTTTACAAGATTGGGTCGATTTTGGTGTCATTTGCGCACTTCTCCTCCTCAATGCCACCGTCGGTTTTGTTCAAGAATTCCAAGCAGGTTCCATTGTCGATGAACTGAAAAAGACTCTTGCTCTGAAAGCTGTCGTTCTCCGTGATGGTCGTCTATATGAGATTGAAGCTCCTGAAGTTGTCCCCGGCGATATCCTTCAGATTGAAGAAGTAAGTCGACGTATTTATCCATTTCTTCAACAGATGCTGATATTTTCTCATAGGGTACCATTATTCCCGCCGATGGTCGTATCGTTACCGACGATGCCTTCCTTCAAGTCGATCAATCTGCCATCACTGGAGAGTCTCTTGCCGTCGATAAACATAAGGGTGATACATGTTATGCATCTTCTGGTGTCAAGCGCGGTGAAGCTTTCATGGTCATTACTGCCACCGGAGATCATACATTTGTTGGACGTGCAGCAGCTTTGGTCAATCAAGCTTCTGCAGGAACCGGTCATTTCACAGAGGTCTTGAATGGTATCGGCACGGTGCTCTTGATCCTGGTTATCTTCACCAACTTGGTTGTCTGGATCTCCTCATTCTATCGCTCGAACCCAATCGTTCTTATTCTTGAATATACTCTAGCCATCACAATCATTGGGGTCCCTGTCGGTCTCCCTGCTGTCGTCACTACTACCATGGCTGTCGGTGCTGCATATTTGGCCAAGAAGAAAGCTATCGTCCAGAAATTGTCCGCTATTGAGTCACTGGCAGGCGTCGAAATTCTTTGCTCGGATAAGACTGGTACATTGACCAAGAACAAGCTCTCTCTCGCCGAACCATTTACTGTTCCAGGCGTGGAACCTGATGATCTTATGTTGACTGCTTGTCTTGCTGCCTCCAGGAAGAAGAAGGGTATCGATGCCATCGATAAGGCTTTCTTAAAATCTCTTCGTTACTACCCACGCGCCAAGTCCGTTCTGTCCAAGTACAAAGTTCTTGAGTTCCATCCTTTCGATCCTGTTTCCAAGAAAGTTCAAGCTGTTGTCGAGTCGCCTCAAGGAGAAAAGATTATCTGCGTCAAAGGAGCTCCACTCTTTGTTTTGAAAACCGTTGAAGAAGACCATCCGATTCCTGATGAGATCGACCAAGCTTATAAGAACAAGGTTGCTGAGTTTGCGACTCGTGGCTTCCGTTCTCTTGGTGTCGCACGAAAGCGCGGTGAGGGTCAGTGGGAGATTTTGGGTATCATGCCTTGCTCTGATCCACCACGTCATGATACCGCCCGTACTATCAATGAAGCCAAAACTTTAGGTCTTTCAATCAAGATGTTAACAGGTGATGCTGTCGGTATCGCTCGTGAAACTTCTAGACAACTTGGACTAGGCACTAACGTTTATAATGCTGAACGTCTTGGTCTTGGTGGAGGAGGAGATATGCCTGGTTCCGAGGTCTATGATTTCGTCGAGGCCGCTGATGGATTTGCTGAGGTTTTCCCGCAACATAAATACAATGTTGTTGAAATTCTTCAACAGCGTGGATATCTTGTGGCTATGACCGGAGATGGTGTTAATGATGCCCCATCACTCAAGAAAGCTGATACTGGTATCGCTGTGGAAGGCGCTTCCGATGCAGCTCGTTCAGCAGCTGATATCGTCTTCTTGGCTCCTGGACTTGGTGCTATCATCGACGCTCTCAAGACATCTCGACAGATTTTCCATCGCATGTACGCCTATGTTGTTTATCGTATTGCCTTGTCAATCCATCTTGAAATTTTCCTTGGTCTCTGGATCGCCATCTTGAATAGGTCCCTGAACATTGAACTGGTCGTCTTCATTGCCATTTTTGCAGATGTTGCAACTCTTGCTATTGCATATGATAATGCGCCTTTCTCCAAGACTCCTGTCAAGTGGAACCTTCCAAAATTGTGGGGTATGTCCGTTCTCCTTGGAGTTGTTCTCGCCATCGGCACCTGGATTACTCTCACCACCATGATTGCTCGCGGAGAAAATGGCGGTATTGTTCAAAACTTTGGTGTTCTTGATGAGGTTGTCTTCCTCGAGATCTCTCTCACTGAAAATTGGTTGATTTTCATCACACGAGCCAATGGTCCTTTCTGGTCATCACTTCCATCGTGGCAATTGACTGGAGCTATCCTCGTTGTCGATATTATTGCAACATTTTTCACGCTGTTCGGTTTCTTCGTTGGGGGTAGAACTTCGATTGTTGCCGTTGTCCGTATTTGGGTATTCTCCTTTGGAGTTTTCTGTATCATGGGTGGAGTCTATTATCTACTTCAAGATAGTTCTGGTTTTGACAACCTCATGCATGGTAAATCACCAAAGAAGAATCAAAAACAAAGATCTCTGGAAGATTTTGGTAAGTGGAGATCCCTGACTCTTATGTCATTTTTTGAGAACAAAGCGCTAACTTATACCTCTTTAGTCGTCTCACTCCAGCGTGTCTCCACACAGCACGAGAAGTCGGCTTAAAACTTTTAAACTCATAATTTACAGGCGCACATGAATTACGGAGCGTGCAGCTTTTACGGATATTCCCTCGTGTTATTAATTATTAGGTAGTTCGTGTGTATAAAACTTCAGACGGGCTCATAGGTATCAAAACTGCTTGCTATTTTTGCGCTCAAAAGTTCAAATTGCTACTTGCTGGGAAAAAAATTCGTGGTTTGTTCCCATATGGGGATCAACAGCGGTAACTTTTGGCACAAGAAGATTGAAGCAGGCATTTGAGCGTTTTAATCATTCCATATAGATGATAATAGCGTCATCCTAGAGTCTAAGAGTCTTAATTAATGAAAAATAAACTTTCTTGTGTTTTGTTTTTTTGGTGCTTGTGAATAGTGAATAGTGAGTAATAAGTGAACACTTAAAACTCATGAATAAAACCAAAAGCAAATAGAATTAACTAACCAACTATCATAACTAACTCCATATAACTTGTATCTTGTAATGTATAAATGAAAAATTAGAATAGAATGTATTCGTGACAACACATTCATCTTCCTTCCTCTCAATTCCCACTCTCCCTCCGTCCCTACCTAGGTATTTACTTTACAATCCATACTTTACAACCGACTAGTATTTAGTATTCTCTCTCTCTCTCTCTCTCTCTCTCTCTCTCTCTCTTTCTCTCTTTCTCTCTTTCTTTTCTTTTTTCTATCATTTCTTCTGTTTCTCCCCTTTTCTTTCTCGCCTTCTTCGCCGTCTCCCTTAGCCCTCTCCGGAAAAAAATAAATAAAGCAAACCATTCGATCGCTCGCTCGCTTCCCCTCTTTCTCTCACAAATCAATAAGAATGAAATCGATCCTCTCCCTCACAATTTTGCCATGGGTTTCTCATCCGCTAATGCTTCCTCATACATACGATCGATATGTTCTCTGAATTTCTTTGCCGTTTGTGGACGTTTGAGTTTGAGTCTGTGGGGTGTGAGTTTCGTTCATTAGCTATTGTAATATTATACTTATACTGGACTTGTTTTTTTGCAACTAGGCTAGGTTCCTCGGCATGAAATATTTTGTAGTAAGAAGAGAAAGGAAAGGAGACGGAAAAACTTACGTAGGAGTCAAAAGCTCATTTTCAATCGTAAAAGGCTCCACATCCACAAGAACATTCTTAACCTTCTCGTAACTATTAAACTTGCTCTTCTTTCCCACCCCATCCAACACTTTGACAAGTTGCATTCGAACTCTCTTGTCATTACCCGCTTCCTTAATCCCTTCAATATCATCACTCTTGATTTCTCTCCCGAGAATCTTGCTTACCCACGGCGCAAAAGTAACGGGGTCGACTCCGAAGATCGCAACTAGGAAAGCTTGCGTAGAATCACCATGGACATATGCTTGAGATAGGAGTGAACAATTGGCTAGGTATACGTTTTCGATACGTTCTGGCGAAATGTATTCGCCTTGTGCGAGTTTGAGAACGTTCTTGCGACGATCAATGATCTTGATACGGCCCATGCTATCAATTTCTCCGATGTCACCTGTGTGGAACCAACCGTCTGGGGTGATGGCTTTGGAGGTTTCCTCTTCGTTGCGGTAGTATTCGCGGAAACGGGCTGTGCCTCGAATAAGGATTTCACCGCGGGGGTTGGGACTGTCAGTTACGAGGTACTCCATGTCGGGGACGGATTCGAAGCATACTTCCACTGTGGGGAGGGGTGATTAGTTGAGTTTGGATTGAGGAGAAACTAAGGAGGAAACTTACTGGAAGCACTTACTCCTCCACAGTTACCGGTTGAGTAGTCATCGTCATATTGTACGATACCATGTGCATAGGTTTCTGTAAGGCCATAACCTTGGATGAACCTGTTGCCAAATGCAGCACGGAGGAATTGATGAAGACCTGGGTCAATTGGAGCACTTCCACTTACCATGCCACGAGTTCTCTGAAGACCGAACGCGCTGGCTAATTTAGGAGTCCAGACACGATCATAAAGTGCATGTTTGTTGGTGGCTTGTCCAGGTGGGAGTTTCATTGATGCAAGCTTGGTATTGATAATGTGACGACCAATTGAACCCTTGAGACCTGGAGCATCAATAGCGGCTGCTTTAATGGCGGATCCAAATCGATTGTAGAGTCGGGGAACGGAATTAAAAGTTGTTGGGCGAAGAAGCTTCAAGTCTTCGACGAGTCCAATGATATCACCACGGAAATATCCAATAGCAGATCCTACAGCGAGAGAGCCGTGTTCAGCAAGTCGTTGGTAAATATGTGCTAATGGAAGGTATGAACAAATAACATCGTTCGGTTTTGGGTCAGACACAATTCTCGTGACAGAAGTTGCTGCAACAGCGTTTGAATGGGTAAGGACCACACCCTTAGGGTTACCAGTCGTTCCAGAGGTATAGTTGATTGTGATAATGTCTTCCGGTCGAGGTGGGTTCATTGGGGAATTTGGAGATGCAGCTCCGATGGCCTCAACATCTCCAATATAATGGATAGCGATTCCAGCTTCAGCCGCAAGAGCATTCAAGATTGCGCCTTTGCTGTTTCCAGGTCTCTCTCCGTCATCCAAAGGATCCACAGAAATGATAAGCTTCAACGTAGGTATTCTTGGTGCTAATTTTAACAGGGTTGGAATGTGCGGTAAACTCGTAACAACGCAAGCAAGCGTGGCATGATTGACAATGTATTCTGTCGTATCTGGTCCGAGGGTATCGTAAATGGAGACCGTGAAGAGAGATTGTGACATGGCTCCCAAATCTATAAGTCATGTCAATCTCCACCCTTCAACGCACATAGCTATAACTCTAGGCTTCTTACCAACAATTTGCCATTCCGGGCGATTCTGACACCAGAGACCTACACCATACCTTTCATCTGTAATACCCGCCCTCTTATGAAGTTCTACCAAACCCACACCAAAGTTCTTTCTGCGCTGTGCCGTCTCCGCATATGAGATCCATTCATAATTGCCGTGAGTCTTTGTTGCCGGATCCCAAGGTCTATAACCCAAACATCTCGCATTTGGTCTCTTTTTGGCGGCCTTTTCAAAGAAATCATGACTAGTCAAACATTCTTGATCGACTGTTTGTAATAGCGGCTTGTCCACGAACTGATAATGTCTGTAAACAGCACTGCGACCTTCACGCGCACTACCTGGTATTGGAAGGGAGTATGGTGAACCAGGTGGAGGAGATGCTCGAACGGTCTGCACATAAGTATCGGGATCTTGTACTGTTGGTGCCATTGTGTCTGTCTAGATCTGAAAAGCAAGTATCAGTCAGTACTCAATGTTGAACAAAGGTTAGGAGGTTGGTGTTTGAGCGCAGGCCGCTGGAATTTACGAACCTTGTAAAAGTATGAAAGAGATAATAAAAGATAAAGATTATTCTATATAATATCTAGAATTTGTATCACAATGAAGATCTATAGAAGAAACAATAGTAAATCAACTCCAATGAACAATTGAAGTTTGTTTGTGGAATAAGTTTCACTCCAGAGGTGCATGTGAAGGAAATGGATAAGTGGCCCTACCCCGAGGCCTTGATGGGCCCCGTTTTCCTTTTACCTCGGCATCTGGACATTGTGCATATTCTAGAATGTGGAGAAGCTTTGTAGATCGCCGTCACAATTATAAAAGAATTGGAAATAACCGACAGGCTGGTATCCTGATACGGGGAAGAGAAGGGAGGAAAGTGGGCTTTTGATACATAATTAGACTTCATAAATTGTGCCATGAAGAAGAAAGTGTGAAGTTGGTCAGCATGTGGTGTTCGGTGAACGGAAGACATCTATATCCGATGATACTTGACCAAAGTATTCATTCATATCACAGCTGTTAGGAATTATTCCATCTCCATTTGAAAAATAAAAGTGACCACGTTTATTAGCTTTATTATTATTACTATGTAGCGAATGACATTTTGCAATGTATAAACCAGTATCTGGAATGGTGATTATCGAAATTGACCACGCAACAGCACGTCTACCTAGCCTAGCAACGGAGGTCTCCCGAATAGTTCAAAAAAAGGGGGATTATGTTAAATAACCAATTTCGCGTCAACACCAGTATCACCAGTCTTCCCGACGTTGGACTCGTTACCACCCGTTGTCTTCGCCGCAGATGCTGATTCGAATGATTGCTCGAAATCCTTGATTATATCATCAATATGTTCTGTGCCAACCGAAATTCTAATAAGATCCTAGAGAACCAGACGTTAGCTGGATACGAAACGTTACAGTCGAATGATTCCTTACCTCAGTGACACCAGAAGCCAACTTTTCATCGTCAGAAAGTTGTTCGTGGGTGGTAGACCATGGGTGAATAGCCAGAGTTTTTAAATCTCCAACATTAGCCAAGTTAGAAATCAGTTTGAAGCCATCAACCACCTGACTACCAGCTGCTCCTCCACCTTTAACTCCGAAACTCAGGACACCACCAAATCCACGGGGCAAGTATTTCTTAGCTAGCTCGTGGGATTCATGATTTTCCAACCCTGGATATGACACCCAAGAAACGTGTGGGTTCTTGTCAAGCCATCTTGCCAACGCCAATGAGTTCTGAGCATGTCGCTCTCCTCTCAAGCTCAAAGTTTCAAGACCTTGAATCAATTGGAATGCTCCAAATGGATTCAATGAACTTCCCAAGTCACGAAGAATCTCGACTCGTAAGCGAGTAAGGAAAGTATCAGGTCCAAACGTTTCCCAGAACTTTAATCCGTGATATCCATCAGATGGCTCAACCATCGCTGGGAATCGCTTGCCATTTTTGCCCCAATCAAATTTGCCTGAATCAATGACCACGCCGCCAATTGTAGTTCCGTGTCCTATTCCAAACATATTAGAAGATTTCACATGACCTAAAGGCAGAATATGTAATTACCGCCAATCCATTTCGTCGCAGAATGCACGACAATGTCAGCTCCGTGATCAATAGGCCGGCAAAAATAGCCACCTGCTCCGAATGTATTATCGACGACGAGAGGGACTCCATGGTCTAGATACACAGAATTAGTACTTTCTAGAGGCAAAAACGATGCTTAAGCAGCAAGACCGGGGTAGTCCTCGAATGTGATACTGCGCAGCAGCAAATCACTCACCGTGTGCAACTTTGGCAATAGCCTCGAAGTCGGGAACGTTATATTTTGGATTACCAATACTTTCGATGAAAACAGCTCTTGTATTTTCGTCAATAGCCTTCTTGAAGTCCTCTGCCTTATCTCCCTGGACGAATTTGGTCTTTATGCCCAATCTTGGAAGGAAAACCTTCAATTGATTGTATGTTCCTCCATAAAGGTTCGTCGTTGACACAATGTTATCGCCGGCATGCGCCAATGCGGCAAAGGTCACTCGAAGGAACTGTTAGCAAGAATTCGCTAATTGTATGCATAGGGATGTGTAGTGAATTATTGTCTTAATGATTTGGGATGAGTGAAGGACTCGGGAGAGAGATTAGTTAGGGTGACATACTAAATTGAGCTGCTTGGCCAGATGAAGATGCAACCGCGCCTCGTCCATTCTCAAGTGCTGCCATCCGCTTTTCAAAAACATCGACAGTCGGCTATCGCCAAGTCAGCTAAGATTTTGGTGTTATACTTGGCGATGAAATCTTGGAAATAGAATTGAGATGCCAATTTTGAAGGGAAAAGTGCCACCCGCAAAACTTGGGATGCCAACGTTCATTGCAGACGTTGCCAATTTTGAGAGATCGGATGCCAAATCCTCAACAACTTCTCTTGGACTTTCAAATAGAATGAAACTTTGGCAATACATACGTTCATAATACGACTGTAGATATTTCCAGGCTCCTGGAGGCCAAACAACCTAGCTCCATGAGCAGAGTCATTGAATGTGTAGCTCTGTACATTTGGACTTTAGTTCTTGGAATCATATATCCTATTGATAAGAGTAACTGACTGTAGTAGCATAGATTGGTACAGCTCTCGCATTTGTTGCAGAATCTGGTTCATGTCTATACAATCGACGTAGTTCTGTTAGCTTTATCCTAGGACTGCGGGGAGATGGCACAGCACGAACCCAGCGTGGAGCTGCAGAGTCTCAAAATGAGTACTTTCAACTGGTGCCATTTTGATTGATTCCTAGGTATTCTTCAATTCTCGAGAGTTTGGTAAAAAAGTTGCTGGAGATTGAGACTTTACAGGAGAGAAGAAAAAGACCTCGGAAAGGGTTTATAAGTCAATTGGGCAAAAGATCTTTGTTCTCAAATAATTAACTCTTTCCGATGGTACCTTACAAACCCTTGGTGATCATTCATAGTGGGGTAATACATTCAATTACCCTTTACAGTAAGCAACAGTGTACATTGCATTGGCTTAAGCACGCCATTTTCTTTCATCATTGGGAATGAATGAAGAGAACGGAAACTTTGGGTTGAAGCTGGGCAATATTCTGTTGAGAATAGTTTGGCCTGAATAGCTTCATTATTCCATGTCCTCAACGACGTCTTGAGATTTAGAGGTTGCGTGCTTACTCATCCGACTCTAGATTGATTTGTAGTTCTAGAAAACTTTTAGCCCAAGTTTTGACCTCATGTAATAAAAACATCACAGCTCGAAACAATCCATTGGCCCACTAAGCCCCATTACCAAAATGCAAAATGACACAACCTCTTCATGTTGCTTTCAGGTTATCCACTCAAACTTAATCCAGCCCACTACTGACATCGTCGCTTTGTCTTTTCAAATGCGACATTGCGTCGTGATGTTCTCTCGTACCTGCAGATGATACATACACTCTTCTCACTATCGGTACGCACTACTAGTCTACTACGAAGACCCGATACGGCACTTCAATAGCAATATGGAGGGAGTATATAGACTGTGATGCAACCCCGCGTCCAAGCATTTCAATATCGTGGCTTTCAAAAGTCTCATGATCCACTACCTTCAAACGAAGAGCTCAATGAAAGACCCTCAACCTGGCGATTCCTTCTTGGCAACACAACGCTGACACTCTTGGAAGTTCTTGGGAGGCGGCAACAGAACTTACTTGTATACTTGCAGCTTGAGATGAGTATTTTCCTTTTTAAGCTTTGCGGTTGAGTTAGGAGATTTGTGTTGGAGCAGACGTTTCATGCTTTGAGAGAAATAGAAAGCTGTTAACCTTAGATGTCCGAGCGGATAATTCTCAACTTTTTGACAGAGCGTATTCGAGTTTCAATTCGTCGCTATTCTTGTTATTCAGTTATACAAGGTCGTACAATCATCGTTTTGTCACTTTATCGGCGGGATAGAATCTTTTCTTATAGGTGGATATTTAAGGATGAGTGTGCTTGAAATAGTCAGCCCAGTGTCTAAATTGCCCTACATATGGCGGAGACGCAAGCGGGCGTCTCTACACTGTACTCTATATCAAGGACATCGAGCGTTAATAATTATCATTGGCTATAGAACCTTGCCCCTTCAATCATGCCGAAGATCCTTGTCTCCGTAGGGAAGTTGATCTGTGCGATAGATTGATATACCGTTTCAAACATGATTCAAAGTTTATGCATCTTTTCCACTTTGGCTGCAATGGAAACCCTTCGGCCTTCAGACTTTGACTACTTATTTCTTTTGTAATTATAATATCAGTCTGCGAGTCTTCTGCATTTCTCCATCTTTTACTTGATCTCCACCTGTCATTCTCCATTTGTATACACTTTCTTCAATTCACTCACTATACGCGCGCACAAGTTGCAGCTGCTTTTCCCCACGACTTTCATAAAAGAATACATACGATTGTTTCACGATAACTCAACTTCTCAAATAACGATACCTTGATTTCAAAATGGCGATCGGATTACTTCTCCCTATTCGAATTGCTCAAGCAGTATTCGCTATCGTCGTACTGGGCTTATCTGGATATGGTATGAGAAGCATTGATAGGTAGCATACCACGGGATGACTACTAACATATCACATAGTTTCCCACTGGTACAATACCGATACTTTGACTGCATCTCCTTCTCAAATCAACTTCTTGGTCTTCGTACCTGTGTTTACCTTGATATCCATTGTCTATCTTGAAGTTGCACCCCGCTTCATGTCAAAAGGTACCTTCCTCCCACAATCAAGAGTTGATATGAGTATCGACTATTATTTTCTAACACTCACAAGCATCTCACCCATACATTCATCTCGGAGTCGAACTCCTCAACGTTCTTTTCTACTTCGCAGGCTTCATCGCACTCTCCGTCTTCATCGGCAGACTTCTCTTCTGTCGTGGTTCTGTCTGTGGAGCAGCTCGTGCCGATGCAGTTTTCGGTGCTTTCAGCTGGTTGCTCTGGATGGGAAGTAGCGCAATTCTCGCATTAGAGATGTTCAAAGGAGGAAGATCGAAACCCTACCCAAAACCAAATATGGCCATGAAGGAAACGATGAATCCAGTATAAATACTTATATGATGGATATATAATCAAGATTCTTAGATACATGCTAGGGTTTCATCGAAGATGTTCAGAAATGGTACTCGGATATGATGAATGAGAAGTCTTGATGACGTTGCTCTCTTTGACCGTAACATTGGGACTGTGGAATAGAGCTCGGTAGAAGGAAAAGGTGGAGCACTCGAATATCATGGAGTTGGTTGGGAATTAAGTAGATAGCAGCTTGGACTGGCTGTTTATGATTTACACAAATGCTTCGCGAAATAAATAATATAGAAACCTTTTTATCATCATTATCATTCTCTGATGAAATCTTCAGCAAGCTATTTGATATAAGTCTTATGTAATATATCTTTCATTTTCTTGTAAGATCTTAATATCAATTGTTCTCGATAACACTGATTATATTAACACAATCGATACCATAAACCACACCATAATCCACATCATAAACCACGAAAAAACAAAAAGAAAATCCCAAGACTTATATATAACCTATCCCCCCGAATCCTTAAGAAAGATACTCATTCATTTCAATACTATTATCATTTTCAACTCTAGAATACAAAGTTTCTTATTTATTTATTCAAGTAAATTATTATTAGATATAATATAATATAATATAAGATTATCTAAGTATTAAAATATAAATATATAAATATAAATAAAACCCCTTTAATTTAGGTGATGTGATGGGAGATTATACTTATGAGATGTGTAATTATGAGATACTTATTCGAGGTATAGCCTGTTTTTCGTATTTAAGATGTAAATCTTATATGTAGTATGTTAACTTCGTTGCTGTTTTCAAAAGGACTTTTTGATCAGAGAACTCAGAAAGGTAAGTTAATAAGAAAGAGCCTCTACTACCTAGTACTTAATGTCCTATCACAGAAAAATATATGCGTCCTTACTAGTTGATATATAACATATATTGTATTTTAAATAGAATTACAGTAAATCCAGGTATCTTGCTAAAGCCCTATATGAGCTTAACGAAACATGAGCACGCGTCCATATAATCCCAACCCAGCCATTCTATTTATCTTTGAATTCCTGTGAGAAGATCTTCTGCCAGAGATCCATCCACTTTTGTTGCTGTATTGTGAGGGCCTTTCCCGGTGTCTTGAAAGACTTGGTGAGTATATCTCGTAGACGAGCTCGCATGGTTTTAATAGCAAGCATGGTTTTCCAGTCGGATACGGCAAATCGAGCTCGGTTGCCATCTAGTATGAAAACACCAGAGTACATCTGGAGTAATATTAGTAGGTCATTCTAATAACATACTCAAAGCTGGAACTTACATCACAACGGACATCTCCGCAAAGAAGGGCAATTGAGAATTCTTCCACGGCGGTTGTTTCATGGGCATTGTAAAATCTACTTGAGCTTAGTGGTGATAAGGGATAAGATTTTAATGAGAACTTACTGCTTGGCCTGCATGATATGATAGTAGGAGAGCCATTTGAGCTCGTGATGACCCTTATTTACGGAAGTAGGATGTAAACTAATGGATTGATTATTGGCGCAGTTGCGGAAGCCTTTACCATCCCGGATAAGAAGTTTTGGATAGAAACTCCAGCCAATCACAGACGAGACAATTATATCATTATCACTGTTTGCGTTAATGCGAAAGGGTATCTCAAAAAATTGTCGACGCCGACTCGAATAACGTGTCCTATACCAGTTAGCCTTTATTCAGGAAACAAACCAAAATCATGTACCTATTTAGGGCAGTCCTCTCAGCCTCTGTGAGTGGGAGAAAGCCCGAGTCCACAAGACAGACCACCAATTGTCCTTTCAAGTCTTCAATATTCGATAGAGTTTGCTGGCTAAGAAAGTTCTTGCGACAAAATTGGTATTCAGAGCCATTGGCAATGCAAACTTTTTTCCAGGCTAGGTATGCATTGTAAACTGTCAAAAGATCAGAATCACCTCTTCTAAAGGCAAGCCTGACAGTATCCGCTTGTTGGCGTTGTCCAAATGGAGCCGAGAAGGGTGACTTTGATGATAAAATAGCAGCAATTGTGACTACTGCATCGAGACATTTGAAAACACTACCAAGGAGCATAAGCTTTCCCAAGAAGACGTCGAGTGGCAACCGAGCTAATTGAACGCCTAATGGTGTTAGATCTTCCCCTGCAGTAAGTGCTCTAACATCTACAAGCGCATCAATGGCACGTCGGATATTCTTAGCAGACGGGGGATCCAACGCTTCGCTTAATGTCTCCTCGATGCCTCCTAGCTTGCAAATCTTGACTCGAATGGCAAGATCTTGAAGGGATAAACGAAGAAATTCTGGGGTTTGTTGATCGGCCATCACTTCATCATGTCTATATTTTGTGAAAAGATGGAAGCACAGTCCCTCCTGGACTCTTCCAGCTCTACCCCTTCTTTGCTTGGCATTTGCCTTGCTAATGAAAGTTTCTAATAAACGAGAGAGCTGTCTCCTCTCATCAAACCTCATCTCGCGATGCTTACCAGTATCAATTACACAAGTGACGTCTGGAATGGTGATACCAGTTTCAGCTATGTTGGTAGCCAGAACTATTTTTCTTATTCCAGGTGGCGGTACAAGGAAGGCAGCTTCTTGATCCTCACTAGCTATAGTCGAATGTAAAGGGTATATATACCAATCGGACGAGAATGCTGGGTGTCCGCAGAGCATGTCATTCAAAGTTCGAATCTCAGCAATACCTGGAAGAAATACGAGGATAGCCTTTGCGTGGTTAGTACGATTCAAAGTAATGCTCAGAGAAGTTGGATTCAATTTTTGGCGGAATGCTAATACATCAAATGTTGCAAAGCGGGGCTTGAATATGTACCAAACTTACCTTGCTATACATCACCAATCGGTCGTCAGAAGCGATCTTTGCAATCAGTTGAGTAACGAGATCAAATTCAATCCGATACTCATCAAACTGTGCAATAGTGTTACGAGTTTTATTGCTGTATCCTCTTAAAGCCTTTGTACTTTCATTCTTCGTTGTCTCATTGGAATTCACATCCGCGAGTTCAACGTCGTCATCAAGGTCAGTATATTTCTCTTGCAGGCCATTATCAAGAGAAAAGCCTGTAAGTTCAACAGCATCTTCGAGATATTTGACCTGGACAGGGAATGTACGTCCTGGAACGTTCAAGACCGGAGCACCATCTAGATACTTTGAAAAGCGATCGGCATCGACCGTTGCAGACATCAAAACGACTTTCAAATCAGGTCTGCGTACCAACAGCTTTCGGAGGACAATGAGGAGAAAATCGCTGTCTATTGTACGCTCGTGGACTTCATCAAGGACGATATGCGTAATATCTCTGAGATCATTCGACCCCTCGAGCATTCGCATCACGATTCCAGTGGTAGCGTAGATAAGGCGAGTCTCTTTTGATGTGTTGGACTCGAGTCTAATGGCATACCCTACTAGTGAGCGAGGTGTACCAAGGTCGCTCTTGCGTTCACCAAGTTCTTCACTGACACGTCGAGCAAGAGAGATCGCGGAAATACGTCGAGGCTCTGTGCAATAAATCTTACAAGGCTGTCCTCTCGATAACTGGTGCTCGAGAATGAATGCTGGTACCTGCGTACTTTTCCCACACCCAGTCTCGCCACAAACAATAACTACCTGTGAACGATCTATAGCACCGAGGACCTCATCTTTGAACGACCACATAGGTAGCTGCATCCGAGATTGGAGCATGTGTTGATAACTTTGCGACGAGCATTTTTCAGCCCATATTCTCTGATATGTTTCTGGAGCAAACCCTGCTTTAAGACCTTTGTCTATAGAAGTATCCTCGTTACCAGTGGTCCGGAGTGCCCCTCGATTTCGGAAGGCACCATGTATCAAAACACCATCTTCTAATTCTTGATCTCGCTTTGCACGAACCAAATCACGGAATGTCTTGATGGCATTGCGATCCTCTTCATCGGATTTCTCCTTTTTAATCTCGGCAAATTCAGTCCAAAGATCACGCCATACTGCTGGTAAACGCAAAGAAACTTTGTCCTCCCTTGCTGACGATCCAAAAATGAGAAACAGTGCAGTGGTGGCAATATATGCTTCGGATTGGCGAGAATCTGGCGTGGATACCGAAACCATAGTAAAACTTTGCAATTTTGGACTAGAAGCATATTCGACTTGGGAGAGGGGTGTATCTGCAAGCAGATCCTGTGATTTTGACCAGGTGATTCGAAGGTTGTGACGATTGGAATAACTGGCATCGGAAATGAGAGTGTAGACCAATCTTACTGAAGAGTCCCTGTTGCCATCCTGTTAGCGTGGTCATCTCTAATAGATTTTGGGTCAGTCACCTTGCTCGACATGCTTCCTCCAGCGCCCTGGTTGGATTGATGCCTGACCACTTCCCAAAGTCTCGAACAGTGACCTTTGTCCCGTCCTTACCGTTAATCACCGTACTGCTTTTACCAGTTAGAGGATCCACTTCGTTGACGGGTAAGCTAGCAAAAAGATCAGCTAGCGCCGCATCTTCGTCGCTACCGGTCTCCTCAAGCATAGCTTTGCCAATCGCAGCTGCTTCTCTACTGATTTCATCATCAGAGTCCACAGAAATATCAGACTCCTGCGGTTCCTTATCAAATGCAGCCAACTCGGAGGCCCGTTGGGTAGCTGCATCCCGCTCAAGTCTTATTCTTTGGGCATTCCATTGCTGGTCTGCAAGATATTTGTCAAACAAGACGTCATCCTCTATTCTCTTAAGCTTCCTTGCCAGCCTGGCTGACTCTGCATCAATAGGACTTCCATTGTTTTGTAGTTTCTGGGCACCCTTTTTGCTATTTGAACGAATATCAGTGGAAGGTTTTGAGCTTTGGAGTATAAACATCTTTTCTTTTGTTTTCAGGTATACTGGGAGGAGGTCATCCGGATCAATATCACTGTCATAATCTATTGTGGCTGCTTTTTTACTGTTTTCTTGCTTCTTTCCGTTACGAGGGGTATTCCCGCTATTTTGAATTGAAGATGGGAAATGCCTCATGTCTGATTCGAGTCTTGGTGTAGTAGTTCCCGAGGCCATAGGGCTATCAAATGGAGTACCTAGAACGAAAATTATTAGTTGTAGTAGAGTAAACACAATATGGCTGTTACATACCATTTTGAGACTTTTGGGAAGATGCCAATCTGCGATGTGAATTCTGGTAGTCTGGCAATTCGTCCCTTGAACATTCACGGGAAAGCCACTCCAGTGATTCTTCCATGCCCCAAATTGTGTCCTTGTTGCTACTACCAATCTTATCCGAAATATCCAAAACATGCTGCAGAGCCAGTAATACTTTATCTGCTACAAACCCGACCCCAACAAGGGATTGTTGTAAAGTCCAAAGCCGAATTGCAAGGTCCTCTTCCGATATCTGCTTCATCGAGGTCGTGTCTGTTGCTGGACCAGAAAATCGTCCTTCCATTTTTATTAAATCCAAAACCTCTTCCATAAGCTCAGGGGGGAGCCATTTTCTTGTATTGAGAGTTTCTGCTTGACCTCGCAGAACTCTACGATCGGTTTCTAATCGCGTCTTTTGCCGGAGGGCATCTCTTTTTGACTTCTGTGAATTTTTCTCGACGAGTATTTGGAGTTCGGAATTCTCGAGTTGCTTCTCAAACTCTTCGGGTGTCAGATTCGACTTTTGATCCGAAGTTCCATTTCCCGCGACTTCTCTAGTGTTGTCTCCCAGCTGTTGACTCTCCGTTGTATCGATGGGCTCGTCTGCAATGTCCTTTTCTTGCGCAGCTTCAATTGCTTCATTTTTGGGTTTCGAGGCAATTGAGGTGGTAGCAAAGCCTCTGGCTGGATTTGTAGCTGGCTTCTTCTTCTTCTTACCACCAGCCATCTTCTAAAAATGTCTTGATAACTGGCGATTGGAGTGTTTTTGGTCGATGTAAATATTAAAGTGCATCAATGCAAACGCCCAAGCTACGCCAAACGCGGGGCCAAGTACAGTGGGGTCGGGCCGCCTATATTTCGTTACAGTGAAATTACCAGGGCGTCATTTCTCTCCAACTTTTTCTTCGGGTCGCGATAACATTAATCCAGATTGAATAATAGTCACTCTCGAGGACTTGCAACCAATATAAACAGATATACGAGCAGCTCACTGGATACTTCATTAAGTTACTTGAAAAGGCCAGCAGGTCATGAGAGATTTTGGAGGTATACAAAATGTCTGAGGTGGAGATCAATGGTCATAATGAGGGGGTAGATTTGGACCTTGCACTCACAAAGGCTGCACTCACTTCCTCTTCTACAAATCTGCGGTTGGCTCAGTTGAAATCCATTGAGGAAAGAATTTCAAAGAAAGGTATGTGAATGCTGTGCTTTGGACCAACGTTCTTTGAATCAACCGCTGACAAAACTTCGTGTATAGAGCTTGATTCAAACCTTTTCCCTGTTCTTCTGCAACTTTTATTTTCCACATATCCATATTATCACGACAGAGATTCGCGGCTTGCTGTTCAGCTTTGTATACGACATATATTCGATTCCGATTGCGAATATGAGTTACTGTCCAGTTTCTTAAATGCTTTAGACACCGAAACTAGGAAGGTGGGGCTGGCTCCTAGTAATGCGTTTGTGTTAGTCGAATATTGTAGCGCGATATTGCAAGTAACTACTACTGATGCCAGATGGAAGAGCTGGGGTTTATTAGTTGTGGTTGGTAATGCGCGAACGCTTGAATTATGCATTACATCGAAACATAGAGCTTCTGCACTCAAAACTACATGGCGAGGTCTACGGAAAGTTTTTCAAAGCGATGTTTTCCAAACTGCAATCGGGGACAGTGTCCAGAAATTGAGCTCCAAAGAGGCCCAACCTTCCTCTAAAAATGCTGTGATGATAGGGGCAATTTCCGGAGTGTGTGCCAGGAAACCACAAGCAAAGCTGGTATTGGAAAGCAAGAAGTCTCTAATATACAGCTATTATACGCGCGAGATTATAGCTTCCAGGACTCAGCTACCTCCACATATTGCCAGTGCTCTGAAAGACTTCTTTGTGGACTTTGCAACTCAGGAAGATTTTGAGCGAGAAATAGTACCATCCCTTGAGAAGGCGCTGCTAAGGGCTCCTGAAATTGTACTAAACGACCTTGTCACGCCACTCTTCCAGTCTCTACCTAGCTCAGTAGATCTCTCAAGTGTTCTTCGAACTAAGCTTTTGAAACCTATCCTATCTAATATCAAATCCACCAACCCCACAATTCGTCAAGGAGCCCTATCTGCATTCAGAGCAATTGTACCCAAATGTCATGATGAAACTTCGATTGCCCAAGTGTCAGAAGAGATACTGACGCCACTAAAAGGAGGCAAAATCTCCGCGGCAGACCAGAGAGCTAATTATGCAGAAATGCTTTCAATTTTGCCAGTCTCCAAGTCAAATGCTTCGACAGCTATCGGTCTTGCGGCGATTGCAGGAAAGGAAGCAAACGAAGCTGCACTATCAGCAGAGACATTCGCGCTGTTACACTACCTCAAAAAGAGGGTACAAAATGAATTCCCTTTGGACAAATCTATCATTGGCGCCTTTACGAAAGGTCTTTCTGATAAAAAGGTTCCCGTAAAGAAACTATGGACAATCCGCCTTGGAGAATTGCTTTGGGATACTGAAGAGTCTGATCTATCTGAGTCGAAACAATTAGCAGAAGAAACCGCAACAGCATTGGTAGATACATGGCAAGAAATTACCGCGAATTCCATACCTGCAGCCCAATCTGGCCTTATCGCTGCAGCCTATGTCGTTGCAGCGATCTCACAGGCGAAATTGGGAGTTATTTCAGTTGCGAAGGTTGACGCGGCATTAAAAAAGGCTCAAGTATCGCATCAATCACTAGCTATGGAGCCTAAGCCATCGTTTTTACTGAATCCTCGCATTTACAGCAAGCTTTCTACTTACGATGATTATATGTGGTTCGTGAGAGCTTTATTTGCCTTCCCGGATCAGCTTGCTTCACTCGACCCGGCATCTTTGTCCGCTACTGGTTGGTCTCAAGCTGTCATATTTTCTATATGTTCTCCAAATGTCCATTATGATGTCAGAAGACATGCCTCTCATCTACTTTCCCAACTTTATGTCCGCTTTCCTGGTAATGTATCCAAGATCCTCACATTTGGTTTGTGGAAATGGCTACAATCTATCGAGCTTGGAGAAAAGGACAGCGCTCCAATATCGGCAAAAACAGAGAGTGAGAATCTGCATTTAGTACTGAAAGCTATTTGTTTGACACCAGCAGAAATTAATCGTCGTGGTGGTATTGTGGACCAAGCAGTAGTCAAGGACCAGATGGTCTCACTGTTGGTTATTTGTCGATCAGAACTACTCCCAAGAGTGAGTTGGATAGAGTTGTGCTTGAAAGCTGATGTCGATCCTGGTAACCTTGCTAGGGAAAGGGGAGATGACTTGGTGAAGCAGATTCTGGACATTACAAGCATTCAGGACGCGGGTGCCGTGCCACGATCAAAGGTAGTCAAAGATGCTGCATATAATGCCGCTGCTGAGCTTGCTTTTGTTGCCCCTGATGATATGACACCACGAATTGTAGAGCTTATTGAGCAGGACCTTGATGCTACGCAGCTCGCCAATGTTGGTCCAACAGAGGCGGCAATTTTCCGCACCCCAGAAGGAACAGCTTTTGTAGATGTATTAGCCTCTAAAGCTCAAAGTTACGTTCCCAACAAGAACACTAAAGATTACGATACCTTGAAATGGGAAGAGGAGCTCCGAGCCTCATTGGCGAAAAAGAAGGGCCAACAGAAGAAGCTTACACCGGAAGAAACAGCCAAAGTCAAAGCTCAACTGTCAAAAGAATCAGAAATTAGGCACCAGATTCGTGCTCTGGAGTCAAGACTTTTACGTGGAGTTGGAATCATCAAAAGTCTGGCAACCGGCCCTCCAACAGAAGCCTCTCTATGGATGGGACCTGCTGTTAGAGTTTTGATAAAGGTAATGAATGCTGGTGCTGGATTAATTACAGGTTCAGCTGCCCCGGATGCTTACATACTCTGTGCCGAAAGAGTTTCTAGTCGCATAGGTATCCTCCGTTCATTTATTGGATTAGCAACTCTCAGAGCTATGAATGTTCCACAGTTGCCAGAAGCCCTCACACAAGAACCACTCGGGGCCCTTATTACACGTGTATTGTATCGCCTAAGATTCTCGGCAGAACAACGTCCGTTTGATACAGTCTCCCTTATCTATGTTCTCCCTCTTGTCTTCTTAGTTCTTCGCGATGGCGGATTTGGAGAGAGCGATGATGCGGAGGCTCAACTGGTTCTCGCCCTGGAATTCCTTTCTTTTCACACTGATGCCTGTTCCGACGTTCTGGTTCCCCGAGACGAAGTTCTCTCCACATTGATATCGTCGATGCAGGCCTACAATCAGCATTACAAAGCAATCAAAGATTGCCTGTCAGATCTATGTAGGTGCATCGCACCCAACATTACCGATAAGGAGATTTCTATTCTTGCTCAAGGGGCCATTGTTCCGCAAGTCGCTGTACGAACCTCAGTATTGCAGTCAATAAGTGCAGAGATTGATATGAGTGAGCTCGACTTCTCTAATGAGATGTGGCTAGCGTGCCATGACGATGTGGAAGAGAATATCGAGCTTGGACGAGAAATTTGGGAGGAAAGTGAATTCAAAATATCTACCGAGTCACCATTTAGGATGTTGCCCTATCTCGAAAGCTCAGATAAGCAACTTCGCCGAGCTGCAGCCAGATCTATTGCCGAAGCTGTGAAGATACAGCCTTCAACATTCAAGGATATTCTTAGCCGTCTGCAGTCCTCCTATACGGAGCTAGCAAAGCCTCGACTTCCTCAACTAGATGAGTATGGAATGCCCAGGAAGATGGATCTCTCGGACCCATGGGAGGCCCGAAATGGTGTTGCACTTGCATTCAGAGAACTTGCTACCGTTTTTGACGAATCACTTCTTACACCGTTCCTTAGCTTCTTAATCGAGGGTCCACTGGGTGATAGGAATTCGGCCGTCAGAGAGGAAATGGTTGAGTCCGCCACAGCAATCATAGCTGTCCACGGCAAGGACAAAGTGGAAGAACTGATGGAAACCTTTGAACGCACACTCGAGACACCGGATAAAGGCTCCGAGTTCTCAGATAGAGTAAACGAGGCTGTGATCATTATGTATGGTGCCCTGGCACGACATCTGAAAGCTGGCGATGAACGTGTGCCGAAGGTTGTAGACAGGCTTTTGGAGACCTTGAGTACCCCATCCGAGACGGTGCAATATGCCGTGGCGGAGTGCTTGCCACCACTAGTCCGTGCATCAAAGGAGAACATTTCGGATTACATTCAGTTGGTCCTCGACAGATTGTTCAATTCAAAGAAATATGCTGGCCGACGTGGTGCCGCGTATGGTCTTGCAGGTATTGTTAATGGAAAAGGGATCTCCGCTTTACGAGAACACAGAATAATGCTTACACTCAGAGGTGCCATTGACAATAAGAAGGATGTCAATCACCGGGAAGGAGCTCTGTTGGCTTACGAGCTTCTGTCCATGATTCTTGGCCGCATTTTTGAGCCTTACGTTATACAAATTGTGCCCCAACTGCTCTCGAGCTTCGGTGATTCCAGCGCAGACGTTCGTGAGGGCTGTTTAGCAGCAGCAAAGGTGTGCTTTGCGAGCTTAAGTTCATACGGAGTGAAGCAGATTTTGCCAACTTTACTTGATGGTCTTGATGATGACCAATGGCGAAGCAAAAAAGGAGCCTGTGACCTTCTGGGTGCCATGGCATACCTTGATCCTCAACAACTAGCCCAGAGTCTTCCCGAAATCATTCCACCTCTTACCGGTGTATTGAATGACAGTCACAAAGAAGTGCGACTTGCTGCTAACCGCAGTTTGAAACGATTTGGAGAAGTTATCAACAATCCCGAGATCAAGAGTCTCGTGGATGTCCTCCTCAAGGCTCTCAGCGATCCAACTAAATACACGGATAATGCTTTGGACTCGCTTATCAAAGTATCCTTCGTACATTATCTGGACTCTCCTTCCCTTGCTCTTGTTGTTCGTATTCTTGAGAGAGGCTTGGGCGACAGGTCGGCAACCAAACGAAAGTCTGCACAAGTTATAGGTAGTCTTGCCCATTTGACAGAAAGAAAGGACCTTGTATCCCACCTACCAATTTTGGTTGCCGGGTTAAAGATTGCGATTGTTGACCCCGTGCCAACTACTCGTGCAACTGCATCCAAAGCTCTTGGTTCTCTCATCGAAAAACTGGGAGAAGATGCTCTTCCAGATCTTATCCCAGGTCTCATGCAAACACTCAAGTCAGATACTGGCGCTGGAGATCGACTCGGATCTGCACAAGCACTAAGTGAGGTACTTGCTGGCTTGGGTACAGCCCGCCTCGAAGAGACACTTCCCACAATTCTCCAGAATGTTGCTTCATCTAAACCTTCCGTTCGTGAAGGCTTCATGTCGCTGTTCATATTCTTACCTGTATGTTTCGGAAACAGCTTTGCCAACTACCTTAGTAAGATTATCCCACCTATTCTCTCTGGTTTGGCAGATGACGTTGAATCGATTCGCGACACGTCTTTGAGAGCCGGTCGTCTTCTTGTCAAGAATTTTGCCACGAGAGCCATTGACCTCTTGCTTCCTGAGCTGGAGAGGGGTCTTGCAGATGATAATTACAGAATCCGTCTCAGTTCTGTCGAACTGGTTGGCGACCTTTTGTTCAATCTCACCGGAATTAGTGCGAATACAGAACAAGATGAGGCCGAAGAAGGTGCACAAGAAGCTGGTGTATCCTTACTCGAGGTACTTGGCGAGGAGAAACGCAATAAGGTACTGTCCTCATTGTACATTTGTCGATGCGACACTTCTGGTCTCGTTCGAACAGCAGCTGTCAATGTTTGGAAAGCTCTTGTGGCGAGTCCCCGTACTCTTAAGGAACTTATTCCTACGCTCACACAACTCATCATTCGACGGTTGGGAAGTTCCAACATGGAGCAGAAGGTTATTGCAGGTAATGCACTGGGTGAGCTGATCCGCAAAGCGGGCGATGGAGTTCTCTCAACCTTACTGCCTACTCTAGAAGATGGCCTGCAAACTTCTACGGACACAGATGCTAAGCAAGGAATATGTATTGCACTCCGTGAATTAATTTCATCGGCCTCTCCAGAGGCGCTGGAAGATCATGAGAAGACATTGATCTCGGTCGTCAGAGTTGCTTTGATAGATTCAGATGATGAGGTCCGGGAAGCAGCAGCTGAAGCCTTCGATTCTCTACAGCAAATCCTTGGCAAGAAAGCTGTCGACCAGGTCTTGCCATATCTCTTGAGCTTGCTCCGTACTGAAAACGAGGCTGACAATGCCCTGTCTGCACTCTTGACCTTATTGACCGAAACGACAAGATCAAACATCATCCTTCCTAACCTCATTCCTACTTTGACTACCTCGCCTATATCTTCATTCAATGCTAAAGCACTTGCCTCACTTTCTACTGTTGCAGGGCCAGCTATGGCAAGAAGACTACCTACTATATTGAATTCACTGATGGATAACATCATTGCTTCTAAGGACGATGATCTCAAGGCAGATCTAGAGTCATCTTTTGACACGGTCGTCCAATCCATTGACGAATTTGATGGTCTCAACGTGGCTATGAATGTTCTCCTTGCATTAGTGAAGCATGATGATCATCGCAGAAGAGCAAACGTGGATTATCGTCTTGCAAAGTTCTTTGCTGCAGCTACAATTGACTACTCTCGCTACAACCAAGATATTGTACGAGCACTGCTTGTTTCTTTTGACGATAGAGATCCAGAAGTAGTCAAGGCCGCCTGGGCGGCACTTTCAGAGTTTACTAAACACTTGAAGAAGGAAGAAATGGAAGCACTTGTTTATTCGACAAGGCAGACTTTACAACATGTCGGTGTACCTGGATCTAACTTGCCTGGTTTCGGGCTACCAAAGGGTATCAACGCAATCCTACCCATCTTCTTGCAAGGTCTTATGAACGGTACTGCTGAGCAGCGTACTCAATCTGCTCTGGCTATATCCGACATAGTTGACCGTACCAGTGGAGATTCTTTGAAACCGTTCGTCACTCAAATTACTGGACCCCTTATTCGAGTCGTTTCTGAGAAATCTGTTGATGTTAAAGCTGCCATTCTTTTGACATTGAACGGTCTGTTGGAAAAGATCCCGACATTCCTAAAACCCTTCCTTCCACAATTGCAACGTACATTTGCCAAGTCTTTGGCCGACACATCAAGCGAAGTCCTCAGAACTCGTGCTGCCAAAGCGTTGGGTACTTTGATTACTTTAACTCCAAGAATCGATCCCTTAATTGCCGAATTAGTGACAGGTTCAAGGACTTCGGACTCCGGAGTCAGGAACGCTATGCTTAAGGCACTATATGAAGTTATCAGTAAAGCTGGTGCTAATATGGGAGAAGCTTCGCGCAGCGCGGTGCTTTCGTTAATCGACACCGATGCAGAGGATAATGATGTGTCTATGGCCATCACTAACGCCAAACTCTTGGCAGCGTTGATCAAAAACCTTACGTCTGAGAACGCTTCAGGGCTGATTAAGAACCGTGTCATGACAACCCATTTCACTCCATCTACAGTTCTCGCTTTGAATGCTGTCCTTGTCGAAGCACCATCGTCATTGACGGAAACTGCCTTTGCTGATGATCTACCGGAAGTCATCTGCCAAGGCATGTCAAGCAAAAATGTTAGTATGATTGTATCAATTTGAAGGTTTAAAGCTAATTCATTGGATAGGACTTTATCTCAGAGAACTGTATCCTCGCCGCAGGAAAATATCTCCTTGCTGAGACAGCCAACCATGAATTTGAGGCGACCAAACCAATATTTGAGTCATTAGCAAAGTTGATTCAACCAGGGAATACTGCAGATGCTCGTCGTCTGTCACTTGTAGTGATTCGTACAATATGTCGCCACCAAAGCGACGCAGTTCGACCACATCTTCCTATGCTCGCCACGCCTGTATTTGCAGGTGTTCGGGATGCTATCATTCCCGTCAAGCTAGCAGCAGAAGCAGCATTCCTCGCATTGTTCAATGTTGTTGAAGAAGAAAGCAAGATATTTGATAAATACATTGCAGCTCAAGAACTGCCACCGAACCAAAAGAGAAGCATGCAGGATTACTTCAAAAGAGTTGCATTAAGATTAGGTAACACGGCACGAGAGAGGAGAGAAGCTGAAGGTGGACAAGGTGGACTGGGTCTTTCTAATGATGAGGTTGATGATGAAAAGGAGATCTCAAGCATTGGAAAGGTAGATCTGGGCGAAAAAGCTTTTGATGCATAAAGTAATGAGCTTATGATTTGGTATGATGTTTGAATTCCGCATAAGCATTGCATTGCCGAGAAAAAGTCGTTAGACACAAATTTAGATTCAAGTTACTTTTACAAACTGTCGTCTTCTTAATTTTGTAGTGACTTGTCAATTATCGTTTCATCGTTCTGAAACTTAAGATTTTTCACTTAGAGAAATTTATCAAGATGACCTCGGGGAGGAGCCGTGAAGGCATCTTTTAGTAATGATTCATTTTGTTGAAATTGAAATGTTACTGTGTTGCAGAATAGGACAAAGAATTCGGTGATTGATTAAATTGTATAGAAGGATTGGTGCTAATATTGGAGGCGTATTTTACAGAGTAGAGTATATTTTTCATCGGACCAGGTCCTTGGGTGAAGAGATTCTTATTATTTAACGCCTTTGAGTTTTTAGAGAAGTTTATGAAGAAAAGGAGGACTAGTTGAGAAGAATTGAGGATTTCAACAGGAGGACATGAGAGATTTATCCGAAGATCCATTGTCCTTGTTATTGAGCTTAGTTTATCATGTTAGGTAAGTTGTTGATGCTTGCTTGGGGTATACCACAATAGGGAAAGTTTCTTTTCTCCTTTTTGGTTGTTTGTCAACTTCGAATCGGTTTAACATTCGTGATTCACAGTTCACTCGTTGTCCGTTTGTTCGTGATTCATCGTTCGTACCAGCGCGAAATTTGAACTGTTTGGGCGTCATTGGTGCATTCATAGTATTAGTAGATTCAGAGCATCATGTATGGTATTAGTTCAGGGTACTATTTGGATGAATCTAAGGGAATGTGGGAGTATTGAATGTTCACTGTCTTCCGTACTCATCCTGGTAACTTGAACTTTATAAAGAGAAATCATGGAGCCAAAGCAGTGGCAATCTCCAAGCTCGAGTCTAGAAAAAGAGAATCGATCATCGAATAAATGAGCAGCAGTAAAATTGAGACGTGAAGGAGTTGAGAATATGATTTCCCAGTTGAAGGACAGGACAAAGAGGCCTCAACGGCTCCTGTACGAGACTTGAACGGTTCGAATGTTGCTGGAAGATGTTCACCAAATGAGGTTCATGAGTAGAGCATCGTGAGTCTAGAAGGTATTCCCAAGCAAACAAGTGATGGCGGAAATGATAATGAATCCATGCAGAGACAGCAGTTGCAGTGAAACAACTGTCTTCGTAGACGAATGGCTTTCGACTTAAAAAGAGCCAGCAAGCTTTCAAGCGAGTGAGTCCCAAAGTATAATCCCCAAACTATGATTTTGATAATATGATTCCAAAAATTCTCATACCACGAAACCACATTCTTCTAAATAGAACGGGTTCTCGCAACCTCCTATTGTCTATACAGGAGTTTCTCTCCGTGAGGTTATAGTTTTGACTTATCTTTTACCAATTAATCAATACCTATCATCTTTATATCGCATTTCTGGCTATCCATATCCTCACAGCCCCTTTCTCTACAATTGATAAATGATATCATGGTAGAGGAACAAATACACTACAAAGATTCATATACCTACCATGGAGCTTTTCATTGGCCCTTATTCCCATAGAAGCACCAGATCAATAAATTACTAATCACATAAACCATGTAGAACTAAGGGTCTATTTGATAGCCAGAAAATTTCTAATATATATAATATTTGAAGGGTAATATTTGAAATATTATTAAATCTGTATTTAATAATGTTACGAAGTAACAGTCAACATGTCCATATGAGCTTGGACCCTGTAGAAAAGCAAGGCGATTCACATACAAAATTGTATGGCAATTGACTCATAGAGTCTCCCCACCTTCAGCAAGCACAGACATATGTTCTGATTGAAATCACGTGACGGATCTAGAGGATCTAGAGGATCTGGAGAGTTAAACTCTAGATCCAGTAGATCCAAGAGATCCAAAGGAATACAGTAGAGTATGAAGTTCTATATAAGAAGGATAGGTTTCCATTTGTAGAGCTTCGTGCTCAAGATCAATCATTTAGTATACTCTACTATTAGTTTACGAATTGCATCATTGTCATTACTTTAAGTCCCTGCTTGACGCCTAGTTATAAACCACCTCGATGTTACGAGGTTTGCCGTCTAGATCACGTGGAAGTGCTCTAGGCTCTCGAGGTGGTTTATAACTAGGCGTCAAGCAGGGACTTAAGTAATGACAATAATGATATGCAATTCGTAACTAATAGTAGAGTATACTAAATGATTGATCTTGAGCACGAAGCTCTATACAAAGGAAATCCATCTTGATTATATAGACCTTCGTATTCTAGCTGATCAGTAGGATCAGTATGGCTCAGTACTGAGCTTGCTGATCCTCACTGAGTCAGTCACATGATATTGGTAGCATGTGAGCGTCTTCTTGTTACCCGGCGTAACAGAGGGACGGTAAGGGGAGGGAAATTGAATTTCTGAAATCGGAAGACAAGATCGAAGATTCGTAGCTTAATCATCAAAGCTATTCACACTAATATGAAGCTATTCATACTAAATCCCAATACACACTAAAATCTCAAGTCATAGTTTGAACAAGCCATAGTGCCAAAAATGGCGCTTTTATTGATCTGATGCTTCCATAGGGCATGGCTGCTAGAAAGTATGTCCATATCCACTTTAAGCACAACGCTTTCTGACCATATGATTATTTTCTCAAGATAAAGCGGCACTGATAGAACTAAGACTAAAGAGGACGCCGAAATCACTACCCTCAGGCTGTAAGGCATCATAAGAATTTTGACTCCGCACGGCCCTTCTCGCTTCGGTGAACTTAGGGTTTCCAAACTTTTCCACTATTTCGCGATTACCATAACAGCAATCGATAATCGACAACACCGACGACCACCACCGACGACCCCGAACTCAGTCAAGATGTAAGCCCATGCTGTTGCTATTATTTTCATTCCACTCAATCGATCATTTACTATGGATTTGATGCGTTGCGAGCCATTCCAAGCGATACCGACACAATGACTTCCAATACATCCAAAAACATCAGAAGCTGACTCAATTTTGCACGATAGGGTCAATCTCACAACCCAGAAGCGCCTGGCGGCTTCCGTCGTCGGCTGCGGAAAGCGCAAGATCTGGCTCGACCCCAACGAGACCAGCGAAATCTCCAACGCCAACTCCCGTCAAACCATCCGCAAGCTCGTTTCCGATGGACTCATCATCCGCAAACCAGTCACCATGCACTCCCGCGCACGCGCTCGTGAGCTCACCGCTGCACGAAGAATTGGTAGACACCGTGGTTTCGGTAAGAGAAAGGGTACCGCAGATGCCCGTATGCCAAGGTACGACATTCGCCACTCCAATGAAAGACACCGACAAATCTACACATTTGCAAGATGAAATACGGGAGAGGATTGTTAGGCTAACATTTTTTTAGCCAAGTTGTTTGGATGCGCCGTCTTAGAGTCCTCAGACGTCTCTTGGTCAAGTACCGTGCCAGCGGTAAGATCGACAAACACCTTTACCACGAACTTTACCACTTGAGCAAGGGTAACACCTTCAAGCACAAGCGTGCATTGGTCGAGCACGTAAGTATTATGCTAATTCTTGCTTATTTGCCGGAATTTTGAGACTGACAAAATATAAACAGATTCACAGAGCTAAGGCCGAGAAGGCACGTGAAAGACTCCTCAAGGAGGAGATGGACGCCAAGCGTGCGAAGACCAAGGCCGCCCGCGAGAGAAAGGCAGAGAGAAACCAAGCCAAGAAGGCTGCCCAGTTCGGCGAGGAAGAGGAGACCGAGACAAAGTAAAGGGTTGGGCTTTTGTGGTGGTAGCATTTGGAGTGTATCTGGCAAGGTTTATAATACAGGCCAGTTGCTTTTGATGTCATCTGACATCCGGCATTATCGCACGGGCAATGGTATCATGATCTTTCACTCTCAAGAGTCTCTGGTGTTCAATGGTTTTCTGCAGTTAAAACGTGTAAACGATACCTCTTTTCCATATCATGATTACCTTGGTGATAACTTCGATTTGTCCAGCATAATCTCAATCCTGCAATCCAACTCGTGGTTTCTATCTTTGTGTCATATTTCCGGTTTCCCTCATTCTCTAAGTCAATTGAAATGCGTCTTTCAACCTTCCCAAATTCCTAGTCTCCTTTTGTATCCGCCTTTCCATTCTACAACCGGGAACTCTATCGACCTCGAGTTACTGATCTTGGATATATCTACGGTATCCTGATCGCGGATTATAGCAGTACGTCAAATTTTTTAAAAACAGGTGATTGGACAATTTGGAGGTACCTACACATGAAGAAGATGATATCAGAAGGCAGTAGTAGGTAACGCAGTCACTACTAGGCAGATATCGATAACAACAACAAGCTTAGTGAATCAAGTTAAATACATTTGATTGATCCCAGATTCCCTACCAATATGGACGCTCTACGTTAGCTAGTGAGGTGCCATTGTAAAAAGCTCCGTTAGCTATCAATAATTGCCATTATTCATTCATTCCACTCAGTTGTTATCAGGAAAATAAATGAATAGGTAACTGCAGTAGATCAGATTGGCGTGGTTTATGAGATCCGATGCTTAACCGGATAAGATGCTAGCTTATTTTCCGATGGCGGGGATGTGGTAATCGTTCGAGTGCAAATTAACAAACAAAGCTCTACTTTTGGTGCAAGCAATTGCTGGTAGTTGAGTGGTATGTTTGAGATTGATCATGGAAAAGCTGAATTGCTAATTGAAGCATAGAAAATCATGTCGCTCTTTAAAGGAGCCTCAAGAACTGTGTTCAGAGCTGTTGCTGCGCAAAGAGCAGCAACTTCAATATGTGGCGCAAGAACAGCGGCGACTAGTAGTCGAATGACCATAGAAAGTCAACAAAAGGTTTGTTTCTGATTAATTCTGGTTAATTGGTCTTTACAATAGCAAAGAGCTAATTCTATTCGTAATAGCTACTCTCAGCAAACCTCGAACACGCAGATCCAGCAGTCTTCAGTATTCTCCAAAATGTATGATTTCCCCTCACTGGATCCTCTATCTATGATACATAAGGACTAAACTATCTTGTACAGGAGAAACGAAGGCAGAAGCACTTCATTAATCTTATTCCTTCCGAAAACTTCACATCACAAGCTGTTTTGGATGCATTGGGAAGTGTTATGCAAAGTACGTTGGGTTGCGATAGAGGAATGGGCCAATATTGACTTTCTGACAGATAAATATTCCGAAGGATACCCGGGTGCAAGATATTATGGAGGAAACGAATTTATTGACGAATCCGAAAGATTGTGCCAATCCCGCGCTCTACAGACTTTTGGATTGAAGGAATCAGAATGGGGAGTCAATGTTCAACGTAGGTCTTTCGTTTATACGGGAGTGTTCTTTACTCATAAATCGTTCAGCATTATCCGGTTCCCCAGCAAATCTTTACGCATACTCCGCTCTCGCAAATACTCATGACAGAATAATGGGATTGGATTTACCTCATGGTGGCCATCTCTCCCATGGATACCAAACTCCTACCAAAAAAATATCGGCTATTTCAAAATACTTCGAGACTCTACCGTATAGATTGGATGAAAGTACAGGACTTATTGATTACGCCAAATTGGAGGAGCTTGCAACACTGTACAGACCAAAGATTATTGTTGCTGGCACCTCAGCGTATAGCAGACTCATCGAGTATGAGCGTATGCGTGAGATTGCTGACAAAGTTGGGGCATTCCTGTTGGCTGATATGGCACATATTTCTGGCCTCGTCGCGGCAAAAGTCATTCCAAGTCCTTTCGAATATGCAGATGTCGTCACCACTACCACACATAAATCACTCAGGGGTCCTCGGGGTGCTATGATTTTCTTTAGAAAGGGAGTTAGAAGAGTCAATCCAAAAACAAAGGAAGAAGAGATGTGGAATCTTGAAGATCCAATTAATGCATCAGTCTTCCCGGGACATCAAGGAGGTCCTCATAATCATACTATCACTGCATTGGCAGTTGCACTTAAACAAGCACAAAGTGTTGAATTCAGAGCTTACCAAGAAGCGGTTTTACTAAACGCAAAAGCATTCGCAAAGCGTCTGGGTGACTCAAAAGATAAAGGGGGTCTCGGCTACTCCATTGTATCTGGAGGTACAGATAACCATCTTGTACTCATTGACTTGAAACCTCAAGGAGTTGATGGTGCCCGAGTTGAACGTGTTCTCGAACTCGTCGGAGTAGCATCCAACAAGAATACCGTTCCTGGAGACAAATCCGCGCTTAAGCCTGGTGGACTAAGAATGGGTACACCAGCTATGACTACTCGTGGTTTTCAACCCGATGACTTCGTTCGTGTTGCCGACGTTGTAAATAGAGCTGTCACCATAACTCAACGACTAGACAAAACTGCAAAGGAGGCTGCAGAAGCAAAGGGAAGAAAGAATCCTGGTAGTGTAAAGGCTTTCTTAGAGTATCTTGGCGAGGGTGAGAATGAGAGAGAGATTGTACAGTTGAGAAGTGAAGTTGAGGAATGGGTTGGCACTTTCTCATTACCATGGGAAGAAAGTAGCTAGAGAGGAGGATTGTGAATGAATTTTAATGGGATATGCAGCAACGGCTTTTGGGCAGTCTGATCTTAGGATAGGAAGTGCTAGGGTGGCTTGCATTGTGAACAATAATATCATACATTGGTTTGATCTCAACTCTATACCATTCTTAATAAATGTCTAACTTTTATCTTTGGGATTGTGGATGATCTTTTTTCAATACTTTAAGAATCTCCATCACCGGGGAATTCTGGCTGCAATGGTGCTCTGATATGTGAGAAAATTCCCTGTCCCACAACACCGTGCAAAGCTAAAATCAAAGTAAAGATAACAAATCTGTAAAGCTGAAACCATGTTAAATCTTCAAAAAGAAACAAAAAATTACTTATTGTATATGTTGTAAAACCAGACATCATCATCCACTACCTCATCCAATCCTGCAGCCGCGATTTCCAAAAACCGTCCGACGCACAGACCAATTTCGCGAAACTTGAAGTTCGACGTCTCCAAGTCTCATATTATATACTTAGTATCCACTCTCAAAGTCTCAACCTCAGTCGTGAAATCCCAATCGCATTCTCAATATGGCATCACAAGCCGCGGCAAAAGTGGCTCAAGCTGCTAATCGTGTTGTTCCTGTTAATAAGGTATGGTGTTTGATATCTTTCCTCTCCTTCTCCCCCATATCCCTCAGCCCTCAATCGCTGCAGCTCATCACCCCATCCATATATACTAACCCGCTTACCCACATAGAAATACACCGTCCAAAGCACCGGCATCTGGGAAACCATCCGTCGCGTCTTCGCCGTCGATCCCACTCGCTCCAACGGTGTCCCTCTCAACCCACAATTCCGCAATCCCCCTCCCGGATCCAACGAACCTTTTTCTTTCATCGACCCGGTTACGCTCCCCGCGGGTGATATTGCTGAAAATCCTTACTGGAAGAGAGATTCGAGGAGGAGTTATCCACAGTTGAGTTTTGTGAAGCAGGGGGATGTGGTGGGTTTGTTGAGTGTGGGGAGTGAGGCGAGTCCGAGGAAGGAGTTGATTGGGGAGGAGGGCGGGAAGGAGTTGGTTAGAGTTGGAGAGGTGGGGGAGAGGGGTTTGGCGGCTTTCTTTGAGGGGGGTGATCGTGAGGGGAAGGCTGCGTTGGAGGTTTTTGGGAAGGGGGGGTTGCCGCCTACGCCTAGTGGGTTTAGTTTGAGGGAGGGCGCGGATAAATATAGTCTGACGGAGGAAAATGCTTATCCTGAAGAGTAAGTTGCTTTTTCTTTACATTTTAGGTTGCATTGGATTTGCCACTCGGCTTTTGATAATGCAATATTTTGTACATGATAGCTAACTGAACTAGATATCCATGCCGGACTTTCAAGTAGAGGGTCTTTGGTCCTTGGTCTTTATCTGAAGAGGGGTAGGTATAAGAGAGGCTGGAAAAACTTGTACATATGCTTATGCAGAAATGGTGGAATAGAAGTTTGGGAATTCATATGGCATCTTTGCATGGCATTTCATTCTTTAGGAAATACAATGCTCTGCGTGATTTTTAGCCAGCTTGAGAGGACTTCAGGGCCTTCAAGTTTTCCTAGCAGCCATGGAATTACTTCAGCTGTTGGGTTTTCCACTACCTTTTTGAGCGTGCTCTATTTGCAAAAACATAGGTGTAGTACACAGGAGCATTGGGAGTTGGCGTATGTTGTGCAAAAGGAAGCGCAGGTGATATTTGTAAAAGTCGCTCGCTATGTTGGAAACGGACTGCAAGAATCCGGCTGAGAAAGTTCTCGGTAGAAGGTCAGCTTTCGGTCTGAAGTGCAGTTCTGAGTGTAGTCGTTTTCCGCTTTTATTCTCGCTAGGGAGGTGTAGGAGCATGAGGTGTCCTTTTTGGAGGGTTGGGGTAGGATTTTTGGTTGAGTGCAATTTCTGCATGCTCGTTGTCGGGTATCGACAAGCGTACATTCCGGATTTGGCTAATTCCCGAGCGGGCGACTCAACCACTGTTCTTCACCTCTGCAATCCAATGGCAATGAAATAATGTCTTAAGAGGCTAGTTATTAATGCCTCTATAAGGTGGTGTTGGTAGCGAAATTTCTTTTTATGTGCTAGTCTTTTAAAAACAACTGGCCACTGATAGTTTTTGTATATTGGTATTTATGTTTATGTGTTTGGTAAATTGAAATATATATTTTTAATTTTATTTTCATATATTATATAGTATATATTGGGTTTGAGTTTTTTTTTAATATTTAGTATTTTAAAAAAGTTATATAGGAATAAATACTAGTATATAACCAATAATATTTAAATACTAGCGTTCAAATATAATATATATCAGTATTTATTTCGCTTCAAATAGTCCCTAAGTTACAGTAATCAAAGCATGTATTGTACAGGAGCAAAATGACATGTATAAATAAATCCAATCTATCTTCTCAAAGCCTTAAACCCAACAAACACTACATCCACTCTCAATTTGAACCTCAAAACAAAGACAAATAATGCATCATATCCCCTCGGAACAATCTCCACCTCCTGCTCTGAGGTTCGCCAAGCTCCTGAATATTTTCTTCCAATGATATTAGAAAGAATCTACCCTGTCGCCCAAGCCACATCTTCGAAGTATTGAAAACACTGGCCGGGCTCTTGAGCTCATTCTAGACCTAAAAAAACTTACACAACAGATGCAACCTCTCCAGTGTTGAGAAGTTTGTTCACACCATGAATAATATCCTTCAAAGCCTCCACAACATCACAAATACCTGGCAACCAGAACATAACGCTGCCGATGTCTCCATCGCCGGACAAGCTATCGGTCCCAACACATCTTTGCTTGGTAATCGTGCCCAGTGTCGTTTGACAATTACCATCGCTGAAAGCAATAGTGTGTTGGAGCGGCTCATTGTCGGTATAGAGGCTGAGAGCCTTCAGATCGACTGCGATGCAGTTGCAGGCTGAGGCGCCGATCCATTTGTTGTATTTGTCGTGGTTGCTGGATGGATAAATTAGGAAGGCCTGCCAAGAAAACTTGTCTTTGTTGATATTAGATGGAAAGACTTACTTACGGGCTTCGCTAGTGTACATGCTGACATGATTTTCGTTGCGGATCGCTATAGCAGAAGCTTGTGTGCTCAGCATACTGCATATATCACATTATTAGTCTCGGTATATATGTCCGCAATGACGATAGTATATAATATTTGGGGACAGTAGAGGCACCAAATATGAGATGGAATTACCATCAGGATACTAGTTGTCTTATTATCATGAGTGGTCGATCTGTCATAGTCGAATTGAGAGGATTTGCATGATGCCCAATTTTCTGAACGCGTAGTGGAATGGATATCCTCTTTGTGTCCTGACAGATTGTACAAGCATATACCTCTTGTGTCTCTAACTGTATATTAGGGTTGTGAAATGACCGCCAGATCAGAATGCACTGTCAGGTCATATCGATCAACCACTTTTTGAATTATTAGGCATTATATCAATATGTATACATACCGTCCTATATTAACCCTATTATACACATTTTGAACCATATAATTTGTTTTGTTCAAAGATTATGAACTATAAAGATTGATATTCAGATTAAGCAAATGATCTATTTTCAAAATATTCTATTCTCGGGTTTATTATGTGTTTTGGTATATATATATATATATATGTGACCTCAGAACCTCCGATTTCCTCCTCACATCACGGCAAATTTCCAGCGTTAAATGTCTGGAATATTGAGATGCATTATCGACTTATGCAATTTTTGCCCCGCTGGCGTCTTGCAATGCATTGTTGTATTCCTCCGGCGTAAGTATAGCTGGATCATCGGTCAGGTATACCGTACTGCGATAGTTTTGGACTACAGTACAACATGCGTTAGCCAAGCGACTAAAATTGTTAAACGAAGAGGAAACCACAAACCATCGTCTTTTAACGCATTCCACTCCTCAATAATGTTATTCAATCCCAACTCCCCAATCCCCATAGTAGGTACCTCCCCTGTAAACTCTTCGGCTACTAGATCGTAGATGTTTTGGAGATCGCTGGACATATCGTGCCACGCTGCTTGGAGTCGTTCAAGAGTTGTGATGGCCGGTCCGATTTGATCTATGAAGGTTGTTATTTGGCTCTATGTAGAATTTTGGTTAGTTTTTTCCTGTTTGGGGGGGGAGGACATACGCTCATGCAAGAGATATCCGTTTGGAGGGATACAGCCGTTTGCATCTTGGCCTCATCTTGGTCAAGGGTTTTTTGGGGTGATTCCATGGCTGTTTTTATTTTTTTAATGTCGGCACTGGCTTGGCAGACTACTGCTACAGCCGCGATCATGCCAACTGCGGGACTGTGTTGGGCTGAGTTTTAGCTGAGATCCGGAGTGAGATGGGGAGACTTGGGGACTAGTAGGTAAGATACATACATCCAGACGTAATAGCTGGTCTCTTGGATTCTTTTATGCTCTGTAAAATACACACGCTATTAACCTTGTGGCCCATGATCAGCAGATTCAAGAATATAACTTTACTATACCTAGATCAAGTTCTTTCTGGTTGTCCTTCAAGTCATTCACCACATTGTCAATATCACGTTGCAAAGTCTGGATGTCGTGTATAGCGGGGAAGGTTCGTAGATGCAGATCATGGATGACACAGAATGTTACTGTTACATGTATTTATGTGCTAAATATTCAGTTCATGCACGACAACGTTTCCGTCAAGAACGGGGAATTTTCTTAATATTACGACATAACACATAAAACATAACAGTTAATGCATAATGCATAATAAATAACACATAGGTATGATTATTATGTCACTACCAATATATACTGCTGCAGAACAGCAAAATATGGTCATTTTCAGTAACCTTTATACGCTCCGGGGTTGATCAACCTCGTTGTGAGCTTGAATTTTGCGGACTCAATTCCGAGGGAGCAAAGCTCTTTATGTTTCGGCAAAGCAACATGTGATAAGTAAGGGGGGAAGCTCTGAATCTCATCTGGGGGAAATGGAGGGGAAAGAAGTTGGTTATTGGTTAGGAACGGGTGAGTGGTTTGTATGCCTTGAATATTAGATTGGGAATGCATCAACATGGTGATCGTTTCGTATCATCTATCATCTTGAGTGAAGAATTTCGAGCATGAAGTGACCTCAGCGAGTCAGGGCTGGGCATCTGTACCCTATTCGGGGTACTTGAGCACCATCAAAATTCCAGCCGCGGAATGTGGATCGTGAATCGTACAAGTTACGGTGTATGCACAAGTATGTACAATTAAACCAATGGCATGACCAATGAGCGTCGTAGTTCTATATGCAAGAACCATGAGCTTGGGGCGGTGGGAAAAGGTGGGAAAATGTCACGGTTGCTCCAGGGATAAAGGCTGAAAGGGTATCTATAACTATAGATAATAGACTTATTATTATAATCTTGATGTATAACTGGCAGAATACCTAACTATTAATCTGGAAAACTTTATAAAAAATCTTTTTAGTGTATAACCTTCGGATTATAATTGATTCAAATACTTCGAGTCGATATTTCTATAAAAGGAGAGGTCATATTCAATTTAAAAAAAAACAATAAAAAGCTTTAATTTCAATTTTAGATTAATTGATTTTTTATTATATATAACTTTGTGACCAAAAGGGTGTTTATAGACCAGCGATTGTATTTAACTTAGAATCTACATGTGAAGAGCACCTGTAGATGGGGATAGCTACTCTATATATACACAAATGAATGGTCTAGCCGCAATGGCTAGGCAAAAAGAAGTCATATTTATCCCTCCAATGATCTCACTTTACCGATAACCATTGATACCTAGTACTTGTCCGGATCTGATCCTCAGACCACCTAAATCGTATACTAATCCCGAGTAATCGTATCATGTGTGGACATGGTTAATGTACCTAAGGTTTCTTATATAATAAGGGTGGGAGGAAAGCAGGGGTTTCCGTCACAAATTTTTATTATTCTTTTTATTCTTTTTTTAGAAACATTTTATCAATTAATTATTATTAGACTATTATATTTCTATTATAGTTTTTATAAGAAATATTTCAATGTTACGAATTGCATATCATCATTGTCATTACTTAAGTCTCTGCTTGATGCCTAATTATAAACCACTTCAAGAGCCTAGAGCACTTCCACGTGATCTAGACGGCAAACCTCGTAACACTTTGAGCACCATTACTGCTTCAAGTACCGACTCGATAGTAACGACATCATGTCTTCCAAGACACCACAGCCTAGCAACCCCGCTACGACCAGCCAGGTCACCCCCGAAAGTACCGACAAGGACGGAGACATCGCCATGGGAGGTATCGAAGACCCCAAGGAGATTACCGTCACCGAAACTCTTAAAGTCGCCCTACCAGACCGATTCACAGGCAACCGACAAGAGCTAGAAACTTTCCTGCTCCAATTTGAGATCTACTTCCAATTCAACCAAGATAAATTCAACCATGACGCCGACAAAAGCGTCTGGGCTGCCTCCTACCTCAGAGGAGAAGCCGTTAAGTGGATCCAACCATAACTCAAGGATTACTTCATCAACTTGAGCAAGCCTAAGAAGCGAATGTACCCAACTCAAACCATCTTTGGGAGATTCGAAGGGTTTAAGAGAGAAATACGACGAGTATTCGGGAACATCAATGAATTACGCGACGCTGAGTTCAAGATCTATGGTCTCAAACAAACAGGGTCAGCAGTCAAGTACGCTGTGGAATTCAGGAGGTATATAGGTACCACTGGATGGGAATAGAACGCGACGATGAGCCATTACTGGAAAGGGCTCAAGCCTGAAGTCAGGCTAGAATTCGATCGCAATTGCACTTGGGAAGACCTAAACGAGTTGATCGAGGAATCTATCAAGGCGGATGAGATGCTCTACGAGTATCAGAAGGAACACCGATCTTTCAATTTTCATGGAAACCGAGATCGTGGTAAGTACCACAAGAATGAAGGAAGACCTCGAGAGAACAGACAACAATATGGAGATCCAATGCAATTGGATGCAACATTCAAGAACAAACTACCTAAGGAAGATGTAGAACGAAGATGCAAGGACAAACTCTGCTTCGAATGCGGCAAACCAGGACATCGAGCCAGAGACTGTCGAAGCAAGAAATCATCAGGAAGAGATTACCACAAGAAGTTCGGCAAGGGCCAAATTAATGCAACCTTTACACCTCAGCTATGTGCAATAGATTCTATTGGATCTGAGGAAGTCCGTTGTATAGGCCACGAAGAGTTCAAAAAACTACTGGATGAACTACCCAGAAACGAAGAAGGCTTGAACGCGATAGATTTCTGGGAACAAGGGTATTTGCGAACCCCCTCCCCATCGTTAATTGAGGAAAAGCCGGAGGAAGGATTAACGGCCGAGCACGCTGCCATCAGTTGGACGGCCTGCTACGATGAATCCTGCAAAATTCACCTATCAGATAAGGAAGCCACAGGATGGTTCCCCCAAAGGAAAGCAGGAAGACCCTGCAAGAAGGGAAGGTCAGAAGAAATATCGTCACATGGTCGTCAGAATGATCAGTTACACAAGGTTGACCAAATCGACCAAATTGACCAAATTGACCACAACAAGGTTTTGGGTCAAGAACAATTGAATATCGCAGGACAGGCAGGACAGATTTACTGCAATGCGAAAATAAATGGACGAGTAATCCGGGCCATGATTGACTCGGGCCACGGGAAATTTTATTGCACCAGGAACTGTGAAGCATTTGGGAGTACAGCTCCAGGCGAAACGAACCCCATATCAATTGCAGCTAGTTGATGGACAATTAGCCGGATTGGATGGAAAGATTTCGCAGGAGACTCGCCCTTTGCGGATGAGTATAACCCAGCACAAGGAGGTTATCCAGTTCGATGTTGTTCCACTAGGGAATCAACAGATCATTCTGGGAATGCCATGGTTGAAAACACGCAACCCCCAGATTTATTGGTCTTTGGAAACTATATCATTTCCAAAGAAAAGCGATCAACGAGATGCGCTAGAGCCTGCGAGGCTGAACACACGCGGTGGAGAACTGAAGGCGAACAGCACCACTGACGTAGGACGCCCAGTCCAGGGTCCTCCATTAACGGCGAAGGAAGTTGAACCTCCCGTACGAATGAAGAATGAGCAGAAGAAGTTGCTTGAAACCACCCCTGTAAGGAAACAGGACGAAACGCCAATACCGGTACAGTACCAGAAGTACAAGAAACTATTCGAAGAAAGAAAAGGCCATGAAGCTTTACCAGAACACAAGCCATGGGATCACGAGATAGTATTGGAGGAAGGCAAGATGCCTCCTTTCGGATCAATCTATCCAATGTCAGTCTTTGACCTAGGGACGCTTAGGTATTACATTGGCGACGCACTAGAAAAGGGATGGATCAGAGAATCCACCTCACAGGCAGCTAGCCCTGTGTTATTTGTACCAAAGAAGGATGGTACTAGGAGACTTTGCGTAGATTACCGCAAGCTCAATGGTATAACGATCAAAGATCGTTACCCACTTCCATTAGCTACGGAACTAAGGGATCGATTGGGAAAAGCCAAGATTTTCTCCAAGTTTGATCTACGAAACGGATTCCACCCAAGCAGAATAAAGGAAGGTGAGGAATGGAAAACCGTATTCAGGACTCGATACGGATTATACGAGTATCAGGTTATGCCATTCGGATTGACAAACGCACCAGCAACATGTATGCGCTTAGTCAACAATGTATTAAGGAAGTACCTAGATATATGCTGTATATGCTATCTAGATGATATTTTGGTATTCCCGGAAACAGAAGAACAACAAATTAAAGAAGTTCATAAGGTTCTGCAGCATCTGGAGGAGGCAGATCTCCAATGTAAACCCAGCAAGTGCGGGTTCCATGTCACGGAAACAGAGTTTTTAGGCTACACCATATTCTCCGGAGGTCTCAAGATGAGTCCTAACAAGGTAAAAGCGGTTATGGAATGGGAACCCCAAACCAGCGTGAAGGAAGTACAGTCCTTCCTGGGATTCGCCAATTTTTATCGACGATTCATCAAGAACTACTCAAAGATAGCCGCTCCAATGACGGAGATCACCAAGAAAAGTCAAGGGGAATTCCGATGGGCAGAAACAGCGCAAGAAGCATTCGAACGCCTCAAGGAAGCATTCGCAGGAGAACCAGTTCTCAGAGAATTTGACCCGTAATTACCAATAATCGTGGAAACAGACTCCTCAGACTACGTAATAGGAGCAGTATTGAGCCAGCCCGGCTTGAATGAGAAATAGCAACCAGTCATTTACCATTCACGCAAGCTATCGCTAGCCGAACTAAACTACGAAATATATGATAAGGAATTGCTAGCGATAGTAGATGCTTTTAGGGAATGGAGAGTGTACTTGGAAGGATCAAAATACACGGTGCAGGTGTATACGGATCATAAGAACTTGGTTTACTTCACCACAACGAAGGAATTAAGTCGACGGCAGGTCCGATGGTCGGAAACCATGGCCGCCTACAACTTCAGAATTTCATATGTCAAAGGAAACGAAAATGCTAGAGCAGATGCTCTCAGCCGAAAACCAGAATACTTACAAAGCAAAACACACGAATCGCGCGCAATACTAAAGCAGTACGGCGACGTTTTAGTCCACAATAAACTACAACTTACCGCCACTTCAGGAGTAAACTATGATACTATCAAGGACATCATAAAGACAGAATACTCAACGGATGCTACAGCCAAGAGAATCCTAGCTATCCCAGACAATCCAGAAAGAGGATTCACCATCGAAAATGGATTCATCCATTTTCATGGCAAGCTTTACATACCCTCCAGTCTAGCTAAGGATTACGTCACAGAACAACATGAGCTTCCAGCTCACGGGCATCAAGGTATTACGAGAACCTTTGCCAGAATAAGGAGAGAAGTCTACTTTCCAAAGATGAGGACTATAGTTGAGAACGTAGTTGGGAACTGCGACACCTGTATAAGAAATAAAGCCGCCCGGCATGCACCTTATGGCCAGCTCAAAACCCTCGAACTACCTACTCAACCATGGAAGTCCATTGCTTGGGAATTTGTAGTAAAACTACCATTATCCAAAGACCCAGTCACCCAGAAGGAGTACGACTCCATCCTGGTGGTGACGGATAGATTAATCAAGTTCGCTCACATGATACCATTCTGTGAAACTTGGACGGCAGATGACCTTGCTTATATGTTCATGCGGAATATAGTTAGCATTCACGGTGTACCAGACGAGATCATCTCAGATAGGGACAAGATATTCACATCGAAATTTTGGTCTACTCTTACGGTACTGCTTGGAGTCAAGAGAAAGCTCTCGACAGCTTTTCACCCACAAACAGATGGCCAAACGGAACGATTAAACCAAACGATGGAAGCCTATCTTCGCTGCTACATCAACTACAGACAAGACAATTGGGTTAAACTATTACCCTTGGCACAATTCGCATACAATACATCAGAAACAGAAACAACAAAAGTGACGCCAGCATACGCTAACTTCGGATTCAATCCATTAGCATACAAATCACCATTGCCACAAGATGCGAATACAGACGAAACCATAAAAGATATCACGGAAATCAAGGAGCTACAAGAACAACTTTCCTTGGATTTACAGTTCATCGCTTTAAGAACAGCGTCGTACTACAACGAATCACGTAGTATGGGATCTACTCTTAAAAAGGGGGATAAAGTTTATCTACTACGAAGAAACATACAAACAAAACGACTTAGCGATAAACTAGATCACAAGAAACTAGGACCATTCAAAATCGAGAAGGTAGTTGGACCAATCAACTACAGGTTAAAAATACCATACACCATGAATATTCACCCAGTATTTTATATATCCTTGCTCGAACTAGCACTACCAGGAGCGCCCGATGCGCCCGTAACAGAAATCGAACCAGTCAACCCAAACGCCATATATGATGTCGAAACAATACTAGATTGTAAATGCGTCAGAGGCAAAATCAAATATTTGATCAAATGGTTGGATTACCCACATTCAGAAAACACTTGGGAGCTCAAGAAGGATCTCAGCTGCCCTGAGAAGTTGAAGGCATTCCATCAACGATACCCGGATCTACCCAAAAAGGATCCGAAGGACTCAAGAAAGAAGAAGGGTCGAAATTATCCAGTACGCTCGAACTAGCCTCGACCGGCGCGAAACCCGATTGTTCTTTCTCTTTCTCCACACGCTCTTTTTCCAACCTTTCCTTTTCTTCCAAGGCATCTAACTCATCGAGATATTTAAGGCCACGATCAGCCATCTGCTTACGACGATCACGGAGGAAGTCACGCTGTTTTTCTAAACGCAAGAGCTTAGAAAGAGTTTCCTTCCGCTCTTGATCCAACCTTTCCTCCTATCGATCCAACGAAGCTCAATCGGAAATACGAGGCACTTCTCGATCCCAATCTTCTTCTAAGGGGAATGTCGCATCACAAGGCTTGCGAGCCAAGCACACACTCGGAACAACGAGAACGTTCATGATTATCGATATCCTTTACGCAGCGAAGTTTCGCATCTCGATAATTAGAACAAGGAGACATTTCTACTCCACAATTATTGATAACTTGGGCAAGAAGAATCTGTTCGGAACGTTTACGAACTGAGGACGAGGGTTTAGCGATTCTATGGATAGGCATGATAAAGAGAGAATAAGAATTATCACCTCATTCTCTCATTTGAATAAAAAAGAACCCCACCTTATAAAAGCCTGAGACAGACTTTAGCCTAAAAGAGGGGATAGTGTTACGACCATGGATCTTATACTAACCAATCGTGTGCTTACGAGATACGATTTGACCGACTTAGTATGGAACTAAGGTGGTATGGGGAACAAATATGCACAGAAACTGTTAAGCTTAGATCCGGTTCGATAACAATTACAGAACCATATGATTAGAGGATCATATGATGGAGCATTGGAGGTTCGAAGGCTCCTATGGCTCCTAGTTACGAAGATCTATATAGCTAGGAAGGATTCCTTATTGTAGAGCTTCGTACTCAAGATCAATCATTTAGTATACTCTACTATTAGTTACGAATTGCATATCATTATTGTCATTACTTAAGTCCCTGCTTGACGCCTAGTTATAAACCACTTCGAGAGCCTAGAGCACTTCCACGTGATCTAGACGGCAAACCTCATAACACCTATGGTGACCGCCTAATGATCGTATCGGTAATAATAGTTAGAGTTAGGGTTAGGGTTAGGGAATTATTAATAGCCAGAAATCACGATTGTTGGTGTAAAAGGTGGCCGAAAAGTGGGGTATTAGATTTATAGAGTATGTGGTTTGAACGGAAAGGTGTGAGAATAATCGTGAGAGGCAGAATGTGGAAGAGAAGGGTGATTTAGGGGGTAGAAGAGAGACTAAAGTGAGGATGAAGTTAAGGTTGATGAGTATATGTGTAGTGTGACATAGAGGAATGAGGGATGCTGGAGGTAGCAGTACCACAGTGATAGGTAATTTTGGGAGAGTGGTGAAGCGGAGAAGAAGGGATGCTAGTGGAGCAGAATAGGTATTGGGGGAGGTTAAGTGGTAGAGGAAAATACACTAGAGGATGGGAGATTGAAATATTCAATAAGGGAGTAGAGTAATGGGGGAGATAGCGGATTTGATCAAGTGTAAGGGAATAGGATAGTGAGGTAGTGAAGTAGTGAATATAATAATGGACTAATTGGCGGGAGAGTAAGGTACTGAAGGAGAGAGTGGGTTGTGTAGATGGAAGTGTATTGATCGAAGGGAATCTAAAGAGATGGGGGAAATAGAAATTGATGAGAGTGAGGGAGGGAAAGGGTGGGGTGTTGGGGTAAAGGTAGTGATGGGATGGTAAAAGAAGATTGAGATTGGAAATACATGGGGGGATGGTGAATAGAGAATTGAAGGAGTGGATGGGATAGTGATGAAGAGACAGCCAAGGGCCAGATGTAAGGAACAGGAAACAGCGCTCATACATCCTCCAAGCTGTAAGGTGGTGGGAAATGGTCAACGGGTAAAGAAACCGAATAGCGTACCGTTCGTTCGGATTTCAGATGTTGGTGAGGAGACGATCATGGGCGAGGAAAGAAAGTGTGCAAGGATATCGGTCGTTCTACAAAAAGTGGTTAAGGAACAGCCAAGGGTAGTAAACAGACAGTAGGAGTAAAAACTTTAACGAATCCTTGACGAATCAAAGTGTACGGATATTACCCAGAAGTAAGGTACTAGACTTACCCCACCAGATGATCTGCCTTTGTTGATGGAACTAGCTAGTCAAATAGCTTAAAAGTTTGATGGATCGTCAAACGCATCTGGGCGGAAAAAACTTATCTTGGCGGAAATAGACAGCACCTCAATCTCCTAAGAAACCTTCTAATTATTAGCTTACAGGCCAAAATACAAATGGTCCAAGACGCCAACGAAGAGTTGCAGTCTTGTGGCTGCGAGAAAAAATATGTATGCATTGGAAGCATTGTATAATAAGATTGCTTTGGCTATTGGCAAAGCCACTTAAAAAGTAAAAACGATGTGCGTTACTGTTAAATCCCAAATTTCTATACTCAAGAAGTATCAAGAACGCAATTAAATGTATTCTCTGTAGGTTTGGCGTGGAACTTGTATTTGCAACATTCCTTAAAGTTTTCTCAAGATAAACTTTAATTGATTTGAATTTGTATTCAAGATATCGATGAATGAAATGGATAGAAGTTATATGATGGAAAAAGACTATATAAACCTCTCTACTTTCCCCTTCAATACATTCTATCATCATCATCACATTCACTCAACTATCACACGATCATTCCCCATTCACTCATTTACTCATTCCAACTATCAAACTTTCTTTAAGAAAATCAATCACTTAATTTCATCAAAATGAAGTTCTCCATTGCCACCATCATTGTCTGCGCAGCTATCGCCAATGCAGCTGCTCTTCCAGCTCCAGCTCCTGTAGCTGCAGTTGGGGATCCAAATGCAGTCGTTGCTCCCTCAGTTGAAACCCATTTCAGTGGACAAGTTAGAAACACTTTCTAAAGCTTTATATAAAATGCTAATGATTTGATAGTTTGATACCAATGGAGTATTGTTCCCCAAGGAGGACAATGAGACCGATCAAGCACTCCAAAAGCGTGAGGAGGACAATGAGACCGATCAAACACTTCAAAAGCGTATAGCACCATTAGTCATAATGGGTACAGCGCTCGCAATCAAAGGCGTTGGCATCTTGACAAAGATTGCTGTTGAAGTTGCTGGTGACACCCTCAAGAATCTCAAGAAGTGGAACGAAGTAAGTAGTTTTTAGAAATATCTTCATTGCTCTGGTACTAATCTACTTACTAGACACGTGAGACCTTTACTCAAAAGACTACTCTCGAGATGTGGAAGAGAAACCCAGATTACAACAAGTTCCCTGCTGTTGCTTGTTACAACAAAGGTTACCATCTCCAAAATCCTAGTGGTCAAGATGGGAGAGTATCTGCCAAGCTCTCTCTTGGTCTCCTCAACACTGAGTAAGTACCCTATGTGCTCCTTTAAAATTCGATAGCTTACTATTATAGTTACGACTGTTTGTTCATGACTGGAAACAATGCATTCTATACTCACAAGGAAGGTGGATATATCAATGTAAGAAACAATTCCTATAAAATGAAATCATTATACTAATAGACAACTAGCTTTCCTATAGATACAACGGTAACCGTTGCAGTTTCAACAAAGGCAATGGAGATTTGACTTGCAGATAAAGAGTTAACAAGCTACAATTCTCTACGAGAACTCAGGATACAACAGTCTTGTTATCAGTAATAGGGCAAGCGAACATGGGCTAGATGGCCACCTAATCCATTGTTTAGTTGCCAGATTTTTGTTATCATTGTATCATTATTTTTGAGGCCTTGTTTTGCTTTCCTTTTTTGTATTTTAGTGCTTAGTTAGTTCAGTTAAACCCGCAAATAGAATTGTTTACTTTGAATTTGAATATTCTTGATTGAGGGGAGTCTTATTTATGAACATAGTGACTCAAGTATGCTGAGTATCTAGAATGAGTGGGATAAGCCTAAATCTGCACTTGAACCGGTACTTGAATCTGTGCTTGAATCCGTTATCGATTGATTCCAGTTCTGGAGTAACTCAGGGTTCATGAATATCGTATGAACTAATGCATCCGATACTTTTTTTCTCTTGCCTTAAATGTAATCAATATGAATGCTGAGCACCCTTAAGTCATTGACCCATGGTGAATCGATTACTTCTAGGACAGATTCCCAACTATACATTTTGACGACCTCGCTGGCTTTTTCTCCCATCACCTCGAATGAAAGCTACTGCTATCCATATCCATTCCATTCTTACTCGTAAGTCTCGCCAATGACTCCTTTATTTCTCTATGATTTTTGATACATCGTCGGTGAATGCCTGTGGCTCACAGAAACGCCCAAACCTTGGTAGGGTTCGTTGGCACGCGCCAGTTTCGTAAGTTCTCGCTCGTTCATATGTAATGGTAACAAGGCCTCCTGATTTATGCTGTTTTCAGAGTGCAGTTACTTTCCTAAGGAACACCTTCACCATTATCAAGGTAGGGTTTGGTGAGGACGCGACTTGAACGCGTCGAATGCGAATTTCGTCGGCCATTCCCTTCACCAACATAGGTGTAGCAGGAAATCCAGTAATGGTAAGTCGTGAAATCCATCGTACAAGAGTATTCTCTTCTGCGCTTGAAAGAATTTGAGCCATTTCGTGGCTTTGGGAACGTGTTTTCTTCCCAGCCAACCTATCAGCTAGAGTAGGCTTAGGGACTTCAAAGTGCTCTGCAGCTTTTCTAATTGATTTAAATTCCTTCAATTGAATTACAAATATAGCCTTTTTAATCTTCTCTTCAATTTGAGCAGGTGTAAAGAGTGATTAGGAATGCATAATAAAAGTTATTACAGTTTCAAATTAGTGATGGGCTAAAATGTTACGAGGTTTGCCGTCTAGATCACGTGGAAGTGCTCTAGGCTCTCGAAGTGGTTTATAACTAGGCGTCAAGCAGGGACTTAAAGTAATGACAATGATGCAATTTGTAACTAATAGTAGAGTATACTAAATGATTGATCTTGAGCACGAAGCTCTATACAAAGGGAATCCATCTTGATTATATAGACCTTCATGCTATGGGCCTTCAGGACCCCGAAAGGTCCTGGACCTAAGAATATGTTGGACCTTTATTTTTCGTGCATATTATGTAGGGTCTATCACGTGATTAATCACGTGGTAATGGGCTTTGTGGAGTCCGACGTAACATAAAAGTGTCCGAGTTCAACATAAACCACGTTATAAATATAATAATAATAATAATAATAATTATTATTATTATTATTATTATTATTATTATTATTATTATTATTATTATTATTTGTTAAAAGGAATAGAAGTTACCGGTACTAATCACGTGTCGTGATTAGTAATACGGTTACCTAAACAGGCTAGATTAGACGAACCATAAGCAGGCATATTGGTCCCCTCCGAGGATACCAAGACGGCATCAAGATGCCTACACATGTAGTAATATAGTCAATATAGAGGCCTCTTCCACCCAATCTTTTAATATTATTATTATTATTATTATTATTACTATTATTATTAATATTATTTTTATTTTTATTTTTATTTTGTTACAACGGCTATCTTCTATGCCGCGTCACATGACTAAACCAAGGTAACGTGATTAAAGTCACGTTATGGACCGCTGAGGAACGCTGGCTGTCCAGGACCGCGCAGCGGTCCTGACTAGCCATAGGCATGAAGGTCTATATAATCAAGATGGATTCCCTTTGTATAGAGCTTCGTGCTCAAGATCAATCATTTAGTATACTCTACTATTAGTTACGAATTGCATATCATTATTGTCATTACTTAAGTCCCTGCTTGACGCCTAGTGTGACCAAAAGGGTGTTTATAGACCAGCAATTGTATTTAACTTAGAATCTACAGGTGAAGAGCACCTGTAGATGGGGATAGCTACTCTATATATACACAAATGAATAGCCTAGCCGCAATGGCTAGGCAAAAAGAAGTCGTATTTATCCCTCCAATGATCTTACTTTACCGATAACCATTGATACCTAGTACTTGTCCGGATCTGATCCTCAGGTCACCTAAATCGTATACTAATCTCGAGTAATCGTATCATGTGTGGACATGGTTAATGTACCTGAGGTTTCTTATATAATAAGGGTGGGAGGAAAGCAGGGATTTCCGTCACACCTAGTTATAAACCACCTCGAGAGCCTGGAGCACTTCCACGTGATCTAGACGGCAAACCTCGTAACATATTTTTATTTTTATTTTTATTTTTATTTTTATTTTTATTTTTATTTTTATTTTTATTTTTATTTTTATTTTTATTTTTATTTTTATTTTTATTTTTATTTTTATTTTTATTTTTATTTTTATTTTTATTTTTATTTTTATTTTTATTTTTATTTTTATTTTTATTTTTATTTTTATTTTTATTTTTATTTTTATTTTTATTTTTATTAATAGTGTTTAAAAAATAAAATCAAGAAAGACTCGGAGGAGAGAAATGTAACGATACTATACTGGAGGCAGCGGCTGCCTAAGGTTCGTCGGTTGGTAGTTATGGATTAAGGCTTTATCACTGGTATTCACTTGAAAGTGAATTCGTTACTAGATCAAATAGAATGTAGGTAAACTAATTGATAACTAAGTTGAGCACGAAGCTCCTAAACTATGAAACTACTCTGACTACATAATGATCGATAAAGGGAGCCCCCAGGAGCTTTCTGGCTCCTCAGGGCTCCTGGAGCTCTAGGAGCTTTGAGGGCTCCTGGGGCTCCTTATTACGTGATTCCTTTTCATCCCAGGACACTAATTCTAATGGTGAATCGTGACAATATTCTTTTTTACAGTTTTTTTTTTTCAAGTTGGTGATTTTAGAGATGGGTATGAGGGTGAGAGTGAGATGAGATGAGATGGGATGGGATGATTAAGTGAGTTTATGTAGGGAAGGAAGGGAGGGAGAGAGTGAGTGACTGTAATAATAAGTAGGGAAGGAAGGAAGGAGGGAGGAAGTAAGTGAGTAAATGAGTAAGTAGACAAAGCAACCAAAATCGAGCGAATGAAATTGGAAAACTCAGGAAAAATAAAAGTAAACGGATAGAAAACTTGAGATTTTAATTATTAGGTATCCTCAGAAGACAATTCAATGAATGAATCAATGAATTTAAATAAACTAGGTAAATCACTCCATGTAACTTATCGAAATCAATTCAAGTTCAAGTTCAAGTTCAATCAAAATCAAAATCAAATCAAATAAGATCATATCAAAATCATATCCATCCATTTCAGACTTTTTTAACTATCCATCCATCAACCCATCAATCATCCATCCATCATTCGCCTGCTTTGCTTTGCTTTGCATTACATTGCATTGCATTGCGTTCATTGCCATTCTTTCTTTTTCATACCTAGATACCATTGAAAAATCAAAAATCAAAAATCAGAAAAGACAAAATCAAACCCCAAATTCCAAACTCAGAAAAAAAATAAAAATTTGATAATTGATAAAAAGGAAAATACATGCAGAGGATAAAAAACGACTAAGCGGTATATCAATTTGTGTACTAAAACCCCTGAAAAAACAAAAACAAAACTCAAGTCGAAGTCTCGGTAGTTGGAGCTTCAGTAGCTTTAGTCTCGGAATCATTGCTATCGAGTTTCTCGGCTGTATCGGCTACATCTGCTGCTACATTTGCTTTGGCGATGTCTTCTTTGGAAGCGGATGAATTGGTACCGTTGATACCGTTTGTTTCTGGGGCTGTTGATTCTTCGGTTTTCTTTTCTCCTTCATCCTTAGGTTTAGCTTCGGTTGCTTCTTCTGCTCCTGCTTTCTCGGTTTCTTTCTCAGTCTCCTTTTCGGTTTCTCCTTCGGTGACTTCAGGAGCAGCTTCAGCTTCAACTTCCTTTTCTTCTTCCTTTTCCTCAGACGCACCAATTAATTTCTCCACTACCTCAAGTGTACCTGTTGGACTACCAGGTTGAGCAGCTAATATCTTTCCCGATTTATCAATGATAAATACACCTCTAGTAGTACTATTTCCCTTCTTTAATCCAATTGCACTAATAAGAGAAGTACTTGTATCGCAAAGAAGTGTATAGGGAAGTTTTTGCTTGGTTTTGAAAGTGGTATTTGCTTTAGGACTATCTTTTGAAAGACCGTAGATGGAGTAACCGGTTGGTGACAGAGAGGCGTGGGAGTCGCGGAAGGCACAGACTTGGGTTGTACCTGTTATTTATGGGTTAGTTGATGTGGAGAAGAAAATGGGAAAGATTATCATTGTCATTGACATTGAATTGTGAAAATAAAGATAGACAAGTAACTTACATCCTGGTGTAGAAGCCTTAGGATAGGTAAAAAGAACAACACCATTCTTACTTGCATCAACAAGTTTCTTGAGTGTAGTCTTTTCACCATCATTTGTTTCAATTTCTCCACCGAATCCTTCAAGATCGATGGTTGCACCAACCTCAACCTTTGTTGCTGCTGCTGTTGTTGTTGCGACTTTGGCGGGAGCAGCAGCAGGTTCAGAAACAGGTTCAGAAACGGGTTCAGGAGCTACAATCGGAGCTCCAACTGGAGCTTCAACTGGTTCTTCAGCAGGAACTTCAGCCTTGGATTTAGATTTAGATTTAGCTTTGGATCCATTGGCTTTTGGAGCTGGTGGAGCTGGTTCAGTATTTGATGGTTTAGTAGCTTTAGGTTCAACAGCTTTCTTAACCGTTTCTTTAACTTTCGCGACGGTCTTTGCGACACCCGACTTCTTTTTTGCAGGAGGAGCTGCAGCTGGTGGTTCAGCTGGTGCTGGACGTTTTCTTAATGTGACGGGCATGATTGAGTGTTGTGAGAGAGCTTTATTTGATGGAAAATTGAGGTAATGAAGATTGTTGTGGTTTGATGAGGTTGATTGTCGCAATTGATGGGTTGCGATAAAGAGAAGTGAGTGATCTTTATCGAGGTAGCACGGATCAATGGGATATGATGGATGATGGAATGGACGACCGAAGATGAGAGGTAGGAGATAATTTTCTTTCAAGTAAAAGAAGGAGATGGAAAAAAGAGAAGTGTTAAAAATGAAGGAAATGTTAGATTATAAGCTGAGCGAGTGATCAATCAATCAATCCATCCATCACTCAATTAATCAATCGTGGAATAATCTCCTCACTCTTTCTCCAGCCACGGTGCTCTGGTTACCTTTCGTACCGTGCCAAACAAACAAGGTCAGGGAATGATTACTCCGTATTTTTGATGCACTGCAGTTTTGGTATATGATCCGCTGTCGGCCGCTTCAGATATTTTGGGGGCACAGGTACTGGCACATTGACATTGGCACACTCGGTATATGGGAGTCTAATAATGATTATCTGGCAAATAGGATGGTTATCCATGAATTAAGGAGCTCAAAACAGTGAAGCGAGAGAATCAAGAAGGTCGGGGAAGCTGTGGGAGTAGAGTAAGAATTGTGGATTGGAAGGTTGTTTGATTGGAAGGTTGTTGATTGGTTGTGGTATAAGATTCCTTTGGAGGTGAGTAAAGGGGAGGTTCATACTTAGTACTTAGTAGCTGGTATTTAGTACTTGAAGATCTAGAAATAGCCTACTGATATTTTCATCTAGGTGACATGAATGAAAGCCTTAGATAGTTCTATGTATAGCACATGTGAAGTATTTGAAGATGGTTGATAATACAGCTTGGAATAATATAAACCGAGTACTGCGATTGATATCGATATTCTAATGCATTTTATCATAACAGATGAGATGAATGTTCATAAATGTACTCGAATCATCCAACAATATAGTCCTAGAGTCGGGTTGGGTTGCCGTTAGTTGATATCTTACTCATGTACATACATATACACCTTAACACATCAGGTGAAGCTCCAAGGAAGATTTTATACGCAGTAGTTGTGTTCCGAGGATATATTATAATCTTGTAAAGATTGTATGACCTCTGGCAATCTGTGTTGTATTATCTGATTCATTAATCCTTTACTCTTTTACTCTTTTACTCTTTTACTCTTTTACTCTTTTACTCCTTTGTTCCATATTTAGACGATGAAATTAATGTATCAAGAATCTCCAAGGCTCAAAGCCCAAGACCAATTCCGCAAGACTGAACCCTAAGACTGAACCCCCAAGACGGCCTAGATGAAGCGTAACGGGAGCCCCGCAGTGACTATTATAGCTTATAGCTTATAAGGAACAAAGAACACACGACAAGCAAGCTAATGGTAGTAGTATATATACGTAGAGTTTCTCTTTGCGTGAAGCTTTCCATGATTTGATTCCTACTCAAGTACACAGTAGACAGTAGAGCTACGGTATTTGCACTGACAGCAATGGTGTACGTACTAGCAATTGTGTACTCCGTCTGTGAAGCACTCGGATGATATCCCGAGTTGTTCCACTATTTTCTCATCTAGCCAAGAGGCTGGAAGGAAACTTTAATGTTGGAAATCGAGACCTCAGGGAAAGTGGAGGTATATTACTCGAGTACGTACATCTGGTGCATTATCCCAAATGATGAAAATCTTGGACCCTTTTGTATCTTAATATGAGTTACTGTGTACTGTGTACTGTGTATGTCTTGGATGATTATAGTGGTGATGATTCAAATGATGTAAGTTGATTCATGATAATCCATCAATTCACCAATATAAATTAATGATAAACCATTCAAATACCTCCCTCAACAAGTAAATATTTCTACAATTGTCTAGAAATCTCTCTCTCTCTCCCATCAAGAAGATCATAAAAATACCATTCGTCCGGCTATCGGAGAGACAAATGCCTAGGTTGGAAGCTGTGAAGATCTTTTTAGAATTTCATACAGAAGAGGCACTTATCAACAAATCAAATCGTCGGGAAAAAGGGTAAGCAAAACACCGAAGAGCATTTGGAGGCGAAAATTTTTGATTTTTTGCATTTTCACAAGCCAAAAAATATTCCATGTTCCACCTTTGAGACAAAATCCGAATTGGATCCGACCCTTTATCTTTTAACGAAAAAGATTCCTATCTTACTAATTTGGATACTTCTTATATCTTTCTTGCCTCCCCCTCTTGATTACTACGACTAGTTACTACTTTTCCTAAGTATATTATCTTAGTATCATAGGTTGTTTATGATATAATAAAGATAATTCAACTAAATCAGACTTCATTGATACACTCAACTCTCTCTCAATCAATTACCCATCCATTGCAACATCAACCCCCACGATTATAAAAGAAGGATCCAACAAACCACGAGCACACGATCAAAAATGAAGGTCTTTTCCAGCGATTGCAAATTCGATTATTCATGGGAAGAAGTCTCAACTGCAAATTGGAGAAAATATTGTCCATGGAATGAAAAATCAACTCATGTTATTGCTGTCGATACATTATCGCGACATGTAGATGCTGAGACTGGAATTGTATGTTTATTTTCATGACTTTTTTCTTATTCCATTTCTATACTTAAAACAATACTAACACACCTCAAGCTTCGAACAGAACGTTTAATAACCTGCAAACAATCCGCCCCAAAATGGCTTCAATCACTCATGGGAGGCAAAGATACATCTCACGTTTTCGAAACCTCATATGTTGATCCGGTTACTAAAAAAGTAACCATGACATCTACAAATCTGACTTTTTCAAACATCATCAATGTACAAGAAACGGTGGTTTATAAACCTTTATCGGCAAATTCAACTCAATTTGTACAAACGGCTCAGATAACGGCGTTATGTGGTGGATGGCAAAAAGTGAAGAATGCAGTTGAGGACGCAACGGTTACGGCTTTTTCAGAGAATGCGAGGAAGGGGAAGGAGGGATTTGAGGCTGTGTTGGCTATGAGTAGGAGGGTTTTTAGTGAGGAGAAAATGAGACAGCAACAGGCGGCTACTGTTGTATGAGGCTTTTATCTTTGAAGGGCTTTAATCTTCCTGAGGACATTTCAGTTCAGTCTGATATACTCGAAAGATCCTTTTGAAAGTACTTGAGATGATCTCAACTCGATCAATCCTCCTCTCCACATCCATCCTCCCCTCCACATCCATCCTCCCCACTCGATTCATTCCTCCAGTCCGCGATTAACGAATCCACACAACACAACTTCACATCACATCACACAGCATCAGGACGCATAAACAGGAGTTTGGATTCAAAACATGATCAAATTTTTACAGGTCCGGTATACAAAAAAGTTCACTTTGGAGTTGTTTATGAATTTTTCTAGTCTATTTTAAGCGTGGCGTTAGAAAAGGGTGGTTCCTAGAAATAGAGATATTTAGATGGGGTTTGGCTGGGTTTTGCTTCTACTTTACAAAGATGAAAGTCTTTGTGATGGATGGGAACAAATTTTTTTTTATTGCGTTTGATGGTTAAAGACGACTTCTTCTTTCTCAACGCTGTTGTGGGTTTTTGTTACAATACAGATACCCCCTTTTTTGATTTGATTTGGTTTGGCTTTATTTGACTTTGACTTTTGATTTTACTTTTGAAGATTGAAGACTGGGAGATTAGATGAAGTATCTAGTTGTTGTTGATAGATTGAGGGTGAAGGGGAAGAAGGAGTATATAGAGAAAAATATAAGATTCTTACTATATTATATGAAAAGAATGAACGAAATGGATAAAATATCATATGTGTATTACATTATCTAAATCTATGCTGGAATACCTAACAATACCTAGGTATCAATAGGGAGTATAGCTATCCAAACCAAAAAGTGTAGTTTAATTACCTACTTCTTCACCTTTCTTACTTCTTACTTTTTAATACCCATTTCCGGAGAATTCTTTTAGTTTATTGGTATTCTGTTTGTATATACATACCTACTTTTAGATCGATCGATCGTGGGGATGGGATAGGATTGCGAGGATGAAGTCGATTTGGTGGTAGGTGATGCTTGGAGATTGGAGAGTTTCTGGAAGGAAGTGGATGAAGAGGGATGTTATTTCGATGATGAGTGAGAGGAGAGGAGAGGGGAGGAGAGGTGTATGGATTGGATTGGATTGGATATCATGTTGAGAGGACTCTGCGAGAATGTTAAGATTACTATAATTTTGAGGTTCTTAGTTGGGTTGGGCCTTGATGGGAGATTGATTTCTCCTTGATTGGGAAGGAGAGGTTGGAGAGGAAGGGAGCATCTGGTTCCTTCTGGTTTCTTTTTCTCTCTGTCCTCTCTTCTTTCCCAGCATGTTCGGGGTTTAGGATTGGGAATATGACGAGTGGTCGAAGATTACCGCCTCCATATAGCATGCTTTCCGACATCCTCGATCTCTCATATCAACCCCCAATCATCCTTACTACAATTATTCTCGTTCAACAACCCACTACCTCCTTCCTCCCCCCATCCTTCTCGCCATCTAACCTCTCCTCCCTCCCCAGTTTCTCCCCCTCCCTTAACCTCCCCTCACACCTCCTCCCATATCTTTCCACCATCCCCCTAAAATCCTCCATTAAATCCTCCTGTCTCAATACCCCCTCCACCAACCTTAACGCCTCCTCATACCTCCTATAAAAATATAATTCTTCAACCGCATATAAAAACTGTGCTGTTTGTGGTTTACTGCGTGGATTTAAAGGAAGAGGTGGGAGAGTTTTATGGATCTATTGGTGGTGAGTATGTTAATTATTGATTTTTATTTTGTTTGAATTGCAGAACCATAGGGTGATTCAAGGGGGGATTTGGAATTTAAAGGCGGAGAGGTGGATGACGAGGTTCGGAGAAGAGGAAAAGGGAAAGGAGGGGAAGGGATTAAATGACATACTTCACCACATTCAATTCTGGCTTTCCATTCACGTTTTACGGTTTGGAAAGATTCTTCGGATTGGAAATCACGGGGGACTTTTTGAGTGGTTTCGGGGATGGAGGAGGAATCGGTTGAGGACTCGCATTCGATTGCAAAGAGGGGGTTTTCTTCTGCAGTGTCTGACATTTCTTTGGATTTTGAGGGGGAATGCGGGGAGATAGTGTGGGTGCGGATGGTTTGGGAGGCTGGTGGTATATGGATCGAATGTGTAGTCTTTTTTCTTTTCTTATTTGGCGATAGTATGGGGATGTGAGATATAGCGTTATGTAGGTATGAGATACTAGATAGATGATAGAGATGTGAAGGTAAGATGAAAGCTACACTGTCTAAGAGAAAGAATATTTTACTTCCCTAATCTTATCGATAAGAAATTTGATGTCACAATTACGCGTACCTGGAAGCGGGGAATTGAGGGGTGAAAGTAGTATAAGTGCAGTGCCCCGTACTGTCACATCGATGATACCCGTAATAATTCCATAGTAATTTTATATAATTACTCCACTCCCTTCTACCTCTGCTTTCACTCCGTCATTCATTTTTATTTGTATTCAGTCCCTCGATATTTAGAGTTAGATTTGCAAAAGGATTTGATACTAAGCTTATACATTACTGCAATTCTCAAAATGGAAGATCAAGTAACGAAATTGACGGAGAAAGTTTGGGGTATATTACACAATTGCTTCTTTATGTCAATATTGCAGAGTTGAATAAGGAGCTAATAAATTGGTTTAGGGAATTTCCAAACTATACCTCCTAATGCAAGATATCTCGTTGCCGTATCCGGGATTCCTGGGTCAGGTATTTACATTTTTCATCCCATCCCCTTCACTTCCCTCCGCTTATCTCCATATCCCCAACTAACATCTCCTCTCAGGAAAAACTACCCTCGCAGCAACCATAACCAAACGACTTAATGCTCTCCAAGAAAGCCATTCAAATAAGACTTCCCTCCCCCCAATCGCCGGTTTCATCCCCATGGACGGCTACCACCTAACACGAGCCCAACTATCCGCCATGCCAGACCCAGCCCACGCACATGCTCGACGAGGCGCCGAATTCACATTCGACGGGCTATCATTCCTATCTCTTATTCAGAAAATCCGCGAACCTCTTACTTCCTCCACCATCACCATCCACGCACCTTCATTCGATCACGCGCTTAAAGATCCCAAGGCTAATGATATACCAATTGAACCTACAACGCGCATATTAGTTTTCGAGGGGAATTATTTATCGTTGGATAAGGAACCGTGGAGGAGTGCAGCGAAATTGATGGATCAATTGTGGTTTGTGGATGTGGATTTTAAGGTTGCGAGGAAGAGGTTGATTCCGAGACATGTGAGGGCGGGGATTGCGGATAATGAGGAGGAGGCGGAAAAGAGGGTGCTTGAGAATGATTTGGTTAATGGGGAAGAGATTGTGAAGGGGAGGATGTCGGTTCATGAGGTTATTGTTAGTACGGATGATGTAGCTTGGAAGTAGGTAGTCTGTGATTTGAAGGAGTAAACACTATGTTGTAGGTCATGGCAGTTTGGGGGAGTAAGAACATGTGAATGTCTCACGTCAATCCATTCATATTGGAGACATAGCTGGTCTAACCTAGCCATGAACTCTTCACTACCTCTGCGTCTCTCAAAAGCCGTAGTACATCAGAGACTAAATAAAGACTGCCTGCAACAACGATAGGTCCACCTTGAGCAACAGTAGCAGCCCATCTTAATGCTCCAGAAATATCTGATTCTGAATCATGAAGACAGGTGGTAGAAATACCAGCTGTAGAAGCTGCATGTAAAATATCTTCGGTATCCATAGCTTGAACCCATGGCATTCCATCTACTGGTCCAAATTGAACTGCTGCTACACAGTCCCCTTCTCTTAAAATCTCTTTCATTATTCCATCAAGTTCTTTCCCTTGAGAAGCTGCTAGTACCCATGTTACTTTATTTGATTTCGTTCGAAGTCTTCCATTGACATATGAACCCAGAACTTCTGCTGATTGAACATTGTGTGCGCCATCCAGTAGTATAGGCTCCTTTCGACCTGTCACAGCTCTAACATCAGTAGTTTGAAGCCTACCGGGCCAATGAATGTTTTGTATAGCTGGTAGGAGTCGATGTAGAGGAGATTCCAATTTCGTATATGCTAGGTGAAATGCAGTATATGCGCAAGCTAAATTCTCCAATTGATGAGGTTCGAGATCTTGGCCTTTGATTTCGTCCAAAAATGTTGATTCTGTAGAACTGATGACGACATCCGTTCCGATTTCTTTGGCGTAATTTGAGATGACTTCCCGTACAGAAGGTATATTGCTCCTATCCAACACACAAGGAACACCAGGTCTCATAATTCCAGCTTTTTCTCGAGCTATTTCCTCAATTGTATTTCCTAGCAATGATTGGTGATCCAAACCGATCTTTGAGATTATAGTGACAGCTTTGTTCTCCATGGTATTTGTCGCATCCAATCTTCCTCCTAGACCAACTTCAATTACTCCCATCTCTATCTTCTCTTTATAAAATACTTCGAATGCCGTGGCTGTAAGTAATTCGAATTCGGATGCTTTGAGATCCTCTACTTGGTTTCTCTTTAACACTAGAGCCTCAGCCTCGCGGAAGATGGATTCTCGAATCGGTTGTTCATCGATGGTAATGCAATCCCACCTGTCAATTAAATGAGGTGAAGTAAATCTGCCACAACGAACACCGCTGGCGTGTAGCATTGCAGATAGATAGGCACATATTGAACCTTTTCCATTGGTACCTGCGACATGAATGGCTTTCCACGGTTGAGGGGTGTGCCTTAAAAGACGGCTGATGCGATTTAAACCCAGCTCAATCATTATGAGGATGGAGAATTGAATGATTGGTTGGAAAGCGCGTTTAATAAGTCATTCAAGTAAAAATAGACATTGTTAATTCATTGTTGTCATCGACTCATTGTTCTAGAATAGTAGGTACTTCTGTCATGTCGTATCAATGAGTCAAGCTCAATGTGATCAATACTAGGTAGGTAGGTCAATGATAAGATCTCCAAAACTTATTAAAAGCTTCGACTGCCGAGTCTTCATATCCATATCGATAAAAGCGATTAATAAATAAAATATATGCAGGGTCACGACTCACGATTCACTAGATCCGATCCATTTTCTTACTACTGTAGGTGTCTAGCGCGCTTTTCAGAGGCGTTTTACCGTATCCTCTTCTCTACCAAAACAAGCAACATTTACATCACATATCACTTCAATCACCCATTATCAATTTCGAAAATTCATCAAAATTGTCACAGTAAAGAGTAAAATCACGGTCGCTAAGACTTATTATGCTTATCTATTAACTTTTTTTTCACTTCTATTCACTTTACATCACTCAAAACATGGGTTTGCCGTAAGTTATCAGTCTCCTCCTTTACATTTCGCCTGTCGCATTTCGCAAAGTTGTTCTAATTTTCGTGCCATAGGATATTCTTCGAACCTTCGGTGCCTGATTCGCCTTCAAAAGAAACAGAAAAGTCGACATCTCGCGCACGATCTGCTATTCGACGGCATCCTTTGCGTGGTAATCAATCCCGACCTGTATATCATGCAAGGCGGAGGCGCGCGTATCTAGACAATTATGAACGAGATAGTAATCCACTCGACTTGTTTCAACATCTATATCAACAGCAATCCATCAGACCTTCTGCTAGAGTTTCTATCACGACGTCAACTAGAGATGCGATGAGAGAGGCAATGAGAGAACATTCGTTGTCAGCAGCACCTCCGAGTTTAAGCTTCGAGCGTCAATCAAGTAGAGGCGCAGAAGCAGATGGACCATTAATGCCTGCTGTTCCGGAATCGAGGGATTACCCTAATCCTCCAATTGGGGATCTACAAGGTCCCCCAAGAATTTTGCGAACAAGTGTAATTTCAATTTCACCATATCCCGAAACAGAGACACAGTACGTGCCTCGACCGTCTGGAGATGTGTCCGCTTCTGAAGTTGATGATCGGAATATGGACCCTAATGTAAGCACACGTCTTCAAGTATCCTCACATTAAGTCACCAGGCGTTGTTGTATGATGTGGACTGCGTGTGGTCGTCAAAGATCATTTTTAACCGCTTTAATAGACTGCTCTAGCAGAAAGTGTGGACGAAATGGGCTCACAAGATTCCTTGTCACGAGTAGATGGCCTTGACGGCCATGCAAGACACCTAGTAAGGGAGCGAGTCGGGGAGCGAGAAGAGCAAAGACGTCTGGCTAGGGAGCAAGAGGAAGCGGAGCAAAGACGTTTGGTCAGGGCGCGAGAGGAAGCACAGCGCGAAGCACATCACGAAGCACAGCGCGAAGCACAGCGCGCATTTCAAAGAAGGCGGCGCGAGCTTGACATTAGGCGACAGGAGCAAAGCATTCTTGATGAAGAGATGAGAGAGGAACGGCGAGTGGAACGCCGTCTTGAAGAACGCCGTCTTGATGAAAGTAGAGATCGACAGCGAGTACACAGCCGCGAAGTACGTCGTCTCAATGAGTTCAGGGAACAACTGCGCGTTGATAGGGAGCGATTGCAGGATGATATAGAGCGATTGCGTAACGAACGAGATCGACTGCAGAGCAGCACAGAACAAATTGATGAGAGCCCATCCTCTGGCTCTGACACGTCGCTCGCTAGGAGAGAGTTCAGAGAGCAACTGCGCGTTGATAGGGGGCGATTACAGGGTGATATAGACCGATTACGTAACGAACGAGATCGACTGCGGAGCGGTGGAGAACATATTGAGGAGAGCCTATCCTCTGGCTCTGAAGAGCGACAGCAAGCTGTCACATCACGCGCTGAAAGAGAGCAAGTCGAGCGTTCCGATGCTCCTAGCGCCGGAGAGCGAGAGCAACTGCTCGAGCAATTGGAAGTCGAGGCAGCCGAGGCGTATAGACGTGAAGTTATGCAATCCGATATGCAATCGGGACTCGAGGAAGCCGATAGCTTCATAATTAATATTAATTACGACGGTCTCGGTGACCGAGAACGTAGCCATGACGAGTTCCAAGAGTCAGAGCCGGCTTATAGAGACTTTGGTGGCCCTGAAGTCGTGGATAATGTTGAGCGATTTGAGCAACTAGAGCAACTGGAGCAACTCAACGTTGAAGGCCACGGATCATGGGATGGCCTTTTGATCACGCCCGATCCACAATCACCAAATCCGTCATCTTCATTCGCTTCAACAGCTGCTTCTAGCTCACAAAGACCTTCTATGAGTACCTCTATTAGTAGCATGCACGAAACCCAGCCTGTTACGAATGGCGATTGTGATACTGCATTGGATTCCGAAACCGAAGATGAACAGACTCAGCAAGGCCTTGAATGGTTTAGACGACCTAGGACAAATCGAACCCACGGTCGAAGGGCTATGAATGCATCAAGTCAAGCTTTGATGAATTCCAGTGAATCTTAGTATTGACAGAATTTTGTCCTAATTCGTCTAGCATCATGCAATGGTGTTTCCAGATGGGTGAAATAGTTTAGACCTTTAATTTTTTTCGGGTGCTTAGCAAGATTCGCTCTCTGTGTCCATCGATTGAGGTTCCATTTTGGCTATTCTAAGGACGAGGTTAATTCTCCGAAAGGAGATTAAGCATGAGGATGCAGATTGATTTACCACAACTATGATACTGCATTGTATTACTATATTACCGGCGTTGGGCAAGCTGGCATGGGAAAATCTTCGCCGTTAATTGTTCGGGATTACGATTAAACGAACAGAAATATGGGTGTTGATTATTTACGGGTTTGATAATTGACATAACGGGAGTTTCAATTCAATCGAGGAGAATTGAATTTTGAACCATACAAAGGGTTTAATGAACCGTGGAAAGGCGTAATTTTGAGGTTAAACTTGTTCAGCAACTTGATTATAACGGATTCTAGTTTCTAGCTTTCAAATAGATAATAATCACCTACCTGGCAGGTAATCTGAAGATTTCAATGGGCGGATAACTTATAAAGGTATGAGAAGATTCGTGAGAAGATGCTGGTAATTTAGTCGAGGTGATTGATCATTCAACCTCGATATGTAGGTATTATTACATTGTTTATTTACTATTGTTTGTAAACGTAATGGTATTGAAAAATGGTAATGTTGTTTTAATCAAAAGAAAATTCTACGAGACAATTAAACAATATATTGAACACTACCCTATCAAAGGTATCATATTTACTATATCTATCAGATAATGATTTTCGACCATCAGCCTTATTAAGCACAACACACTTTATTTTAGATGCAGCTCAGCAGAGAGGTTGTGATTTCCAGGATGTACCCATGTAGGCGCTTGTTTGCCAATTTTGTTAACAACCTACCTACCCAATGTTAATTTCTCTTTTCCCATGCTCCATAACTCATCACTCATAACCCATAACATAATCCACACCCACCCACCCACATACCCATACCCATCCCCATCCATCCTCAATACTTTCTACTACCTACCACAACACACTTTTATTTGGTAATGAATTTACAAACATTCATACCAATACCTTCAACGAAGAATGTTTATTATTCTCAAGACGCACACATCTACCCCAAAACCAACATAATATCATACAAACAGTGAATTTCTTCATCTCCACTTTCGCGTGCTATTTTATTTTCGGCGTGAGGTGAGGGCCAGGCCAGGATCCACCGATATCGACAACCTTGAATATAATCCCATAACCCCGCCAAATAATCATCGTGAAACAGGAACGTAGTCCACAAAACACGAAAAGCTCATGCTTCAATGAGATCCTCCATCTGCCAGAGAATTATACCTCCAACAGCTTCTCTCTCCGCCCTCTAGACTCTCGCCTGGGTCATCCCACACCGACCATGGTCTCTTATCCGCCCTCCTCAGCCGACCGGCAAAGCAGTTCAAGATCGGCCGGTGCGAATGGGAGCGCGAAGTCAGAAAGGACTCCAGGGACACCGCGAAGAGAAAGAAAGGAAAAGGCTGTGCAAGATCCGGGCCTTAAAGACTACGTACATACCCGCGGTTTTCAAAAGAGGAAATACACCTACTTATAAATATTCAGCGTTTAGGAGAATGTCTCGGGAAGGGAGCTTTTGGTTCGGTCTACAAGGCGTTCAATTGGGGTACAGGGGAAGCTGTGGCTGTGAAGCAAATCAAGCTGGGAGACCTTCCGAAGAGCGAATTGCGGATGATTGAGGTAAATACTTGTGTTGAGATGACTTGCCCATGGACTAATATTATGCGCAGGCCGAAATAGATCTTCTCAAAAATCTGAATGTAGGTTTACATTGGAATGACTACGGGGCCAAACCATTTGAGCTGACATTCTTAGCATGACAATATTGTCAAGTATCTTGGTTTCGTTAAGTCTTCTGACTGCTTGAACATAATTCTGGAGTAAGACATCTTGTGTTTTTGTTTCTTCACCACATTGTACTGACTATCGGCGAAGGTATTGTGAAAACGGTTCATTACACTCGATATGCAAAAGCTATGGGAAATTTCCCGAAAACCTGGTTGGCGTTTACATGGGACAAATTCTTCTAGGTCTACAATATCTTCACGATCAGGGTGTTATTCATAGGGACATAAAGGGCGCGAATATTCTTACAACTAAAGATGGGAAGGTCAAGCTTGCGGATTTTGGTGTGTCTACCAGCACTCTTGCTGGAGCAGATAAAGAAGCACAGGTCGTTGGGACGCCTTACTGGATGGCCCCGGAAATCATACAACTTTCTGGCGCAACTCCTGCGTCTGATATTTGGAGTTTGGGTTGCACAGTAATAGAACTGCTTGAGGGTAAGCCACCGTATCACAAATTGGCTCCCATGCCTGCCTTGTTTGCTATTGTCAATGATGACCACCCTCCTTTGCCCGAAGGAGTATCACCAGTAGGTCGACATTCGCAACTCTTTCTGAAGAGAGCCTGAGCTAAACACTTTTTAGGCAGCAAGAGATTTTCTCATTCAGTGTTTTCAAAAAGACCCAAACCTAAGAGTTTCTGCTCGGAAATTGTTGAAACATGCTTGGATTGTGGGCTCACGGAGGACTGATGCTCCTGTTGCAAAGCCCCCCACAAACTTCAATGAAGCAGTAGAAGAGGTAAAGCAGTGGAATGAAGCCCTGAAATCACCCGCAGCTGCCGGATCATTTCGTACTTCTACAAGGTCGCAGCAGCTTGGCAGTCCTTTACCAGCTCGTCGAGACCCTCCTCTAAGAAGTATTCACAATGACTCGCAAAGCAATATCGTCACACCTCCCAAGGGCCGTCTATCTATGTCGAAACCGAAAAGTTTGGCAAGTTCTTTTAGGTCTCCAGAAACTGCAGGTAAGCGAGTCCCACTAGGAAATTTCAAAAATTCCTTGTGGAAGCTGACTGTTGAAGCGGATGATAATTGGGATGATGATTTCGCCTCTTCTATTACTCCAAGCGCGCTTCAACTTCCGCACCTGAAACCTCATGACAATTTTGGGGGTCTACTTTCCGCCGACCGCCTCAAGTCTTTCGCATCGTTTGAGTTTGCAAATGATGAAGCTGACAATTGGGATAATAATTTTGAGGGTGATCTCGTAACGATCAAGGGTCCAAATACCCATGTCGAGACGGATGGCCATGAATTAGAGACTATTCGACCTTATAGAATCAAAGCTCCCTCGGAAATCGACTTTGAAGAAGATATCTCTCCTAGAAGTTATTCGAGAAAGCCGTCTATACCTCCTCCCCGACCGAAGTCTCCAGTGAAGGCTCGGGCGGAAGGGAAATTTGCCTTACCTTTAAGGCCAGCGATAATGTATCGCGAGAATACCGTGGAGGATTATTCAGACTTGTTCGTTGACAATGATAGTATTTTTGATAAAAGATTGGATATAATTAAAGTCAGTATTCTTTATACGATTTCATAAGCATTGCTGACTCGGAATGGCTCTAGGATGATGCCCTTTCTCCGAAACTATTCCACCCGTCTGACCTGACAAGCATTCCGCGCTCTGCACAATCTCCTACTACAAATGGAGGTAGCAGTTTGCGACGAAAAACCACGCCGAATTCTCATGAAAGCTCTATGCATCGGACTAACTCATCGGTTGAGATACAAAAGTATGCGGAGAATGAGGATGACGAAGATTTTTCAGATATCTTTGATCCAAGAGGGGCTGTAGTTCCGAGGATTGAGAGTGATAAGGGCTCGGAAGAAGCATTAATGATTAACTCAAAGCTCTCGAACAATTCCTGGCTTGGTGATGAAGATGATGAAGATGACCCTTTTGCCTCGCTGGAGCAAGGTTTTGATGAGATGGATTTGCAAGCCAACATTGCCAGAGACAAACATGCTCGGCTGTGCGCGTCGGTCGAAGGATTAGTGAGCTCATTGAAAGCAACACAAGCTGAGGATGTCTTATCTGAATTATCGGAACAACTGGTATGTCTTAATTTCGTTATGGTAATTCCGTACTAATCAGTCATTTAGCTTGATGTTTTATATGAGTCTGAAGATGCAAAGGGCTTGATCATCAGTGCTCATGGAATGCTTCCAATTCTGGAGATACTGGAACCCTGTAACTTGAAAAGTCGTCAAAGTATGATATTGAGATTACTAAAGGTTGTGAACGCCATCATTTCGAACGATGTCGAGATACAAGAAAATTTATGCTTCGTTGGAGGAATTCCCATTATTACAAAGTTTGCTGTTAGGCAATACTCAAATGAGATACGTCTTGAGGCAGCTGCTTTTGTAAGACAAATGTACCAGACCTCTACATTGACACTTCAAATGTTTGTTAGCGCTGGTGGATTGAATGTTCTTGTCGAGTTTCTCGATGAAGATTATGATGATGCTAGAGATTTGGTTCTCATTGGTGTCAATGGTATTTGGAATGTATTTGAGCTTCAGGTATGCCAGCAAATATAACACTCAAATTAATATACTAACACCGTTAGGGACCAACTCCAAAGAACGACTTTTGTCGTATCTTCTCAAGAAGCAAGATTTTATCTCCACTAGCACTCGTTCTAGATCGTGTGCTAGATGAAGAAGATGAACTTTCTGAATTGATTGAGGGTCGCATTGTCAACATATTCTATCTTTTTTCGCAAGCAGAAAACTACGTCAAAGAGGTCGTGGCTGACCATGTAGTACTCAAGCGTAGGTCCTCTTGATATTTTGCGGTATGGTCGTTTTAACACTTTTCCAGGAGTTCTCAAAGATCTGAGACGTATGACACCAGTGCATCAGATAACTATGCTCAAGTTCATCAAGAATTTATCCATGCTGTCAACAACCCTCGAATCATTACATGCCGCAAACGCCATTGAACTTTTAATTGATCTACTGAGCTCAAGTATGAAGCGTACGCCTGATCATTTCCGCGAAATCTCTAACCAAGTTTTGAATACTATGTACAACTTATGTCGACTCAGTAAAGAGCGGCAGGAAGACGCAGCTTTCAATGGCATAATACCATTACTTCAACGAATTATGAAAACGAAACGGCCCCCGAAAGAGTTTGCCCTTCCTATTTTATGTGATATGGCTCATTCTGGCAAGGTCGGACGTAAATATCTTTGGCAGAATAAAGGATTACAGTTTTATGTTTCATTACTGGAAGACCAATATTGGCAGGTGACCGCTTTGGACGCTATATTCATTTGGTAAGTTTGGCATCCTGTGAGTGATAATGATGCATACTAATTCTGATATAAAAGGCTCCAAGAAGAGACTGCCAGGGTTGAAAAAGCTTTGCTGGAGGGTAGTTTTACTGCCATGATAGTACAATGTTTTGCTGCACCCAAGGCGAATGCTTTTGATTACAACTTACTGGAGCCTTTACAAAAGCTCCTACGATTAAGTTCGCCTATTGCCGGTTCTCTTGCTCGAACTGATCTTTTCACTGGTATCTTACAAAAGCTTACTCACAAGAAGGCTGTTGTACGACTGAATTTGCTACGTATCGTTCGCAGTATATGCGATGCTAGTGGGGATGAAGCAGAAAGCATTAGGCATCATGCATTATTCGAAGTAATTCAGCATCTTGCCGAAAACGACAGCGCTGTGTTAGTAAGGAATATGGCAAGCGAATTAGTCAAGTTCAATTTGGATAAAGCATCGGAAAATGGAAGTGGCTCAAGGTCTCGGTTGTCTTCTAGGCGTGGAAGTTCCTATACATCACCTTCGCTTCAACATAGTGTATCAACTCCTTTGACTCCAACTCAAGCTAGTCGAATGTCACAGACGTCAGCATTCATTGATGGAAGTGTTACACCCAATAGACGCTCGGGTATCTCGTCAGCGACGTCTATTAGCAATGAATCGGTTCATTATAGACCTAGAACTACAGACGGCACCACTTCTATGATGCGAAAATCGAGTGGCGACTTGGTCAATGGTGCATCCAGTAAAAGTCGATTACCTCGAACATCACTACTTCGTGCGTCACGATCATCGATAGCGGCACCGCAACTCAGGGATGATCCATCGTCGCATTCTAGGAGGGAGAATAGAGAAAATGGAGTTAAAATAAGAGATAGAGAACGTGAAAGGGAGCCAATGAGAGAGTCGACGAGAGAGAGAGAGCCAATGAGGGAGCCAATGAGAGAGTCAACGAGAGAGCCAATAAGAGAGCCGATAAGAGATTTGACGAGAGTCCCAACGAGAGAGTCGAGAGAGTCGACAAGGGAGTTGACGAGAGAGTCGAGAGAGTCGATGAGAGAGTCGACAAGGGAGTTGACGAGAGAGTCGAGAGAGTCGATGAGAGAGTCGACAAGAGAGCCAACGAGAGATTTGACGAGAGTGCCAACGAGAGAGTCGATGAAAGAGCCAATGAAAGAGTCAACGAGAGATCCAATGAGAGAGTCAACGAGAGAGCCAATGAAAGAGTCAACGAGAGATCCAATGAGAGAGTCAACGAGAGAGCCAATGAAAGAGTCAACGAGAGTGCCAACGAGAGAATCGAGAGAGTCGTTGAAAGAGTCGACGAGAGAGTTGACAAGGGAGCCCATAAGAGAGCCTATAAGACCTACGACTTCAAATGCAGCCGCCGTGCCAGAACATAAGCTGATTTCGAGGAGGAGAACAACGAGGCCACCTAGTGGTGATGTCAAATGGTCATGATATGGTTATGATTAGAACGCATGAAAATATGTGATGAGGGATTCATGGATTGGGAAAGAAGGGAAAGACACGGCAGGCCATATGAATGAATTCATGGATGGAACGGATAGGTAAAGGGATTAATTGCATTGTCTTTGGAGTAAATAAAGGATCGAGGTGACCTCTATCCGTCAGTAGGTCTGCACGTCTACCTTTTTAGTAGGAACTAAACATGAGTGTTTGCATATTTGCGAGGAGTTTATGGGATAGGAGGGGGCCGACATTGATATTGTTTATATTGATACCACATTGTGGATGGGAAAGTAGTCGCTTTTATACCTTTTAAATAGGCTAGAGTTGAGATGAAGATGAAGATGAGTTACTGTAGATGAATAGGGAGGATGGTGAGAGGAATTGGGAGGATGGTGAGAGGAATTGGGAATATTATATGAATACAAGGGATTGCTTTCTTGTATTGATTAAGTGATTCTTCATGCTGAGTTCCTTGTGTTATACACTAATCATATATATATATATAATCTATCTTTTCTGTTATATCAATATTTTAAAGTTAGCAAAAGATTTGTTACGAGGTTTGCCGTCTAGATCACGTGGAAGTGCTCTAGGCTCTCGAGGTGGTTTATAACTAGGCGTCAAGCAGGGACTTGAGTAATAGCAATAATGCAATTCGTAACTAATAGTGGAATATACTAAATGATTGATCTTGAGCACGAAGCTCTACAAAAAGAAATTCATATTGAGCGAATCGAAACCGATTTGCACATGGCCCAAGCTTACGAAAACAAGTCAGCTGTTACCATCGTAACAGATTTCTTTATATTCTCTTTTTCTAGATTTCTATAATATGTTTTTTTGTATCTTCGATGTAATCTATATTGTATATAAGATTGAAGCGCTTTTAGGATAATATGTAAGCGAGTATATAGTTAAGTAAATATTTCACACGTCTTACAAGTAATGCTATAAGTCGGTGCCCTCCGAATGAATAGGACTGTGCTGCTGTCTTTTTTAGTACTCTCTGCAGTATGTATTTGAAGTGTTTTGAAGTTGTCCCGATGTTCTACCGCCCCTTTTCGAGTATCATGCATGTTCTCGCTTCAAGGCTGAGGAGTTTTAATGCTTTTTGGATAATTCTAGAGGTTGGGGTGTATATGGGTTGTTTTGATAAGAATGGTGGGTTTTTTTTGGTTTTTTTTTTTGATTTTTTTTTTTTTTGGTTAGGTATAGCGTATTGTGGTTGAATTGATACTGGGATTTCTAAATGTGGAGCAGGAGATTGAGGTATGGGAAGTTAGGGGAATAATTCAAAAATGATGGGGAGAAGGTATGGCATTTGATGTAGAAATTTATTGGATATCCAATGCACAAGAATTAAGGTCAGGTTTTGTGTTTTAAATTAAGAGTGGGATTACTCCAAAGAAATTCAGTGTTCAGATTGCTTTGGGAAAATTGGATAATATTTTTTTTTTAATTTATTAACTACTATTTAAGGCAGGTCCTATAAACGGCTTCTGAACACTCGAGAGATTACATATTCGACGAAACCTAGAAATCACCCCTTTCGCTCACGGATAAACCACCTGATAGTATTAGCTGTGTAAAGTCTTGGACGGGAGGAATAGCTGTAGGCGCAATTTATTGACAGAGATACCTTGACGATTACATTGAGAGGTTTTTGTTTGGGGATGAGAATATTGGGATAAGAGAGGTGGTGCTCAGAATACCATTCTTGTTTGATAGGCGTGAAAGGATTTAATCTATGGGGGAGCTATGCAACCCCTTACATCTGATGAACGTCAGTTTATCATGTACTGTAGCTAGTATTTCAGGTCGACAATGCGGAAAATTAATACGGTCAATAATTCTTTCCTCCAATATAAAGAGTTACCGATGTCGAGGCGGAGCCTTCGTGTTCCTGTGAGCTAGCTTTTTCTTCTCTCCAATATTCCCCAAATCTCCAAACTGAATATTCCCAGCTGCCCGCGGCATCGACAGAATCTTCATAAATTTCTCTGTAGGTAATTTTAACTTCACAATAATAGAAGCTGGCTTTTTAGGTTGTGCAGCTCTTGTTTCATAGCTGTGTATCCCGACTTCCAGTTGAATTTTGAAAACACCAGGATTGAAGTATTTTTTTCTCGAGACTGGCATTATCTTCATTTGGAAGAAGATCGAGAAGTGGTGGTTCGGGGTCCAAATCACAGTAAGTAGCAAAGTCAGTCCATTCGTCGAAATCGATATCATTGGTTGGATATTTAGGATACTCCAGTGGAAAAAAGTTTTTACGGTGAAATTTTAAATTTGGAAGTAAGGCGAATCTGTTCTGAAAGGGTTGCATATCTATGGCTGGGGAGGTAGAGCTGTTTTTGGCCATTGGAAATTGTTTCGTATCCAAAAAGTGCCTCCGAATAGTGATTTGCCAGAGGATCGTCTATAGGTTGAAATTTGAGGACACAAACAAGACAAATTGATCCAGACTGAAACTTCAATGGTCTAATAGGAAGATATGGTGGCTGTTCAGAGAATGTTGACCTCCTGGGATCTTGGCAGCATATGCATATATATTGCATGATGCATATAAGGAGCAAACAAAACTCAACTTTTAATTCATTCTTTCCTTTTTGGTATACTGTTTGTTTGCTTTCAATATTTTGATTTCAAAGCACTTTAATTCCGAAGGCTGATGACCTAACCTCATTCCTTCATTTTTTTTTGGAATATATACTCGCAGCTTAACTGCTTAGTTAGAGAATCAATCAATTCAATCTGATGCTCTTTCTGGTCTCAAGAAACCCAATAGAGAAAGATTGTTGTTTGCCCCTGATGATTACCCGACCACGTGATATTTGAACCGGAGAGATCTGGACGTGGAAGACTGGATTTGAAGTGATTATGAAACCCTAAGACTCTCGAAATCTAGGTATAGATTGCAAATTTTTTATTGAGTATTTAATAGAATTCTTTGAGTAGAACCAATGCAAATGAATGTTTCTGAGAATCTTAAATGATAGACAGTTCAAGTTTGAGTTCTTGGCTGTGCAAAAGCACCTGTTTTATATATATTTGTCTGCTGAATACAGCCCATGGCATTACTTGTAATGAGTTTGTTTTAGAAACAAATGAATCCAAGATTTTCAATAATGTACGACCGAATTGGGAGGGAGAAAATTGTGAGAACATGAAAAACACCTGACATGCTGCGCACCCGCAGGTAGTAAACTTTTGACATTATTATACTGCACAAAAATTGATTCTACAATGTCATATACACGTGATAGTACCAGACATAGAACATCATTACATAAGAAATCCATTGGCACTAATGTACGGTTCCAAGAAGCAGCCGAACAATTCATTCAAGCTACCATCACGCATCGCGCGCTATATCATTCCTTCTTGATTCACTCTCCATTAGCAACCAGGTTTCATAATTACAGAGACATTCAAACAGAAGAGACAAGTCAAATATACTTAGTGTTCAATCTGCCCTATAATTAGGCACCTACTTCTAGATTCCCATGCTAATGATTGTAGTAGGGTTGGCACCCATGAATCGACAAGTCCGATATCTTCGGAGTGTGATTACAAGTAACGTAACTTACCAGCTTTCTAAAAGCAACTATAATAGTGAGACCTACTATCTCGCCTATACCATGGCACAGGATAAATAATTAAAAGAGGGGTAGCTCAGAGGCGGAAGGCAAAGTGGTTAATGTAAATCTCTTCCAGCAGTCAGCTTGACTCTGTTCAATGTATTTCTTTTGGGCTTATTTCTGCTGAAAACTTTAGATGTCTATTATTGATCCATATCTCGTGCAACTTTAAAGATTTTTTGTGCTTGTAGGTAGGCACTTCAATTGATGCGAGAGACAAACGACGCGGGATCATTGTGTGGCAATATTACCAAGTACGCTATGCAACATCAAGAAACATTTTTGAATAATAGATTCAACTCAAGTTGAAGCCAGTATGACAGCGATTCCGGTGACCATACTATAAACCCAGAGCCATTTCTAACACCTCCAGCACTTGCTCTTTGCTAGTCAATGGTACAGCGTTTGTTGGTAACCACCTGTCCTTTAAACAATTGTCCGCTAGTGCATCCAACCTGTCCCTACCCACGCCCACGTCTTTCAAAGCCGTTGGCATACCAAGCTCGCTCACTATCGCACCTACCGCATCGCCTGCATCGGAGGTTTCTTCCTTCAATCCTCTCCTCTCAAACACATCTCTGACGGTCGCCTCCCCCCACAAAACCTTCAGCACTTTTCTCTGGCCTTCAACAACACGCTCGTCCTTGCTACCATGCTTCGCATTATATTTCAACACAGGCGGTAACATAATACAGCTCGTCTCACCATGGCCAACACCAAGCGGACCCAATTGATGTCCGATTCCATGGCTTCCGCCCATTGGAATTCCTCTGCCAAGTGCTTTCATTGCTTCTACCACACCCCACATTTCCTTCAATCTCGCTTCCCCATCTGTGGGATCTTTCTTGGTGATCAACAAATTCGGCACAAGCAATCTCAATCCACTCGAAAACTCCTCGTCACTTTCAGCGCAAACATTCTTATCAAGTGAACATAATCCTTCGACACAATGATCTACGGCTCGAAGTCCTGTGCTAAGCCAAATATGTTGAGGAGTCGAGATACATAGAGATGGAGATAGGATAACAAGAGATGCACTCATCGATGGGTGACTGAAAGCTACTTTCTGATGCGTTAAAGTATTGGTTGCGCCAGCAAAATGAGAGTATTCCCCGCCAGAAAGGGACGTTGGTATGTTTATTACGGGGACTTCACATGGCTTTAGATTCGGTGTCTTGGCTTCTGCTGAGAGGGAGTAGAGTTCATCGTGGGTAGATACATTGTTTGCCAACGCCTGACCAAATGTTAGATATTGTGCATGGACTTCGTTAAGATGTGGGGATCAAAATCAGGGATAATTGGCTTTTCTGAACATCACAATCCGCTAGTACTAACTCTCCCAGTCTTTGTGGGGTTTTGGGAATATAGTGGCGGTTATCATATCAGCTGGGAATAACATACAAACGAAATGACTTTTGCTCCATCAGTAAGTGATCCGGCACCAAGTGTAACAATGATATCTGCTTCCTTCTCTCGTATATCATGTACGATCTCCAGAATATCATCCCATGGTGTATGCGGCTTGATCCCATACCGCACGCCGACGACCAGATCACCAAGACGTTCCTGTAGAGAGGTAAAGTTTGATGTTTTGCTGATAGAGTTCGATACAATTATGTAGACCTTGGATACATGGAACGTATTTTTGATATGGTGGGCACATGCATCAGGAAAGGGGATGCCGGTTGAGATGTGGGGCTTGGGCTTTGGAGGAAATGCCGGGACGTAGGTCTCGTTGGGAGCTGCCATTTGGTTGAACTTTCTAGACTTGTGGTACTGAGAAGATAAAGTTAGTATCTTGACGATAATACAATCTAGAGAATTGAATGCGATGATAATCTTTGCCGCCGTGTTGTACGAGACTCTGTGAATCATATGACGTGGGGATTATTTAATGATTATTAAGCAATCAACTGCCGTCAAATTGCCGACTTCATGATAAAAATTTCAACGTCCCTTCCCTTAAGGAATATAATATCCTTCGAGTTTCTATGGAACAATTCACTTTTAGGAAAGTTGATATCTGATAAAGAACTATATTTCGCTTGTTTATTGATAAGCAGTAAATGATTGTTGCATTTTCACGAGTCCCACTAAGCTCTGGAACACCATGACTCTAGACAAAACCATATACAGTGACCTGGATGCTCTTCTCCTCTGGGGGCCATTAATTGATCTTAAGAGAAGATTTAAGGTGGAAGAAGTCTAGTGTCTCTTCCGAGGATAAAGAACGATCTGTGTTGCTTACCATAGCCTCCGCCTTGCTAGTCTAAGGCGCGAAGCTTGATGGCCGCAAATGGCCCTTTTAAATGGAAGTTTATGAAAATTCGCTCCAAACTTTGGTCATAAGTCCTTGGGAAGATGGAAATGCGGATATTGCATCAGCTATGTCGACCCCCTCCAATTCGAAGGTAACGGCACATATCTTTACTACGCTAGCCGGATAGACGGCAATCAGTTGCAGCTGTGAGTCCTGATGACCCAAACGTCCACTTGAAATGCCGCTTTCTGTTTGATTATGTTCCTAGCCTTTCTCATAGGGTTAGAAATATCTAGTACTGTACGTTTTGTTGCACGTATGTACCAGGATGTACGGATTAGCAGGAAGCTAGATCTTTAAGCCATGTTCTGTTGCACGTCTATGCCTGGTTATGCTATGCAATCCAAGGACTAGTGTTCTCAATGATATTTTGTTGCAAGTCTTTTCCAGGATGCGGGGATTAGTAAGAAGCTAAAATGCTTCTATTATGTTCTACTACACATCTGCCCTGGATACGTGATGTAATTCAGCTGCTATCGCTTCTCACTGATATTCTGTTGCACATCTGTACTGGGATTTCCGTCTCAACAGGAGTCTAAGATTCTTTAACCATCTTATATTGCACATCTGTACCAGTATATGCATATAGGCCAAAAGCTAATATTTTCTACCCGTGTTCTCTTGCATATCTATACTGGGATGTATAGACAGTTTAAAGGGTTGAGCTCCCAAATCATACTCTGTTGCATATCTATACTGGGATTTCTATCTAAATAAAAGTCTAAGATTCTTTAGCTATCTTATATTGTATATCTGTACTAGTATATACATATAGGCTAAAAGCTAACATTTTCTACCTATATTCTATTGTATATCTATACTGGAATATATAAATAATCTAAAGGGTTAAGCTTTCAAATTATACTCTATTGTATATTTCTACTGGGATGTACAGAAAATCCAAGGGATAAGCTCCTAAGTCATATCCTGTTGTATATCTGTACTGGGATGCATAGACAATCCAAGGGATAAGCTTCCAAGCCATATCCTGTTGCAAATCTTTCCTTGATCTGAAATATGCTGAGATTTCACAGTTTATCGCCGCAAGACCCAGATGCGGCCATGGCCATGGAGATCTGTTTTGGAATCCATTCCTTGCCAGAGGATTCTACCCCGTAATCGCTCTTACCTTTACACATCGGTATTCGTGTTGCACATCTGTGTGAATCTGCAGGGATTCTTCCTCTTGACCTGGTACTAAAGGTCACGATATAGGGCGCTATCCCAATAAATACTAGCGTTCCTACTCGCTATTATCGAATATGATAAAATTCTCATAAATCGACGATGACATTGCGGTTGAGAGCAAGACGAAGCAACATATTTCCATGTTGAAAGAAAGTCTTTAATCTCCTTCGGCGTTCTAGATGAACGTTGATTTCAGAAGCAATAGTGTATGACATCGCAATCTCGAACGCTAGCAATGTTAGTGTTGAAGCCTGAGATAACGGATGCCACATTGGAGGTAGGGTGTATTGCTTTACGATGCGAAGCGGAGAACGCCGAGGACACCATCTTAGATACAGATGTACATATTTGTTGACTATCGACCGCCGTTCAATCATCAATCGAAAAGTAGCCTTAAGTTTTCTGCTCGAGTGTGGCATGGGGGAAATTCGAGTACCCTACTTCAAAATTTCAAATTTGGATGGCTAGAAGGCCACAAAGCGCACATTTTTAACCGTCTACAACTAGCTTGGAGTTAGAGATGTTCCTCGTAGATTTTGGAGTTCTACACTTTTGATGCGAGACAAATATCGAAAGGTAAAGGTTTACTTTCCTCAAGCACTAGTCTAGCATGAGTCAGCTATTTCTACACTAAACTTGCAATATGATTGATGATGCTAGGATCTACACAAATGCCAAAACTTAATTGGCTAGTAAGGTTCTGATACGAACCCTTAATTCGAAACGTTCAATATGTTCACTATGCACAATATTAATCATCAGAATCTACGTTGAAAAATTGTCAAAGTTCTTTCGTTAAAAAATTATCGTGATCACCTATTAAATCAAGTCCTTAGTCTAGATACTGTTCTTGCATTGCAAAGTTTGTTAATGAAGGATAAGAAAGAAAGATTATTCTTAGATGGCCAATCGGTAGAATCCAGGGAAGACGAATGAAGTAGAGTGTGAATCATATAACTAGTGGAAAGAATCAAATTGGCTTGAGGACTAAATGCCGGCTCTATTTAGACCACGTCAAAACCGATTAATAGATGTAGATCAATCCGAAAAGTTGATTCTATTATTAAAGTTAGTAACCTTGGCCGAATTATTGTGAATAATACTGGTTGCGAGATTAAAAAATTTATCGCGTCCGGTAAGCGCTACCGAGAAAGAAAAGGAGAGTAGTGCTTAGGCTTTCCAGTAAATTCGAAAAGGTAAGAGCACAAGAACTTTTTGATGGCCGATATACTTCACATTGATGGCTCTTACTTTTACATTGTTCGGTTTCTACTCCGGTTTTCCTATTATGTCTCTGATCGTCGATATACTTTAGATTGATGACTCTTATTTCGATATTTGAAGTTCGGTTTCTACACTAAACTTCCTATTATGTCTTTGATCGTCGATATACTCTACATTGATGACTCTTATTTCGATATTTGAAGTTGGTTCCTACTCCGGCCTTCCTACTATTCCTCCTCTAGGCTATTTCTCGACTCAAGACGGTGATATACCATTCTACTGCCTCTCTCGGCTGTATTAGTATTAGTTTCCTCGAATGTTTGATCTTAGAGCTTGCCTTTTAGTTTTAGTCTTATTGTTGATTCCCTATAAATGAAATCTTCTCCCTCCCTCCTGCTCTTCAGTTTCCTCTCACAAACATTCTTCACCTTCTTCACATTCCATACATACCCACCTACTTTATAAGCAATACACTTGTACTTGGTTCTATCTACCTACCTTTACATACTTACCATTTAGGTATTCCATATTTGGGAATACTCATTCAAAGTATTCAATAACTTATCTTCAATAATTTATTCATTTACGTAAGTTTCCATTATCTTGTCCCCTCCAACAATACTTAGTCGGTCCATCTTTCTTAATTTCCTGAGTACTTAACTTCGGCACTGAGGCGAGGCTATTTCACAACATGTACTCAATTCAGGGGGTTCTCATACCAAGCAAGACGATATCTGTAGCAGTTGAGATTACATTCAATAACAAAGATTCTAAGCACAGCTAGACACATACTATTAACAATGTCGTCTTTGAACGTTTCCGGACTTTGCTTGCAAAAGCAAAACAAACAAGAATATCAAGATGATATTGAAGTGGAGGATACGGTTATATCACCACTTGCGGAGGGCAGCTCGTGAGTATACCCATCGATACGTTCACTCGCACCTTTAACCCCACCCGCCCCCCTAGTCCATTCTCTTGCGTGACAGGCTTGACTAATCCAACGTAGCGAGGCAGCTTGTGTCTTCGAAGACCTCCCATACGAAATCACCGCGATGATCGTGACCAGACTTGATCCCATCTCTCAAATCTGCTTCTCGCTGACCGGGTCCAACTTCCGACAAATGTTCAAGGGCCTCGCAGCTTTTGACCAATATCTGCTTAGGCATAGCGATCGCTGCCATCGCTCCCTTAAATGCTACTCTGCACGCCTTTCCATGCCTTTGAGCATTCAAGTATCCAAATGCGGATACTACATCTACGACGTGGACTCGGGATGTACGGGCTCCATGCCACTTGACTATGATTCAGTGGAGTGGGGTCCTACCCTCGCAGATTACCTGTGGGACGAGTCGTTTTTCTGGAGCGGTGGTTCAAAATGGTGCCACGAATGCTACAGAATTTTGCCGCCCACAAGTTGGGAGCAGTGCGAGTTTGAGAAAGAGTTTTGGGACCATGTTGAAGGTCGATCTGTGGGGAAGGAGGAGCCTCACAAACTTATCACCAACCTCCTTGCCCGCTCTCTTATCCGCGGAGTTGAAAGGGGGAGCAAGGATTACGCCGAAGTTAGTAATCCTGCAGGGTTTCTTGAAGAGATCCTGGCGGTCGATGAGGCGACCGTATATCAGTCTCGAGAAAATGATATTGATCATAGTCTCTGCACAAAGTGCAGAATCAAGAGTATCGTTACTGATAACGGTAGGAGGCAAGAGATGTGGACAGGGGAAGACGTGTGCGTTGGGGCTCCTTGGAAACAGGCGGATGGAGTCGCTATGAACGGGGTGCGGAGGCTGAACTTGGAGTCACATGTAAGTGCGGATTTGTGGAGGCTTGGTCATCCCGATGGCTGGATGTTTGTTGTGCTGTGGAAAGATGTTTTGCGGGAATGTTGGCTTTCTGTAAAGGAGTATAAGAGAGTAAAGCTGTTGCGTCGCCAAAGGCACCCCGCGGAAACTCGGAGTCCAGAGTTGAAGTGGTAGTCTAGCGCGTGCCTGACTCTCGAAGCTACGGCCAGATAACGCCTAGTGCAGATGTCTTTTTAGCATGCATCTCCATAGTATAATATACCCCTGTTCAGCTTTTGATTATTGCTGCTGCCCGCACTCACACAAATGGAAGTGACGTCTGATGTACAAAATCCTCCGTGAGACAGCTTGTCTAGAGTTTGGCAGCTCCTTGGCCTTTCACCTCTGAAGTTTCTTTTGATCACATGTGTCAGTCACTAACTACTATTTCCTCATTGCCTTCGGTGCAGATACAGGAAATGATAATTAAAAGCGAATAAATAGATTTTAAATCTTACACCATAAAATGTGTAAGCGCCGAGTCAACCAGGGGAGAATAGTAAAGCATTACATCTGGCAAGCTATCAATAAACAACGAAATATTTGCTTCTCCGTTCGCTGACTTAGCATGAATACCAAAGGCTCTGGACTAACACTCCCATTTTGTTTCGGCCTCGGGATATTCCATATTATTCATACAGAAAGTACATACACAAGATTTTGGCATGAATAAACATCGAAGTTTACTCAGCTACCATAAACTATCATGACATTCCTCTCGTGTATTGACATATTTTAATGCAATGACACACAAGGTCAATCATGCGGCAAGGACTTCAAAAGATTCAACATATAAACGCAAAGAATTCGACTTCTTCCCTTCATTTTCACAGGATCAAAAACAAACTTCAAGCTTCGCTTGCTCATATCATAGCATCAAATATTGACAGCGGCTTCTAGCAGAAGAGATAGCTATTCAGGGTATTTGACAGGTTTATATCTATATCATTTCTCCAATTTAAGAAATTAATCCTCAGATAAGAGGCAGTTTTCCCAAAACGAGTATCTGTGGTGTTATGTGAGTCATGATGCGATGATGAATGTTCATTTTTTTGTTGGAAACTGAAAGCATCTGAATCATCAATAAATCTACACATTCTCACCAACCACGATATTATGTCTTCACGATTCAAACTTATGAGCCTGATCTAATGGCATGGTCATACTGTCTTCTGCTCTCGCATATATACCAAGGTCAAATACGGTATCTTCCTTCGCTCAACACAATCTCTCGCACTCAGAACAACCAATGCAGACGATTTTGGCGCTGTCTTCCTCCTCCAGTCAGACAAAACCCTCCAAAACATAACCATCATAAAAAACAAATCCGAAGGGACCAACTATTCCGGATCCTGCACCCTTGAATACATCTACTTCGAAGATATATATGAATATGCTGTTGCGGTCAAAAACGACGTGATATGACTGGATAAAAACCATAGATCATTGAATGCGGCACTTATAATGCTAGTGATAAAATCGTGCTTTGTGCTGCATAATAGATATGGTACTTTTGATATTATTAACTTTTACATTGAGGATTATAATTAGGGAGTTGTACAGGAGTTATGGGAATCTAGGAGGTTTTGTTCTTCTCAAATTTCAATACAGGACTCATGTACCCATCCGATATAAACATAACCCACACATCAAAAGCACAACCATCCATCCATCAACAGCCATCAAAAACAATAACAACAAACCACCCAATACCACACTAATTATCAATCCCAACTATCCCAACACATCTATCTACATACACCCAAGAATCACCATTACGTAGTCATGCATCCTTGCTAGATATGTGGTGATCTCGTATATACACACATTTTGTATATATCTTGCACTCCGAATCATCAATCTAACAAAGCGCTATAGATATTTTATTTTCCATCTATATAATTAAATGAGACTTTACTTACTGGACTTCTATATCCAAACTCTTTTCATTCGACTAGGAATCGGGAATCTCCTCACTCTCCCCCCTTCCCCCCAAAAAAAGACAGAGAAGAAAAAGGAAAAAAAAACGATGTGTCACTCCTGAATTTATGAACGAAAATGATCGTATTAGATAATAATGCTATATACCAACTTCCCGCCAAAACACAAAAACCCTCATTAATTATCCCCCCTCCTCCCAACGGCTCGCTGTTCATTTAAAGCAAATAATTAATCAAATAATCAAATAATCAACCAATTGCAACCATTAAATCATAGGATCTTCATCCTTATCCTCATTAATTCCCACCACACTAAATCATTCCCAACTCTCTCCCCATTCCCTTCTCAAACACCATCCCTTCCTTCCTCCTCCCTTTCTCTTCCCCTCACACCTACAAAAACCCCACCACCACCACCCCCACACCCCCAATAACACCCACCAATCCACTAACCCCTCTCTCCCCAGCCCCACTACTCTTATCACTACTCTCCGCCCCCGTCGCACTAGCCGTCTTACTCTCATTTCTGCCCATAGAACTCGCTCTCGCTGCTGTACTTGTCGCACCTGCTCTTGCACCGGCACCTGCACCAGTAGCACCACCCGCCGCAGTAGCAGTAGCAGACGTAGGCCAATCTCTCGAGATAGCTGATGAGGAAGTAGATGTATAAACTGATGCATTATTACAATAAGTTTGTTTATTAGATAGAGCGCCCGCGTAACCTGCGTCGTTGGGACATTGGTTGTAGCATCTGAGAAAGGGAGGGGAGAATTAGTATAATGAAGGGGATTTGATGGAGGAGAGAAGGGATTAGAAGGATAGTGAATAAGGAAGGAGCGTACGTTAAAACTGCATTCCAACTTGTGCATAAACAATTATAATCGGTAGGTTGACATGCCTGAGCAATAGCCGTCGTAGAACTCAAACAAGCATCTAGAACATTTTGTCCGAGACAAGTACTAGAAGTGCCGCCTGTAGGAGCACTAGCAACAGGTGGTGCTGCAGCTGTTGTTTGAGCGGTGGTATAGGAAACTAGAACTGCGAGAGGAAGAAGCGTTTTTGCAGTTGAGAAATGCATTTTGCGGTTGAGATTGAGATTGAGATTGGATTTGGATTCGTGTAGCGTATGGTACGGTATTGTAAAATATGAATGAATGCAAAGAACTTGCAGATAAAAGAGATAGATGTACGAGTAAGTACTACCACGTAGATACTACACGAGAATGAAACGATGCAGTAAATCCGCGTGCGTAGTTTGTATAACTTCACAAAGCCAAGCGAAAGTGATTCAATCAATCGATCAATCAATCAATGAATAAATGAATGATATATATAATAAAATCGTCAAGATAAAATCTCAATATCCCAAAAAAATAAAAGCAAGCAGAGATATAAACAAAAGAATTTAAACAAATGCGCATGAATATCCAAAATATATATATTCTGACCTCGATTCTCCTCACCCGTCCAACAGCCAAATATGTTCGTTTCTATAGCAAGCAAGCAAGGCAGCCACTCAGCCAGCCAAGCCGGTGCATTCCAATCAAAACGATAATTCCATTGCGAATAATTCCCCAGACAACCAATTCAATATATCACATACTCACACATGAATGATTGATTAAATGAACCCAAACTTACCTAACTAGCTAGCAATATAACGCATAAACACAATCCAATCCATCCCAAACAAACAACCAGTTCCCCTCCCCTCCCCTCTTCGTATATGTATCAACATCCGAATATGTTAGAGGTACGGTTACCAAGATAGAAATATGCATGGCATACTCGATACTCCATACTTCACATCGTACGACGAGAGAAAAAATAACTACATATATATAGTTGCTCGGCGAACGTATCCTTTGTGTACCTGGGATAGGTGACAAGATCATGACCATCATATACTCGAGTACTCGAGTAATTAATGACCAAAGTAAAAAAATCTCCAAACTTTCTAAGGAGGTTGATTATAAGAGTACCTATCAAAAATAGAAATAGGAATAAAAATCTACAAAAATAAATACCCACACGGATATACTAGCCGAGTATACCATTTGTGATATATGTACATATGTAAGACACAAGAATAAAAGATCCGAGATAAATAATCTTACAATGAATACCTACTCATTATCAGAATCCTAACCCCACATCACGAACCCTATCCTATACTTCCTACACTACGTAAACCTGCCTTTTTCCTCTCCCTTCTACCCTCCCACCCTCCCACCCTACCATCCTCTGCTCTATCACGAATCATTTCTTCCCCAGTATTTATATACCTACCTACCTACCTACCTACCTACCTACCTACCTACCTACCCATCCATCCATCCATCCATCCATCCATCACCCATCCATCCATCCACCACCCATCCATCCATCCACCACCCATTCACACATCCAATAAACTTAAAATCGCATCCAAAAACCACCGATCACAACTCCTCACCACAGAGTCGGAGTATAGAATAATTCTTCTTTCTGATATCGGTGCTATCCGTTCTAGTGTATGCACTACCTACTAATAACAAAGTTCATCGAATACACTGAGTTGGATTTATTTTCTTTCGATTCTTGTATCAATCGTTACAATGCATTTCATGAGACTCGAGCTTTAAAACCCGCCATTTATTTCCGAATAATTCATACCTCCAAATCCATTCCAGGTAATTTAAAAGTTGAGAAACCTGGACTTCCCTCAGCTTGTATAGAAAATAGCAAACACCATGTGGAACCAATGAAATCCCTCCACAACATGAATCACTCCTGTCCGAATCCCATCGTCTCTTCTACTGCCATCGTCAATTTCGTTTGCAACTGCTCGAGGGTTTTATAAGGTGGAAGATCCAGTCGGTTGAAACTACAGAGTGATTAGTACATGTAAAAGTGAAGGTGTTACGAATAGCTTACCATGTGTGGGATTTTGGTAGATTATTGGGCTCTCCTTGCTTTTCAATTGTGAACCTTCTCGGCCCATCACTTCCCTGAAGATCTTTGAATCCATTGACGGGAATACGAGATGTACCAGTTGCAAATTGAAGAAGGCGGGATTTTTGTTCTCCATCCCAACTTCGGATTGTTTGCCAGAAAAATTTAATAACCTCATCGGATTCCGTATATCCTCTGTAATCTGTGTGCTTCTTCCAGTCGTCGACATCAATTTCCGCAATACCACCAATCAATAACTCAAGTTCTCTTTCATCAAAAACATTAACAAGTTCGGCTGGAATTAGCTCGTGGAAACCATTGATGAAAGCTTGAAATTGCTCATCAATTCGCTTTTGAATCCTCCATTTTACCATCAAATCAACATACTCCTTTTTGTTTTCGTCCGTGACTTCAATATCTCTTCCACCCGGTTTAAGATCTTCGACATTTGTAACACCGAATCGCTCATCTTCTGTGGAAAACGTCTGGTCTAAAACACCTTCAATTGGATTATCCAACATCCATTGAAGACTTCGATGAAAATCGGCATCAACACCCTCCATATCTTGAAGGGAGACTGCTTTACTAAGCATCATTTTATATAGGGCACCGATGAAAAATGCATCCAAGAATCGACGATGGAAGATGGCCAAACCGACCACTCTACCAATAAACTTAAAGTAGTTGAGATGTTCCGGGTTAATGCCGGAGTGAGGATTGATTTGAAGGGTATAGTTGTCGTGAGCAGAGTATTCGAATAAGCAATAGAACGGGTTGAACATTTCATGAGAAAGAAGGAAGAAGAATTCTCTCGATAATCCACCATAATCGAGACCATCTTCTCCATCAAATTTAATCATAAGACGTTTCTTTAGATCGGTGGCAGATTGACGCATAATTTCAGCGTAGGAGTCCTCGAAAATATGTGATCTTCGAATCTTGACATGACATTGACCGGAGAGAATTCGTAACGCTGGCTGAGAACGGAAGTAGATTAGCTTCCTTCTGAAATCACGTTTGTATTGCGGTACGTTCTGATCCAGCGAAGATGGTAGTCGAGGATCGTCCCATGTAGTGGTCTTGGTGTTGTGGTCCACAAAGTAGACTCTTGCAGTGTTGGTTAGTCTCATTTCCCAACCACTTGGTAGAGGACCAAGTTGTGAAACTGGTTGTTGCTGAATGGTGTTGTTGGCATTTTGACCACCATACATGCGGATGTATTGTTGGCGTCGAGGATCCACCCAAGTCGTAGTTCGTGTGTTGTGATCCACGAAATAAGGACGGCCTTCTGGAGTATGTCTCTGTTCCCAAAGTGGTGGAAGCTCCCCTGTTCCTGCAGTTGTAGCACCAGTAGCCATCATCGTAGTCGCAGTCGCCGTGCTAGTGCCATTAGCTTGTTGCTGAGCTAAGTTTGGTGAATTAGCACCAGTGCGGTCTTCAGGTAAAGTACGATTTTGATGTCTTTGACGCTCCACCTGGGTATTAGCATTTCTCTCGTCCTGTCTTGTCTCCGTCGTCCCCGATGCAGATGGTCGATTCCAACTTGTAGATCTGGTGTTGTGGTCGACATAATAAGTTCGTCCCAAGTTATCTTCACGCCTTTCCCATCCAGCTGGCAATCTACCCTGAGCATCCTCAAAAGAGCTTAGCCCATTTCGATGACCTGCTCCTCCAGTAGTCGTAGGGGCGTTGCTTCCTCCGCTGCCAGCAGCGGGTGCATGACCGGGTGTCGGTCCACTAGAGAGGGCTCCATTAGCCATAACGACTCCCTGTGGTTGCGGGGTATGGGGAGCTGGCGAAGATGAAGGGTTCGAGAAACCGGAAACGGAGCCGGTCGGAGTGTGGGCTGGAGGTCGATTGCTTGAGGATGAATGGCCGTTGGTGGGTGGGGCGAGGCTACCTCCTCTTGGAGGGGTATCTAAATTGGTAGAAAGATTTATAATAAGTTTTCCGTGTACCACAAGATTATCTGTCGATTTCTTCAGGTCTCGGGTGAGCATTTCTGTGTGATTTCATTATCAGCGTCTGAACGTGAGTGGTATTAAGAGTAGCATCATGACTCACGATCTTGAGGCGATGAGAAATCGACGACATCTCCAACGCGAACATTTATTACTCCCAAAAAACCTTGGTCCTTCTTCTTGAACTTCTTCTGATCAAATATCTGCACGGCCAATATACTATCTTCGTTCGCACGCCTAGAATCAAATTAGTCCAGCTTCTTTCCTGCAGAGAACGTTCTATATTCACAGGTCGAAGATTTCGTTCCAGTATGGGTTGAGAGTCCTTTTGATAACAGACGTAGTCTTAGTCTGCTCGCCACTCAATGTCGCAACTGCAAAGGGATCCGGAAATCCTATGACACACGATTAGAAAGGTTGTCTTCCACAGGTAATTGGTGTTCGTACTAAAAACATCACGCTTGTATAAACCGTCGGCAGCAATTACTATTGATGATTAGTATATTTACTGGTAACCAATTCCCAAGTTTAAGCATACTAGTTAAGCGCAGATTGGGTTGCCTATAGATGTGTCAGTTGTGTTTCTTTTCATGTGTGATCGAGTTTCAAACATACGCTGGAAGACTTGAGTCCACTCTGCTATTGCTGGCCATGGTGAAGGTTCGCCAGAGATGGCGGCGTTGTGTATTGGGACTTCAATGATGGATGATAGTAGAAAAGTAGCGCAGAACACCTTCTAAGTTCCTGGGGTTTCAAGGTTGGCGGCCGTGGGTGGAATCTTTGCGCTTCCGCTGATTTGGGGCTGTGTTCAATAGAGCTGTAGAAGCCCCCTTGCACCAAACTGTGAATGTTACAGTTTCTGGGGTTATCGTTATCGATTCAAGAATTCGTGAGGCATGAAGGCATGATAAAGAAAATGATATTCGTAAAGGGGGGTTCAGTCTAATGATTTAGAAGAGGAATGGAGTTCTAGTAGACCAAAATGTCAAGGCGGCACAGAATGTCCCCGCTAATGATAATTCAGCCCGATTTGTAAGGCGTAAATGACAATTTTCTATTTTTACTCTCACGTCATACAGTGAGAACTTTTCATGAACTAAATGGTGTTTTTGACTATATCGTGGAAAGTGGCATAAATAACATCCAATGGATTCATAAGGTTGTGCAAATTCTTAAGATTGAAAATGGATCTTATTCTTACCAGATGTGAATCCATGACTTTGAGTGCGTACAAGGAACTAGAGTAATGTGGGTGGGCATCTTGATTTTGATATCATAAAGCGATTCTTCGAATCAGGGAAAGGAGAGACAGAGGTGGTTATTCAGGGATTTGAAAGCATGGCAATTGTTGGAAGAGGCCACGGAAAAACTGCCCAGGAAATGAAAGTACATCTTGGTCCACGATAGAAATATCATATCGATTACAAAGAAGGCGAAAGTAAGAGCATGCGAACACCAAATCACAATGAAAAACCATCACTTGTGCAATCATATTCATAACACAACCTTGAATTCTGCTATTAGAGAATTACAGTTGAAGATCATAGTGATAATCCAGGAAATTCAAATGTAGAATCCAAAGAAGATCATATGCTTCAGATAAACGCCGTGGTATTCTCGTGAACGAATGCCTTTTCGAATGAATCCTTAAAAGTCCAGAAACGAAATCTCCCCAAATCCACATATTTAGTGCCATCATCTTCAGCAATCCTCCCCATCTCATCATATGCTAGAGTCAAGACAACTCTGGCGAAATATTCACATCCTTAGTATGGTGTGAAACCTCTACCACGATTACCTCTGTAACCTCCACGGTATCCTCCACGAGGAGAATAGCCGCCACCACGACCGCCACCAAAAAAGCCACCACGGCCTCTACCGCCTCCTCGACCACCACGGCCACGCTGCATACCAGGGACGTTAGTGCGCTTAGGCACAACCTGTATTATAATGAGCTCGAAGTCCTGGCAAATGTGTAGAAGAAAAGGACGTACCTTAAGGTTGCGACCCTTAAAGACACTCTCATTGAGCACCAAAGCTTGTGCAACAAGACTTGGTTCAACAAACTCAACATACGCATACCTGCATAAACCTAGATTAGCATCCTTCTCTTGCCAGGTAGCGTTGATTACAATGACACTCGACACAATTCGTCGAGGTATTAAGGAGCCAAATTTCGTAGAACGCACCCCTTAGGATGACCAGTGAACTTGTCAAGCAAGATTGTTACACGGTTAATAGATCCACAACTTTGGAAGTGAGCTTGAATATCTTCTGGCGAAGCAGAGTAATCGACATTTCCAACAAAGATACTGCGGCTATCAATGTCTTCCTTATCTTCTCTAAGATCAGTGCTTTGTTGATCAAGGGTTGCCTGCATTTCCCTAAGCTTGGCTGCTTCCTCCTCCATCTCTGCGACTCGACGCTTCATGGCTGAGATCTCTTCCTAAGGCAACCGTTAACTATTTGTTCCCAATGCAGGATCTTTACTTTTTCAACCTACCTCATCATTATTATCATCCTCACCAGCCATAACCTGATCTTGAAGTTTTGGGTCCGTGTCTGCCATGATTTATTTAATTGTAATTATATTGTTGCAGTTGTAAAATATTGTAAAGTAATTGAACAGGTGGATCTTTGAGCAAGATCAAACGGAATTGTTGATGAAAAAATAGAAGATTGCGATTCTGGAAGAAATCTTTGTTAGCAAAAGATCTATAAAAAAAAAACCGTAAGCTAGCCTTTGAAAATTGCGCAATCTTATCAAGGGTAGGAATGGAAAGTGAATTGATCTGTTAGCATGATTTTGTAGGTATTCATCTCAACCTATTGCAGGAGCAATTCTCGAATGTTGCAGGATGAATATTATGAAATATTGAGCCGTGTAAAAGAATGAAAGAGTATTGACAAAGGCTCATGCAGAACCGCTCACCTCAGTGTTGATTGAATTGTCCAAGAATATAGAATGCAAAAAGTTGTGGATAGAAAAATTGATTGATTGATTGATTGATATTGAGGTTATTCACAAGTTGAATCACATCCACAAGGCTACCAAACACATGGCTACAGTTTAGTTCGGCTATGCGAATTCCTTAAGGCTTAAGCCACCAATGTGCTAGGCGGATAAGCAATGCCAAGACCGAAGCTAGGTTCTCTAATGTGTAGAGTAGCTGAGTAGTAGTTGAATATTCACTTCCAGCAAGTTAAAATATATATATATCATGACAAAATCATCAGGATCATCTCAAACAATATCAATGAAATCAATATCATCTTCTATACTATCATCCCCTACCCAACTAACAGGTTCCTACTCAAATTCCGCTAAACCACAAAAAGGATGGTACAGCAGCTGGAGCTTTCTACTATGGATACCTCACGATAAGAACTGCGCATGTACCACAACCATACCTCAGTTTTAAATACTGCAAAATCCATCTTCGTTTTATTTGAAGCTGTGATATATCCTCTGGAGCTTGCAGATAAGTTCTTTTAACCAACCAGACTTCCATACTTACGATAACAGCTATTCGAATTCCACCCAGACTCTCATCTCAAACATCAAAAACCCCCAGCATTATTGCGCAAAAGAAGTCCAGAAAACCCCCCTAAACTTGGAAGAAACATCAAACAAACCCATCAACTATTTATTATCCAGCCTCATTGAAATGTCCCGACGCAACTCAGACATATCCGAACATGCTCCTCTAATCCGGGCCTCATCTCAACCCATTTCTATAACCTCTGAACTCCCCTATCACCACACTCCCCGTCTCTCCTTTTCTCGGCGACTCTCAAATGGCTATCGAAAATCTCGAAGTTACGTGAGAAGCTTCCTATCCACTCGCGGTCAACATTACACCGTTCTTCTACTCGTCGCATGCGATTTAATTGGTATTTTCGCAGATATCATTATAAATCTCTATCAATGTGATAATGATAAGGAAGGCAAGACCGATCCGATTTGGAATGAAGTGAGAGTTGGGCTGGGGATCGCTGGTTTGGTATTCAGTTGTTTGTTCATGTTGGAATTGATTGCTAGCGTTTGGGCTTTTGGTTGGAGGTGCGTATTCTCTATGGTTTTACACTGTTTGAATATAGGGATATGTACGGAGGTGTTCAGGGGCTTAGACGGTGTGAAAATCACTGGACAGTCGGGTTGGCAACCACTTACTTTGCAGGATCTAGTTTATCCCGCTCAGTGAACACTGCCAAGCTTCCATTTCATATGCCCGGACACTATCTTCCTGAGTCTTTCCTTGCGTCTTCTTTTATGTGTCACTATTTGTGTCAGTTCAAGTCGTTCTCTCGGATTGTATACTCCTCTATGGATGTCATCACCTAAGCTAACAAAATATCCTCAGCTATTTCCGCAGTAAATTCCACTGCTTTGATGCCACTGTGATTGTTGCCGGGTTCGTCGGTATGTACCTATTCCATATCTCTCTCAAACCCATTGCACCATTACATCCCTATCCACATTCCCCCTCATCCGCCCCCAAACTAACCCAGTCCCATATAGTCGACGTACTACTTCACGGAATTGTCGAAGAAGTTGCCTCCCTTGTAATCGTCCTCCGTCTCTGGCGTTTCTTCAAAATTATCGAAGAATTCAGCGTAGGTGCTCAGGAACAAATGGATGTACTTGAAGAAAGAATTGAACAGCTTGAGATGGAAAATAAACGGTTGAAGAAAGAACTTAGAAAGAGAAATGATAATGATAATGATGAGGATTTGGAGAACGGAGAAAGAACAAGATAGGTAATGGGAATCTTTGTATGATAGAATGAATGATAATGAGGTTGATGATGAGGTAGAAATGGAGATGTATATATGTATGTATGTATGTATGTATGTATATATGTATGTATGTATGTATGTATGTATGTATGTATGTATGTATATATCAACTTGAATCATAAGTATATTTCTAAATAAACTATTCCTAGAATAAGAAGCATAGCTCTTTTTTATAGAAACTATCTTGTTATAGGCACCAGATATATCCACATCTAAATATTACAATAACTGTGACGCCTCACACCTCCGGGTCACGTGGCATGCCCCGTTTGTATTTAATCATAGGAAAACTCTCTACTCTTGTTGGGATGCGAAGACTCAACACCTGTACGCGGTGCATCCTACGAACCTCCAGCTCTCTTATGAGAGTCTGCAGAGCTAAGTTTGAGTTATTTGATGGAGTCGTGGTAATTGGAAGAGGAAGAGGCGCCCGATCACGACGTTTTTACCCGTTTGCGGTTTTTTGACAGTTGCATTATCGAAATGCGCTCTCTACAACACTACCTTTATTACGAAACAGAGGACAACACCATCATCTACGACAATACACCACGAAATCATCTCACTTCTTAAAAGTGAGACTCCTCTGGAACATATAGTACAACTCGACATCTTTGACGCGTATATGTTATATACTGTATACCTCCCATGATCGATACGACTGAAACAACAACAATTTATATACCTTCCATACGGGAACACCGGAGGAGTACTGTTGAAGGACCTGAGCTGATGACGAAACTTACTCTGCTCTCATTCAGCGGAGGTATGCTACTTACGGAATCGGGACACCCATACAAGCCACTACCTGTGCATGCTATAGTTACGCTATATGAGGATTGGTGCTCCTTCATAAGCTTTCTATTGGCAGGATGATCAGAATGAGGACGAGGCAATCCTGACGGTGGGCGATTACAGTACGTTCTGGTATATAAGGAGTAATTGGATTGATGGTATCGGGAAGGGGATCAGGGATGAAGGGTTTTCGAGTACAATGTTTTAATAGTATGAGGGGAAGGGAGAGAGATCAAGAGCCAGTGATCTAGTGGACGAGGATGACCACAATTACAACCCCAAAAGGCCTACCGGCCCAAACCCCCCCTGCGAAGGCAATCATGTAAACCCTGCCCTAGCCCCCTTTAAATTGTATATAAATACTCCCCCTAGCTAGCTAGTAAACCACTCAGAGGCTTCTCCTCTGAGCGTCATTTGTCCAAAACTGGAATAGATGGCTAAGGTTATCACGCGCCAAGGCGCGTGGGCCTACGGCCTATGACGATAAACACAATCAATCAATCAATCAATCTCTACTCTTGTTTTCCTTCTTCTTTTCTCCTTAGCTTAGTATTTTCTAATACAAGATATTTTACCCAGTATTCTTGAGTGTGACAATAACCTTCCCATAATATAAATACCTATATACCTAGTAATCTCACGGTAACATGACTTTAGAACTTGGATTAATATCAGTCTAATAAGACTTATCTATTTCATCCCAACTAGGTAGGTAAGAATATTTTCATTCATGATCAATGATTATCAGCTTGGGGTTATTTCATGGCTGTGTGGTTATCTACCTACCTACCTAGTATATAAACACATAAACAACAAAACAAACACAAGAAAAGGGAAAATCATCATCCAACGGAATTTTCACAACTGTCATGAATACCCCCGCCCCAAACTTAGAATTTTAAGATTTTAAGATTTCAGGATTAATAAGATCATCTTCTTCTTTAGATCAGATAAATATCGATATGAAATTATGAGTAATCGATTCTATTCATCATTATTACAGCATGTATATTGTAACTGGAGGAGAAGATTTGAAGATTTTTTTTAATTAATTTGTCGGTTGGTTAATTTATTGATTTATTAATTAAATGATAAATAATAAAGAATAAATTTTATTTATTTTAATATTACAGTATATAATATCAAATCTTTCTTTTTCTTCTCTTTTTCTTTTTCTTTTTATTATGTAATATATGATACATAAAACTTTTTATCTTTTTTAACTTCAAAAATATAATATCGCTAAAGTATAAGGGCTAGGTGGGGATGTAGTGTAGATCTAGGATATGTTATAGACTTTATATGTATGTATGTACTCCTCAAACGCTAAATGCTAATGCCAATGCTCAATGCTAATATACACTTTCACCTCTATCTATCTATCTATCTATCTATCTTACCCATCAGTCAACTCACTTATTCACTCATTTACTCACTCACCCATCCATCTCTACCCAAAAATCTCCCATCCCCTCCAATCCTCCCACTAAACCCCCACCATAGCCCTCGCCTCCCTAATAATCCTCTCTAGATTCTCCCCCCCATCCTCCACCCTCACCGTAGTCGTCCGCTCAGGATGTCTCCCACACCTCCTCGGTTTACTCGGTTTCCCCCTCCAACAACCATCCACGCCATCTCTCCCCTCTCTCCCCTTCCCCCCAAAATTCCCCTTCATCCCACAATATTCCCTCTCTAATGGTCCTTTTTCCATAAATTCTCGTATGTGCATCCATAGTTCACATCGGCCTTTGCCACAATACCTACACATTTTCTCCGTCGATTTCGTAAATGCGTATTCCAGGTTATTGGGACCTATGCGACGGGTGTTGAGGGGGAGAGCCGTGCCGTGGATGGCCCGGTAGATGAGATAGGTGTGGCGGGATGTGAGGGCTAGACATGTTGCGTCGATAGGGTCTAGGTGGGAGAAAATTTCTAGTTTGAGTTCGTTTGGGAGGGTGGGAAGTGTGAGTTTCTCTTCTTCTTTTTTTGTGGCTTCTTCTTTCGTTTCCTCTTTTATGCCTTCTTCTTCTTCTTTCTCTTCCGTTTCCATGGCTTGTGAGAGTGATTGAGATGCTTGGAGGAGATGTGAAGGCATAGATATTGGAACGATACTTAATCTTCTTGTGATTTCTGGACTTGGAACGATGGAAAGTCGACGGGTGATTTCGGGAGTTACTTCGAATTTCCAATTGCTTTCTTGGTCTTCTATGTCGATATCTCCATCCACATCCACATCAACATCCTCAGAATCTGAAGAGATACCTGAACAATTTTCTGAATTCTCAGTATCGGTATTGGGCAAAGATATACAATCTGCTGTTGCGGAAGCTGGAGAATCAAGACCAAGACTAGTACCAGATGGAGGGGTAGACATAGTGAATGTAGAAAAAGTCATCAGATTCCTCAGCTTGGATTCTAGACCCAGATTAGAGGATGAAGGGTCCGAGCTTGTGGTCCCATTTGGAGATGAAGAAGTGTGGGGAGACATGGTGAATTTTTTCCTTTTCAAAAGATGGGGTAATATGATATGATATCGTGAATTTCCTTGGGTCGTTTGATCAAGAAAATATGTGTTTCCTACACACGTTTGTTTGACAACGTTGATGAATCTTGTCAAGGATGTATCTTGATATTGAAGAAGATAGATGATTCAGAACGCGGTGTTGTCTGATACTTGTGTCAGTAAATAATTCAGATTGTTCAAAGGTTGACTCACTCTTACTACCTGGTTAAATAATGAGTCTGTGGAGACGGTACCCGTCGATACCCTCTTCCGTAACCCTATAACCTTATATATATCTCGTGATCTTCAGCTCTCGTGATTGCCCTATTGTATTGTATCGTATCAAACTTTAAGTTGAGATTCTATCCTTCAAGCTGAAATACCTTGGATACAATCGATGTATCGTCCAAGTGTACAAATACAACTTTCTTTCGAACGTACAATCCAGTACTTGACTCAAATCCCGCTTATCGTATAATGAAAACCGTGTATAAAAAAAATGTGTATAAGTAAAGTTATCACAAACCTCAAAACCAGACATACTCACCAATATATCCATCCCTCCATCCATCTAAGCACTCTAAATCTAATCATTCCCAAACCCGTCATCCCCGGAGTCTGCCAAATACAAACTAATCATGCTAACCCGGAACCCATCTCGCACTACCACTGCCACCGCCAACCCCAAACTACCCAGGAGCAACCAAGACTCAAAATCCAATCGAACCAACCAACCACTCATCCCTATCCCTATCCAACCGACGATGAAAAACCGGAGCTCCATATCCATTCGCCTCCTCAAACATTCCAACCTCTTCTCCTCACCCAACTCGCAAATCCGGCCCACATGATCGGACTAAAAGCGGATTTGAAACTCTTGATAGCGTAATAAACCCGATGCTCACTCTTTCGTTCAGAGGGGGATTCGTGGGGCATGACTCGATGCTTATGTAATCACATCCTTCAGATGGATATCCAGGATCAATGCGATGATCGCATTATTGCGAATCAGATTCTGAACTCTAATACCCGGTATGGATATAGGATTTGTTTATACCGACCGGATACTTGGATTGGTATACCAAAAGGATCACCCGATTTCATTCGTTTTTGGTACATGCAGTAGGAATAACTACACATCAGACAGACCTCATTCATTCCTCATTCGTCAAATTTTCTTATCCGACAGTAACCTTACACCGACACTTATCCGAGCTTCCTCACCAGTAGTATATTCCTCCCTTATCCTCAACATAGCTGCCAACTGCTCACTTCTCACCCGTAAGTTCATCCGTAAGCTCACCAGTAACACAAAATACCCATTCACTCCCTTCCATACACAACCAAAATGATGACAACCTTTAGGCTTTATTAGCTGGGTTTAAATATCTCTCTACTCATCCATCTCATCTCATGCTATTTTTATTACGATATAAGATATAAGATACAAGATCTTACATATATACATATATATACACACATATATACATACATATATGCCTTTACTCGAGTATACATAATAAGTTTTTGGAATGCTATTCTTATTTTCTTATTTCTTAAATCTTACATCGTTATCTCTATATCTATACCCCCTCATATACATATAAAATGCCACTCAAGTTATATTCAATATCAACTTAGCACTTCTCACCGGGTATTAAACCAGAATGACCTTCTACCTATTAAATCATTACATATACTATTTTGCGATATCAGCTTATACATACATTCTCATGAGGAGTAAGACGTTAAACGATAACCACTCAATCTATTCATATTAAATGCTTAACTCCATGGATAACTTAGCTGAACTCAAGACATCAAATGAAACGGTAATAATGAAATGAATTGAATGGCATAGATTGTATAAATGCCAAAAAATCATCACATATGTATCATTAAACCTCTCCGCTGCCAGTATTTTCTTCAACCGACAGTTGATCAGATCCCATCATGTGATTGCGATTGAAGCAAGCACAAAGAGTGCGAATCATGTACCCCATACCCCATACCGCAAGCTCTCAATGCACTTTCATTCCTCCCCACACAAAATCCGTAATCATCCCTCTATCGTCTGCTTCGATATATTGATCTTACCATTATATCACCCCTAGAATCCCTCCCACAATCCATCTCTAATCCCCAACCCATCCCAAGTATCAAACCCCAACTCTACAACGAAATCCAAATCACACTAATAACCACATCCAAACCCTTCCCCTCACCACCCTCATACTTAAAACTCCACATCCCATCCGTCTTCTCATTCCAATAAGCTCCCGTCGCACTATGCATTCCCCTCCTTCCCACATGGGGTTTACCATCTGTACTCTTCGCATCTCCTTTCACATCACTAGTTGTTATTTTCGCATCATCTGTTGTTTCATCTGTGGTTGTGGGGGGCGAGGCTTTAGATTTATTGAGCGAGGAGGTAGGAACGAGATGTTGGATGATGGTGCTATTGACTGCGTACTTGAAAGAGGGGGAACCGCCAGTTGAGGGGGTCGATTCGGAGATTAGGGATTTGAGGATGGAGTTCTGGTGAGTGGGAAGTGGTTAGTGGTTTTCTTTCCGCGCTGATTGCTTCTGCAGTAAAGCAAAGGTGGAAAACGTAATCTTACAATGATGGTAGTATTCCAAGATTCCGTCTTGTTATGTTCGTAGAACTCTGCACTTCCAAGTGCATTCTGACACGCCTATCATTTGATTCTCAGTACTCCATCCTTCCATCCAAGAACCTCACCGACAAAATCCATGTTGGTATTGATCTAACAAACTCACATCATTTGCGATTTGTCTCAATCTTGTGTATGAAATGGGCTAATAATTGGCAGACATAGTTAGCTAAATCCCCCAAATGCTCTCCTGACAATCGCGACTAAAACTTACAGGACTGGCCATATTTGCTTTCTCTTGTGTATATGATGTAATAGTATGATGATCAAATAATCAGCTTAACGCACTCAGTCTAAATGCAGGTAGTTGAATCTTTCCGTTTATTATGAACGAGGCTTAATTGACTTGATTGACGGCACTTACCATATGTCAAGAGTACAAACTAGGGGCAGCAAGCTAGCTATCGTATCGGGTTTACAATTCACGTGTTGTAGTATCGTTGATTGGTTAACCATGGCGATGCGGTAAAGCTACAAGCATTGACCAATAATAATACACCAGTGGAAACGTGGTGGAGAGTGGGGCACATTTTATTCCATCTTACTAGGTAGATAGATGAAAGTTATACGGAGTATGTAAGTAGACTTTCTGAAATCCAAGTTTCTTCATAAAATCACCACTTTGGAAATCACTTGAAATTTTTCTCTATCAATAAGGCTCCGGCGAATCGAATAGGTTGTACGAAGAGCTAAAGAGTCTGAGTAAATTATCTCACTTACTTGTACGATCTTGTACGATTCTATTGGAGCGACATTTGATCTTATCGACATACCTCTCTCACACATTCATTCACAAACACATCTCATTCAAGATGTCTAGCCAACCCCTTCTCCAAACTGCGCCTGGTTAGTTTCTCATCTCCTCATGACTGTCTCGCAAAATAGCACAATCTCCATACTCATCCCCATACACCATTGATCTCACCTCCAATATCCCACCACCTCCATCCATCCATCCATCCATCCATCCATCCCTCACCTCCAACCCAGCCCCCCTCAAACCCCCATCCCCATCATTACCCCAACTAACCTCACCCTTCACAGGAAAACGCATCGCGCTCCCCACCCGCGTAGAACCCAAAGTATTCTTTGCGAACGAGCGCACTTTTCTCTCCTGGCTAAACTTCACCGTCATCCTCGGCGCTCTCGCCGTCGGCATGCTCAACTTTGGCGATCGTCCTGCCTTCATCTCCGCATCGATTTTCACCGTTATCTCCATGTTGACCATGGCATACGCATTATATACGTATCACTGGCGCGCGAAGAGTATTAGGTTGAGGGGACAGGGAGGATTTGATGATCGGGTTGGTCCGACGGTCCTGGCGTTGGTTTTGTTGGTGGCGGTGGTGGTGAATTTTATTTTGAGGATTGTTTATGGGAAGGATAGGGAGTAAGAGGGATGTTATGGGGTTGGAATTTGAAGGGGGTGAATCATGGAGATGATGGAGGAAGAGGTGGGTGGAAAGGAGAGGGATGAGATGAGATAGAGGGCAGAGAAGCGAAAATAATGAAAGGTGATAATGCATGGAAAGTGGAGGATGTTTGTGCAGGAGAAAGAGGAAGGAATGTTGAAATTGAGAAAGGAGACATAATCATAACCTCATGGAGTCAACGAGTCCGTTTACTGCTGGGGATTTCGTGGATGCGGTACATTCAAAGCATGTATATTGGGCTTTCGGAGGAACATGTGGTTAGCCATTGAGCTGAGAACAAGCGTATTTAGATTGGTAATTCAGGCGTAATACATCACTGAATAGTGATAGCTAGCTTAGCCAGCACAGCATATATATGTATATTTGAGTTTGAAATTAGGAAGCTGAGCTAAAGCTGCCATTTCAGTTATTGGTACATCGCTAGTTGCATGAACCCCCGCTGAAATTCCTACTATCTTGCTACCCTTGAATGCAAGTATTGGGTATGTCCATCCATGAATATTTTCCCTTGAGCCCAAAAACGCCATGTCCGTTGTAATTCCGTTCCATTCATTCCATGAATACCTTCTCATAGCATAATACATCCATTCTTCTTTCTTGACCATGCACTGAACTTGATCAGGTCAAAGCATTAGTCTGCTCTCTGTATGTCCTCAATTAGTACCTATTCCACGCCAAAAGAAGCCCAGATGATGTGGTTACATACCCATAAATCTTTTTCAAACTCTCGATCCTTACTCGAGACAGATAGAGACTTAGCGTAGCTACACCTCGAACCTTGGGTCTTTCCTCAGCTTCAAGTGCTCGTTCAAAAGGTGTTTTCATAACTTCAAAAGCTTCTTCCTCGCCGCCGTCCTTCATCTCTACATCTCCTTCATCCCCTCCTTCCTTCTCAGTCTCGTCCTTCCCGATTTCTGTATAGCTTCTCGGAATAGTAGTACTCAACTCTCCAACAACGTTATATTGAAACCATTTTGCGCCATTATTTGCCAATTCCCGCTTCACTATCTCTGCGATCGAAATAAGTTTGCATGCAACAGGTGCTTTGGCAGATAAAAGCACGACGTGCGGTGTTGGATCGGAAAAGGAGAAGGTACTGAGAATGGAGAGAATACGAGAGGCTTTCTTTTGGATCTGTGAGGACGAGAGAATGGACATCTGAGTTGTTTGATAGGTGCGAGTTAGATCGTGAGGGGCAGGGATTTGACGTTGCGCTTGAACGCTGACGGGAGCTGTGGTGACCGGGACTGAGGAGGGAATGACAATTTGTTGTTGAGCCCGAGAGGCGGAGCTCGTAGATGGAGCTTGTTGACAGGTTGTTTGTAGAGCAGTGGTGGTAGATTTTGGTTTCTTGGAGGGGCGTTCTTGGTCTTGGAAGGTGGAGGGGAAATTTCCTTTGTCTTTGCATGCGCTCTCTGCTTCTTCGCGTTTGCGCTTTTGATTATCTCTGTTTTCTTTTCCGATGGAGCCTTTGCGCCCTGCCATCTTAGTTCGTGCCATGTTTTTGTCGTCGGTATTGAGATTTTGAGGTTTTATGTTCTGCGGTCCTACTGAAATGAAGATAAAGGGTGAAAGTTTCCAAGGTTATGGAGGAAGTGTTTGAGGATAAAGCAAAAGAAGTGAGTAGAAGAGATGTCGCTAATGGGATAAAAGTAAACCATAAAGAGTGTAAAGTATATACTTGTTACCTTTTGAGAGGAAGATCTGGAAACATTATTTCAATTTCTTTGGAGAAGTTTAGGTAAATTGAAGCATCAACCTGCCTCGGATAATTTTTGGGCAGCTTTTGGGAGCATCGGAGGTCGGAGGTTGCTAACAGACCAATCAAAAGCCGAGGTTTGATGGGTGAAGCGGTCATATCGGCCGTGTCCCTCAAGAGTTTCTAGACCTAGAGAGAGAGAGAGCTCTCAATAATAAATAATTCCATCATTCATACCATTTCAATTTCATCAATTGTCGCATTCGCAATCTTTTGTGTCCCTTATCCCTTCATCTCTTCATCCTTTCCTCCATTCATCCCATCATCTTTATAGATATATAGAGTGCTGACAAGAATCTTCATACAGAAACCCGAAATACATCGGATCGGGTATTCCACAATGTCCTGCAGATGTTGTAGAATTGTCCTGCAAGGCTGGTCAAAATATCCCGATTCGTCGGAATGGCAGTGATATTGTCCTCCTCACACCGAGTACTACATGGGATAAAGTTATCGATTAGTTATCGATTAGTTGATTCCTCATATACACTGGGCGTTTTGCCGATATTAAATAGATAAGCACTTAACCTTCCCCTCATTATCATTTGAGTGGAGTTTGCATGGCGGCACTTGTCTCATCAATGAACTCCGTACTTTCGTTTCATATCCAGTCACAAAAACCGTTTGCGTCTGTATCATAAATTTAAGGAAAACATGAATCATCTTTGATTTCCTTTCATTTCGTTTTTGGTTTAAGGCTACGCAGATGTCACTGTCACAAGCCTTGTGCATATCTGCCGGTAAAATGGTGTACAGTATCAAAGCACGACGCAAGATAGCATTACGAGAGATTCTCCATGGGACCAAAAATGCGCAGCCTCCCGAGGAGGTTGATGTTCATACACACCTAGTAATATCAAACAAGGGTAGCTGCCCAAGATAGTCTCAGATTGTAGCCGTTTGACTGGACTGCGGGAGTCTCCACGCCTCTCTGCCCTGGTCTCAGTTAATAAACTGTCAAGCCTAGGCGAGCCATATCAAGGAAAATGGGGATACGAAGCTACGGAAAAGTGTGTGATCGTATCGTATGTCGATTTGAGAAGTTTCTACGATACGGCCGTTGTGTAGGTTTATCCACGCGGCCTTCTTGTTGTCTATTCGGGACTGATGGGATCGTCAAAGTACATCCGTAGACTCACGCACGGTTGCTAATAAAAGGATGCTAAATTGAGATAATTTCTGGGGCAGCCTTTTGGAAAGCAACAATATCCTTGGCTTGCACTTTTAGCAAATGGTCGAGAACATTATGAGTCAGTTTTAGAATAGTGGAAAGTAACCTCAAGGCTCAAAGGAATCTAGGTTCAAGTACGTATGAAGTGTATACGCATCCTGAATAATATATATTTGTATAGAAGAGTGGGAATCACATTAACACCGCAACATACATACATCGCAAACACATCATACCTATAGTGGATTCTATCCTCATCTATATAGATTTCACATGCGCTTCACCTCTACTTTCTCTCCCCTTTTCCCATGTTTGATCTAGTTTTGGGATCATGCGATAACATGGATTTACCCATATATTTTCATGGGTCTAGCATCCTAAAATGGGTCATCCATAGAATGAAAGAAGGGATAGAGAGAAAATAGAAGATTATCCAATTATCCTTGAAGGGATTAGTCTAAAATGGGAGAAACAGGGTTGGTGATCTTATCATCCAATTATATTTTATTGTTATTTTCATTCCAAGATATTCCAAGCAAATAATAAAGAACTCAGCTTAATTAATGTAAGCACATAGCTAATCCCAGTTATCTTATCCTTGCCACTTGCATTCATTTCGCATAGAAATAGGATGCTTAATTTAAATTATTCACGGGCATTACGGGTGGTAGGTAGTTAGTTACTAGTGAGCATTACTTTTTACGGGTCGGGCCAACCAACTGAAGTGAAGTTGGACAGTGGACAGTGGACAGTGGATTGAAGAGTGAACTGATGAATGAATGATGATCCAAAAGAGAAAAAGAGGGTCTTTGGGAGCTCTCCAACTGCCACACTCTCACCTAACTACAGGGAAACCCTATAGGCTTTTCTTAATTCCTTAATTTCTAAAGAATCACTGATTCCTTGACTCTTCTGCTCTAAGCCACTACCATTTACATCATTTCACGCTATAACCTCCTTACGAATCTCTTACAACCACCCATCATCAATCAACTCCTTCAACTCTACACCTTTTTTTTTACAAATAACAAATTACAAATTACAAATTAACAAATCTACAACTTTACCACCTTACAACTTACAACCAAAACAGCAACCACAAAACTGTACACTGCCACTCCTATTAGATATTTACTCGATTAAACTCCGGATTTCCAGCAATACCCTACCTAACTCAACGAAACGTATTGAAAACAGCCTCTTTTTTTGTCATGATCCAAAATACATGCGACCTTTTTACGAAATACTTTTAATAATTCACTCTTTATTTGCCAACCTTTTTTCTGTTACTTTACTTAGGTATCAAATCATTTGTAATAACAGAACAAAAAAAAACATTCGATATCTTCGTCGCTTTGTTGATTTCTTTTACCGCCTCTATTCTTCTTCGCTCATAACACCTTCACGCCTTCACATCCCTCTTACTTCATTCAGAGAGCGAGCGCAAGAGCCACCCCACGCACCACTACACCAACCCACGTACCAACGAAACAAACAAAGAAAGGCTTCATTCAATTATTATTATTATTAGCCAACCAACGAGAAGCAGAGAGCGATCGACCAAATTTCCCACCCACCTGATTTAATTCGCCTTCTTCACTTTTCGGCCTTACTGTACCTGTACCGTCCGTATACGGTACGTATCAATCAAATCACATCAAACCAAAATCAATACGTCAACGCCTCCTTTCCGGTTATTCCCAAACCAAGTCTTATTATTCGCCATTCACCCATTCATTGCCACACAACCCCCCAATTTGGTCCGTATCCCCATTCATACATACCTACTCCGTACACCCACCTACTACCTACTACCTACACCCACCTACTATCTACACCCACCTACTATCTACACTACCTACACGGTCGCAACATTTCAATTATTTGAGGACAATCAATCGAATCATAAACACCTTCAATCACAACAACCTTTACTTTTCTTCTCATAGAACGAATCACGACAAAAGCCAAATTCATACGGCATAATTTCAATTCTCACCCAATCCTTTTTAAAAATTTATTTTACACAATAAACTTTTTGTAATTGATTTTATTTCGACTGTACAAAATCCTCGGCAACGCTTTTTGCATTAGACTTTCGTTCCGTCACTTTTAGGGAGGTCCTTATCACAAACATCGACGTCAGACCGCAAACTTAACTTACGGCAGCTCCCAAGTGAATTTTGACTTTTACCTCGACCACTTTACCAAAGCGCAATAATAAGTCGGCAACTACGGGCGCATTATTTACTGCTTCAATAATAATAGTGCCTGGTCGCACATTCCCTCAAATCACATCTCTATCCTTTCCATTTATATGCGAATGTTTCGTTTGCCGTGTTGGATCTCTGAATCCAGGGGTTGCGATCAAGTATTAGATGGAGAAAGAAAACATATCATGGCAAACGCCCGTCTCTACGAAAGCCCGAGTCCTACGAAACGAAAGAGAAGTAGTAGTCCGAATGTTCCGATGCCAGTCTTGAATACCTCAACAGTTCCAGAAGTGAAACGAAGGAAGCGCGAAATGTCCGAGGAAGGTTGTCACTCACCTAAGACGAAGGAAAATGTCGAAATGACGGATAGGAAAGAACAGATCGTTGATCTCACTTTAGTTCGAGAGACAATCGACTCTGAGCTCAGCCTCGAGATACTCATGAAGCATAACGAATTGCGCCTAATCGAGACCGAGTTGGCCAAATGTCAGGTCTCTCTCGAACAGTTACGTCGCGTTCACTTAATACCATTTCCAGGCGTTCAAAGTACGGGAACCCAAGTTTCGCCCGAGTCGATGGTCAATGTTAGTGCTGGTACTGGTCCAGCAGTCTGGAGTGGCGACAAAGTTCCGAAATGGGCTCCACCATATGGAATTACGGAGGGGCCCTACACGAGACATTGGGCAAAATGGTTAATTCCCGATCCGGCTTTTGATGGTTTAGATGTTATTGATTCACGTGCAGGTCCAGGAAGGCCACGCGCTGCCAAGATGGTACCGGAAGGGAGAGCTACTAGAAATAGTATAGCTGACGGAGGTAATTTTTCAACTAAATCAAGATCACATCGTGGATCTGGTCAAAGTTTACAATCTCTTCCCAGCGGTCACACTCAACAAAAGAAAGCTGGACCATCCATTCTCAAGCGTAGTGATGGTAAAACCGTGAAGCTTGTTTGTTTGGATTGTAATCGCGAAGATTTCTCCAGTACTCAAGGTTTTATCAATCATTGTCGCATTGCTCATCATCGTGAGTTTAAGAGTCATGAAGAGGCTGCTCAGACTAGTGGACAGATTATCGAAGTCGATGAGGTCGGCGCAACTCCTGTCCTAGAGAAGAGCCCAAGTGTAGCAACTGGTGATCTCGTTCATCCTCTGATCAAAAGTGCGCCAGTCGATCAAGAAGCTTATACTGCTCTTCTTTCTCGTATCGATGATTCTATGAATCTATATCTACAAGGCAGGCTTCCTGGTGTGACATCGATTCCTGGAAGTGCAAACTCGTCACCACAAAAGAAACTCGATGTGAAGCCCAAAGTGCAACCTGCAAATCAAAAATTCGTACCATCAACCGCTACACCTCATCTTTCCGAGTTATTGAAAAGCCGAGGTTTCGGTGGTGATCTTGATGAAATAGTTGGTGATGCGATAACACGTGTTACCATGGATGAGCCTTCATCGTCCGATGAGGAATCTTCTGATGATGAAGTAATCGAAACACCAACTGTTGCTATTCCTTCACGCCGTCCCGGTGGATTTGATGGTTCAGTAGATACACCGATGACTGGTATGCGTCTACCAGCACGGGCTACAATGTCACCCGCAAACTTTGGTAGACCAACAAGCAGCAAAGGTATTGATGCTTCGACGAGATCAGGTCTCGCCCACATCTCACCTCATCCATCTTATGCTACCCTCAATACGTCCATGGCCGCACCGGAAATCAGACATAATCGTCCACAGCCTATCAATACCCGAAATCACGATCACGATGGAGATATTGATATGGGTATGGTTATTCCCGATGCATCCTCCATTATTGACCTGAGTCCCAACACGGTTGTTAGTAACAACGCTCCTAGTCTCGTCAGTGATGATGGAGAATACGACGAAGGTGATGATGATGCAGATAGTGTATCATCAGAGGATGCTGACGAGGGTAGTGATGTAGCTGAAATCGATATCGAGGATGGCGATGGGGAAAAGGTGGTCGGAAGCTCGGTGCTAGGGAGATCGAGATCGCAGGATCGGTCGAAGAAAGATGAAAAACATGTTACGTTTGTGAGGGAGGTGCAGGATACAAATTCTAATCATGCTGCAAATAAGAAAGCGAGGTCTTCGAGGTAGTAGATTAAGATTAGGGTGATATTGATGTTAGGTTGAGACTGGAATTGAATTGAATGAATGTTTGTTTGTTTGTGAGCGTTGCATTTTTTTGTTTTTGTTTCTTTTTTTTGTTCTTTGTTTTGAATTAAAGCAGCCAATGATGATATTATTTTTTCTTCTAAGATGAAGATGAAGATGAAGATTGGTGAAAGACTTGATTTGATGTTTTGGGTTTTTGATTTTTGATTTTTATAAGGGTTGGTCTTTTGTGCTTTTGACTTTCTTTTCTTTGCAAGCGATTCTTACTTCTTCTTTACTCTACTCTTTATTGATGATGATGTTATCTTATCTTATATTATCTTAACTTAACTACCTACCTATTATAAAATTTATTTTATAAATAAAGAATGGAGATTACAGAATGGAGAAGTGGTATTATGATAAGATGAATGGGTGGATGGGTGGATGGTATGATATGAATGGAATTGAGATGGGATGGTATAAATGATAAAAGGATATAAATATAAATATATAAAAATCTCTTTTGTGTTTTGCTTTGTCTTTGATGTATTGAATGTTTTAATTAAAGAATTAAAGATATATTATTATTCATTTATTTATCAAATTTTAAAATATTTTCATATTATATATCTTAAAAATCTCAAAATATATTCTTTTTATTATTATTAATTAATCTTTAATATAATGTTACGACGGCTTCGGATCTCGTATCATATGACCAATTATGTAATCACATGGTCCCTTCGATCCCCTCGGTCTCTTGATCGAAGGGACCGAGGGGACCAAGGTGTTACGAGGTTTGCCGTCTAGATCACGTGGAAGTGCTCTAGGCTCTCGAAGTGGTTTATAACTAGGCGTCAAGCAGGGACTTAAGTAATGACAATGCAATTCGTAACTAATAGTAGAGTATACTAAATGATTGATCTTGAGCAAGAAGCTCTATACAAAGGAAATCCATCTAGATTATATAGACCTTCGTACCGATGGCTACTCAGTAGGATCAATGCGGCTCAGTACTGAGCTCACTGATCCTTACTGAGCCAGTCACGTGATATTAATTGCACGTGAGGGTTTCCTGTTACTCGGCGTAACATTGATTTAATGAGAGTTTCAATAATTAAGATTAACTATTAGTTTATTAGTTTATTAGTTTATTAAATTGTTAGTTTGTTGGGCTGGACTGATTGACGATCTGAAATCGGAATTATTGGCACAGTATTAGGTAGTGTTACGTGACGGTTGTTACCCCACTAGTGGCTCACGTGCACTAGCCCTGTATATAAAGACCTTCTTACTTAGAATCTTCTTAGTTCTTTAGTTTTAGATTCTAAGTAATTGAATTGACTCCGTTTACGACTTTTCCGTCACAGGTAGGTACTGATTGATATCAAACAGTAAGTGCTAAACACGCACAATAAGTAGATGGACTTTCAGGCAGTTGGCCGCTGAGACACAGAACAAAATACCAGCCAACCAAAAAAAGTTCAAAAATGGTGAAAATCCCATCAAAGTTAGTAAGTAAACAAAACACTAAATAATAACTCTATTTATTTACCTACTACTTTCTTCCATCAGGGGTTATTATATCTAAGATACCCATCGCTCCTAACAAACCCAACTCAACACAACACAATTCAAACAAGAACAAAAGTAAGTACTAAAAATTCTTACAAGACAAGAAGATTCAATCATAGGTACGATAAATATTAAAGAATATGATTAAAACTTTCATTTCTATTTCCATAATTCCTAAACTCCTTCCTTGTTCCTCCTCCCTCCTTATGTATGTACAAGATTTATTTATTTATTTCTTTCCCGCTTCTCCTTTCTCTTCTCTTCTCTTCTCTTCACGTCTTCCCGTAGTGAAGTAACATACAAAACCACCAATATACTACTAGCTAGAAATCACAACCGCCTGTGAAAAGATAAATATATTTTCCCAAGTAAATAAACTCACTGGTACGTTTACCAGTGATGATCTATTCAGTTAGGAGCGATATGCTGTAATTGAATGATTTTTTTTCCCATGGTAAAGAATCGAACGGATAGGACAGCAAGACAAGAAACTTGAATAAGTCAAGAAAGAAGAATTATCTCTTTCCAGCTTGAGCAAGTTGTTCCCCAAACATACTCTCGACTAATTCTCCGCCTCTGATGGCGAGAATTGAGAGGAGAGAATCGGATAACTGATTTATGGTTAGTGTTTATTCACATCTTTGTATATCCAAAACGAATGAATGAATGAATGAATGAATGAATGAATGGAAGGGAAAGAAAGAAAAGAAAGAAAACATACCCCATGCGTCGACTCATTACAACCCTGCAACCAAATACCCGCCTCATTTTGCACACGCCCTTCCACCATCTTAACTCTATAATCTCTCCCAACAGCCCATTTACCCTTAACCAAGCCATTCTCCCCTTTAACATCACTTCCCTCCCCAGTAGCAAGTTCCTCACATCCTTCCAAAATACTAACATGAGCATCTCTTCTATATCCCGTAGCTGTAAAGATATAATCTACATCCAATTCCTCTTCTACCTTTTCATCTCCATCTTCAGTTACAATCTTCAGACGTAAACTATCTTGAGAAGGAGATGCAGTTGCGGAAGTTACACGTCGGTTTATGATGATGGCTGCGCGGGGTTCGGCTCCTGTGCGTTCACATTTAATACGTTGGATGTAGAGTTTTTCGTAGAGATGCTCGAGGAGTTCTAGACGTACTACTCCGTAGTTTGTGGCGCGGTCGAGAACGATTCCGGCGGCTCGAAGGTGGGAGGGTCGGTTGTAATGAGGTGTTACGCGGTCAGGGTCGAAGATCTCGTTTACGCTTTTGGGTGTTAGTTTTGTGATATGTGAAAGAAAGGGAAGAAGGTGGAGGAAGAATTAAAAAGAAAACTCACAATGGACTATCATCACTTGGTCTCAAACTCTGTCCCTTGACAAGCAACTTAACAGTAACACCCGTCTCTTCACCAAAGCGTTCCCATAAATCATTATAGATCTCGGCAGCACTCTGTCCACTACCAATAACAGCAAATCTCAATGGTTTTCTCCTTTCCTTCTGCAGCTTCTCAATCTTTCCAATATTGGTAGCGAATTGAGAAGAATGTAATACGCAAGGTTTGTTTTGGAGAACAGGTGGAATGATAGGTTTTCCACCAACAGCAATAACCACATGACGAGCAGAATGAGTGATAAGTTCACCCGAAGGAGAAGAAGAAGAAATAGTGAACGAAGGAATCTTTCCATCTTCAGCTGAAGGCGATGAAGGAACCACCGACTCCACGTTTGCACCATATTTCACACATCCTTCTTTTTCAAAATGGCTAGCGCACCATCTCAAATAATCCTCATATTCCATACGACTTGGCAGGAAAGTGCTCAAGTTGATAAAAGTATTCAACCTTCCCTTACAATGCAAGTAGTTGATGAAAGTAAACTTGGATCGGGGATCTCTAGGCGTAGCTAAATCTTTCAAGAACGAAATTTGCATTCGTGCACCAGGGAGTTGCATACCCGCGTGCCAGGCAAACTCAGGTTGCCTCTCTAAGAAAAGAACTTTTGGTGGAGGCAGCGAAGATTTGGAGTAGGCGTCGTGGAGAGCGATGGCAATGGCGAGTGAGGCCGGGCCGAACCCGACGCAGACTAGGTCGAGAGATTCAGAGGAGAGAACACTGGTGAGGGTTTGGTTGGGGGAAAGGGAGAGATTATCCATCTTGAGGGAAGACGTGATTTTCTGGCCGTTGATGGCAACAGGACGTAGTCCTTCTGGGGAGTTACTTGTGCTGATTGCTGAAGGAGCCATCTTTTTCCCTCTGATTGTGAGAAAGATTCTGATAGATGAGATATAACTGTAACGTGATCAAAACTACTGATCAAGTGATATCTATGTGTATATCGGCTTCACAAAATCGCAGAGTAATATGAAGATGATTTTTAAGATGTCTCCACGACTCGTATCGCCAAAAACCCAGCAATGAAAGAATAATTTTCTTTTCTTTTTAAAAAAATTTCTACCCAGATGCCAAATACCGTACTTTTCAAGAGATACAAAGGTACTTCTCTCACAAAAAAGTGCTTTGCAATCCGAAAATTCTGATTGGAACCTTGTTGTCTTGAAAGTTTCGTGCGACTTGAATGTACACAGGTGTGAACTTTTCGTGCGCCTGAATAGGTCCCTGGTGTGTAGATCGGTACAAATCTAGAAGTATTGGAATGTACCACTGGTTTTGGTGGTGACTGCGTCGAAGTGGTGGGTTTGATGAAGATGTATGTAGTTTGAAATATTCAATTGGGTCAGTTAACGAATTGAACTCAATTGGTACAAGCCTGCAGCAGCCCAAGATAAGTCGTTAGGATATTTGGATAATGAAACGACCAAGGTAGAGGATATTCAGATAGTGAGGGGTTTCTGGAATATCTAAATGGATAAATGTCGATGTAAGAGGCGTTGTATTAATTCCGGATATGAGATAATCGAATAAAAAGTGATGTCGTCAATGATGTCGAGTAACACAAAGTGAGTTGGAATAAAGGCTAATTGAAAAAGGTAGGTGACGCAACTGCAAAAAGGTCTTGAAGCTGTGGAGTAAAAGGATATAGATAGATATATGTATGTCCTTTCAATAAAAAAAATGGTGAATATGGTTCCTGAAATATTGTGTAATAGAATCTCGAATCAAAAATTCATTTACCTTAGCAAGAACATTGGGGACTATCGACATCAAACATTACTATCCTGGAACATGTACGCCAAGAATTTTTAATGTCATCGCTTGGTACAATGGCAAGTTAGCATGTGTATCTTCTGATTCCAGAATGAACCTTTTCAGACTTTTTATGGGTCTGTAAGAGATAGTCCATGGATGATGAGAATGGTGTTGTAGGGATCGTGGGCAGGAATGGTGAATGAGGATACGAAAGGTAAACTCGGTGTAACCTTCGAGGGAGCGTGAATGGACTGAGTAGCCGATGTATGAGATGATTCATCGTCTGATTTCCAGATATTCCGCGTCGGAGATGTTTCCCTTTTCCAATATTGCATTTTAGATGCTCTCTATATCCTAATATTGGAGATTAACTGTGTAGATAGAGCCAGAACTTTCGGAGAGCTGTCTAATTAACAACTGCTCAGGGCCACCAAAGAATTACCATTCGTACCGGTACATGTTCATTCCAGCAGGATGTCACCTCTCCATCACTATCGTTTCCTTTTCCAATCATGTGAGAAGGTCGGAGAAACATGTGAACGCAACTGCATAACTGCAGGGTGTTCATACAATTGGAGATGGAGAGCTTTCAGTGAAAGAAAGCACCGGTGGGGCACCAGCTAGATGCACCTCGACAAGTTTTCTTATTCTCCACTTATCAGTTGCCAAGAGAAATTATCTGATCTGATCCGTCCCGAAATTTGTAAAGGTATGACGGATAAATGCGGGAGCAAGGGAGTGTGAATTTCGAAAAGCGCGAATATTTCAATCATTGAAACTTTTTAAAATCAATCTTTCTCCACTCCCGACATCGGTCCACAGCGTATCGTTACCCAACCCATTCCCCGTCAAGTTTCGTACTCGTTATCAGATCAATTGGAATCTCCACTTCTTCCAATCTAAATGGTCGACCCCTCAAAGCTAGTGATGAAAATTTTTTATCAGATGGAAAAGATAATCATAATCCTTGTTAATATCTTCTTCGTGCCTGCCACGGGTAGGATGTGTTAGTCTGTTGTGGTCACAGTGCAGATCTCCTAGATTCGAATAGGCATGTCTAAAGCGACTGAAATTTCGCTTGCTTTGAATAACTAAGATTTTCCCATCTATCGACTAGAAGTGGATGTAAGTAGGGAGACTTCTAACGTCCTAGATTTCGCAATGTGGGATGATGCAGGTTGTGCTCGACATGGGATTCGTAACTTCAAATGGGCGCTCGTAATGTAGTGGAGTCACCACGTAAAGAAAACTTATATATTTACTTGGTACTGGAGAGCCAAATTGCAAACAGAAATAAGCAACCTGAAAAGTGGATAAGAACCGTGCATAATTTTATTCATGCTTGACACCAAGTCCCGATCCAAGGAGGTATCAGCGGCGGTGTGATCATTCACCGGGATAATTTTGAGATCTCAAGTTGTTGCGTTATGATGGCACTTGTGTTGGGTGGCTCAAGCTGGATAAAACTCCTCACGATGGTTCGGGACCGATATGATATAACTAAATCTGCCTAATCCGGAGAAAAAACAATTGAATCCACTAATGAAAGTGTGGTCCATAAACCGAAATGTATCGCCATCTTAAGAGTCGCATCATCTTCTTTTCTCCAAGCCGTTGAGTCATCAGCTGCCCGTGGATTCATGCTGTGATCCGTAACACCGTGGAGTAATCCATCTATCCATGGTAATGGAATAGTAGTATTGTAAATCGAGTAGAAAGGTTGCAGTTTGTGTCATCCTTCAACATAATACGGGCGTAGAACTCGCAGGAAACCCAAACCTGGGCTCTAATCACATCCTCATAAATACCACCACCATTCGTGAACTTCTGATGCCTCCGCTCCACCATCGAAAAGTAAAACGGCATCTGAATTCTGAAAGCTGGTAAGACAATGCGCAGACATTATTGTAGTCTGTCTCTTAGGGACAGTTTGACGGACACTTGAATTTTGAGCTTCGGAGTGAGAGTCTATAGCACATATCAGGTTTTGCTTGCTTGATTCGCAGACTTAGCTTTTCTACCAAGAGCTGAAGTAGATGCATCAAAACAAAATCTCTGGATCGCACAATGTATGCTCGAGTTATCACAACTTGTTCTCTCTGCTTTCAGAACATTCGAGAATCAATTTACACCACCTTATTAAAGACAATTAGCACGTCCTGATCTGCGAACAAGATAATGCACAAATCTTATGACGATAGCGCAATCCGTTAACAAAGTCATGAATCCCAACAGATTCGCAAGCAGCTTTAACTTTCTCAATTATCACCCTGTGGACTGGTCGAGCCTCTAACCAACATTGAACGCTATTCTACTCGGAAATAAGTCAGGATGCTGCATCATGAGACTGAGTTGAGCTCGATGTCGGAACAGGGGAATTGTCTTGCGATTTACCCCAACGAGGAGAATAGCTCCAGATGTTAAGTCGTAAAATCTTTCCATCAATAAGATCGCTGGAGTTCTATCAGTCCCTAATTACTCCAACAATGCGACTGCTTCACCCGGCTTCCATGGGAAAGTTCAGAGCGATGAAGATTGACGCATTGGCGCGATATTTGCAGCCAGGAGCGAAACTCTGGAACTTGGTCCTACCCATAGGAACGACCGATTGGTCAATAGAAGTTTTACCTGGAAAGGTTGCCGCAGAGCCGCAACATTGGTAAGGTCAATGGTCGGTTTGTCCTCATGCTTTTTAAAGACCCGAGATACAGTGCCCTTTTGCCCTGCAATTATCCGGGTCCAGGCTAAACACTTTTCTCAATGCCTGAGCCGAAGATAAAATGGCAAGAAGAGCAGTACAACACCGATGACTAGAATGATATCTCTTCCTGACTTGCTCGGCTCCCTAACAATAGGCGAGAGCATATTTGAATACCTGGAAGTCGGTCAATAAGGTGCTTCATCAAATGAGGCGACTACTTACGTGATAGCTAGCGTAAATGCAAGAAGGATATTGCCAAGCCCTGTGCTCTTAAAGTTCCGTTCTCGATGTTTGGTAACTGTAGCTAGAGTCTTACCTGCTACAGCTGTGATACGAATTGCCACAGAAGCTTTGTGCAAAAGTTGAAGCGTCAATATATATTGCTTCGCCCCTCTTCAGTTTGACTGAACACATATATTCTGAGGTTTCCGGCAAGTAGAAGTACTCAAAATGTAGCGAAAAGAACAATGCCAATTTCCCAAGCCACGGCATGTGCCAAAATGCGCTCATAAACATCCATCACAACTCTTTTCGCGCCAAACTCATCGCATTAATTGAATTAATGTGATGAGAATTTGTCGAGCCATGGGAGGAATTACCACAATGACGAAACTTCTCCCTCAGAAGGCGGATAAACATCAATGATGCGAGCAAATATGATAGTGATTGTAGTAGGGGCTATTCACTTGTTGTATTTGGTTAGAATCCCATCGAACAGACAGTAAGAATACACGATCGTGCGCCAGGAGTAGTTGCAAGCATTACGCCACGGGATGAGGTGAAGCGAAACTGGAACTCCTCCTGCGCCCAAAGATTGCAATATAAGAGATACTGAACCGCGATGAAAAACAATATGATATTAAAAATAATTAAGGCGAAAATGAGTGATGGCGACTGAGTGGCAGAAGAGTACCTTTAGGTAGCACCACAGTACAAAGATGACCGATGAATTGAAAGAACTGCTTTCGATGCTATAACGGTTGTGCCATTGTGAAAGGATCAAAGTGTAGTATGGGGAAGAATGACTGGCATCGGCATTGTAAATCCCAGCAGTGGCGGGCAGTCCACAAGCCGGATAGGGCACCAATACCTCTAGGAACTGAATAGAAATGACAGCAACTGCATAGACATGTTGAGAGTAGCAGTAGCCAAGGCACGACACCAAGATGGTGTAGAATTTCAAGGTCAACTTCGTATCTATCAATGCTAATGAAGTTAAGATTGATATTTTGATACAGTCAGTGACATTCAATTGATGATGCCAGGTAGAGAATGGGATAAAGATTAGACTTCTACCTCACCCGAGGTGGTTCCAACTTTGGCCCCTCTCACGAAGGTTTTATCCGTGTGAAGTCCAAGCGCCGAGGAAGTCTTCCTTCGTGATTAAGACGAATTTCGGGATAGTAGCGGCCAATTGTAGTATCTGTCAACTTGTCAAGTAAGATATACAACCGTACACGGAAGCACGTTTGGTGTCGTTGCGCCATTTACGTACTTGCGAAGGTCGGTTGCGCGGATCAGATTAGATGAAATTTTCATCTGATAAGATCAAAAGCTTCAGCATTTAGCAAGCACCAGTTCCCCTCACCTGCTCTATCCTTGTTGCAGTAAGTATGACTGGCCGCCGCTGACATGGGTCACTGCATCACTAGCTGAGAAAAACTTGAAATCCTACATTAGTAAAGTGGGCGATGCATTGCAGAATCTCCATAGTGGTAATACCCTTGTTGGTTTGGTTTCTTCTTCTGCCCTTTTGCCTCTCTTTTCCATTCTAGGCGATCGGCACTTCAACGGGAATCAAGTGTTGAGTTAAAAAAGACTGCGGAGGCTTCTCTCATGATGTACAAGAGATTAAATCTGTCGTCGAATATGTAGGTCTTGTGGTGATTGTAAAGTACCTAACTAATACTCACTTCTGGAGAATTGTTCCTCGATCCTCGAAGCTTGTGGTGAACAAGAGGATGTCATGACTAAGCTAATAGAGCCACGCTAACTTGAGTATGGATATATCACTTGATTCCGTTCAAGTACTTGACAAAGTTAGGGAGAAACTAGAAGTACTTTTATGAATTATATAGTCGTTAGAAGAATAGAAATACCAAGTATATAATGATTTTTTAAGGTTCTGCTTGGAAAGCAGATATGAGTGTGTGAGTGATTCTGCAAAAGATCACGTGCCGCACACGCTGGAACCCAAGCCTGATAAAAAGCTTCTTCGGCCTATGGTGCGAATGAATGGCACATCTCATATCTTCCCCCTCCGCCAAGTAATAATACACGAAAACCGTTTTTCGAATCATGTGTTCGACATATAGAGCAGACAGGATCTCCAAACAGAGAAACTATGAATTTTTCCTACTTCTAACAATGCAACGCTTGATGGCGCGTACGTTGCATCGCCTTACCTATATACTAGCCCGATACTTTCATATACCACCCGTTTTGTTCCTCTGAGCATTCACACATGGAACACAATTATATCCACTTTTAGCTCTATCTCCGTTGATGGTGACACAGGGAACCACCAGTTTATTCAATCAGCCAATCCTTCCTTCTCTAAAGGTCATCATCATTCACATCTCTTGCTCCATGACTAATTCAATGTTAGCACTAATCTGTTTTGCACTTGCTATTGTAAGTTCACTCAACCCACGTGGATAACATGAATTTGTAGCTTAATCACTAACGACATAACCGCCCCCCGTACCGTTGTGCATGAAAAAATACAAATACGCAGCAGTGACCTTCCAACAATCTCCCGCAACAACAAGACATACACACGACCATATGCATTTACAGTGGTCCAGATTATGAGGATTGATCTGCATGATCCATCATGGATACCAAAATTTCGAGCTTGAACGACCCGCCAAGAATTTTGTCTGGGTCACAACTTCTACATGATTTGATCCGATGGGATAAACACAAAAATTCCTGTGCGGTTGACTTCACTAGTCATGGCAAACGAGAAAAATATCGTTATCAAGATATACAAGCTTGTGCAGCGTCTCTCGTTACGCAAATCCAAGCAACGCTCGGAAGCCATCAGGTATCCCAACAGCAGCACATCGTCCCGATATTGCTGCCACAGTCTCCTGGTTTATATATCTCCCAAATCGCCGTCTTGCAGTCTGGAGGGGCATTCTGTCCCATCAACCTCGATGCACCGAAAGACAGAATAAAATTTGTCGTAGGTGACATTTCTGCGAGTATCATAATCACGACATCAGAGTTTCAAGAGTCCGTTTCTTGGGAAGATGGCCCCAAAATCATCTTTGTTGACGAATTTCCTGCGATCCCACCAGAATCGAAAGAAATCAGTGGATCACGTGAATCTAAAAGCAACGATCTTGCATATATTATGTACACCTCTGGTTCGAGCGGAGTCCCTAAAGGTGTTGCAGTTAGTCATTTAGCTGCTTCACAGTCTCTTTTAGCACATGGAAGACTTATTCCCAAATTTCAAAGATTCCTCCAGTTTGCAGCACCATCTTTCGATGTTTCTGTTTTCGAAATTTTCTTCCCTTTGGCTAGAGGCCAAACGCTGGTCGGATGTGGTCGTAGTCAGCTACTCAACGATTTACCAGGCGTGATTAATGAACTAAACATAGACGCTGCTGAACTCACTCCAACCGTCGTGGGAGCTTTATTGCGGAAAAGATCATGTGTTCCTAAGCTTAAGTTGCTGATGACGATTGGTGAAATGCTGACGAGACCAATTGTGGAAGAATTTGGCGGATCCGACCAAAAAGAAAGCCTTCTCTACGGAATGTATGGGCCGACCGAAGCAGCTATTCATTGCACCATTCACCCAAAAATGGAAGCAAGTGCTAAACCTGCCAACATTGGCGTGCCATTTGAAACGGTGTCTGCGTTCATAGCGGAGGCGGCTTCTGGGTCTGAAAAGGAACAGGATATTAAATTTCTTCCTCAGGGCGAACTTGGAGAGCTTATTTTAGGTGGTCCGCAATTAGCGAACGGCTATCTCAATAGGGAAGAGCAAAATAAAGCTGCATTTGTGACCGTGACAGGAAAAAGATATTATCGAACTGGAGACAAAGCTCGAATTCTTGAAGATGGAAGCATAGAGATTCATGGTCGCATGAGTGGCGGACAAGTCAAGTTGAGAGGCCAGCGCGTTGAACTTGGTGAAATAGAAGATGCTATCTACAAACACCCGGGCATTAGGACTGTGGTAGCAGTCGTGCTGAGTGGGTTGCTCGTAGCTTTCGTACTCACAAACGATGATACAATGAATTCGGATCAAGTACTGAGCACTTGTTCACAATGGCTTCCGAGCTTCATGCTGCCTAGCGAGATTGTTATTTTGCCAGAGTTGCCGTATCTACCGTCTGGAAAGGTAGACAAGAAAAGATTAGAAGCAAACTATCACCAACACTACGAAGTAGTGGATAAGCAAACTAACTTCACACACGCTGAAGTAATTGTGAGAGAAGTGCTCCGCGAGATGCTTGGTCCATTTCCCTCGAACATACGTCTGGCAGCAGCCGGCCTTGACTCGCTTGTCTCTATCAAAGTATCTAGAGAACTTCGATCACGAGGGTTTAATGTTACCACTCTAGCAGTGTTACAAGCGGAAACCTTAAACGCTCTTGCAAAAATTTGCGAAAGCTGCAAAGAAACTCCAAATTCTGCTACAGCAAACGCAGCATCTACCAACTCAGAGGCATATGCCATGCTAAATGGCGACGCAAAAAATATCGAGGCCTCTTACCCGTGTACCCCATTACAAAATGCGATGCTTGCTGAGACTGCCATCGACCATAGAGCTTACCGAAATATGGTCGAGCTGGATTTGCCAAAACTCAGCAATATTGACAATCTCCGTGCAAAGCTACATGATCTTGCCGATCGCACTCCAATGCTCAGGACTGGTTTTGCAGATTCGTACGATAATAGTGGATACATGCAGTTTGTCTGGAAGACGTTTCCAGATTCACATATTGAGACTGTGGATGCCTTTTCCGATGGTTCGGAGATTTCTAGAACTGCATCACTTCATCGTCCTATATCCTTCGAGATTCTCTCCAGTAAATCTTACCTGAAACTAATGATTCATTTTCATCACGCACTTTATGACGCTTGGTCCTTAGATCTTCTTCTTGATGATTTGGACTGTCTGTTGCGAGATGAGACTCCAATTTCACGTCCGCCATTCGCAGATGTGGTGAGGGAATATATTAACAGCAGCATTTCCTCTGACTCTCAAGTCTCTAAAGATTATTGGAGAGATCACATGGCACATCTCGAACTTAGGCACATGCCAAACTTTCATACAAGAAAAGCTACCTCAGCTGGATTGGCTGTAGCGCATCACTCCACTCAGCTCTCCACATCAGATATTGAAATGGCAGCGAAACGAATGGCTTCGAGCCCACAAGCTATATTCCAAGCCGCGTACGCTTTAATTTTAGCCTCTTATTTGGGATCAACAGATATCTGCTTTGGCACTGTTTTTTCTGGCAGAACCATCCATGTTCCGGGAATAGAAGATATTATTGGACCATGTCTTGCAACCTTACCGGTTCGCATAGATACATCAATAGCGAGTACTCTCCAAGACCTGGTAGAGGCATTGAACAGTACGAACAGGAAACATCTTGAACATAGCACTTTTCCACTTCGCGACATCAAATCGGTCAACGGTTTCGAGCCTCGCCAGCAATTATTCGACACACTTCTGATATGGCAACAGACTCTTCATAGTTATGACTACAGCAGAAACAGTGTCTTAATTGTTGATCAAGTAGATCAACTTGAGTTCAATTTGACTCTCGAGATAACTCCTACCTCTAACAACATTCAATTCAAGGCAAATTATCAACAGTCTGTGTTTCCAGAATTTCAAATAAACATGCTTCTGCGTCAACTCGAAGAAATGACAAAAGCAATCATTGAACACGCAGAGAGTCCGTCTAGTCTTGCCTTCGATGGGAATAGCCCTGAGATTCTCTCCATTGAGAATCCTGTACCTACCGTGGCCCTTGGACCCGAGACATTGATATCCCCAGTGGAAAAAATCTCCAAAGAGGATCCCGATCGTCCAGCAATCGCTTTTGCCAGCGGAATCGATGGCGACGATTTTGAGATCCAATACATGAGCTATGGTGCTTTGAATACTCGTGCAAATCAGCTGGGGCACTACCTTTCTTTTCTTGGTGTCCTCCCAAATGATATTGTTTGCATATGTCTCGAGAAAAGTCATGATTTTTATGCTTCAATATTGGCCACTACAAAACTTGGTGCGGGCTATCTTCCAGTAACCCCAGGTATCCCATATAGCCGATTACATCACATTATAAGCGAAGCCAAAGTTAAAGTATTGATTGGGCATTCTTCATCCCGACCATTATTAGGACAATCTGCAGGCAAAGAAATTGTTTACATCGATGAGATTGATCTGGCTCAACAATCTACAGAAAATCTAATTCCTGGATTCAAGCCAGAGAATATTTCATATTGCGTATTTACTTCAGGCAGCACTGGGACTCCAAAGGGAGTCCTTGTCACTCAAGGTAATCTTCTGAGCAATCTTGATGTATTAGAGGAAATTTACCCGGCAACGAAAGATTCTAGACTTCTCCAATCATGTTCCCAGGCCTTTGATGTATCTGTCTTCGAGATCTTCTTTACATGGAGAATCGGTGGATGTCTCTGTTCTGCTGTGAAAGACAGCTTGTTTCGAGATATAGAACTTGCGATTCGAGTTCTTGGTGTAACTCACCTCAGCTTGACACCTACTGTTGCTGCTCTCATTGACCCTCAAAAAGTGCCAAAAGTAGAGTTTTTGGTCACTGCGGGAGAGGCTGTGACACAAAAGGTTTTTAACAAATGGGCTAGTCGTGGACTTTACCAGGGATATGGACCGAGTGAGACAACTAATATTTGCACTGTCAACCCGCAAGTCAGTTTGGAAGATCGTATTGACAATATTGGTCGGCCATTTAGAAACACTTCAGCTTTTGTACTTGCCCGCAACGCAGAATTCTCCTTGGTCCCAAGAGGTGGCGAAGGAGAATTTTGTTTTGGTGGATCTCAGGTCTTTAGAGGATACATGAATCGCGCTCAAGAAGAGGGAAAGATTATCGACCATCCCGAATATGGGCGGTTATACAAAAGCGGCGATTTTGGACGGTTGATGCATGATGGGTGTCTCATTTTCACGGGCAGAAAAGATGATCAAGTCAAGATCAGAGGCCAGCGAGTTGAACTTGGCGAGATTAATAATGTTTTGATCTCATCAGGAGTCGACGACTGTGCGACCATGGTTATTGACGGGAAAGGTAATTCGCAGCGCTTAGTTTGCTTTTTTACGCCTAAGTCAAATACTTCCGAAGATCTACTTCCTCTCCCGGCTGATCTAGTCATGATTGACAATCTCTATCAGAAACTTGAGTCGACGCTCCCAGGTTACATGATACCTTCAAATTTGATTCCGCTTACGGTTCTTCCATCAACATCCCAAGGCAAGATTGACAAGCGCCGGTTGATTAGCTTATATGATAGCTTTGAGCTTAGATACCTTGAAACAACTACTAGAGCGTCAAAATCTCCGACAGACCATCCGTGGACAGAATTAGAACTTGAGATAAGATCTGTATTAGGCGAGATTTCGAAGTCTTCAGTAGAAGATATTGGACCACACACATCCTTCTTTAGTTTTGGCATAGACTCGATTTCGGCAATTGCATTTTCTCGAAAGCTACGTCAAGTGATCCCTAAGCAAGTAGATATTTCAGACATTTTGAGGTACACGTCTGTAGTCAGGCTTGCAGAGCACTTATCAAGATCTCAACAGCTTGTCAGAGATGACTTATCGTTGGCTCATACAAATTTTGGATTCACTGAAGGGTTTATAAGGTCTACCATTTCCCAATTCGACGAGATTGGTAGAGTTGTAACAAAAATTACACCCTGTACGCCTTTACAGGAAGCTATGCTGTCTGCTGCTGACGCTTCTTCTGGCGCTTCATATAGCAATCATGTGATGTTCAACATCTTTGGTGACCTTGATAGGCTCCGTGGTTGTTGGCAAGAAATGGTTCAAAGACATGAAATCCTACGAACTTGTTTCGTTAGTACAGATATGCAAGATTTTCCCTACGTTCAAGTCGTGTTAGCAGAATTCAAGCTCGAATTTGGCTCTCTTGATTCTAGCACGTTGGACGCCGCCATCGTTGAAATGGGCACACAGTCGAAAAGTAACGAAAATTCTCCACCATACCAACTTAATGTTCTCTCCTCAAATGGCCAACCACGCCTTTTGGTCTCAATGCACCATGCTCTTTACGATGGCGTCGCCCTAGAAGTTCTTTACCATGAAATTGAAGAGTTATATGAAGAATTACCCCTGCAGCCCCAAGTATCTTTCACTCCATTTCTCCACCACATGAGGTCGATGGATATTGATTCTTCCGACGATTTTTGGAAATCTACCTTACAAGGATATCATCCACTCCATCTCGAAGATGTCTTAGATGTGCCGGGACAACTCCAAAAGCATAGCACCCGCATTCAGCAACTAATAACAAAAATACCTCTCAGTCAAATCGAAAACAATATCAAGAAACACAGCACTACGTTTCTAGCAGCGTTTCATGCAATTTGGGCTAGTAATATGACCGGACTATTCAAAGCCACTGATATTTGCTTCGGCAATGTTGTTAGCGGCCGCACAGCTCCAGTCAGTGGAATAGAGAGACTTGTTGCACCCTGTTTCAATACTATCCCAGTGCGATTAAAAGACCTCCATAAATTGACATATCTCGAGGCATTCAGAAAGTTCCAAGATGCAAATACCAACTCCTTACCATTTCAATTCACTCCCTTACGGCGAATTCAGTCTAGATTTAGCCCTGATGGCACCCGTCTGTTTGATACCCTGTTGATTTTACAACAGCCGTCGAAAAAGCTCGACCCTTCTCTATGGTCCATTATAGAAGACAATGGCGCCATGGATTTCCAACTTGTTTGCGAGATTATACCCAATCCCAGCGATGATACCCTAGAAATTGTTCTCCATTCATCCACTTCAATATTTACTGATAATGATGCTTATAATATAATTCGAAGGTTCGAGAATCTTATCGGAGTTGCCTTGGACAATCCGAGGCGGCAAATTATCTCGTCCTCTGCAAGGGCACAGATTCTCATAATTAGCGAGGAAAGGAATAAGAAAAAAGATGTTTTAGAGTCATACTCCCATGACAAAGTGACAAGTCAACTAGAATTAGAAATTCGAAATGCCATTGCAGGGTTTACTGATGTCCCCAAAGAAATGATCGGCCGCGAGACGAGCATATTCAGATTGGGTCTCGACAGCATCAGTACTGTTCAGGTTGCGTCTCGCCTGAGAAGTCAAGGACATCAACTCCTTGCTAGTGATATTCTACAAAATCCTACGATCGCTCAAATTGCTTTACATCTTCAGCAAATTGGCACTTCCATGAGCCAGGAGAATAGCCAATTTGACTTTGCGGCTTTTGACCAAAAGTTTCGGGACATAATTTGTTCAAAGATTAGCATCTCTCAAGATAATGTAGAAGCAATAAGACCTTGTACTTCTGTACAGCAAGGCATGCTTGCTCAAAGTTTGCATTCTGAAGGTCATGAATATATCAACAGCGTGTCTCTGGAGCTCTTGCCGGGTCACTCCACGGCAAGAATTAAAGATGCCTGGACTTCAGTTTGTAAAGCTCATGAGATGCTTCGGACGGCATTCACCCAGACTGGAGACTCGGATAACCCGTTCGCAATGGTCACATTCACAAATGAATCATTTATTCTCCCATGGTTTGAAAGCCGGAAACATGTCCTGTCAAAGGAAATTGACCGCCTCGAGAACCCATGGTATATAAGCATAGAGGGGAAAGGGGATAAAACTCTGCTCATAATCACTGCACATCACGCTCTGTACGATGCTCAATCTATGCAGATGATTTTCTCGGACTTCACGAAGTCCTATCACAATCAATCAGTTAATAGTCGCCCTAGTGTCAATACGCTCTTAAGCTCAGCCTTACAAGCATCTCAAGCGGACCAAGATGAGAAAAAGGCATTTTGGCAACAGCCAGAAAATCGAATCGTGGTCAATAAGTTCCCTGATCTAACTCCTCTTCGCGTCATGAGATCTAGTAATGCAGTCTGTGAAGTCAAATCCCTAGCTTCATTACAGGAGCTCGAGGAGAAATGTCGAAATATTGGAGTTACAGTGCAAGCAGCTGGACAATCAACTTGGGCGAGATTTTTGATGGCATACACCGGAGAAAATGTTACGACATTTGGAATGACACTATCAGGTCGATCTGTTTGTGACGATGCCAATATGGTGGCCTTTCCGACCATTGTTACACTTCCGGTCAACTGTAATGTAATGGGCACTAATAGCGAGTTGTTGTCTAGGACTATGTCATCTAATGCACAACTTCACAAGCATCAATTCACACCGCTCACGTCGATCCAGAAGTGGTCTGGTTATCCTGAGGGAAGGATATTTGATACCTTATTCGCATACCAAAAATTACCCGAGGAAGGAGATGTTTTGAGTCCGCCATGGAAAGTAGTCTATGAGGAAGCTACCGTGGATTATGTCATATCTCTGGAAGTTCAACCACTACTATCCGGTGAAATCGCAATTCGACTATCTTTTAGAGAAGACATTGTGCCCGCAGCACATGCAGAGCTTATGATAAAACAATTCGATGCGTTACTGCTAGATACGCTCGACAACCCTGATCATCTATGCGACGTAGCACCCAAAATTGAAACGAGCCTACTATCCATCACTCCTGCCCAGGATCCAGTTCTTCCCGACTCCGTAACACTTCTACACCAGTACGTTGAAAGAGGCTCCAAAACATGGCCAAATAGAGTTGCTTTGGAGTTTGCTACTTGTCTTGAGCCGGGCAATTATCACAGTCAAAAATGGACATATCAACAGCTAGATGAAGCAGGTAACAGGGTCGCTCATATGCTCCATCTACGTGGGGTGACCCCGGGCGAGATAATTGCGATTTGTTTTGACAAGTGTGCCGAGGCTTCTTTTGCAATTATTGGTATCATGAAGGCTGGCTGTGGTTATGTTGCACTAGATCCTAATGCTCCTGCTGAACGTTTAAAGTTCATCGTGGAGGACTCTGCTGCGAAGTTGACCATTACTGCAGGAAATCCGGCGCAAACCCTAAAATCTTTCGTAGACGGAGAAATGATTGATCTTACTGATCCTTCTATACTTCACGAATTTAAATCCGAGGCGCCACGACTTTTGAGAGAAATTACTCCCCAGGATATCTCATATTGTCTGTATACATCCGGAACGACTGGTACACCAAAAGGATGTCTTCTTACCCACGAAAATGCTATTCAAGCAATGCTCGCATTTCAAAGGTTATTTGCTGGTCATTGGACTACAGAATCGAAGTGGCTACAGTTTGCCTCCTTCCATTTCGATGTTAGTGTCTTGGAACAATTCTGGAGTTGGAGTGTTGGAATTTGCGTAGCTTCAGCTCCTCGGGACCTGATATTCGAGGACATTCCGGGTGCAATTCGACAACTAGGTATCACGCATATTGATTTGACACCAAGTCTTGCACGTCTACTGCACCCTGATGATGTCCCATCATTGTGGAAAGGCGTTTTTATTACGGGTGGTGAACAACTAAAGCAAGAAATCCTGGATGTATGGGGTGAACATGCTTGCATTTACAACGGATATGGGCCGACTGAAGCTACCATTGGGGTGACAATGTATCCTCGAGTGCCAAAGAATGGCAAACCTTCCAATATTGGTCCTCAATTTGACAATGTAGGATCATTTGTCCTGAAACCAGGTACAGAGCTGCCGGTCTTAAGAGGTGGTATTGGTGAACTTTGCGTTTCTGGAAAACTTGTCGGAAAGGGGTACCTCAATCGCCCAGAACTTACATCGGAAAGGTTTCCAACACTTACCGATTTCAATGAACGTGTATATCGCACTGGAGATCTTGTTCGCATTCTGCACGATGGAACCTTTATTTTCCTCGGCCGTGCTGATGACCAAGTCAAACTTCGTGGGCAACGTCTGGAACTTGGTGAAATCAATGAGGTAATTAAGAAGAGTAGAAACGATCTCGAAGAAGTAGTCACGTTAGTCTTGAAACACAAAACCCAAGTTAAAGAGCAGTTGGTCACGTTTTTCGTCAACTCGGGAAAGAACGAGTCAGGAAACAAGGGAGTGGTTCCCTACATTAGAGATGCTTGCAAATCGCGCCTTCCAGGATACATGGTCCCTACACATTTCATTCCCATCAAAGCACTTCCACTTAACGCAAACAATAAAGCTGATTCAAAACAACTAGCAGCGCAGTTTAACGATCTGAGTATGGAAGATCTTCAAAATATGAGCCTCTCAGTGCAGGATGATGTAGAATGGACAAAGAGAGAAGAGAAAGTCCTCGGCCTTATCGTCAAAGCGTTTCCCGTCGAGGTTCCCGATTTGACTCGGAGCTCGAATGTCTTCCAACTTGGTCTTGACTCCATCACAATGGTCAATTTTTCTCATACTTTGCAAAAGTTGGGATTAAGCAATGCTACTAACGCCACCATCAGGGGCAATCCCACGATAGGAAAATTGGTTGAAGCACTCCTTGTCGCACAACCGAATGAAGGCAAGGAAAGCCCATATCTAATCGCAGCCCAGTTGAATATTGTCGGGTTTTCACAGCAGCATACACCTTCCATTTGCAAGGAGCTAGGGGTAGGATTGGAGCAGATTGAGAGTATTGCACCTTGCACTCCTGTGCAGGAAGGAATGATCTACAGATTTCTTGAGAGCGATGGGAGGCTATATTTCAACAACCTCCAATACAGGCTAAAATCTGGAGTTCTTCCGGAAGAGCTCTATGCGGCTTGGGATCGTGTCGTTTCTAATCTTCAAATATTACGGACCAAATTTGTATTGACAGACGATGGGTTTGCCCAAGTGGTTCTCAAGTCTGGAGAATCATCATTGAAAAGAGCATCAGAAGCCCCAACGAAAAGAGAAGATATTCTCAAGAACCCATGTTCTTTTGAAGTCGTTGGTTCTGGAACTGAAAAGAAAATGATCTTGAACATTTTCCATGGCCTTTATGATGGCAGCAGTCTAGGTATGATGTTGAATCACCTTTGCGACGAATTCTTCAATGTACAAGACATTCAATACGGGCCAGATTTTCATTCGTCCTTGGCACATGGGCCATTGTCAATAATTCCTAGAGCAGAAGAATTCTGGAAGTCCCATTTGAAAAACTGGTCTGATTCTTCATTACCTCATAAACTGAAAGATGAAGGTAATAATGTGTTCGAAGATACCCTTGACCTAAAGGACTTTGAGAAAAGACGAAAAGCTCTATCTGTCACCCCGCAAGCCATAATTCAAGCAGCATGGATCGCAGCTATTCAATTGATCATTTCTACAAAGCTAACAACGATTGGTATTGTCACGTCCGGTAGAGGAATAGATTTCGAAGGAGTTGAAGAAGTTGTTGGTCCTCTTTTCAACACCGTGCCCTTCCATCTTCCTATTGAATTTGGCACCCAAATGTCCTCTCTGATTAAGGATTGCCATTCCATTAATATGAAAATCCAAGAATTTCAGCACACACCTTTAAACGATATCACGAAATGGATCACAGGTGGAGCTAGCAGTCCACTCTTTGAGACCCTCTTTGTGTTTCAACGTCCGGATGTTAACGAGAAACGATTTTCGAATCGTCTAGGGAGGAACGCCACAGTTGTTGACAATAGTGATACAGATGTAAGTGAAGAGCACTACCATTGATAGGAAGTTCACCTAACTATTGGATAGTATCCGCTAGCACTCGAAGCTACTTTGAGCCACGATAGCACCAGGCTTGCACTGAAGATTGTTGCCAAGAGCTCAGCTGTGACAGAAGTCATGGGAATGCTTGTGCTCCAGAACATGCATGAGATGATTCGCAATATCCTTAACGGCATAGATGAAGAGATGCAAATTATTAGGGTTAAACAGAATGATCATACAAATTCGGGCGACAAGCTGAATTCGGAGCTACCTCGCTCTCAACCATCAGACCAACCACTTCCTGGCGGAATAGTTCTAACAAAACAGAAAATCGACGCGGTTTGTAGCGAAATTGCAATTTTGGCCAAGGTTGACAAGATACATAACGATGAGCCTCGAACAATTTTCCAACTTGGACTCGACAGCATCGATGTAATCAAATTATCCTCACGACTGCGAAAGAACGGAATTGAACTATCTGTCAGCGAAATCATCAAATGTCAGACTATCACCAAAATTATAGAGAACGCGAGACTTTTGAAAGCCGGGACACACAGCTCTCTTTCTATGCAAAAACTGACAAAGATAAGCGAACAGCTTGATGAGTATCTAAAGCCCAGCCTTCCTTCTGGAATTGAACGGATTTTGCCAGCTACACCTTTGCAAGAGAGCATATTGAAGGAAATGATAAACTCTAATTTCAAAACTTATTTGACTGTGCAGATTTTGGAATTAAGTGAAGGGACTCAAGAAAAAAAGTTATTGAACGCCGTGGATCGTGTTATTGAGAATTCACCTATTTTAAGGACGACTTTTCTTGAAGTTCAAGACCCGCAGTCTCCTGTGAACTATGCACAAATTGTCCATCGAGACTGGGTGAAAGTTTCCGAAATGAGCCCGGTCGTAGGGCACACACATAAGGGTCCCGAAAGCCTTTTACAGGAGGTAAATTCCAGATTATTGGAAAACTGTACGTCGATAGAGAGTAATTTGTTCGGAGTACTTCCCGTTCATTTCGAAAACAGGAGGTTCATAGCAATGAAAATCTCACATGCTCTTTACGACGGCGGATCACTGCCGATGATACACGATGATATCAGCAAAGCATATTGGGGCAATGAAATTACTGGGCGACCTGACTATATGTGGTACCTGGCAGAGATTCTCGATTCTGTTACCGATGAGGCAAAAGATTTCTGGAAGGCCACACTTTGGGATTCGCCACCGTCTGTATTTCCAAAGCAGGAAACACCGCCAATGGACGAGATTGCCATTCACACATATGAAGCGGTGTCCGGATACTCATTACAAGAAGTCAAAAATTTTTGTCGCTCTTCTAATATTACGTTACAGACACTAGGACAGACATGCTGGGCTTTAGCCCTTGCAGAACTCATGGGTCAGCTTGATGTTGTATTTGGGACTGTACTTGCTTGTCGTGATACGCCCGAAGCTAGTAAGGTAAACTTCCCATTGTTCAATACTGTGGCAGTTCGAGCGATACTTCGTGGAACTCTCGGTCAAATGCTTCGGGATATGCAAGAGAAGAGCGATACAACCCGTCAATATCAAAACTTCCCCCTTGGTAAAGCCCAAGCATACGCACTCGGTTCTCGAGATTATTCAAACAAGGATACCACGATGTTCGACACACTGTTTACATATCAAGGTGCTAGGCCTGAGGCGGAAATCGATCCGCTATATTCATATCTAGGTGGCACCTCAGACAACATTCAGTTTGCAATCTGTGTTGAAATGGAGGTGGAAGAAAAATCAGATAAAGTTTACTGGTCAGCGGCTTGTAAATCTGTTGCTAGAAACGAGGCACAGACCCGAGAGATTCTCCAAAGTTTAGATACACTTCTAGGGATGATTATGGAAGACGAAAAAGACCAGGTTATTGAGATTCACTCTGATGGAATCTCAATAAGCGGATCCCGGATATTTCAACCTCGAGAAATTTCCCGCCCTCAGAGGATTCCAAAAGCACTTTCCATCCGTGACAATTGGTCTCAAACTGAATTGAAACTTCGAGAAGCAATCTCTGTCATCTCAGGTTTGCCGGAAGAGGATATCCCTAAAGACTCAACGATCTTTCAGTTGGGCTTGGACTCAATTACGATAATCAAACTTCCAGCACTATTAAAGAAGTGCAACATCTCCCTAACTGCTTCGGAAATCATGAAATTTCTCACAATTCAGGATATCACCAAACACCTATCTGGGAAACATGAAACGCAACCAGATGGTCCTATCGATGCTGATGCTATTTTGGTTCAATCTACACCATTGATTGATCAAATCAAGCTTGATCATTTGCAAGCTTCTTTGGGTGAGATAGAATACATCATGCCCGCAACATCAGGACAAAAGTACATGATTAGACATTGGCATAATTCGCAAGGGTCAGTCTTCTATGCAACTTTCAAATTCAAGCTTTCCAATGGCTTTGATCGAAATCGACTCGATTTTGCTTGGTTTAAATTGCTATGTCAACACGATGTCCTACGTACTGGTTTCATTGAGTCGCCCAAAGAGTTAAGTATCGCTCAGATTGTTTACAAAAATCCGTCAAATAAGATCATTTATGTAACAGAGTTATCCAAGCTTGAAGAATGTACAGAATATTGTGATCTAGAAAACCTCGAAGATCCACCACTCCGTCTTTTCGTCATTGGGGATGATTCCAGGTCAAATACTTCAAGTCAAGGTATCGAAATGCACTTGGTTATCCACCACGCTCTTTACGATGGCATAAGTATCTCGTTGTTGATTAAGAATTTGGTAGCCTGGTATGAAGATTCGGATTTCATGTCTGTTTCTCCAATTACCAAAGCTAGATGGAAGACATTTGTAGCGACAGCGATCCAGGAAAAAAGCAGGCAGTCTGTGAGGGATCAGTGGGTGGAGTATCTTGGCTGTCCTCCTGATAATCAACCAAATCCAAATTTTTACAAGGGATATGAATCACCAGAGCCAGAAATTGAAGAGCCAAGGCGAGTTGAGGTTTTCACACCTGGTTTACCAGCAAAACGCCTGAAGTCAATCGCCCACAATGCGGGCGTCTCGATTGATCATATATTGATCGTGTTGGCATCCAGACTTTTGAGGATGAAACAATTCGAGAATCCTTTGCATATTCATCCTTCTCAAAGCAGAAAAAGTAACAGGGAAGACCTAATCGTAGGCCTGTATTTGGCAAACCGCTTTCCGTTTTCGGAAAATCTTTCTTCAATGCTAGCTCCAACGCTCAACTTATTACCGATCAAAATTACAGAGAAGAAGGCAAGTTTTGGTATCAATTTTGCCTTGCCATATGAGGAGTTAGCTAGAACTGTCCAGAGAGATTTGGGAAATATCGGCGTCGGGGGTATGGCTAATGTGGACTTGGACGAGATTTATGAGTGGACTGGAGTGAATGTATATGGCTGGATTAATATTGTTAGGGGGGTAGACGATGGTGAGAAAACGGATAAGGGTAGAGGGGTGAGTGGGAAAGCGGGTGAGGAATCGGATTGGGAAGTGGTTGGGAAATCGAATGCGGAAACGCAGAAGGAGAATAAAAATCCCGGCGGGACATTTTGTCTAGAGCCTTCGGTTCAAAAGGGCCGAAAGAAGATTCAGGGAGAAGAACTTCTTCAACCGGTTGTTGATAGGGAAGCGTATGCGAGAGTGGTTCCACTGAAGAAGGGCAAGAAGATGCCAGCTGTGAAGGAATTCGGAGCGTACCTGGTAAGTTCTGATATCTCAATATTTTTTTCTTCTTTTCGAGACCTATTTGTGTTCTTATAAAATTTCGATTTTATACCCAGATTTCCCCTTGCCTATTCCCCCTCTATATCAAATCATCATCATCTTCTTTTCATTTTTGCAGAGAATAAACCAAAGCACACCAAACTAATAATTTCCTTTTGTGAATAGCCATCAGTCGATATAGAAATCCGCTATAATCCTCATGATGAAACAATCGACATAGGTATCTTTGGACCGAGTGATAAAATTAGTCTTGAAGAGGTAGCTTGCTGGATTGAGCTTTTGGGGAACCAGATTTAGATTTAGATTTTGAGGACTCGGGGATGAGAGGAGGAACAAGGAATGTTTTTATGGTATTGTTTTACTGTGTTGGGTGGTATCCTTTTATTTTGTTTTTTATTTTTTCGGTTTGTGTCTCATGCGTTTCCAGGGATCGGTTGTTTTGAGAGGAAGGGAGGAAGTGGTTTAGTATTGATATTGATTTGGTGGTTATGCAGAGATTCGAAATTCTAGATTGACTTACATTAGATTTTAACACACACTTTACATTTTACATTTTACATTTTACTCTTTACTCTTTACTCTTTTTTTTTTTTTTTTTTTTTTTTGCTTCTTCACCTACCTACTTTGATTTCAAATCACCATTATTTTCTTTTTTTAAAAAACCCCCTATGAATACATCCAAAGATCGGAAAATAAATAAGTGAACATGGAGAGAGAATAAATGCAATTTCATAATATATTGGAAAATTTTGATATTTGACTAACTCTTAAAACTATCCTATCCTATCATATCACATCATATCCTGCTTCTCATCATATCATTTCGTATCGCGTGAACGCCTAATCCTCTCATCCTATTACTTCCAAAAAAGAAAAAAAAAAAAAGCTAAAAAGAAAAGGTGAATATCAAAATCCTAACTGTTTTTGCAGAAAATGAAATCTCTTATCGCGGTTTCCTCAATTCCCCAGTTTCCTAAACACAAAATCTCCCTCTAATAACGATCTTCATCATGGTGTCTTCCATGCGAGTGACTAGAATGTCTCGAATGACTTCTATGTTCATGTCCATGGTGGCCATGATGTCCATGATGCTCATGACCATGCTCATGATGTCTCCCGTGTCTCTCCTCCTCATATCCTCCATGTCCGCTATACTTCTCATCTCTATATCCCCCATTATATCCATGCTGCGCGTGTTGTGGGTGTAAACCCTCCCCTTCTCTCGGCGGCGAGCATTCTCTTCCTGTTTGTGCGTCCTCGTAGTATTCTACATCGCGATCATTGTGGTCTTTGCGGTATTTCTTTACTTTGTTTCCAAGGAATTGTCCCGCTATCATGCCGCCTGCTGCGTAGAGCAGTTTGCCCATTGTTCCTCGTCCGGTTTGAGAGGCTACGCCCCAGCCGCCTGCGGCGCCGAGGCCCATGGACATCAGTCCGCGATCTCCTTCGACGGGTTGTCCGTTGGCGTCGAGTTGGGGGGGAGGGAGATTAGCACCTGGTTCGTCGTAGGTCGGGGCTGGGGCGCCATAGGGTGCGGGTGCGCCGTATGGAGCTGGTGCAGGTGAGTAGCCGCGGTTGTCGGCGTAGCTGTTTACTTGTTGGTTTGAGTATGGATCGTGAGGTGGGGTAGGGGTTTTGTCCGTAGGGAGATTGTTAGGTGGAGCTCGTAAGATGAGGAGGAGTGTGCCTGGGAGGGCCGAGGGCGCCGTAGGGTAATCGAGATTTTGAGGGAGGATAAGGTCCTAATGCGTAGTTTGGTGCGGGGGGATAGGCGGTGTTGTCTTGATTGTAAGGAGGTTGTTGGGGGTATGGTTGAGGAGGTGGTGCAGAACCATAGGGTTGATGGGGTGGGTAGGGGTTTCCACCTCCGTAGAAGTCTTGGTTGGACATTTTTGTTTGATTTGCTTTTGCTTTGCTGGGATTATCTTCTGTTTTCGTGTTGGATTGTATTCGGTTTGATGTATTTGAAGATGTTTGTGTCACCTTTAGAGATAGAACAAGAAACGATGCGATCTCTATTGAATATGAGCAGAAAAAGAAGACAGGTAGGATGAGGCGGGTAAGAGTATTAGTATTTATATTAACACGAATTATGTACGGAGGATATTAGTGAGGCACAGTTAGGGCAGTGAATCATCTGCAGCCTCGAAAAGCTAAACGATAAAGCTGACTATTATTAGCGGGGAAGAAGCAAGATCTAAAAATGTATTGGCTTGTTATTTGGCCTCTTTCCGAGTTCCGACTTGAGGGGCAGATACTGCGCCACGGGTATCCTGGTTACCTCATGCAATGGAAGTATTCCAGAAGATTGAAGAAGTTTTCCGAGGGGCATCATTGAGGATGATGAATAATGATTTCGGGGATGAATGGGGCGTGAATAGTTCATCTGTTGTCTGTTGAATGATTTTGGTGTATGGAAAATGATTTGATCACCTGTTACTAGTTACTTGAAACATTCATATTCGCATTTAACTCCGTACATACATGATGACACAGGACTTTCTATTAGGCTATTCGCATTCGCATCCACATTTAAGGTTATCAATATTCTAATCTTATGGATCGTGCAAAGAAACCAATTGCTCAATATGGCAAATGATAACTTTACTTTCTACTTTTCTCGCTTCTAGCCCCTTCATCAATTCATGATCAATTCATCAACCCTTCAACCACCAAACAAAACCAAAAGCCCAAACCCAAGAAAACGTCATCACCCATACACACTTACGCCTTACAGAGTACACCCTACACCCTCCCCTACCGCCAAGCCACAAGTCCTCAGCCCCGCCCCGCCACCCTGCACAACCAAACCCTACGAAAATGCCGATTTACCGTTCTTGGCAATTTCTCTGCTTAGATTTTTGTATTAATTACTCCGGATAACATACGTACTACACACTCCGTACTATAAAGTCTAGAATCTAGAATCTACGGAGACGAATGTTGGTGCTACACGGTGAGTTCCGGATATCTGTGTATGAGGAGAGGAGGGGAGGGGAGGGGAAGATGATTAGTTTTGTGGGTATTGGGTATTGGATATTGGGAAGATTGATGATGAATGAGTGAGTGGATGAATGGATGGATGAGTGATTGGAAAGTCACGAATGAACGGATTATTGGAATTCCCATGTTTTGTCTAAATCATCTTATGAACTTAAGCATACTTCGTTTGGATGGGACACTGGGTTCGGTACTGATCGATTGATCGACTGGTTGTTGCCGAGGATAAATGGACGGATGGATCATACATACATACATTTTAGTATGAAGTATGTGTCCCTCCCTATACATACCTATACCTATGCAAACGGTGACTCCGAAGATGTTAGCTACTAGGCTAGGTAGCCTTAGATATGGATACCTATATTGAATATTGTGTTGGCAAAGTAATGAGTAATAAGTCACGAGGTGCAAAGATGTTTGATTGTGAGACTTGGCATTTATTATATTATTATATGATGTGATGGGGAATGATATTTTCGAATGTATCCATCGGTGATTTAATGGGGACGGATACGGAGAATGAAGAGTTTCCTTTATTTATGGATCGATGTAGTTATACCTAAATATATAATAATATGAATCTGTAGAAGGTGAGAATTTTAATGATGTAAGATGTAAAATACTATTAATGCTGAAGTAATGCTCAAACCAATTAATTGCCCTTCGTTTACGAGTATCCTCTAGATAATTCCAACTCTTCAATAAGTCACATTAACCTAGACCTACGATATCCGTCATCCATTCCAACCGTCTCATCATAAAAAAATCCTAATCCTCCTCCCTCCATCGTAGCTTGTCTCTGTATCATTTCATCTTGTCCCATTCCTATTCCCACTTCACTAACCCAATCTTCTACATATGGAGATTGGTAATTTGTATCCACACGACCGTCATGACCACCTCTATGATTCAGATTACCAGTATCATAAGTAGTGAACGGCGTCATCCCTTCTCTCCCCATTTCCCGTCGTTCAATGTCCATCTCCCGTCGCAAATCTGCACTGCTTCCACTTCCTAAGGGAGAATGGATAGATCCGTACCGGGAAGATGTAAGTGGACTGTCCATTTCGCCGTAGATCAAAGGGTTGGGACTTTGCTGAACTGTACTATGCTGGGTTCGCGGATCCCCCATGGTCATTTCGTTGTACATCATGCGGGGTGTGGAACGGTGGGAGCGACGTGAAGAGTTTGGATAATATAGAGCGCCTTGATGTTCTGGCGCCATTACGAATTCAGGAGGACCAGGTCCGAAATCTTGGAATTGTGGTGGTAAGATTGGGATGCGTGGGGAGCGGTATCGATGTTGCATGCGTGGAGTGGGAGAAGTTTCTCCGAGTGAATATTGACGGCTTGAACTGGGAATTCCTCGATTTGGCGATCTGGGTGTCATGTTGCGGTCCATAACGTGTTCAAAGGCTGCATATTCATTTGATCGTAGAGGTGATTGCCGTCTTCTCCTATCAATTTCTTCAAAATGTTCGAGCCCTGCTGGGTATTGCTTCTCCAAGCTAGAGTTCCGATTACGAAGATCTTGATTACCGATTCTGAGGGCCTCAAGACCTCCTGGGTTTCGACCGATGCTTCTAGATCTTGGACCTATTCCTCCTATTGCAAGAGCTTCTATACCACCCGATCCTTCCATATATCTTTCACCTGGGCTGGAATAATTTCGTTGAAGTGAAGGTAATCCCATTGAAGAGGTTAGATCCCCAAGTATGGGAATTTCTGTACCAGAATCTCTTATCCGATTCATCGACAGTTGATCTATAGTTGTCATTTGTCTTGAATTAGGGTTGAAATTTGGACAGCCCTCCCAGTGAACTCCATTTTTCTCGTGGCGGATATCGTAGCAACCAGAGGTTGAACCCTGGCGATTATTCAGACGTGAAAGAGCATGTCTAGAATCACGATGATGAGATCTCCCCAGACCGATACTTTCTAGAAGCATGTTACAAATTGGTTTTAGTTTTGGTATTGGCTTAGAATCCGTGGTATAAGTTCAAGATGAGGATGATAGAAGGAGAATGTGAAAAGGAAAGTGGAAAGACCATAAAGCGAACGTCTACGTCTGCATGACCCGATACCGGATGCGATAATGAAAAGTTTTGTATGAGTCAAGATATCTTCTGACTATAAGGATATCCATAGGAGGGAAAGGCTAGTGCTTCCATTGTTTGCTTGTTGAGAAATTTTGACAAACTGTAACACTTGTTCGTGGTCAAAATCGGTGCAACGTGACGGACTGTAGGCTTTTGGCCAATGGATCAATCAGATACCTAGATTGCCCAAGAATATGAAGTTCAGTAGGCAGATCAATGCTTGTGTGCTCGAGAGTTGTCGCATCGATCTTTCGTGTGAGCAAACAAACATTCCGGGTGCATACTCGGCTTGTTGCTATGGGGACCGTCCGGTAGCCGGATATGTCCAAAGAGTATTCGAGGGACTAAGTAGTGAACAGAAGTCACCCAGAGACTCTCAATTCAATATAAATACCTACAGATAGTTTCATTCTTAGAGCGATAATAATAGAAAAAAGGGACGGTAATCTCATCATCATGTCCATGACCTGTCAATATCGAGAATGGGACACTCAGTTCAAAGCCCGTGCCTAGGATGAATAGCAATAGGGAACTTTGTTGATATTTACTCTCCTTTTTGTGGTATGTTGCATATGTATTGATTGATTGATGGGAGAACGATCGACTCCAGAAAGTACTGACTCCAATTGGATTAATGCCAGATGTATTGCCACAATCTCCAGATATATTGACTGATGCAGAAGTGATGAAAAATAGATAGAGGATGTGCTGAAAGGTATAACTGAGAAAATGATATACTCAAAATAATTTTAATTGGTGAAGATCGGTATGCATCGCTGTAGATGGTTGTAGCGATGTAGTACAGAGAGATTAATTATAGCTGGACAGATCATTTGTATTGTTTGAAGTTAGTTGGGGTTTGAAATGATGGGAGAATTGAAATGGATATGTAGAGATGATTGAGAAGCTATATAGACATTGAATCTGTGTTTATCTAGTAGTTTGTATTGAGGAGGTGATCCAGCAGTTCACGATGGGTGAAAGACGCTCCGCTGGCCCTTCGGGAACCACCGCCATGGAGGCAGAATATTTGAGGATATAAATATTTTGTACTCGGACATGTGAGACTATTTGTAAAAAGATATTGAATATAAGATTGTTATATAAGGTTGTTATATAAAAAAGAAACAGATATAGTTATATCGTATCATTTACTAGGCACACATCAAAGTATTCATATATCAAATTATTTTACCCTTGAGTTGATATTAAATATGGAATGTAGTTATATATGAAGAGAAAGGGGCAATTGGCACCTCATACTATGTATCAAAGTAATATAAAAAGGGGTAAATGAAGCATCGCCGGTTACATGTATATCATTGCCAATGAACAAAATGAGATGATCATGAAAGAGATGAAATGATGATTTCTGCCCTGAGTCTTGCAGCCTCATATTCAAGGCCAAATTCCCGTTACAACCAAGAACACACATCACGCTAAACTATAAACATACTAACTCCCTTAAGAAAGTTGAAGCTACTAACCGTCGACCTTTCTTGCCCTTCAACTTCCTTCGCTTTTTTTGTACGAAAATCGAGGTCCCTCAAATCCCAAAAGAACATCCATTCCCCCCCGCAAATTCACCAGGAAAATTCAATCTTAAATCAATATCGTAAGATATCCATTCAAAAGATAACTTTAAATCTTCTCTACAATCTTTAAACAGTACTTATTACCTATTTAAATTTGTGCGCATCATCGCGTTCAATCTAAAAAAGTCGCCCACGCTCATCAAAACTCTACATCATCGATACTTCCTTCTCAACTTGTGCAAACAATAGGAAGCTACCAACGAAATCAATATGCCTTCGCAAATGCCGTCAAGTTTTGCTTCTGCTGCAGCAGCAGCTGGTTCAGGTTCAGGTGCGGGTTCGAGTCGTGATTCTCGAACTGGAAGGAACGAAAGTGCTCGTGGTACTGAATGGTATGTTTGGTTTCTTCACAATCCCTTCTTGTACACGCATTGCAATCACCTTTTTGGCCATGTTTGAGTTAGAGTGTATAGCATCATATCTACCATACATTACATTTTATTTCATTAGTGCCCTTTTCCCAATTCCTCCTTAGTCGCTTGCTTGATTGTTTGGATATTCCAGACGTCATTAGTACAATTAACCATGCCATTTTTGGGAGTGGATGAAAACTACGAATTTTATTCTCCAACCAGGAACCGTCTTCGACGTATTGAAAGCCAGTCAGATCCTATAACTAATGCGACATCACATTATAGGGCAAGAAGAGAAAATAGATCTACCAATGGCAGTGGCACAGTGACCTTCCGTCGTTCTTCTAACGCTCCCCACACACTATCCGCACAAGCAGACAACCTTCCAGCACAGAGTCTCGAAGTCTCCGAGGACTTACCACATCAACAAACTCAATCATACGAGCCATCTGTTCCTGCAGATCTTCGTTATCCAAAACCTCATCTTTTGGATTTATATCAAAAACATCGAGAAGCTAAAGATTCTGGCGCACGCAATGGTGACGTTTCAAGACTCTATGTTGAAGGCTGGAACCCTGGTCAATCAATTGGAACAAATGGTCGAGCATGGGGTAAGGTTACTGATGGCAGAGAGACTCATGGTCCAGATGCATGCTGGGATATGACAGGTAGTCAGCGACCAGTTTCTTTGGAAGAGATGACCGAAGATGAGAAAATTGTCAGTTTACCTACAAATCAGCTCGCCGCAGTTATTTAATACTAATATATACATTAGCTTTTTACTACTGACGTCAATTCTCCCATGAAACCACCACCCCAAAATCAGAACAAGGGCCCGAGCGAACAAGGATCAAACACTAATGGTCGCAAAACCTCCATTTCTCATGGTTCTGCCAACTCTAATTTCGCAGTTACCTCGCCAGCTTCCAGCAGACCTGGCACACGACGCAGAGAGACGAGTGATGCAATTCCATTCGCTGCTGGATTAGGATCCCCTGCCGGAACTGGTCGATTCCCTCGCGACGAGTCTTCTCCCTTTTTCACCCGCAAACTCACGGACCTGAAGGATGATGGAGACGACCGACCGGACGAACCAAAGAGCTCCCTGCCATTCGGCCCATTAATGCGTTCCAATACAGGTGGGGCTAATTTGGGAAGCGCGCCGTTGTCTCCTTGGGGACCAGCGCCCACAAGCGCTACAATGACTCCAATGGGAACTTTTGGTGCCTTTGCAATGCCAACTCCCACAACTCCAGGCGACAAACGACCAGCCTTCGGCAGCATTCGTGGCGAGAGTCGGCTTGCACATCTCATGCCAAAGGATAAATCGGAGGAAAGTGCATCGCAACCCGCCGAACGCCCATGGAGAAGTAGACCTCGAACAGATACAGACCCCTTTGGCGAAGATAATATCCCTAGCGGCAGCGCTGGCCTTGGAGGTGGTCAGGATACAAGCCCAACTTTGGATCCTCAGCGAAAGGCACCAGGACTTGACACGCCGATTCGTGGACTATCGAGTGATTTTGGAATGTCTGACATGCCTGGTTTCAGGGATGCTCAGTTACGTGCTCAAAATCACCAGACACCACAAGTACAGCAGCAATACAATGAGCCACTGAGCCCAGATACTAATCCTTATCGTAGCCCACACGAGGAACGAAGAGACAGAATTGGACACGAGGAAAATTCTTTTGACGATGATCATTCTCATGACCGACCTCAACCATTAGGAGGAATCCCGGAGCATACACCAAATGCTTTTAGTAATCTTTCCAGAAACTTCGGCAGTGGAGCTTTTGATGGAAGCGATCGTAGCCAAACGTCCAGTGTCGTAGGTGGTGTGTCCCGGGGACCATTCACGGCTTTAGCCGGACTTCCATCTTTGAGTAACATTGGTAATATGGGTGGGTGGCCAACAAACAATATGGTTTCGACACCGGATCGCGAAAGTCGATCGGTATTCCCGAGTGCATTTGGAAACTCCATATTTGCGCCCATGGGTGAGTTACCATCTCCAATTCATAGCTCTATGGGTGGCGGCATGTTTGGCCATGGCAACCCAATGGGATCTATTGGACGTGGAAGTAAGCTCGGATCTTTGTTCCCTCCCGCTATGCAGGCTCAAATGCAGGGCGCAGAGAACGATAATTCTGGTGAAATTGGAGACCTAAGACAAAACAGCGCATTTGGAGCGATTGGCCGGACCCCCTTGCACAGCCATGGCTCATTCTTCGGTTCTGAACCCCGCACCCAGGAACCATTTTCTGGAGCGGATTCCCAGCCTAGTACAATCGTTCCACAAGCTCCTTCGGCTCAATCTAATTACCCACAAACCCAAATTGGGTCGGATTCTGCACCAGGTCAACTTCCTAATGCTCAACAACGTACTATGGTTATGCCAGACAGAATGAGATGGATTTACCTTGATTCACAAGGACAGCCTCAAGGACCTTGGTCTGGATTGGAAATGCATGATTGGTACAAGGCCAATTTCTTTACGGCTGATCTCTCGGTCAAAAAACTTGAAGACACTGAGTTTGAACCGCTTGGTCAGCTTATCCGTCGCATTGGTAATTCACGCGAACCATTCCTGGTCCCTCAAATGGGCATTCAGCATGGACTCCCTACCACCCAAGCTACACCATTCGCCTCCGCTGCTACAGCCCCTGCTGTTCAACCTGGATCTGTTCAACCTCCCTTTGCTGGAGCTTTCCCGAGTTTTGGTACTACGTTGACTGCCGAGCAACAAAACAATCTGGAGAGACGCAAGCAAGAGGAACAATACCTCATGGCTAGACAGAGGGAGTTCTTGGCGCAACAACAGGTCGGCTTGAAGCAAATGCAAATGGGGGGTCTTCCTTCCACCTTGCACCATCATTCAAGTGCTCATAGCTTGCAAAGTCAACCTAGCTTTGGTAGCATGACATCGCCAATTTCTATGCCACCACAACCTCCAATGCCCGGTGGGTTCTTTGAAGCTGGCCCCAGACCCGGCCTATCTCAGATGATGGGAGGTATGCCCAATGAATATCTTCACGATGATTTAGCTCGCCTTGGCCTCCAAGACCGTCAGCAAGCCGGAGCGGTTGGTGCACAAACCTCTCAAGCTCAGCAAATTAATGCTCTTTTTGGTCAACCTCAGCATATTGGCACGCAACGTGAGCCGCCTCGGGCAGAACAGAATGACCCTCAAGGTTATGTAGCTCGTCTTCGACAATTTGAACAGCTTAGAGCTGAACATGATGCAGAGGAAGCAGCTCAATCCTCCGCTAATGACGAAGCCACTTCTTTGGCACAAGCTCAACCGGAACCACAGGAACAGCAGTCACAATACGAAGAAGAGACCGTGTTAGAAAAAACCCCAGCACCAAAATCTCCCGAGGTTCCCTCTTTGACTCAGCAGATCAAGGATCAACAAGCAGCTTCCACCGCCGCAGCACCTGCTAAGCAGTCTCCCATTTCTGCTCCTCAACCCGAGTCCCCTTGGGCAAAGGTGAATACTAGTCTCCCAATGCCTTTCCCACCCCCTGCACAATCGATGACACCTCTTCCTGCTCCAACTGCTCAAAGAGGTCGCTCAGGCTTGCCGGACTCATTACATGCTGAAGTTCAATCACGCTCTGAGACTCCCGAAGTAGTTAGTGCTGGACCAACCCTTGCTCCATGGGCTGTTCAACCAGTCGAGGCTCCTAAAGGTCCTTCTCTTAAGGAGATTCAAGAAGCCGAAGCCAAGAAGGCTGCTAAAGCAGAGGAAGCTGCCGCTGCTGCACGTCGTGCCCTTCATGAACAAGAAATGAAGTTGCTAGCTAGCCAACCAGCTGCACCCGCTCCTGGTCTTCCAACAACATCTACCTGGGGAGCTACAGCTACACCCACAACTCCTTCTAATGCCCCCTCTGTCTGGGCCAAGCCTGTCGCAGCCAAGACTCCCGTAGCTACCACTTCTTCCAAGAAGACGCTCGCAGAGATTCAAAGAGAAGAAGAATTGCGTAAGAAGAAACTTGCAGCCACTGCAGCAGTATCGCAACCTTCTCCTGTTGCAGGCGGGAAACGCTATGCCGATCTTGCAAGCAAACCATCTGCAATCACTCCCACGATTGGAGGAGGCTGGGCCACTGTCGGCGCCGCTGGGAAGGTCAAAATCCCAACAGGGCCATCTGGTGCAGTTGCGCCTGTCCCTGTTCGTTCTGCCAGCAGTGCTTCTGTAGCTAGCCCCGCTGTTCGCACAATACGCCCAGCAGCATCTGCTCGCAGTGTAACCATGGCTGGCAGTCAAACCGGTGGTAACGCTGCCAATGAAGAGTTCAAGAAATGGACAAGGGCTACTTTGAGTGGCAAGGAAGGCCTCAATTCTGATATTGATGGTTAGTTGAACTTTCTTATCTTTGATCTATTTCCCACACTAACATATCTTCAGTCGACGTATTCATGACTATGTTATCTTCATTCCCAGACGAGGCTAGTATTATTGCTGATGTCGTGTATTCTAATTCTCGTGTGATGGATGGTCGTCGTTTTGCTGAGGAATATATTCGCCGCCACAAATTGGCTGACAAGGGTATTGTTGAGCTTGCTAATACTGGAACAAATGATAAGTCTGGCGGAGGTGGATGGAGTGAAGTCGCCAAGAAAGGGCCACCGAAGGAGGAACCTACAGCTGGCTTCAAAGTTGTGCCAAATAAGAAGAAGGGAAAGAAGTAGGCGGTTGTATGGAGTTGATTACACTTTGCTGCGTTATGGATACCTTGTCTGAATAGGAATTTTGTATCTCAGAATAGGTTGTTCATTCTAGCCCGCGGGTTTCTCCATGATGAAAATGGTGTCAGCCTATTGATCAGCGAAGGGAGAAACATAATTGAATCCCCAATCATAGCTTCAAAGTGGCATCAATGTCAATATGCACTGTTTGAGAATTAAACGTTTATTATCTAATAATATTATAAAATGGTGACAGGGAATTGTGAAAGCCAGAAGTTCAAATTCTAATGAACAGATGAAATATGAGTTGAGCGTATCTCGAGTAGTTGACTTTAACTATCACATCAAAATGCTCTCGCTTACAAATCATCCTACCCGACCTTGATAAATTTTCCCACATGAAAAAAAAAAGTGAAGCCCTAAATACAACAACAATATATTCATCATGTCTTTCGCCTCAGATTTATCCACGGGTGGTAAAGGTGGTACTTTGGATGCTATATTATTCAATTTAGAGCAGTTAAAACAACTTGAAGCTGTGTCAGAAATCATCACAAATTACCTTGATGGCGATTACAAAGCCGTCCTCCGCACGCCCACAGCGCAAATCCTGATTCAAATCTTAGCAGAGAATGTTCATCTTTCCAAAGAGGAACAAACTCTCGCTCTCAAAGATGCAAATCTTCAGAATCGAGAAGTAATTCTCTATACTTTTATTACGGGATTGGCAGCCTTTAATGCATTTCTCCAAACCAATGTTACCGGACCATCAGTTGATTTTGGGGACGTTTTTCAGAGCTCGGAATGGAATGCTAGTGAGCTGAGGGAGAAATGTTTGAGGAGTTTGGATGTTGATGGCGTGAGCGTTTATCAACATATTCCCAAGGTGGAATTATTTTGTCTGGCGAGATATATTTTCACGACGGTTTTTCCCAGACGTTCTTGGGTGAAGACTTGGGATTGTAAATGGATGAGAATTAGGATTAATGCTTACCATCAACGACTTCTGAGTGGATATTCGATGAATGGGAGAATGAGTGATTCCACGGTCTTGCAAGATTTGATTGAGCAGGATTTGAAGGATCTAGAGGCAGAGATCTTTGCAGAGGAGAGTGCATTTGGTACGGATGCGAAGGTTATGTTTTTGTTGGAAAAGGCGCAGATTTATATCATGGAGGGCTTGGATTTGAAGGCAAAGGAGAATGTGAAGAAAGCCAGTGAGGTTTCGGGATTTGAGTATGCGCTTTCCGGAGCTTTGGGAAAGAGAACGAAGTTTCAACAAAATGATATTTCGCAGTTAGTGGTCTTTGCGAAGAGTAGGGAAGATGCTGCTAGTGCTGATATTGGGGACTCATCTGAGAAGTCGAAGGAAAGTGCTCTCCCATCGGATGAATCTGGGGAGCAAAGCACAACTGGTCCCCAAGCACTGGAGTTGAATGATGATACATTATTGGAATCTATCGAGTTTGCCAAAACTCCATCTGACAAAGTGGATAACACCAATTTACCAGCAGCTTTAGCTAGTATGAAACCGGATGAGCAACCGCAGCTTCATCCTCTGGATCAGATTACCCTGTTAACGGAAGCGACTCTTAAAGATACTTTATCTCCTCTTGACAAGCTAAACAGCGAAGAAATCTTACCATACGCTGTTCGTGTCCTATCAGACAAACCTACAAATTGGCAAATCTACACACAGGCTCTCTTGGTTCGAAGTAGAATTGAAGCTCATAGATCTAGAACTCAAGAAAGATCTGTTTTACAACTCCAAGTCATTGTGGATCAAATTATCGCCGATACACAAGAATCCACGCCATCAGTAGACGCCAACGGAATCCCCGAAATCCAAGTCACTTCATTCCTTCCTCGGGCTAAAGATGGTGAATCTGCCCCTGTTACCGAGAGATTAAGATACGTTAACCAGCTCAACACCCCTACACGATGGGAAATTGAAACCGAACTTGCATTTGCGTGGTCCAATGCCGGATCTCTCGTCAGCGCCCTCGAAATCTTCAAGAGATTAAAGATGTGGGCCGAAGTAGCCTTATGTTATCATTCTGTGGCCCAGGAAGACAAAGCTCGGCAAGTCGTCCGAAGACAACTATACTACTCTTCTAAAGGCCCGGAAATGGACAAATACGATATCGATGCCGAAGCCGTTGTTAAAGAAGAATGGAACGGTGAAATGCGCTCTCCACCTCCACCTCACGCACCCCGCCTGTGGTGTATCCTAGGAGATCTCGACCAAGACCCAACCTGCTGGGAAAGAGCATGGGAAATCTCCAAACACCGCTACGCCCGTGCTCAACGTACTTTGGGTGATTACTACACACGCAAAAACGATCTCACTGCAGCTCGCGAGGCATATCTTGCTTCTGTAGTCGTAAATCGTCAAAACAACGACACCTGGTCTCGTCTCGGTGATATCGATCTCAAGACTGGTAATTGGGACGGCGCCATTATTGCATTTCAACAAAGTATCATGATCGACGATACCGATGCCAAAACATACAGTAACCTTGGATCGGCCCTCTTATCCAAACACGACGAACTTATCTCCTTACAAAAAATTGCAAAGAAGGAGGAAGCATCTACCGATATCCCGGATGGCGAGGAAATCGATTTCACATCCTCAGATAAGAGTGATAAATCTAATGATCCCAAGGAAATCCTCAGACAAGCATTAATGGCTTATAAACGCGGCGCGGCAACTGCACATGATAATTGGAAAATCTGGGATAACGTCATCACAATCGCCACGAGAATGGCTCCCCCCGCCTTCCCAGAAATCCTCATGGGTCTCCGAAATATTCTACGTATTCGTGCGCCGAACGTGGGTGAATATGCAATCGACATTGATATCCTCGGATCTCTCGTCACTGAAACCGTCAGCAGGGACAAAACCGACGAAGTAGGCCAGCCCGATGATTCCGGAATCTGGATCCCAAAACGCGGAACCCTAGCTCGTGCCGTGATTGAAATGATGGAGCGGGATATCGTCCCCCTCATCACGAAAAGAGTAGAACTCTATGAACTGGTAGAGAAATTGAAGTTGTGGCAAAGGGATTACAAGGGTGCGTTGGAGGCGGCGGAAAAAGGGTGGAGAGGGACTATGAATGGGGAGGGATGGTTGGAGGAGGAAGAGGCGTGGGTGAGTGTTGTGGGAGCGACGGAGAGGTTAGTGGGTGCGTATGAGAATTTTGGGGAGGAGGGTCGTTGGAAGGGGAAGGCGAGGAGTGCAGTTAGGGGGGTTATGGGGAAGGGGAGGGATGTTTGGGAGGGGACGAACGGATGGGTGGTTTTGGAGGGGTTGTTGGAGGAGTTGAGTGGTTAGGGCTAATACTAGGCTTTAAAAGTTGGGGGTTTTTGGTATTTGGTGGGATATGGATGGTAAAGATTTGCTTGCAAGAGCTGTTATGTAAGGAATGGATATATGATATGAGATACATGACACATGGCATAAGAAAAAAGAGATATGATGAAATAGGCATCTCGGAATGAGTGAATCGTTAGTACAGTGATGTCTCAAACAATATCCCAATGCTAGGAGTTTTTTCTTACCACTTACTACAATATGACGTTTAGGAATTTCTGATAGAAGGTGATTTGGAGAACGAATTTCTTGTAATTTCGTCCGTCATCTATTTATCCATCCGCTCATTGAATCATCTACCAATCTGAACCAACAGCATGTTCCTCCACCCCCTCCCTTCTATTTCCCTTCCCAGGTCCTTTACCCCCACCAAAAGCTCCTCCATCTAATATAATATCCTCATTATCATCCATATCATGCTGTACTCTCCTCCACGTTTTCTTTTTCCTAGTATATGCATCCCCCTCCACCTCCACCTCCGTCTCCGTTTCCTTCCCCTTCCCCTTCCCTGCACTCCAAACAGGTTTAATAAGACCCCCTAGCAATGGGTTACGACTAAACGTTCCACCACCCCCATTATGTCCCGATCCCGAAACTAGTTCCATTTCCACAACATCTTCATCATCATTATCTTCGCCATCACTCTCAAACTTCGGCGTCTCAATCTTCGCCATTCGTTTCACCACTTTCCCATTCACTAAATCTACACTAACAACCTGTCTCCTCTTTTCATATTCCGGTCTGGCGTTCCATTCCTGTTCAGCTAGAACTCGCTGCTGTCTCTTCAATTCCCTTGCTCTCTCAGCTGGACTAGACCACATACCACCCATTCCACTTCCTCCCCCCACCGCCATACTAGTTGCTAAACTTGTATCGAAATCCGCAGCTTCGTCTCTAACCGTCGTTCTCTTCGCATTCTGTGCCTGGAATCCTAGTAACCTATCGCGATGTTCTTTAGCTTTTTGTTCCGCAGGTGTCATATCTAGAGTTTTTGGCGCAGAGAAAGGCGCAGGTGTTCGAGATACTTCAGCTCGTCGATGAGAAGAGGCGTCTAATCTTTGTTTCTCAACCCCGCGCTCTTCTTTGAGTGTGCGGATCATGGATTGGATTTCGTCTTTGCCCAGAATAGCAGATCCGCAGAATGTACATGGACCAAGACCTTCTTTTACACAGATTACTTTTCCACAGTTGAGACAATTGGGCGCGGCGGCTAGCAATGGATGACGGGTTGCTATGCAGTTACATTTTCTTTTTGAGGGGTCGGCAGAGAGGGAAGCATTTGTGGATATTTCGAGTGTGCGGATCGCGGCGTCGAGATCATTAAGGACGGTTGAGGCGCCGTGCATGGCATTTCCGCCTGTAATGTTGACTTTTGTTTTTGGAGCTGGAGAAGCATTGCGAGAAGGATTTTGAGATGCGGCGCGAGAGGAAGAGGTAGATTTGGATTTCTTTCCAAAATCTGATATTAGGCTGCCAGCTGCAGAAGGAGGAGGACGAGGGGTGGGTGCCTGGATCGCGGAGGGAGTGCTGTCGAGTGCGAAAGAATTGATTGCTGCTGCAGACTTTGAGGAAGATACAGGAGTGGATTTTCGAGATACATAATCGTCTTCGTCTTTCTTTTTATATACCGTTCCTTGCCCCGCATATGTATCTTGTATTTGGCGTGGTGCTGGAGTATGAATAGGTGCCTTCTTTTTTTTTGGTGCTCGAGTTGATTTCGGTACTCCGGTGGTTGTCGATGCTTGGGCGGAAGATTGTGCTGATGCTTGTGAGTATGTCTGAGTCTGCGGATTTGATTTGATGGTAGGATCTTGTCGTCTAGAGTTGAATGAAGATATAAATTCGATACTGCCGGGTGATTCTCCTAGTAGATTGTTGAAGTGTTCTGCGGCGGCGGGTTTGGAAAGTGTATTTGCATAATCCAGTACTTGCTTTAAGTCTTCCTGTGGTAGAGGTAGTAGGTTTTGTAATTGTGTGAGAGACATGGTTACTTTGTTTGTGTGATGTTAGGAAGATGAAGTTGGAGTATGCCGAATAAAGGGAAGTGATTAGGATAAGGAAAATAAGTCATAAACCAAATTTGTTTTAGTGTTGTGAGATTTATAAATATCAATAGAAAAAATATATATTTTTGAATAATTGAATAACATTATCAAATTTAGTGATATATTATAATTCATAATTTAAATTTATTGTTTATTTTAATTGATCATATGTTAATTAGATTATTTAAACTTCAAATTTCTTTTTAAATAGTATATTTAAAATAATGAAAAATATTGTAATTGATAATTGATTTAATACAAATTAAACTTAGACTTCAAAGATTCTATAATTTTAATAATTTAGAGTTCATATAATATGAAAAATGTAAAAAAAGTGTTAGATCTTTGACTTTGATAAGGCCTAAGAATAGTGGCTATTGAATGATACTTAACTGATTTTAGATTCAAAATTATTTTCTTATTTCAATCGTTCATATCGAAAAGTGCCTTATTAGGGTTTACGAGTATTGGTGTACTATCATTTTGGTTTCATCAAAATAGCATATATGCTTCTAGATTATAAGACGAGTATCTAAGATCTTACGATGAGATTTGATAATGGGTTTTGGAGCGGTACTTTTATGGCTTTGTAGACTCAAAATAATTTTAGACTCTTCCAAGACTTGTGAGCCTCTTTGTTAAATGGGACCAAGTGATCTCACACGCAATATTATTTCGATAGCGATTGAAAAGTAGACTATTCAATGCATTTTTAGAAGTCTAAGCAATGTCTTGTGCAGCAGAATGCTAACCTAACATTTCAAGACTTCAATAATGACTCCCTGATTCAACACACTGCTCACAAGAACTTTACCGGACAATGCAAGTGCAACAAGTTAATAAGGTTAACGAGGAAAGATCAAACTGTGCTGCTTCAAGTAATATGGCTTTATACAATCAAGACCTACGAGTTTCTAGACTTAGAGAACTTTTTAGTAGGGTATATTCACATTTTCCATTTGAGAAATAGTTTCAAGAGCGATGTTCTATGAAGACAGGTTAAACTTGTATTAAAATTTTATACATTGAAAAGTTTAGCTAGAGCAACAACATAGTGAATCACTTTCATTACATCGCCCATTCGCAAAACTTAATCATCTCCATCTTCATTTTCACATACCACAACGAGCTATCCACAAGCCCTGATATAACCATCTTTTCCCATCTTATCCTCTCCTCAACTGAAATGTGGTAGAAAAGCTCCCCAATCCACAGTATCAAAAGCGCTTTTGGGCAAAGAGCGCAATTGTGTTATATCTAGCGTGAGTATCAACATCCGCGAGCTACAATAGAAGAATCCAACGAGATACATTGGTAGAGTTGCTTTGAGGGGAATAGAGAGTGAGGGATCTTTGGAGAGAGAATTGTTTCGGATATGCGCTGCTATCCGACTGAGGATGGAAGGCTGCGAGCAATGTCTGGGTGGATTTCGGGAGGAGTGATTAGATGGTATTACTTCTTCGGATTTCTCCAAATCTGTGTTTGTATGCTTATAGGACGACTGCGATGATATCGATTCTTCTGAAAGAATGTCCTTTGCGCCTGTTTTGTTCTCGGGCAATGCTTGCGATGATATCTCAACTCTTTGAGATTCTGTACTTAACACAGGCACGGAACGAAAATATCGTTCAAGAGCAGGATAGACCTCATACGCAAACGCCGTAATGCTAAAGAATAGCGGAACAGTCGCGACCATAGACAAACTAGCAATCCTCCAAATAATCTTCTCTGCGTCCGTAGGGAAACGATTATTCCACGCCGCAAGAAAAATAGCAGTGTAAGCTAAACTCATAGTATAGAAAGCTGCCTGCCCTCCCCGTTTCAACTCTTTCCAATCCGTGTTTTCGAGTCTGTCAAACGGGAGTGTTTTCGGTGCAAACACTATGCGCATATTTCGAAGGATATTGATCCAATGTTTCCAATATCGAGACCAATACCATTCATGACGACTGATGAAGTCTAGAGGAGTTTGTTGATATGGACCCGGTAATGCATATTTTGCATTTTTCAAAATATCTACCATTGTCGTCTTGGTAGTGAGGGTGATGGGTGCAGCAACATCTGCTCCTTTATTCCACCAACAAAATGTTGTTCCAAGACTACAGACGATGAACGCCGCAGTTGTGAGTTCCATTCCCGTTATTTCGAGACCTTGTGCGGCGCGCGCAATCATTGTAGCGCTGAACCATATGATTTGACCAACGGAAATCAGACGAAGGAAATCATCCACTTTATTCTTGTCCCGAATATCCTGGATTCGGATCTGGGGATACTCGACATAGCGATTCGTGATCAGATACAAAAGCTGTTTGGCATCGATAGGGATAACTTTAAAATCAGGAGTCTGCAGTAGAAATCCGCCAGAATCGGCATAGAAAGCATGTCTCATCGTCCAATCCGCATAATCAGCGTTGCGAAAATCTCGAACAGATCTTCGAGCCGAGAGCATTTGGCCAAGTGCAATTTGGAATGTAAACTCTGGTCCCACGCCACAAAGTGCTGTGAGCCAGAGTCGTCGCCAGAGTATTGTTAGGCGCGAATCATGGGGTCCAGGGACTTGGAGACAGAGAACGGACCAGGAACAGAGCGATATGGTAACTAGACAGCTCCAGAGGATATCGATGGATCCTCGACCCGAAGGTGATGCCGTCCAGCCTTGTGTGAGAAATACTGAAGAGTCGTTGGAAATAGATTGGGGAGCGTGTGGAAATCCAGTAATGTTGGAGGTGGGAATAGCGAGACAGCTTTGGATGCTAAATGCTATGATTATTAGACAGAGATTTGTGAAAATCATCGTATACGAGTTAGGTCATGTTGAATGAGTACTTCATATTGCATCCACCCAGTGGGTCTTAGGATATATAGATATCTACAACGTAGGTCCTCATCATACATTCTCATGATAAGGAGGGGGTTTGTCAATTGAACCATAGTATGAAACGAGAGCCACACCATCTCATCAAAAAGAGCAGTCAAAATGCTATTTTTGCTAGGGAAACAGTTGGCTCTAGGAATATTCTACATTTACTTACATTTCACTGGTGAAGATATATCTTCTGTAAGAAGCGATGTTACCTTATGTTACAAGACGGCTGGAAGAGAGCTGCGTCTATACATGCACTCATATGAGTGGTGAGATATTACGAGCCCAAGGCAGGGGGTGTAATTGATTTGCTCTGGAAGCCCTGAACTTCTGTTGTGTTGTCATGAAACCGTGACAAGGGCATTGCGGCGGATCAAAATTCCATTAAGGGGTTCGTCGCAGGACTACTTTACTTTGAAAGTGTTGTTACTATCTAGTTTTGGTATTGTTTTCATCTAAACTTATCAATTTTAATATTATTTTATCTGCTCCTTTTATACTAATACGAAAAAATCAATGTGACTAGATACTGTAACATCAATATTGCTCAAAGATCTTCATCATTCGCATACTAATTCTTTATTAGATTAATCTTACATCATCAAATAATATTATATCCTGCGAAGAGATGTTGAAATTGTGTACTAGATATTTTATATACAATTTTAGTTCATGAATTGTGAATTTTACCTCTGTTATTTCAATAATTAGATACTATTCGATCAAGTGTAACACTCGGTTGTAACATCTAATAGTAACCTTAATCGTTTTTGGGGGCTAATAGCCCTTTAATACCGCGTAGATTCGGGCTCTTCAGGGGTATATTATACTATCACAAGAAACCCTTTTAAGATCTGTATATTACACTTAGTAGATTATTAGAGGTAGAAAAAAATGCCAATAAGTTCACGATCATAAACAATTGTCGTGAAATCCACAATCATACTATTCATTTTTAATTAGAAATCGCATGGAATGGGGTATCCGAAATCGAAGAACTCGCTCGCTCTCAAATAGGTATACTAAAGAATAATCAACCAATTTCCAATCCTTAAAAACATCACATATTGACCGTCATCTCCATCTGTTTACTCCCATCCAGAGGCTTTCTCGCCGAGACCGCAATATATCTCGATGTGTTCCTGTAAACATATCCCTTATACCCAGCCACCGTGTTGATAAAGTACGACTGAAGGCCTAGGAAGCTGATGACAAAGTACGGAATAAAAGCCAGGAGATAAAACATCCTGAGCATGGGGAGAACATTATCCGAAAGATCTTTCACCACCACATCTTCAAATCCAACTTCTTCTAGTATTTTCTCCAGTACGCCTTGATTGAATCGCTCGTGTGCTGGCATCGCTGCATGCGTGTTGATACTGGTGAATGAAGCTCCGATATCTTTTGTTTGCGTGGTGAAATCGACGTGATCGTATTCGTACCTAGTGTTCATAATTAGCCCTTAACCAATTATCATTGAATGGATGTTTTGTCGGGTAGTAAAACATACATCGCAAGTTTCCCACCCGGTCTCAAAATCCTCAAGAATTCTTTCGCGGCAACCTCTGGCTCAACAGCATGAACAAATGTTTCCATGGTATACACCCCGTCAAACTCCCCATCCTTAAAGGCATCCAAATGATGATAATCCTCTTTACTAATGGTAATCTGCCCCTCCAACCCATCTGCCTTAACATTCCTTCGCGCCTTCATGAGATGATGATCCACGACATCAATTGCATGAATGTTAAACCCCGCCGTCTTAGCCAAATGCATAGCGACATGTCCCACACCACATCCAGCATCTAGTACTTTGGATCCCGATCCCAAACCTAGATTCGCGATAAGATGATCCTCCATGGCGTGCAGAGCCTTGCGGATAGGAAAGGGCCATGTTGTGCCAGCGGGATAGAAACCGAAATGACGGGTTCCTCCTAATACCAATCGGTATCCAATGCGCGATTCGAGGGAGGCATAATAGTTTTGAAGGGGTTTATTCTCAAGGAGAGGTGTTTTGTCGTGTTCATTTGAGGAATTGGAAGTCATGATGAAAGTTAAAGTTTGAAGGCGGCCAATGCTAAGTGGAACAAAACTGGGATGGCACTGGTAGTACTGTGGATTTGGGGGGTGGAGTTTAAATAGGTGCAGATGTTTGTTTAGCTAGTGGGGCGAACTGTGTATCAAAGCGGGATTATGTAACATTACTTGCGGAACATCGTAAAATTTACATTTTACATTCTAATTTCAAATTTTGTTTGATATAAAAAAAATATCAGAATTTTTGATATATTTATACAAGAATATAAAGTTTCACAAAATAGATTCAATATAAATAAATTTCCGGCATAAAAATATTTCATACAATAAGATTCTATTATAGTAAAAACTTATAATTTACTCACCCGAGTAGTTGTAAATAACATTAGTATGTGCCCTAACTATCGCTCTTTTATTAGGTCTATCTACCTCTGGTTTCTGTGAATCGGGTCACCTTTCGATTATGATAGTTAGATCAGATCATTACAGCAAAAGAAAAGAGTTTGTAAATGAATTCACGGTAAGAAAACAGACTGAGTACGTGGCATCATCTCAAAATCTTCCCGACTCTTTCATTAACAATACTGCTCCCATCCATTTCCAACATTACACCACCGTTCAACTCCGATATACCCCTCTGTTCATCCATTTCCGGTCGAAGCCCAGCATTCAATTCTGTGATCCGACGCTGCTCCTCCATTTCATGCATACCCGTTGTGTTTGCAGGAAGGACTGAAGTAGAATCGCTTGTTAACTTAGCGATATTAATTTCTTGCCTTTTTTGTCGCCGCCGCCAAAATAAGTATCCAAGAATAGCTAAAATTGCAGCTGCGACGCCGCCTGCTATGCCTCCTGCTATAGCACCCACTTTCGACTTTTGTGATGAAGCAGGCGCGTTTGAGGTTCCTCCCGAGGTGGATGTAGAAGTGTTCGCTGAGGAAGGACCTGAAGTTGAATTATTGAGAGTTACAGATGAGTCGTTTTGCGTGAATTTGATAACTGCTTCCAGACTCGCATTATCGAAAGTTGGGAATTGACTGGATGTATTATAGTAGTTTGTGACAAGAGCTGGACGAGCATAGGCGGCAGCATTGGCATCGTAATTAAACCCCCAAGTCAACTCTGACATGTCAAATATTCCCATTCCACTTTTCCATGGGTCTTGATCATCATAATCATTACCATGACCTCCTATACTTAACATTTGTCGCTTGCCGATGATTTGACAACGATGACTGCTTCGTACTGTGCCACCTATTGCGGGAGCTTCAAACCATCGGAATGCAGGAAGTGTCAGGATATACACTTTATCAAGACCATAACTATTGATATCTCCCAAATGAAATCCTCCATATATAAATCTGTTAATGTTAGAATGCAATTTCAAACTTCGAAAGTCCTACATACATCTCCCAGGTAGAATTATCAGAAGAACCCGCTCCAACGGCGCAAAAGTTCGCCCTTGGAAAGGGAATGCTATCACCTCCTGCGCTCTGCAGATAGAATTTTCGAGACTGAATATCGTAAATGGTAATCTGATTCATTGGAACCGGGTTACTACCTTTTGATAAAATTGCTTGAGTGAAAGGCGCATCTCCACCTAAAAAGACAAGAATGCCCTCTTGCCCAAAAATGGGCACATATAAGCCTTCTCCTCCCGATCCAAACCCTGAATGTCCGCCAAATACTGTTCCGCCGTAGTCGGTACTACTTGAATTGGTCCATAGTCCCTTTTCGAAATTATACTCCACCATTCCAGTCATTGGTACTGAATTGTTTCCCAGACCTACAAGTCCAGGATCGGTCGATCCAACCATGTTACCACCTAGACTGTAATATGAAGTCGGAGTAGCCACCCAAAGCGCGTACGACGCCGAGGTGAATCCTGAAAACGAAGCTACACTAGAGCTTTGATGGATGCCACCCGTGTATTTTACTGTCCAATTGACATTCCCTTCATCACTGACAGGAGATGAGTATACTGCCACCGGAGGACTGTAATATGACCAACCGCCAAATCTGAATATTGATTTTTCGACTGGATCATACCACATAGTTGGTTTTCTTGTCATCATGTCCGCTGCTTCTGGTCCGACTCGACTAATGTTGGGATGGGCAAATATTAGAGCGGCATAATCACTCGTGTTCCATGACGAGGACAAGTTAATTGAAAAGCTGCATAATACTACAGAGGAAAGAAGTTAGCCAAATTGACAGAAATATGTATCACCGTGGGACATACGGGGTGAATTATCTTGGGGGAAAGATTTTCCCCATATCTCGCCGCCATCGATATAAAGCCAGTTTCCAACCACGACGGCTAGAGTGTCTTAGTATACAACTAATACAATGCAATACACTTCAGTAGCTTACATGCCTGACCCCACCACTCAATCAAGTCTGATGGAAGCCAAGTTGGATTCCAATCAGAAGAGGTCATAACGACAATGGCATTAGGACATTGCTGTCAGTTGGCGATAGGAAAAGACAAACCAAAATAATAAATGGATGAAATAGGAAAGAAAATAAATTTTGAAGCAGGAAAGGAGATTTATCGTATTCATTTAGATCTCGAACTGACAGATACCTTCAAACAAGGGTGAGCACCAAATTCATGCAATCCTGGCGGTAACGATTGGTGATCGCACACAGTGCAATGTCTCCAATCAAACCGCATCAAGAATGGGGTTCGTCCAAAATTAACGACCCTGCCATTTATCTGCAGGCAACTTTGCGCACGCTTCACGGCGATGGTTGGGGGATATAAGTGTAACATGTAAGCTGACAGATGATTTAAGATACGAGCCCTAGTTGAGGCACCATGAATCTAAATGTATCATGTCAATGGCCCCCGTGCTTCATTTCACTTATTTTCCACTCAGCTTACTAGCAATTTAAAAGTTGAATGTTCCTAAATCAGGAGTAGTGATAAGGGCTAAGACTGCTTCAGCCCTTCAGTTGTTGTTGTCGCTCTATGTCAAAATGTGGAAAGATAAAATTTAGGAAAAATGATAATAAAAGACGGATTGTTTCTTGTCGTCATTATGGGACTCTGACTCCCCAGCATGTCTGCTTCTATCCATGAGCTTATAGAAGACCACTCAAGTAGGAACGGATTGGGTCGAAAAATTGGGTTGTTTGGCCAAAGATCTGATGTGACATGAATTGATATGAACTTATTCTTAAATATCCCCTGAGTACCTTCAATCAGGTCTCCTTCAGCTGATGCTAATTGTCAAAACGATTTATGTTTCGATTTGTGTCATTTGCTTCGCCTCCCTCATAATGTATGGGTGGTTGTAGGATTCAGGGCAGGTGCTGGATTCTGGGGGCGAACGTCACGTGGGCAATTGTATTGCACGTGACCTTTTGATCTACCAGATTTGGTAGCTACTTACTTATACCTACTAGATATACTACTGAGCCATCATGCCGATGAACTTTGAAGTCAAGGAGCTGGTTATGGCGTTAAATTAGATAGTACTGACCTCACGCCATTGGTATGCAAACGAAGCAAAGCCCTTCTCACCCTTTGACACAACGGATATGAATATATATACATAAGGTTAAGGCTGATATCAATAGGTCGGTAGTTGAAGGAAGTCGGACTTCAATTGCAAAAGAAACACTTTGATATCTCTTAGCCAAACCTGATGCGCTGAGTTCAGTTGAGGGAACTTTACCCCATCAATTGACATGGTGTTCTCCAATGCTGATATCTGAAAGTGCCAGCTTATATGGAGTCGTTTTTGTGAGAGGTGTAGGAGTCATAACTACTAGGTATATCTTCGCATAGCATCGGCAAGATATATGGATGTGATATTGATGTGAAGTTATTGGTATTAACTTCATGAAGAAAGAATCTGGGAGACTTACGATTGGCTTCTTTAGGCTTAATTGCCTTATCGTGATAGGTGTATTGTATTGTACTGGTGGGGATGGTGGACTCATCAACACCAGCACGCCTTTTACTTGACTAGCGACCTTTCACTTCACATCTCCATTGCATCAACCACAAATGGATGGTACCGGCTAGATTTCATCATTTTAGATAGAGAATACTTGGACTTGGCGAGGGAGTCATTGATTTCCTCGTTTTATAATCATGAGTACTGTGATAGTACTGACCATTTCACTATCGCAAGGACTTCTCCACTAAAGTTATCGATGACTCCCCAAGCCATTTTCCCGGCGTTTCTCCACTGACTAGTATAATAGACTTCGTTCTTCCATTTATTGTTTTCACTGTTCATACCTAATATCATCTCCAAATAGTTCAATTCTTATCTCCACAGCTTGTCAATATGGGAGAACTAGATACCAAGCTCGGCGAAGCTTCTCTCAATGACTCAATAACATACCAAGCCACTCCTTTTGGCAAAGAGATGGCCAAGCATTTTTATTTTGAACCAGAATGGAGAAATTTAAATCACGGTATCTCCTCACTATTATCCCAACTTCAATTTCCCAGCTCACAATGTCCAGGTTCTTTTGGTACTGTTCCTCGTGCCATTCGTGAGAAGCAAAGAAAATATCAGGATGATTCTGAAGCTCGTCCAGATGACTTTATTCGATATACATATCCTCGACTACTCGACGAGTCACGAGAAGCTTTAGGAAAACTTCTCAATGTTCCTACTGATACTGTTGTCTTTGTTCCAAATGCTACAACCGGTGTTAATACTGTTTTGAGAAATTTGGTCTGGAATGAGGATGGGAAGGATGAGATTCTTTATTTTTCTACCATATATGGTGCTTGTGGTCTGACGGTATGAACCTGCCAAAATTTCGATACGTCTTCATAAACGTCATTACCTCATCGTTCCTAACACAGATTTTATGCTAATATAACTCCCAGATCAAATATGTTTCAGAAGCCAATCGTGGTCTTGTCCAGCCAAGAGAGATAACCTTTCAATATCCCATTGAAGACGATGAACTTGTTGGACTATTCGAAAAAGCCATTGAAACTTCAAGAGTAGAGGGCAAACGTCCTCGAGCTGCTGTATTTGACATCGTAGGATCACTTCCTGGAATAAGAGTTCCTTACGAAAAATACATCACCATCTGCAAGAAAGAAAACATGTACTCTATCGTAGATGGAGCCCATGGAATCGGACAGGTGCCTCTCGACTTATCAAGTCTCGATCCCGACTTCTTCGTCAGCAATTGTCACAAGTGGCTCTTTGTCCCAAGAGGTAGTGCAGTATTTTATGTGCCAGAACGAAATCAGGATTTGATGAGAACAACTTTGCCTACTTCACATGGTTTCGTCCCCAGCGGGCCTAGACCATTTAATCCATTACCACCAAGCACGAAGAGCGTATTTGTTAACCAATTCGAATTTGTTGGTACGATCGATAATACCAATTATCTCTGTACCGCCGAAGCAATCAAATGGCGCAAAGAAGTCTGTGGTGGTGAGAAAGCCATAATGGATTATTGCAGCACTTTATCACGGGAAGGTGGTAAAGCTATTGCCAAGATTCTGGGTACTCAAGTCATGGATAACAGTACACATACTTTAACAGATTGTTGTCTTGTTAATGTGTTGCTACCATTGGAAATTGGAACCACTGAAATCGATGGATTTTTCAAGGTCAATGAAGATACGAAAATGGAAGCTTATCAATGGATGCTGAAGACATTGATGAAAGACTATAAAACATATATCTCCATCGCATACTTGAACAATAAATGGTGGGCACGACTCAGGTATGTGACATGCACTTTCTATATGATTCATAATTCTTTTTCATTTCACATCTTATATCTATCCGATTTTAAACTAACCATCCACTTTCCTCCTTGCAGTGGCCAAGTGTATCTCGAAATGAGCGATTTTGAGTGGGCAGGCCACACACTCAAGGAACTGTGCGCAAGAGTTGGGAGAGGAGAATATTTGAAGGGAGAAAAGTAAACGGAATATATCCAAATTTCGAAAGGTTTGAAAAACAAAGGAGGTTGGAGGATGAAACACTCTTAAGGTTGAGGGTATTTTTTTTTTGGTGCGTGCTCGGACTATCTGAAAATGGACCCTGGATGCATCGATTCGTGCCGCAAATAAATTATTCGCGAATGATTTTGGTTTTCTGGATTGATGAGTAGGAACTCGTGGAGGCGATCACAATATTCTTGGATTAATTCTAAGATCTTACAACAATCCATCAGCTAACTTTGTTACACCCCTCACACCCACTCTTCTTTCTTTATGATCAGAACCCACTCTTCCATGTCCTACTTTTGGTCCAACCCCAGACCGCGCATCTCCTCTATCTATCATCAACATTCATATCAATCAGGTGCACCAAAATAACATTACAATGACATTACCAAGTATTGGACGCTCAGGACATTCGCTTCGCACGAGCTTCCACATACTCCGCCCGCTTTGCACTTTGCAATTTGCACCAGCATTTTCAGGTGTATTTTTGTAGCTTTGACTTTCTTTTTAAATGTGGATCTGCACAGAACAACCGTTCGCGCAGCTAATCAGCCCTCGGTACATATCATCATTATTTTCGACATCGCATATTGTTGCATTTCTTGTTAGTGGCGAGGAAATATGCTCCCGAAATTGAAATTGGGATTGAGATGCTCGGACGGCGTTGAGGAAATTTTTTGTCTTTCAAAGTAACATATATGCAGAGAGTTCCTGTTCGTGGATCCTTCTCGAGTTGCGAATTTCCCTTATTATTTTTCCTGCTTTTGTTTAGACTTTTACTCCCTTTACGCGCAGTGAGCCAGTTCTCGCGTCTTGATTTCTGGTAAATCATTTGTATTGATCTGCTTTTGGATTACATCTTATTATATTGATTCATATATCTTCATTTGCATCGCTCTTTAGCAAATGCAAGACTCTCGTTTTACTTCCTTTGCGACCTGTACTGTCGTAGTGGGAAATTGACTTAATTAACATCTTTTGCTTCATCCGGTTCCTCCATCTCTCCACTCGCGAAAACTGTTTCATCTGTTGGAAACGTTGAAACAAAATACCGTCTTGTCATCCACCCATCTTTGAAACTCGAAACGCCAAAAGTGCTTTGACATTTTTTTCTTCTGTTGGTCTGGATTCAGGGTTCTACATCTATCTATATTACCTTTCCATTAAACTCATCCTTTTCCTACCACACAACTCAACCTCACGGAATACACACTAGTAATCCAACAAGATGCGAAACCACTATTCTCACATGTCTCCCTCTCCAAAAGAACAACAAGAATGGCCCCTAAAATCCACCTTTCGTCGTCTAAAGCGATCGCTTCTCAGACGTCCATCCACTCATTCACAAAAGGCACCTCAGAAAGCAGCTCGGCGTCTTCCCGAGCCACCTCTCTTAGTCGAGAACTCCGAATTGGATTTAGTAGATATTCTGTCCTCGACTGTTAATACCACGCCTGCAAATCTTAACGCTGGCCCCGTTTATCAACATCAACGACAAAATACCCTTGAAGATCCTAGGAGGTTTAATGTCCTCGATACAGAAGCCCAGAGTAGGGTTAATCAGAAAAGAGAGAGAACTATGTTTGGAGGTTTAAAGAGAAGGATTTCGGAAAACTCTCCTCGTCCTACTCCAAATTCCCCTCCTGCAACAAGGGAAACTCCAACTTCATTCGGTATTATTCAAGAACGCACATCAATGGAATTAGTTCTTCACCATTTTCCCGCCGAATTGTATAATTTCCCAAGACCCCCAACTCCGAAAACCCCATCTAGATCTCGGGAAATTTCTCCCGTCCGTGCAGCAAAATCTCTTAGAAGCAAAATATCGCGCACGTTTTCGAGAAACGGGAAAGGGAAGGGAAAAGGAGGAGAACATGATTTTGACATGGAAGCTTATCCACTTGATATAAAATTGTTGAAACCTGATCCGGCAGCGCTTCATCCAGCTTTGGACAAATCTACCGCCTCTGCATCTTCACGATCCGACTCTCCAAATCTCTCCCAAAGACGGTTTTCTCAAAGAGACTTCCTTCGACCTAATACTTCGGCATCAACATCTACCTCAATGTCTATTTCGGCAGCTTCAAATCGTGGTACTCCACTATTAACTGTCAACCATCCAAGTGCGATTAAGAAAGCATTTTCCAGCTCAAGCCTGCGAAGTGAATTACAAATCGTTACCGATGTCCCAGTCATTGAAGCACAGGAGATCAAATCACCACCACCTACTTATAGTGCTTCTATGGATTTTGTCACGAAGGGAAGTGAAAAACCTGCAGTGGATTTGTCGAACCATCCCGCGCTTTCTGGTGTTGGTGCTAGTGCCTCGAGTTCGAGCGAATCACAAAATCAATCAACACCTACATCTGAAGAATCAGCACCGGTAGCTACAGTTTCTACACAACGCACACGCGCACTGAGCAATGCCCCCCGTCCGTCTATGGCGCAAACCGTTCGTTCCTCCTTCGATAATTATGGCAGCACCACCATAACAACACAAACTACACACGATACCGTCGCCCCGCTCTTAATCCGCAAAACGGCTCGAGGTTCCTCGCCAAAACGTTTCGCATCACTGAAACGTTCTCTTTCAGACTTAACATCACGACCTCCTCCCTCTCGATGCCAATCCCAAGACACGGGACTTGCAAACCTAAACTCAAACACCTCTCCAAAAGCCAAACGTACAAGTACGAGTTCCACGTCTTCAAAATCGTATTATACATTAGGAAGCGCGGAAGCTGCTGTACCAGGTGTATCGAGAAATTTAACCGTATTAAACGCAAAGAGGAACTCGACCATTTCATCACAGAGAAGTTCTTTCGTTTCGACAAAATCACATTTTTCCGCAAATGCAAATATATACCCTAGAAGTTCCACCTCGACAATAAGAAGTGTACCCCAGGAAGTAGAATTTCTACCCATCAAATCTGCTCCTACTCCTACTCCTATCTCTGCCCCTACATTCGGTTCTCTGAGGAATTTCTCCAGACCAGGCACCGCTCGATCTCAAACTCAACATCTATCCCCAGCTGAGAAGAAAAATCCCCCGGTACCCCGACGCGCAAAAACGGATTTCTTGAATAGTTTTGAGGTCCCTAATTTAATGATGGATTGTGGCGGTTATGATGTTCATGAATTTAGTTATGCGGAATATACGTATGTGGAATCGGAGTCGGAGTCGGGATTCGCAGCGTATTCTACGGGGCAAATGATTAGGGAGGTTGCGGCTGGTGGTGCGGGGAATGGGGAGGGTGGAGATGGGAATGGGAATGGAGAGTTTGAGAAGTTTATTTTGGGTGCGAGGGAGGGGAGAGAGGGGAGGGCGGAGAAAGGGAGGATTTTGGGGAGGAATGGGGTTGTGGAGATGAATTTGGATATGGATGTGAAGATGGATATGAATGTTGATAGGGATGTTCACATGACAGAAAAGAAAAATAGAGGTGTATGGAAGAGTTTGAGAAGGAAGGAGAGGAGTGCAAGTGTTAGAGCATGAGAGGCTAAAAGGTTAAAAGTTTAATCGATGCACTTGGAGGATTTATTAATTCGTGGTTGAGGAGTACGAAAAGGGAAATTAGTGGTTAATGGTAATACTTGCTTGGTTATGATGATTTTATTATATGTTTATGTTTATGTTTATGTTTATGTTAGCTTAGCTTAGCTTAGCGTAGATTGATATCCTAATTATTTCTTTAATAATACTTAAATCTTTCATTTTTTAACAGATTTGATATAAGATCTTGTCGTTTTGTCTTTTGATGGATATAATTTGTGATGATTCTTGCATCAAATAATTTTGTATCTTACAGTAGTGAAAATATGATAGTGAAAATGATATTCTTAAATCTTAGATCATAGATGTATAGGTTACAAGTTGCAAACTAGTGGAATATAAAAGAATATGAAAGGGAATACTTCTTTCCTCTATCTACCTAGATAGGTAGGTAGGTAGGTATGCTTTGATATAAATTTATTCTTCAGGTTTTGGTGAATATCCTTATTGGAAATTCACTCATCGCTAAACTCATCGCTGCACTTTCTATTTATAGGTACTTATCTACTAATATACTGTAATTAGATTGTCCTTTCAGATTCACTCATTCTAGTTCCAGTCCTTTCCTGATATATTTCTTTCATATTCATATTTGTGGGAGTTTTTGAGATTTTTTACATGTATGGGGTTCTCAGGGAAAGAACGTCAAAAAGGCCACAAAGAGCTAGGCTAGCTTTATACTACCCTTTTCAGCTAGATATAAAAGCTATAGCCTACTCCTCCTTCCTCTTTCCTACAACCTTATTAATCATTGTCCTTCTTCGATATCTCTTTTCCCGCCCCCCAATTCCCTTCATTACATAAGGGCACCCCTTTTTGCTCCATTTTGCAAATGAAAGCGTGTGCAACCTTACAGATTACTCTTTATTTCAACAATATTACATGTAGGGATGAGCGCTTTACGTAAAGCAAGGTGTTACGAGGTTTGCCGTCTAGATCACGTGGAAGTGCTCTAGGCTTTCGAGGTGGTTTATAACTAGGCGTCAAGCAGGGACTTAAGTAATGACAATGATGCAATTCGTAACTAATAGTAGAGTATACTAAATCATTGATCTTGAGCACGAAGCTCTACAGTGAGGGAATCCCTCCTAGTTATATAGATCTTCGTACTCCCTATCCCATCGCTCCCACTTGATTTAAGTCGGTGGGATCGATGGGAATCATATAATAACAGACTCTGTGCTCTTCAGATCCCCACATGACCTTAATCCCGTACTATTTTGATCGAATCGAATCTCGTAGGCACACGATCGGTTACTGTAAGATCTGTGATCGTAACACTATAAATGAAGTTTTAAAATATATATATATTAGAATTAATTGAAACTTAGAAATAGATAATATACATCACACTTTTAGAGAAATGGTATACTAACAACTTAACCACTCAATTATATAAATAAGGAAACAATAGCAAATATTATTTCTCTTATAAGATTACTTCAGAGTTTCAAGTTAGTTTAATTTATCTCGAACCCAAGTGAGAAGTAGAAGACTCGAGTGAAAAGATGAAGGTAATTCATTAGAATCCGAGAACATGATTCAAAAAGTAAAAGTATCAACAACTGTGTCAAATGTTTGATGGCATGCTAGAATCTTCATATGCCGAGTTTTCAATAACAAGAAGCTTTCAATAGCAGGCTCTCCAATTCAAACTAGCCACGTATAATGACCTCCCCTAAAACAATATTGCATAAGACCACCTCCCCTTAAAAAAGCCACCCCAAATCATCACCCCACCTCAAGCTTCCCTCCTCCTTTCCCCCTGCACTTCATTCCCAGCCACCCATCCACCCCTCACCCTCCTCCAAATCTCCCTCCTAAACCCCCGCACCCAGTACCCCGTCCTCCCAAGCGCATCCCCATTCTCCCTAACCCTCCTCAACAAAAACTGCAAACATTCCTGCGTAGAACCCCACACTAGACACTTATACGCCTTCGGTTTCAACGCCATCTGCACATCCCGAGATACATTCGAATCGTGCCATTTCTCTTTTCGACGCAACTGTAATAAACTACAACTAATTTCATCAGCCATTCCTTGGAGTTGTCCGAATGCTAATTCTATAGTTTGTTTTCTTTGATGGATTCGAGAGCTTTGGATGGAATAGGCCCGTTTGATACTTTCTTCGTTGTGGGTTGCTAGGAATAGTTCTGCGCGTGGGTAGGCTGTTTTTTCATTGGTTGTGATACCTGGGTAGGATTTTTCTAATAGGTTAGAGGCGATACTGTTATATGCCGCATGTGTATCCTGGATGGTGTCATGAATCAAATCCCTTTTCTCTGTAGCAATATATGCACCTCTCACTAATTTAATGCCTAAAGTCCAGTTTTCTCCTTGAGCGAGCTGTAAATGGTGGAGAATATTGGCGGGTGTAGCTTTTAGGTATGCTTGCATGGTAGTGTATAGAAGTGCCTTAGGACCGGTATTATAAATACGCATGAGATCTATTGTCCATTTTTCAATACCATGTTGAAGATCTTGTTGTTCTGCATCGAGCCAGATACGGGCTTTTTGTGAACGAGCGGTATTGAGAAGGAGATGCATGGACTCCTGGACGAGAGGTGGTGGAGGAAGATTATTTGAAAGGGCATGGAGAGCAAGAGGACCAGCTCCGGAAAATCTGAGTTGGGTTTAGTGATAAATTCTCAGAATATGGTAGATTATAAAGTATTGCTGGCAAATAAACTTACTTGAGTGATAGAAAATCACCAGGTTGTAATAACGAAAGTGTACTCATAAGACCATCCCTCCATTCTCTAATAGCTTTCTCCCCCACTTCCTTGCTCACAGATATCCCATCCCCACGTTGAACTTCTCCCCCCGTAACATTAACTTCCTTTGCATATCCCAAAATAACACCACTGAAGCCCAACTTTTTCATGGCAGCCACACTCGCTCTCACTTGAGAGGCATTTTCCCCAGCAATAAAATGATCGTAAATTAATTTCCTCACTATCATATGCAAAACCGGATTTCTATCCGGATTTAGCAGTGTCGAATTAGAATTTGCGAGTGTGTTGAGTAGTGGAAGAAAGAATTTGATGATTTTGGGCGAAGCTAGAATTGAGGTTATGAAATATGATTTTAGAAGAAGAGGCATTGGCATTATTGATAATGGTGGAAGTTCAGAGTGTTCAGATGAGTTCGGAGAGTTCGGAGGGGTTGAATTGTGATTGTGAGGAAAGCCATTTTGATGAGAGATGGTTGTAGTTATCGCACAATACACCCTCCGAGAGTGTATATGATATCTCGGTGTCGAGGGAAATCTACAAGATCGTCTTAAGAACATTTCCAAAAGGTAGAAGCGTGTGTTTCAGACAAAATGGAAGTCTCAGAGATGGGGAACCTCGAGGTAATCATAACCTAGATGCTGTAAACCTATAATATCCCCCATTTTTCGTCACTTCTAAACCTTATTGTTCTACGATAACAGTTGGTTCGTATATATCATCGGGCGTATATAAGCATCACATTCCACCTCGGGATGCATGCTCGACCCCGCATATCAACCTCATAACATTACCTTATCGGGATGGTGGGTCCTTATCACGAACTCAAACGTGTGACATCCCGTGCATAAGTCCAAGATAGGAAACTGGCTTCGATCATGAAACGAAATCTAGCATATGGATCACGGAATGGTTGGTGGAGTGGCTTGAGCGATCTATCAAATAGTGTTGTGCTTAATATGCTGTGGACAAAATGACGCCGTCGCTATCCGCGATAATGAATGCCGAAGGGGGATATATAAATAACTTACCCTTGTAGCTTTTATGGTAGCACAAGAAGGATCTTGCTTATGATAGGAAGATCACAGGCAGCCTATATTCTTTCGTTGAAGAATTTATACTTGTCGACTAGACTCGGGACTGACTCCATAGTGTTGAACAAAATTGATTTGAGAACGATGAAGTAGAGCTATCATCAATCCGATGGCAGCCGAGATTGAATCCAATTATCTACTTTCTTTGGATTAGGAAATCAGTTAATACAAAAATGCTCAGAGGAAAAATATGTCGACATGGTGGAAACTTGATGGAGAATCTAGTCTATTGACATGATCTGTTCTAATCTATAGAAGCCTGAGCCTCATCTATCAGATTACATGTCTGTTTTCAAAGGCAAGCAAAGTATGAAATATGTAGCGGTGATTTCCCCTTCCAATGACAAAAGGCTCAATTTCTTAGCCAGCGGCAATCTTCACTCTAGCCCCCCAGGCGAGAAAGAACTTATTTCTTGCTCATGTTTAATCCATGTTGTACCGAATCGATGGTTGCATCACAATATGTGGATCTGACACCACCCTTCTCAATAGTTTTCAGACCTTGAATCGTAGTACCCTTGGGGGATGAAACCTTCTCTCTTAGAACAGCAGGATGTTCACCATTTTGTATCAGCTTTGCAGCTGCCAGCATTGAACCCGCTAGAATTTCCTTTGCAGTGTCGCGCTTCATTCCTTCCGACACAGCACCGTCGAGAATTCCATCAAATGCGGTAAGAAACCATGCTGGAGTGCAACCTGCGAGAACACCGGCAACTTGGAAAACATTGTCAGGGACATATGTGTATTGACCAATACTTTGGAAGATCCACTCCATGGCTTTTTCGTGTTTAGAGGAAATCGTCTCCGATCCAGTTGAGATTACAGTTGATGATTCCTTAATTTGTGCCCCAAGATTCGGCATACTCCTGACAAATGAACAACCTTTTGTGTCCGAGCTACCATTGAAAGCAAATTCTTTCAATTGTTCCGTTGTCGAGCCCGCCAAAACTGAGATGATAAGTTTATTTGCTAAAGCATCACCAACACCAGGAGCGCCGAGAACTTCCTCAGCCATATATGGCTTACATGCCAGTATGATAACATCAGCCAATTGGAAAGCTTTCAAGTTATCATCGTAAAATACGGCAATTCTATCACCAGCCTCGCAATCTTTGGATGCTTGATAGACTTTGGAGGCTGAAGCTTCTGATTTGGTACAAGCAATAATATGTGAAATTGGTGTATTATCTCTTGCGCCTGGCAAGGAGTTTGCGGCAAGAATTCCAGTGAGTATGGCAGAACCCATATTTCCTAAAAGCGTGAGTGAATATTCCTTTTTCATGTCTCAAGTTTCTGACTCACCACATCCTACCACAGCGGCGACCAAGTTGCTGCCCTTTGTTAAATCCCGGGTTTGAATCCATTTTTCTATGTTTCCCAATGCTGAATTAGCAGTTGGGTCACTGCTGATATTTGAGTTCCCGTTTTTTCCGGCCATGATGTCCATATTGATAGGAGGATTTGAGATTTGATGGTGTTGAGATCTGAATATCACTTTGAAAGAAGATTGATGTCCCACCAAAAACATTTGGAGGTGGGATTAGTCAGCATTGACGGCAGCTATAGTGGGGATATATATAGTTTCACTTGTACGACAATGACAAATTGACCCTCTTCACACTAACAATATAAAGTCATTTACTGCTCTCTCGTATCATCTTGCACATTTGGGTAAGTTTTTCATTGAAGCTAATACATACACTCCAATACCAACAATAAATTCCATCCCACTTATGAAACTTCAAGAGACGAATGAACAACCTCATACATTGAAAGTTGGCTTTATAACAGCTGTACTCCGTATCACCAGCGTCTTTGTTTTTCGCACTCATTCCATCCCATTTGAACTTCAAGGAAGGAATATCAATTAGAAGTTAGGCTCATAACAGCTTGCACCAATTCCGTCCTCAAAGTTATTATATCCACCATCACAAATAAATATTAATTATAGCTTATTAAACAAATCTATGCTCATCCAATATTGGTAAAGGGTGCGCGCTTCATGATATTGTATTCTATATTCATTTCACAAGAAACAATCTATCTTCAAGTCCGTAGTAGCTAGTTAAATAACCATCATTCTAGCCCAGCGACATCCCAGCCAAACAACTCCACCTAATCCTGCTCATTTCCTCATTTATCGATCATTACAAACTGCCTCAATACTCATTCTATCCCTAACAACAATCGTATCCCCAGAACTCGGATCCCCATTCACATCTCGTGCATACTGTTCCTCGTCCACAATTATCCGACTACTCCTTTTGCTTCTCGTCCCATATGAATGCTTCATTATTTGTCTGGGCTGCACAACAGGAGTATTTTGATCCGGGTCCAACGGCGAACTAGCCCTTTCAACCATCTTCCCTTTTCCCTTATCTTTCCTCCCCGATTCCGGAGAACCTGTTGGTGGTAAACTACTCAAGCTCATCCCTTTAATACTAATTTTAGAATGTTGCAGCCCTCTCAGATTTGGCAAGCCAACACCATCTGGCGCACCATCTACTCCAATATCCTCAAATGACCTTTTGTATCCAATGCTATTCCCTGGCACATTTTCGGCAAGTCTTTCAAAAGGTACTCTGGCTCGTAGGCTATCTAAGAGGCTTTCAGAAAGTGTATTATTGGTTATTCTGCGGACATTTTTGAAAAAAAGATCTTCCAGCCATGTACCACTTCTATGTGATTCTGTTGAAGGCGTCTTAGCGACAGGGGTATTTTCAGCGATAGTTTGCTGTTTTTTGGATCTGCTGGTCGTGGCAGCTGACGGTGCTTTAATGTGTGATGAGGCTGGAAGAGATTTGCGACCTTTCCTGATGGGTAATTTCGACACTCGAGACGTTTTGATTGGCTTCTGCTCTGTTATTTGTCCAGTAGACGCTCTAAAGGCTTTACGATCGAAAGGCACCCAGTACATTGGACGCTCTGACTCATTTCCTTCAGCATCCCTGAGCTTACGAAGATCATCGAGAATCTTAAATGTGAAATGAACTGCATTCGTTTTGTCGTCTCTCTTACACTGCGGTCGGTATGCTGGTATTTTATCGGACGTATTGCGCTGTTTGGATGGCGCAGGATCTTTGCTAGCAAGGTTCTGTGTCGCATTTGTATATGGCAGCCAGATATCACTTCTTCTTTTCTTCAGATCCAGCACCCAGGCATCACAATCCCATTCTACCCAGTAATCAATCACATCACCCCATTGGCTCTCAGGAGGTTTCGTTTGGTTGACAAAGATAACGCTTCCCCCTCTAGCATGCACAGCTTGTGCAAATTCTTTGACCATAACTTTGAGACCGTGAACTCGTAAACTGGTGCCAAGAATGAGAAGAACATCTGGACCCAATTTCAAATCGTGAATGATCAATGGTCCTACTAGATTTGCGTGTGGATGTTCTTCTCCGTAAAGAACAATATCAGGCCTCAGTCTGCCAACAGCCAAGCCTCTACGACCCTTATCTTGACGCGATATGGAGCTTGAAATACAAGAAGGGCAATCAGGAGCAGACCCAGCCATTGTAGTAGATTCTCTATCTTCCTCATCCCAGCTAGTGAGTTTTGAGCACACCCCACATCGCAACTTACGAAGTGAGCCATGTAGCAAAACACACTCTACTCCGGTTGCAACAGAGGCGTCTTTTCCTCCTCGTTCTTCTCCTCCAGCTGGAAGTGATTTTCCTTGGACTTTGGATTGAAAACGCGTACGATCACCCGCGCCAAGTTCGAGATCCGTAGTAAGGCCTTCGCGTTCTTCGAGGCAGTCGATATTCTGTGTGTAATTCCGGACGAGGCGACCGTTGTCTCTGAGAGCACGGATAAATTGGTGAGTGGTGGTGGTAGACTTGACATCGTTATAAATTCTTCGACGAAAATTGGAAATAAACATGTAAAATACGGAGGTCGAGAAAGGATCAGACCAAATGACGGAATCAAACAGATCTTTTCCTTTGAGATTTGGTAATGTACGTGATGAGGAGGATTGAGATGATTGTGAAGGAGGCTCTTCAGATTCTGAAGCAGCCGTGATGGAACTGACTTCGCTCAAAAAATTGCGTTTGTTGCTGCTACTACATTCGCTCGATGAAACCGAAGGTGTAGAGCTGCTGGCTGTGGATACGCTTTCTGAATTTATGGCGGAAGACAGTTTACTATTGGGAAGTTCAAACGCGGGAGTGTTTCGTCGAGAAGATCTTTCAGAAAGTGAGGAAGATTCTTGCGTAAGCTGAGGTTGTGACGGTAAACTGTCAGCTCGTAATCTCTTTGATTGACGTGAAGATTTGCTTTCAGTAATTGAATTGTCGATAGAGGTTATCAGTGATGAAGATCTCTGGAGGTTTTGTGGGTTTGAAGAAGTAGATTTCTCGTTGGTGATTGAGGCTTGAATTGTTGACCGAAGACTACTTTCACGCCGAAGTGAGTTCGATATGGAAGAATCGAAACGAGCTTGTGTCGTGATAGAGCTTTCTTCTTTTGTAAAAGATGAGGTAGACTTTGTTCGAAGTGAACGTCGAGTGCGTTTTTGTTTACTGTCAATTTTATCCACATCCTCAGGCAACCGGGAATTTTCGGACGAATGTTGAGAAGAATATTCACTCGATTCTTGCAATAATTGCTGCGATGCTTTTTCTTCCATGTCCAAGCTTTCTGAATCAAGCTCCATCTCCAACGCAGGACTTATTTCTTCCTGAGATTTAGTGTTTACATTGCATGATGCACGTCGCTTGTTCTCTGTCCTGATGCATTTAGCTCCTGATTTGGAGCATGGTTCACAACATGGTTGGAATTCACCACATTTTATTTTTCGAACTCGGCATCGATCACAAGCGCGAGTGAGGCGACCTCGAGAAAGCGTGCCTTTGGCGCTCGGCTTTGGTGACTCATCCTTAGGATCATTTAGTGTTAAGGGAGCAATCTGAAGCTGAGAATTTTGACTTTTCGAGGGTGATAAAGGCGAGTTATTGATAGAATCGTCCTGTGCGAGGGGGGCATGCTGAATATCAGCGGATTGAACCTCCAGATTTAGCTTCGGAGACTCTTTTGAAGAATTGCCCCGTGCGAAACAACCGTTCGGAGCTCGAGAAATTTGATTCTTCCTGCTCAGTCTCGGTGATTCATTCTTGGTTTTATCCTGCGCTAGAGATAAATTTCTACGAGAACTTCTTTGAGATGGAGCTGAAACAGGCGCTTCTGTCTGCACCGAAGATTCTTTTGAAGGTAGCTGAGAACGTTGCTGGGAGGACTGCTCGGAAGGTTGCTGAGACGGTTGCTCGGGAGTCAATTCAGAAGATTCCTCGGGAGGCTGTTCTACCCTCACACCATCAGCTGTCACAAGTTCGTAGTAATAGCGCTCTGTCACACGTCTCTTCTTTTTTGGTCGATCATCAATATCGTAATCATTAATTTCCCAAGGAGGATTCTCAAGTGCAGCATCAAATTGGGCTTGAATCATGGAATAAAGTCCGTTCTCAGAACGAAAATCCTACTATGGGCGTCAGAAATTGAGAAGTGGTAGTGAATAGATTGCTGTCCACTTACGGGAATTCCGACATTCGTGCTGATACCGGCTCCTGTCACGACCACAACTTTCCTAGATTTGGCAAGGATGTCTGCAATCTCCTGTAATTCCGCAGCAGAGTTTGGTACGACATTAATTGTCGGCATTGTGGAAATTATGTAAACAGATAGTCACTGCTCCGGTTTCTTCCTCTCTTCTCTTAACAAATTCAACTCTCGAGTGATACCGCTTCCACACTCGACGTTCTAGTCTTCCAGGGCTAGTGTCTTGCGCTTGTTGGATATGCGATCAAGACAGTGTAACTGAACTTCAGGTCATTTCGGAGAAGATACACCACTTCGGACGAGGTAAAACTTGGAATATGCTGCTCAATTCTTGTGTGTCGTGAATCCAGATTCTCGCAGTGAATGTTGCAATTTGAACGGGTCCGGAATGCCCCTGAGTTTTAGAAATCTTCAAGCTTCGCCGAAATGCAAATAACCCAATCAAGTTCCCAATAACGCCAATGACTCCCAATTATGATTTTGTTCCGCGAATGTGCGTGCTGTGTGCTGTGTTGTCAAAAAGTGGATGGGTCGCTGAAGGAAGCAGATCTGTCTGTCCAATTCGAATCGATGCTTTAGCAAGTTGTTTGGATCAACTTTGCAAGGAATTAGATGACTTGGAGTAAGTATTCCTCTTCCTAAAGGGTAAATATCGCAGTTGGTTCGAGACTCGACGCGCAGACCGATCCCTGGTCTTCCAACTTCTTTAAAGGTTGATATCAAGTTCAAATCGATTTTCTCTTGGATAGGATTCTCCCTAATTCGCCCTCTGAAGCTCTCGAGAATGGCTGCAATCGATCGATTCTCATCAAAGAAGGATTCCGCTAGCAATGTTTTGTTGATTATTTATGTTTACTTTTCATCTAAAGATTCTGGTCCTTTGAAGGGTAGACGCGATATGTTGCCGATGTGTTGCCGACATCAACCGCGTTATGCACAGACCATAGAAAACCCCACACAATTATCAGCCCTCAGCGTCAGCCCTTTTATTCCTCATATGCTCAACCTGCCTTGCTAAACTTTTCTATCTCATCAATGCCATCTTTTCTCTCAATTGGTTTCAGCTACAGCAACCAGTTTGATGATTAGAGCTTCATCAAACTTTTGAGGAGGAATATCATACCTAGTGGTACTAAAACATGGCACGCAGTTATTACTCACACTGGTAGTGAAATGTAGGACAGGATCCTACTCCAGAAGTTTGCTGCTTGTTCATCCATGAAAACGAGAAATCTGCTGTTCTCTTCATACCTCTAACTTGTACAACTGCCATCATTAAGTTCTGTATACTCACTTAGATTGCCTTTATATATATATAGTGTTTGTAGAACAAGCAATGAATGAACTGTACGGGATGAAACTGCATGAACATGACAAGTATGACTACTATCATTGTTGGCAGACTAAAATTGTATACTTTGTTTTGCTATCAAGTGAGCCTCAAAGAGCTGACAGCAGCTTAAATAGCAAGGTTTGGTGGCTTTCATCAATCCAACTGAGTCAAACATGGCTATGCCATCAATATATGTAGTCATTATGTGATGATGGACTTTGGAAGTTTTCTTTATCCTTTTCATTTCTCAATTTAGTAGTTGCATCACTTGAAATCCGCCCCTCTCTTTCAAAATGCCAGACAAAAAGAAAAATTTACAATTCATCTGGCCGAAAGATGGACCCAAAGGTCGCAGTGGTTCTCGAGGATTTTTCGGCAGACTGAACAACATTGTAACGAATCGAGGACCAGATATTTTCGTTGGAAAACAAGGAAGTAGAATCAGTCCCGACCGCTGGCAGAACTGGTAAAGTCTTGCATTCAAATAACCATCCAATTTATCTGACGTTCCAATAGGGACTCTTACCATGATGAACATAAGCATATCCATGAAATAACTGGAGCCTTCTCAAGAGATTTCAAAAGATACGATCCACACACACGGAAATACGTCGAGTGGGAACAAGCTCAAGATTGGAACGGGTACGGAGTTTCCAATAATCCATGGGAATATCCACGCTTAACCGCAGAGGAATTTGCCCAAATTTACCGGACCTATCATCGAGGTCATCAAATTGATCCTTCCAAGTTCAAAGATTGGAATCATGCTGGTCCTAATGTAAGTTAAATTTCATGTGAAAGCGGGAACATTAGTAACTAATATTTAATACAGAGATTCAGACAAGAATATGATAGTTTTTGGCAAGGAGCACATCGAAGAGGAGAAAATTATAAATATGGTTGGAATCATTTAAGGGGTGAAAATAATCCTTGGATGAGGATGCATCAAGAATGGCCTACTGATTTAGAGGATTGGATGGCGCTTCGTGGGATGTATTAGACATTTATGGTGTATTTAGCAGGGTGAAGATTCTTCACGATTGGGGATTCTTGAATTTGGTTCTTTGTTTTTTGGGGGTAGGTTCGTCAGTAAATCTGCATTATGCTAGAAATGAAGATATATTACCTAGTAGCTAGGGATGTGTGGTACGGTTGATATTGATATTGAGCTAGTGTATGCGAATGGCTAGTTTGAATAGGTATAAGTTCTAGATAGATATACGCTAGAGAGTTCAGGTTGAATAGGAACTGATTGGTTGAGTATGGAACATCTCCATTCTACATGAGAAACAATAGATAAACTTCTAGTGTTTGGCCTATCTTGTCCTCGTCCTTACTGACTTTTTTACTCCCTAATCCTTACTCTCATTTATCATACATAACATCATCTAAAATCACCTCTCTCAAACAAATTTCCACCCACCCATCTCCCCTCACCTACCCCACCAACCCCCAAATCTCATTCCACCTCCTCCAATCCCCCTCAATCGGACCATCCAACTTCCCAAACCTTGCCGGTTCCCCCGTATTAGCCTCCGGCAAACAAATCCACTCCCTTACACTTCCTGGTATTTCTTCTCTCACATGACTTATACACAGAAGTGCTTGATTCTTATTTAATCCTTTAATTTTTACATTTCCCTCTTTCGCGATATCTGATTCAATGATTTTGAGTTGAGATGGTTTTGTGCCCGTTGTGTTAGCAGAATGTCCTTCTTGGACATGGACAAGTTGTTTTTCTTCGCCATGAGCTAGGAACAAAAGACATCGATCGCGAATACCATCATCCATACCGCTGAATGCTTCGTCAAGAATGATGAGATCTGGTGCTTTGATGATGGCGCGGAGAAAAAGAGCTACTCTTTGTGATGAAAACGGCATTTCACGGAATAAAATATCATCGGCCCATTTGGTCGAATCATTATGACCAATTTGAGCAGTGGATCCTCCTAGTCTCAAATCTTGTTCAAACCATTTCAAAGCTGCATCTATGCGCTCTTTCGCATTATCATTCAATTTCGGTACACCTATAAAAGTATCTGCCCATGCATTGGCGAGAACTTTCCTTAAAGTTAAATGCCGAGGAATATGATTATGAATTTCCGGACTTGAGTGACCTATTCTCGATTGAAGATCAAAAATCGATATTCCAGGTTTACCAGGTTCTGGTAATCTAGATTTACCAAATAGACGGATAGGAAGAGAATATGTTTGAGGGTGATCGGAACATATAAGAGATAGAAGAGTTGTTTTTCCGGAACCATTTGGACCAAAGATACCCCATCTCTCACCTCGTTTGACATTCCACCATAAGCCATCTTTCTTGACACCATTTACATTTTCAATCCAGTTTCCAAGTACGGATTTATCTCCATACTCCACCCGAGCACCTTCCATTTCTATTAATGTCTCTCCTGTCTCTAGTGGTTGAACATCATTCAAGGGGTAACCATCTCGACTTAGTGGACCTGTCTTCTCTGGAATTCTCTCTTTAATGGAAGCCGAATTGCCGGTAAACAACTTTTCTCCATATTGAGGTTGTTCAATCCCATCCAAAGTCAATTTCCGGCCGATCTCTTTCAAAGATGACGGAGTCAAATGAAGATTAAAATCATCCCTCCCATTTTCACTTCTCCTAACATGTTCTCTCAATTGACTCAAAACATCATCCTTCGGCCCTAAGAAAGCAACTTCACAATTCCCTTTCAAATACACCAAATCCGTAACCCAATGCGGTATAGGATCCTGAGGTCTTAAAGACAACACAAGTCTTGGAGTATTCGCCTTAGCCAATCGGTGTAACATTGGACTCAAAGTCAACAATGTAGGAGGATCCAATCCCATAAAAGGTTCATCTAATAACAAAACCTCTGGATTCTCCAACAATGCTCTTGCAATCCTTGATCGTCTCGTTTGACCATTACTCAAATTCGATACTGGCATATTCAATAATTCCTCCAGCTTCAAATCTTTTATAACACGTGCAAGTGTTTCATCATCCAAAACACTATTATCGATCTTTGTAGAAGGATTAAGTTCCGTATTTCCTCGTAAATAATCCCATACACTAAAATCTGTATCCTCTCTCCTCGATTCATATCTCGCACTCAAATATGCACTTTTAGGAGCCTGTTTCCCCAATCCTTGTTCCCCATCAAATCCCACATATTTGATCGCCTGACTCGGAGTTCGTAGTTTAGAATTCTTCGCCGCAATAGCATCGCTGCTAAGGTATGGGTACGATCGCGCATTCGCAGGAATACACAAAAGGCCTCCTCGTAAAATCTGCAATAATGTAGTTTTCCCAGACGATGAAGCTCCAAGTATAGCCCAATGTTTCTCTCTCTCCGAAAATGAAGGTATTTCAAATTTTAATTTCTCGAATAGAGGAGGATTCGTATGTCCGACGACATGGTGAGAATTAGGATGATGACGACAGAATGTGCCATTGTCAATTCTAACGATTGGCGGATGAGCTATACTTGTACTTGTGCCGTATCGACGCAATGGCAATAAAGCCTTGCGATTCCATATCATGGGTCTCCCCATTGCGCATTCGTATAGTTGAAATGTCCATCTTGAAGAAAAGTTGACTCAATTTATTAGAAGTAGAGAGAGCCGACCCCGGAACGCGGGGAAAGCTTTTGATGACCCATGCTAAGCTTAAGCTTACCACTAGAAGTCGATACTCATAGGCTATCTTGGGCGATGGTTGATAGAATAACTTGAGAACATGATAATTCCTTCATGTTGAAATTTAAGAAAATAATAAGCCGACCTACCATAAATAACAATAATCAAAATGTAAACACAGACAATACACTGATGAATTAATACTCATTTTCGATATTGTTCCTTTCTCAATACTCATATCTCAGCGATAAGCGGTTATAATTATAGCCTTCTTCACCCAAAACCTTAGCGCGCTTAATTCCGCCCGTTCCAATTCGCGCTTACACGTCCCTGATGCAGCCTGGAGCTCTCTCTACAATAAACAGCTCCTCCATTACATCTACATCAATCCAAGCTTCCCAACTACAACTGCGAAATCTTCACACTATCAACTTATCGGAATAGATACTCCACGCAATCACTCTCTAAGTTACAAATAAGAATTTAATTCATCATGGTAAGTTTCACCACTTCATCTCCATAAACTCAATTCATCTATCTCCATCTATCAAAAAACAAATCCCCCAGACTCTCCACTTCCACCTCCAACCCCAAACTAACATTACAAACAGGCAATGCGCATCGTCCCCTCCTCCAACCACACAACCACCCACACACACCTCCAAACTGCCTCCCTCGGCGCCCCCTCCGCCCCCGGCCTCCACGACACCCTCCGCCACGGCGTAGGTCCCACACAAACCTCCTCCCTAAACAGCCAACCAGACTCTTCTCACCCCCTGGAAACCCGTCTCAAAAACTGGGAAGCAACACAAGAATCCCTCAAGATGGCTGGTCTACGTCGAACCTTCGGTATGAGCGAACCTATCCGTAGAGGAATGGAATTGAAGATTACGCGGGAAGGTGAATGGAGACCGCTTGCTTTGGGGGGTGGGGGACCAGGTGTTCATGAGGAGATTTTGAGGGGGAGTGATGCGACGATTTCGTGGGAGGATGTTTTTAGGGGGGATGAGATGAGGAGTTTACCTGGGTTTCATGAGGAGGTTGAGAGGAAGGTTAAGATGGGTTTTTAGATGGGGGGATTTGGGTTATTTTGTTTGCTGAGTTTCATTGCGTGGAATGGATGAAATTAAGTGCGATGATCTGGTTCGATTTGATCTGGTCTGAAATGATACAACGAGTCAAGATTGATGGAGCATGTTCATACTGCAAAGGCAATGTGAACGAATGACAGATTAGCATTTGGGGCATAAAAAAGAATAGACAGCTTGCCTTCCTTGCCTTCCTTGCTGCCTTGCTCGTACACAAGCCAATACAAACCTATCACACAAATACCAAGTCTAGCAATGAAATTACGTCAAGAAAACCCCCATTGCATCATATACCATACCATACCATGAAGAAATCATCACAAACGACAAACTACAAATGCAAATGGAACAAACTTCCCCATCCATGAAATCAAGCAGATGCATAATTTCACCTAGGAAGGAAGCTCACCGAAAACCCTCACAGATATAACATAGCAGTAATAAACAAGCCTTCTTCAAGCCTTCTTGTATCCAAAACATCCATCCATCCGTATTGTATTTGTTCTTCTGACTCCTACGTTCCTAAATCTTACGTCTGAAGTCCTAAATTTCCATTTCCCAAGCCCCATTTCCATTTCCGACCATATCGCTCGTTTGTTCGCTTGGTCGCACGCTCAAAATATTCGATACGGTCAGCATTTGCTATTTCGCCATTCCTCCCTCCCCCCATCCATTGATTTCATTCGTACCCCCGCCGTACCTTTTCTTCACATACAAACTTTCCAATCAATCAATCAATCAAATCCACATACATAACACCCCTTCATCCATCCATCCATCCATTCCATCTTATTATACACAACTATGACTTATCCTCCAGTCTTCAGTCTTCAGTCTTCAGTCTTCAATATCACATCATCACATCACATCACATCTCTCCCCTCCCCACCAATCATATATTAACAACAGGCTATAACAAGCTTTCAACAGCAGCCAAAATGCCATAAAATCCTTTTAAAACGCTAGAAAAACCGAAACATAAAAAAACAATAGCAAAAACAATAAAAAGTAAAATAAAATAAAATAATCCTTCAATTCGAACGCGTTAACGCCCTTCTCGCTGCTCACTCATAACTAGCTGTAGCTGTAGCTGTAAAAAAAAAAAAGTCCGTTCCGCTGGATGATTAAGCCATGTCGATGAATATGTGCTGACTGATAGTGAGTGGTTGTTGTATATTTTGTTTGTTTGTTTGTGTGTTTCATGCATTGAAAATGCACGCACACATGTAACTTTTCCCCTTTGCCTCTTTTTCTCACAGAGACGAAGGTTATACTTGGAAATGAAGATTGTGAAGGGGCCAAATATCAGAGTATAACACATCTGCACCCGGCATGACTTTCACCACCTTCTCTTCCTCGACTCGTCGATTTCGCTTTCGATGCATCTTCCTCGTCAACTATGTCTTGCGGTCTAATAGTCATATGTACCACATTTGATGTCTCGAGATTGAATTTACATGCTGGGAGAAGTGTATGTTAGCTATATAGATCGCGGAACTAATCGTTGCCACAGGAATATACATCAAGTGACTTTGATTTAATCTCACACTCAACTTTGTGATCAACGCCCTCATCTAATTTTTTTTAAAAAAATTGCATACCTTTCAAAGCTTCCTTATCATCCAACAATTTTCCAAAGAATATCAATCGTATGCTACTCGGACTACTCGGTTTCGTTTCCCATTCTTCCCTCCATTCCCTTAATATTAACTCTTTCAGCGTATATACACTAATGCTAAGAGGATCCTTCTTCCCATCTTCCGTAACACCTGGTACCGTAACAGCTCGTTTGGTTAAATATTTCTCGTCGATCTTATAGGGATGGCGGGCGCCAGATCCAAGTAACAGAGTAATGGTGAGCGCAGGCCCAGCATCGACAGCAGTGGATGCTGGCATTACATGGGTCGATTCGGTAGAGGGGCCGATGGCTACGGAACCAAGTCGTGCTCGGGTTGGTCGGGATTCTTGAGCTTCGGAGGATGATTCAGTTGCAGGGGCTTTACCTTCGCCTTTCGACATCGTTGGTGGCGGCGCGGGCGCGGGATCGGTCGGTGAAGGTTCGTCGTTCGTGGTATATTGTGCGGTTAATTGTTCTTGAGAGGCAGATCTTTCATCTTCAACTCTTGCCTTTTGATTTGAAGAATCACCCATTTCTGCCGTCGTGATTGCTGTTGTCGTTGTTGTGGTTGTGGGTAAAGCTGAAGATGTGGATGGATGAGATTGATAATCAGTTGTCATAAATGATGTTTCCGGAATCAAAATATCGTTCAATAGTCCCGACGTTCCTGCGCCTTCTATTGACCTTTTTGAAGTATCAAGATCATCCATCTCAACTGGTGCGGTATTTGATGATTTATGTGTGGTTTGGATAGGGTCAGTATCATGGCCTGCGCCCGATGTCGAACTCGCCATTGGTTGAATTTGAGTTGTTTTGAGGTGCAGATGAAGTGGAAAATGGGGTATCTAGCGCCCTGTACTGTGAAGAGAAAATGGGGGGATCCACGGCTGTGTACGGATTGAGCCGATGATTGAATAGATGGTATCTGGGGAAACTCCTTTATGTATGGGATCGATTCCTTTTAAATAAGAAATACTCGGGTTGAATTAAGTAAAATGAGGGTATTCCGAGTATTTGAAGGACAACCAAATCAAACCAACTATATCAACAGAAGTAAGAATAGGTAGGTTAGGAAGATAAATCAGGTTTATAATGAAAAAAGGGAAGAACAAGAATGAATAATGGATATCAAATACTTAGTAAAGGTACGTACAGTAGTGAAGTAGTAGCGGAAGTAGATGGTTGAATTAAGATCAAATATGGACCGTCCGAACCAATCGGTTTATTCTTGGGGGGTTATTTTTGATTGTCGATCCTCCAGGAAATAGTAAGAAAAGAAAGGTCTTTGAACTTTTGCTTGAAAGGTTATATAGGTAAATAAAGGTTATGCTTTATAATTTGAAGAATTGATGCTGTTAGACTCGTATCTTCGGGATTTTAAATGATTCCGATGTCATATCTCGTATTGCTGTGAATCTTTCAAAGAGACTGATGAGTGTCGAATGTATTGAATCATTCAGATGTACTAGGTAGGTAGTTAATCCAATGATAGGTATTGATATTATGTTGGTGTCTGTTGATGTAAGATTATATTGACAGGACAGGAGGATGAAGTAACAGTAATTGAGTTGCCGAGATATTCAGATAGTACTTTATATTAACCTTATTGATTCAGAAAGCTAGAAATGTCAATTGATCCTTTTTTACCAACTGGATGGATTTGTCTCTATGGAGTACAAGCTTTGTCCTCCGTAGGTACTTGTAGATTGGTGGTGATGTTGTTCTTCGAATTGTTTCTTTCCACTGTTTCCGGGTGCTAAATACCATCCATCTAGCCTGTTTCCAGTTTACATAGCATGCTTATTTATGCTTTCAGGGTGAGGAACTATCCCGTAAACGCCGTAAACCCCGAAATGACATCCACTCACAAGCCTAAAAAGTAGCGCTCCATGTATATATGCTTCATGGCAATGCATACAATTAATATAAATATAAATATAAAGATAAAGCTTCATCTAGAATCCGGGAATGGGGAAACACATCCAAAGCACATAACACCATATCGCGGCTATCAATGAATTACACTCATGAGTACAAACATCAAACAATATTCTGTCATGGTTTCAGATACATGACACAAGTCCATTAAATCGTCTTGTTATCTACATGTGCCGCGTTCCAAACCAAACAATCAAATGGCAATTGTTTTCAAAGGTTCACTTCCATCACATCGTCGTTCAACATGATTCATTACATTATCACTCCAACCATATGTTTGGTTCATGGCCTATGTTATACAAGTACCCCTTGAGTTGAACTTGTACTTCTCTTATCGTGAATTCCTACCTCCCGGAATCAATTAGAGGGCATGAACTCGAATCTCGTACCCCTATTTCATCTATTTTCCGAAAAATCTGATCTCGTATATCATGGCAACAAGACATTTCCAAAGTCAGCTGTGACTACTCAGAGATGTTCGTGTAATGAGCGACTGTACCACGACAGGTACTCCAGGAAGTCGAGTATAGATTCTCAAGGTGAATATATCAGCCTTGTATAGGTAAATACAGCATTGTTTCCTTCGCAAAGTTCCGCAATGGGGATGGTTTGAAGCACTACGAGACGTGTGTGCCAAACTCACCATGTTTTACGATCAGACAAATAGAATTTGCGGTGCAAGTTACACGCAGATCAAATGCTTGGTCATGATTCTGACGATGTAGGTCATTCGAAAGGGCTTTACCAGGAAATTGGTCTTGGAGGCTTTGCCAACTTATCGGCGCAGAAGCTGTGTCCATAATTGGCGGATCGCTCGGAAAACCAGTCGAAGTTCAATGGTTTCCAGTCCATCCTAGAATTGGTCTGTCGCGGTCACTCCCGTCATGATTGGCTTTCATCTCGCAGCTGCTCTGTACCTATTGGAAGTGAAGAAATCCATATCTACATGGATGGCCTTTCGGATAGCCCTCCGACAGCCAGGATTGCAGGACCGACACTCTCTTTTAGACATACCGTCTTAGAGGTTCATGGTCCTTTGTGACTTCAGATCTTTCCATGCACAATTGCATTTCTATGATTGGTATGTTCTTCGCTCTTATCTATGATGCCATGATCAATACGAACAGATATCTGTCTTGACCGTGATATCTAGAGGGATGCTAAGCAGCAATTACGTTGAGAGCTAGACTGTATAGCACGGGATGTTGCTTTGCCATCCTTGAGCGGCCAAGGTGGTTGATTCTTGGTTGATACAATCTTGGGAATTCTTAACTTCCTTTCTTTCTTTGGGACCTGAGTTTAGAAAGCGCCCGTTCCTTGATTGTTTTTCAACACGAGAAAATTTCGTCTCGGCCCAGCGGCACGGGAAGAGAATTTCGCTATGCGATCCTTCAGCAATTGAAGATGTTTATATCATTCAAACATTGGCTCATGATCGCATCACAAAAAATGCATACTGTTACCAGTGTTCGAGATCGCTGCCTCGATGACTGCACAACACTTCTTCCCCTCCCTTTTAGACTTTGGTCGTGGTGGTTACAATGGACCTAGCGATGATTCTGAGGATGAAGATCAACCACCTTGATCATATTCATCTTTACAAAGCCAATCCAAGCCAAGTTCAAATACTGGCCAGATTACTGAGCAACGTTAGGTGGTCATCGCTGCACTCCTTTTCGGGTGTTGAAGGAAACACAAAGAGTGGTCAATCGACAACACAGGGATCGTCTTACCTACCTAAATATAGGACGTACCGCGAACCTTCTAATATCTTTGTGCAGAGTTAGAAAGTATACAAGCTTTGTCCCAAACCTGACGCCTCTTGCTCCAATATAAAAATACCCCTAAGAAACTCCAGATTGTGCTGGAAATAAATGATCCGCCTGCGTCAAATCATTACCTTTGGAACATCCAACTTTCATCTCGTGTATCCACCATACGAATCAGCGCCGAGTGTCTATTGAACTCCCAGATCTCCATTTTCATTCTCGAACGCCTCTCACCGCAGAAATACACCGAATTTAACACAGTCAAGCACATACTCTGAGTAATTAAGATTCGGATCAAAGATTTGTATCTATCTGTCGCTAGATTCTGACGAGCTTCGTTTTGAGTAAGTGGACGTGCCAAATATGGACTCCCGGATTGATTACTTGTCTCTGCATGTAATAATCATGGAGATACTACCACGAACGCCTCTTCCTTAGCGCTTTTAAAAGGCGCTTCTTGGAAAGTCGAAGGTTCTTGTTTCATCATTCTGTGTTCTTAAGCAGACATCAAGACGGAGAGGAGTAGGGCTTGGAGGAGCGTGTCGGAGAAAGGGGCTTTACTTAGGCGTACTGATTGGCCAGTATCTATGAGATTAGGGTCAAATCAGCATTTGATGAATATACTTTGTACAAAATAGTTGCATGGCAGGAGAATCCACGCTGGGGCAGAGGATGAGGTGCATATAAGGAGGGACGAACGTGTTGATCAGGGTTATTCGAATGTCGTTAGGTTGAAACGCCAATACCAAGAAGAAAGGAGCCAGATGACGAAATAAAAATCCCTAGGTGATGCTTAAACTCAAGAGGTTCAATAGATGTAAGAAATTTGATTGCTTTAATTCTAGAATTTAGGGTTATATTAAATGTATATATCTTCTTGCATTCCTTCTATTGAATCAAGAAAAGTCCAATTAATGATATTGGAGTAATAATACTTCCTATTGATACCAAGGACAAACTCGGCATATATATATAAAGCATTACAACCTTTCACATAGGAGTATATCACAAACTGCAAAGAGAAGAAAAGAAAAGAAACTACATTTCCCATTCAACAACCCCTCAAATAAACTACTAAAATCAATCATAACCCCCTCGCTCATTTACACAACCCCCTTTCAGCAGCAATCCGGTACGTGCATAGGCTTTTAACCCCCACAAAACCGGGGCAAATTCGGGGACCACCATACCTATTATTGGTGTCCGATTAATTGCTTTCACAACCACGATAATAATGATATGAAATTAATTGATATGAAATGAATTAAATGATCCCGTAGCTAAATGCCTCATTATTAGATGTTGGTTATGCTATCCTGGTTCAATTACTCTCTAGTCATATCTAAACTCCTATCGCTTTCCTACCGTTCGCAGGTTCGCAGACTCGGTCGCATGCCCCAATGCGCCGCAAATGGCGTCCCGAAACCCTCAGCATGTGTTTCCTAAGACATCATCAGATGAGCATTTAGATGAACATTTAAACGCGCATGTTAGGTCCAGTTCTTCGAGCACTACTTCCGCAGAGGTCATGGGCGAGCATCTGACGCCGGATTTTGATTCGGATGACCTTGATGATGGGGAGGGTGATTCGGATTTAGATTTGCTTATGGGTAGTATGGGTATGGGTATGGGTATGAGAGGGGGTGATAGACAGAGGGGGAGTTATAAGATGCAGAGGTGGGAACCGGTGGTTAAAAAGAAGAAGGAGAAGGAGAAGGAGAAGGAGAAGGAGAAGGAGAAGGAGAAGGAGAAAGCTAAAGGGGGAAAGAAAAATGCTGAAGATTTAAATCTCGATATGGATTCCTATGAGGAGAATAGTCAGAATGTTTATCGTGATGAGACGGGGGAAACTGGTGCCAGGAGAGGCAGTCTCTCGACAATTCAATCATATCAATTATATACGCCAGATGAAGAACGAACTGTGGTGAGAAAATTCGATAGGAAATTGGTCGTTTTTGTTGCATTGTTGTATATGTTGAGTTTTTTGGACAGATCAAGTATATTCACCTCTTTCACTACCACTCTTTCATCGGCTTCTCGTCAATAAAAGGAGGTAAACCATACTAACCATCTCTTTATCCAGATATCGGAAATGCGAAAATAGCCGGTCTAGAACGAGATTTACATTTGGATTCGAATAAATATGAATGGGTTGTCACGGCATTTTATATCGCATATATCTGTTTCGAATGGATGAGCATATTATGGAAAATCATCCCGGCGCATATTTACATAACGTTTATCGTCCTATCTTGGGGTATCATCGCATCTCTACAATCTATCGCGACATCTTTCGCGGGATTACTTGTTCTACGCACATTACTCGGAATAGGAGAAGCTGGATTCACGGGAATACCATTTTATCTATCCTTTTTCTTCAAGAGAGAAGAATTAGCATTTAGAACGGGGATTTTTCTAAGTGCGGCTCCTCTCGCTACTTCATTTGCAAGTTCTTTGGCTTGGGGAATCGTTAAACTGGGTGAACGTTCCCCTATTGCACCATGGCGACTTCTCTTCCTGGTTGAAGGTTTCCCTAGCGTTCTTGTCGCTCTTTTCGCATGGCATCATATTCCTGATAGTCCCAACACCGCTCCTTATCTCACTACTCGCGAGAAGAAAATCGCACGGCTACGTCTTCGTCATGAGATAACTTCAACTCCTAATTCCAAAACTCAGCCATCATCCGGTCTCAAAATTAAAGAAGTACTTTTGACTCTTCGAGACCCCAAAGTTTATCTCACAGCCCTCATGTTTTTCTTCTCCAACATGTCATTCAGCAGTATGCCTATCTTCCTCCCCACAATCCTAACACACATGGGACATTCCCCCTCAACATCCCAAGCACTCTCCGCACCCCCCTATCTCCTCTCCTTCCTCTCCGTCCTCCTAACCTCCTACCTCTCTGACAAACTCCGCACCCGCTCCCCCTTCCTCCTCTTCCACGCTCTCCTCTCCTCTTTCGGGTACACCATCCTCACCCTCCCACCACACCTCCTCACACCCACCATCCGCTACCTAGCCATCTACCCCGCCTGCATCGGATTCTTCTCCGTAATCACCATCCTCATTACCTGGACCCTCAACAACCAACCCTCTTCTTCGCGTCAGGGGGCCGGTTTCGCAATCTTGCAGATTATTGGTCAGTGTGGTCCGCTTGTGGGCACGAGACTTTATCCAGAACATCAAGCTCCGTTTTATAGAGAGGGGATGGGGGTTTGTGCGGGGGTTATGATGGTGGTGGCGGTTTTGGGGGTGGGGTTGAGGTGGTGGTTGCTGAGGGAGAATAGGAGGGGGTGGGAGAGGTATGAGAGGGTTGGTGGGAGTGGGGATGCAGATGCAGATGCAGATGGAGATGAGGATGGGGATGGGGAAGAGGGGAGGGGTCTTGTAGGTGATGGGAAGAGAGGGGTTAGGGGAAGGAATACCCCGTTTCAGTATATGCTTTGAGTATTTAGATGAGATTTTTGGAGATTTTAGATGAATGAATCTGATTGATATATATTATTTTGCATCCGGCTTCATTTCTGCTTTCCTATGATATCTATTTCTATATGGAACTACGTCTAATAATATAGAGAGTTTACATTAGTATATAACCTAGTTCTGGTCTTTTCCCCATTTCATTCATCCTCAATATCCAAATATCCAAATATCCAAATATCCAAATATCCAAATATCCAAATATCCAAATATCCAAATATCCAAATATCCAAATATCCAAATATCCAAATATCCAAATATCCAAATATCCAAACTCAAAATAATAATAAATATTCGAACCCTATTCTCCACAGATCATCTAAGACAATCACGAATATCAAGATTTCCTTTCCGGCTGCTAGGTTTTCTTATTTTGCTCTCTCTTCTTTTCTTCTCTCTTCTTAAAGGAAAATCTAATTTAAAGGTGAGTTATTGCAGTATTGCAGTATTAGGATAAGTACCTAGTATTTCGGGGTGCTAATTAGTTTATAGGTGATGGGTTTTTGGATCTGTGAATCTGTGAATCTGGATTGAAGAGTTTAGGAATTAGATAGAAGAATGGAGTAGAGTTAAGTAATTTAAATAGATTAGGTTTTTTATTCCAGATACTAATTATTAAGTTCACGTAGAATCTACTTGGTAGATTCGGTGTATTAATTATTCCTGTTTTTATCTTCATACTTCATGAGTTTTGGGGTTAGAAAGGTTTTATATCGAAGTTGGGAATTTGGCTGTGCCCTCGGATAATGTATGGAGTTCATTGTAGAGTGAAGGGATATTAAGTCTGAGCTAAGAATTGGTTAATTAGTAGCTTTTATGAGGTATGTAGGAGGATTCTTGGGGAACTCCTTTGTATCAAGATTGAGCGCAGAGTATCACCTCGAATAAGAATCCCTTTCGCTGGAATAGCATTTGATTTACTACACGTATTTCACTAGTGCTGCTACTGAAGTACTCTAAGTCTATGCTCATCTAATCTAATCTAACCACCTATTCTATTTTATAACCCTTTTCCATCCCCCTTAACCTCCCACCACTTCCTCCTCACATCACACCACATATTCCTCAACTCTTCCATACTCTCTAACCCTCTAATTTTCAACCTTGCTCCTTCTATCAGTAATCCCTCTAACTCCACAAAACAACATATGAACCTTCGAGATTCTTGTCTTGAGCCTTTTCCAAGATGATTGGATTTCGAAGATGATGTTGAGCAAGCGAGGTTGATTTCTAGTCCTTCGAGATGATTGATGAATGGTTTTAATACCGTTATTGCGGATGCGAGGATATCAGGATCCATGTGCTCTGAGGAAGTTAATTGGATGTATTTAATCTTACGAGTGGTATCGAGACCCAAGCGGGAAAGAACATGATGTGGCTATATCCCTATCATTAGTCCTCACTCTACCATCAAAGATAGAAAAGTAAGGCATCACTCACCCTCCGATCATGTCCACAAACCCCATGACACCACGAATTCATACAATGAACATGTCGCAAAGCACCCCTCGCCCTACTCTGCCACCGACTAGTCTTTTCATAATCCCGTCTTCGCTGATCTCTCATCATCTTACAACAAATCGCACAATGAATATCTTCAATATCAAATACCCAATAGCGTTCACTGGCAATAGTTCCTGCTATCTCCCGTATGATGGTGTAGTCTTCGGATTTATCCTCGACTTGGCTGGAGCGCTTGGAGCCATTGAGATAGAGATGCATGTTTTTGGGGGAGGTTTCAAGTAGGTAGTTGATTATGGTTGCTTTTGGGAATTGGGGTCGAGGAGTGCTTATGATGTTTGAAGCTTTTGCTAGAATGTTGTTTGATGAGAATCTTGGTGTTCCAAGCTTGTTGTTGTTCGTCGTGAATCTGAATATTGGGTTTTCCTCGGCGATTTTCATCTCCTGTTCCTCATTGTCAGGCGGATATCCTAATAATTCAAGTGTCTTCACATCTGATACGCCGTCTACCCAGACATCCAGTCCTGGTGGAGGTCCTTCGGTAAGTCGTGTAGTCATAATTCCATGACATTCACAACCATCTGTTATCTTGATATCCGAGTTATTTGTCTGGTACTTAGAGAACATCGACGGCTGTGAAGCAAATATTTTTCCAAAGTGACTCATGGCTTGACTCCTGTCGCTAGGGACATAGTTGCAAATACTCTGTTTCTATTCTGAATAATGAAAGTAATGATATCATTCAAGAATGTTAAGAACGACCTCAGTGTTCCGAGTGAGCCAAACAGTCGAAGTGATCTGATTAGTCTGAACAATCTGAACGGGTTGAATGGATTGAACGATTCGAATGCTAGGAATGATATGACTACTATGATTGAAGTGGACAAAAGCAATGACCTCGTGGTCCTCAATATTCTGGATAAGAGAAGCCATAAATAAATTATCTGAAATCTTCTGTTATGAAAATTATTTCCCCAGAATGTCGCTCATTAGTGAATCTTATACGGTTTAAAAGTCCGAAAACTTCCAGACCGGGAAAGATGGATGGGCATATCATGATTCTCATTATGGCAAGTGCATATATCATACTCAAGTAACAGCATTTATTCAGATCCCATACATTGTAGTATAGCGTCTTGGAATCTCTGTCAATGTAGGCATAAAATTCGCGTTCTTTGTCTGTTTCTTCTCCAGGGCTTATACGAGGGATTGGGTGAGAGATATATAATCTTATAACAAATTTTTACCTATTACTTAAAATTTACTTGCTAGAGAACATACTGAGAATTGGAAATTCTTAAATTTGTTCAATTCTCCATACGCCTTCCATCTTTCTCCATAAATCGTCCAAACTTTCATCTTGGTGTCTGTCTGTCTTGTAAGTTAGTAATTCACAGCCTTTCACTAGATCATCAACCCCCTTAATCACAAGTGCATCTAATCTTTAATACTTTCCCAGCATCCTGTTTTCAGCTCGGCAACATAGGATTTTCTGGGCAGCGCTTTGTTTCATGAGACTCCCTACCGGTTTGATATTGCTGATCGATGGAAGAGTCAACATAAGAAGTCAATATATGGTATGGAAAATCAATTAGGAATACAGAATATCAGTAAACTAATGCATGGTTTCTACTGAGAACCCGGAATAATGTCACTTTATATCGGCGAACCTTGCGCCCACGTTTTGAGCATTGTGGCACTTGGCCGATAATCACAATCAAGGTGATCAAACTTATGTGTCTCCTCGGATTGAGTATTAGAAATACTCGACTATTCATTATCCAAGACTCAAACATGATTAGACGGGCTAGAACAGAAGTATTGATGATATATCTGGTGTATGATTCTGTGGATGTTGTCCATGTGAAATACAATACTTCATTGCAGAAATGAGGTCTTCGGAATTGGAGAAATGTTGAATCAATATTGTAAAGACGGTTGGGTATGAACAACCGGAACGAAGGTGATTACAGCACTTAAACAATCTTAATCGATCTTGAGAATAGCTTCATCTACTCCCAATCACATGACCACACCAATTTCAGCTGAACGAAGATAGTCATCTTATTTATAGGTTCTTTACGTATCTCAGGGTGAAACCAGCTTGCTAGCTCGCCAAAGGAAAGAGGCACCCGTATTGATGCCTTTTATCTCAAACCCCCTTCATATCAAGCGAAGAAATCCATGGCTCACTTTGACGCCAACGTCAAATGATTTCATCCACACGTGATTTAGCGCCTTTTAGGTTACATAGTGGGACGGCTTGAGCAAAGTTTTCTCATCATTCGAACTAGCAACTTGTGGTTCATAGTCACGATGATCCGCAAAGTTCGCCAACTAGACTTATGACATTTCGGTGATGAGAGAACGGCGATTACTAAATCGCGACCGGAGCCAAACACATGACAACCCTATTGAAGGAATAATACGGTAGACACTCCCGAGAAACCAAAGCAATTGTTAGTCATTGCCTCTATTCCCACGCCAACAAGCACACGTAGCCGCCATCAATTGAGGCCTAATCATCTCATTTATCAGCCGGTCATATTTCGGCCTGTATTCGTGAAAGGCCAATGCGGGCCGGGTACAGTCATGCCAACGCAATAACCAAAAAAGATGGGCTACATGTCATGGAGGCCCCATCTCATCCAGTTATACGAAAATCGTATGGCCTGATAATGTCCTTGTTGGTAGTTCCCAGGATGACGGCGATCAATACAAAATTAAATGATCTGATACATGAATGAAGCTGCAAGTAAAACCAAAAGTGGCGTTTTGTCATCGCTAGTCAACAGATAGCTTAGGTCTCTCAGAGCCTGTCCTATTTGGGAAAGTTTCGCTCATTGATATAAAGCTTACAATGAAATCCTATACATACAGACGCCAAATAGTGTCCATGGGTATGCTGCATGCATGCGCTCCAAAGTAGCAACCATCCCTCGAAAATGAAAAAGAGGTCCTGTTGCTTTAGGATGAGTCCCCTGATTAAGCGATCAAGGATATTAAGATATTTTCTGAGCATCCATCGTCACCAGCCTTTGTACCGTTTTTTCCCTAGTCCAATGCACTTCTTGTTTCAAGCTTTTGTCGCAATAACATCCGATATTAAGATCTTACACATCATTCGACATGCATGTACGCATAAGTGCCATGCCGCACCGCCACATGAGGATTTATGCTTGAAATTCAACTGCGCCCCACAAAAATTAGCATACACCTCATTAGCCAGCAACTGCATATAACATATAGCATATTACACGTGTTGGCCATAATTAACTATTTCCGTCTGATCCTACCGTATTCTTTCATTCCTAGCAAACATAACCGTTGTGTTGGGTCCCGAGTTCTAACGTCAACAAGTGGCGGTGCTAGTATTGTAATGGTGGCTCAGGCCGTTTTAAACTTTTATGATCCTGCAAAACCATAGGGCTGGCTCAGGCTGACATCAAAATAAGCTGATAGACAGCAGGGAAAAATTTTTGGCCCCAGGCTAATGCATCTGAGTGGCGTATTGAGAGCCGAGGGATGGACGGCGCTGATTGAGGTAGCGAGCCGTGATATTTTGGTTCATTCCTTGATGCTCCTAAATCGAGTCTTCACCGCTCCAACTTTCACACATTCTCTGAAAATGTGTATATCTCCAAAGTAGCTGTTCCAATGTCAGAACATTGCATATTGGCCTCCATAGCCTCCTTCGCTTATTAAATATATTTGTCGGTGGAGAACGACATTCAAAGAAGTTTTTCCCGAACAGGGAGCTGGTCCTGCGTGGCGTTCGCCGACCGATTTTCAGTGAATCTTTCAAAATATCTAAGCTCTTTTGAGTAGCTTTTCCTCTATTATTTGATAATACTCTATAAGGTTTAGCTTTGAATTCAATAAAATCGGGCTTCGACATATGCCCTTTTCAAGTAAGCCCGTGGCTGTGGTTAAGTCTCAATGGGACAGCCGACTTCACCACTATGCGCGAGGCAGACTTGAGAGGCAAACACTTTGGATAACCTAGGACTAGTTTTGGGTTTTCGAGCTCTCTTCGATCTCGATTCCTAAGGCACAATTGTTCTCAAATGACTCAACTTGCTCAAGCCGGCGGAACAATCTCACAAGATAACCTCATGATCACGATAATCTTCCTCTTCACACTATAATGATTCACGCTTGTGGCCATTTGTGACTCTGACTCACTCAAGTGAGAACTGGAGTAACTAGGCGTATCGCAAAGGCTTGTATGCCATCGCAACGTATCTCTAGAGGCGTAGTTCTCGCCTACGCATCACATCCCTTTCAATTTAGGCTTCCACCAGGCTACGTCAACTCAACGCCCTGGCATACGTGGGCCCTGGCAATCACAAATTAATTTCTTAAAAGTGATGCCCTCGCTTCGGTGAGAATGTTAGGAAGGTACCAGCCTCTTTCTTCGAAGATGCAGCTTCCGGTGGCTGCTTGCAATGTCATATCAGTGTATTCTGTTGTAAGAAGAAATCACCAAGACCCTTGAAAGTGCAACGTCTGCTCCTCTCAACTGCCTTTCCCTTTGACCGGGACCTCCCTTGAAAGTGCAGCAGCACTGGCCGCTCTTTATCTCTCGCGTGGAAATAATTACCGGCATCCGTAAGAGGCTCCGGCGCAAGTAGCGACGGGCAAACTTAGATAACAAGATTGAATGTCTACGTATATTTAGTACAGTATATGACTAGCTTGATTTATTAGGACTTACTTTGACCTAAGCTAGATTGTTACACTTCCGAAGGCGTACTCTCTAGTGATTTCCTACTAGGCCTTTCCTATACTGGAGTTACTTTTGCCACTCATACTCTTTTCCCTCTCGTTAGCCTCTACTGATACTTGTCATGTGCAAGGCCTAATGCAGCGAAGGGCCCCACGCTCGGGGATCTTCCTCCCCCAAGGATACACACTCTGACATTTTACCTTGACAGCTAATAACCTATAGCCCCTGTTATCAACAAAAGAAATAGAGAAATCGCCTTCGATATCATTCGACAACACATCATTGGCATCGAATCTCATCTCACTAAGCCACTAGTCGCTGATCTAAAGACGATCAGACTTGGACAGAATAAGGTCACATTCATCCCTACATACTCTAGCTGGGCAATTCGCCGATTTCCGCTCTAGTGCCCGCCCCCGCCCAACAAAGCGATTTTGCATGTGCGGTTGGCAGCGATCTCCCGGTGCCGCAAATACGCACGTACTCGCTGGCGCTGAACTCTAAGTACTATTTAGGATCCATATCGATGCACAGACATTGAAATTGGCAGATGATCATATCCTTGCAGCTTTCTTGGCAGATCCAAATTTGGATTAATCTTTTCACATCAGGTTTGTACTATGGCCAAATTCAGGATATTTGGTTGATGATGGATTGGAATCATTTTTCCGTCAAAATTGAACTCCACAAATGATGAGCCCGGGTTAATCATCTCGTCATCTGAAAGTGGGGGTGTCGTATGCAGCTACTGTATACCCGGTATGGGATCCACTTCCTCCACGTAGTTACAGATACTTGCACTTGCCAACAATGTTATCCATACGGGGTAGAAAAACAATCATCTCCACTAGGAAAAACGAAACTTGGAAGATCGCGAGATACTCAAAGCCCTCGCAAACTAGCCCTCAGATCGAGGGTTTGTGCATCTATTCACATTGTCGCCGACAGACTAAGACTTTTCCCTTGATATCTGAATACCTGCACAAAAGTACAAGTAATACTCTCAGCATTGAACAGCGACATCCTGATGTTAGACGTCGTTATCGTCTCATCATAATTGAGATGATCATCCCAATTTCTCATGTTAGCTTGATGAATAATGAACTGAGACTGTGACCGAGACTTCTCGATTGATGATGACCGATGTGCCCCGACAAAGTAGTAAAGTAACAATTGATGTCCTACCTCAGCATTGAATAAACGACAAGAAAGGAATCATATCTCCACGATTCGGCATATCTCTATTTACACAAATAAATATGTCCATTTCTGCATTGAGATGCACTCCGAACTTGAATAGAGGTCATCGACAACTCCGGACGGATATCGAGAAAGAAAGCTACCGCGCTAACTGAGAAACCTGAAACAACTCCACAACTCCAATCATCATAAAATTTGCAAATCATCGAGCAGAACACAACAAGAGTGCCACACAACCACTGCACGAAAACCCGTTGCCCGTAGATATTCCCTTAACCGTACATCTACATTTGCATATGCATTGCATCACAGCTACATTGCATTGCAGTATGCATATATATAAATAATAATTTCCATCCAGTGAAACATAACTACGCACCAGTACCGTGACAGCTTGGACCAAACCATTTCCAAGTCGAGGGCACTGCATATGCATCGCGCCTCCGATGAAATTCCCATTTCTCCCACTCTGCCACTCTTGAACCTTCTCCATATTCTCGAAGCATCATTGAATTCCAAATGAGCGCTGCTCAAAGTGGATAGTAGCTCCGAGTTAACCCCATCTCAGTATACACAACACTTCAAAGAAATGTCTTCCTGTCTCGGCCCTGCTTCAGCTCATACAAGACAACATAAATTAACAAGTGAAGAGATTTTTATATCTCCCGAGTATTTGTACACCTCAAAACCCCAGTCTTGTAACCCATTCCCAGCCCAGTATTCAATAACCACCCACTCTTCCCGTTACACTCAAACACAAAGCCTCGCACCACAACATACCCGAAGGATCCACTTACTGTACATACCTACCTACCTAGGTACATAGCGTAAATCTCGAGAGAATGGGATACAATACCATAAAAATGATCCGATTCCCGAGTCTCCGATGCTTGCTGTATCTTGTACGAGGGACGCTGCATATATGCTGTTCTGATACCGGAGTTTCACCAGTTTCTCGACTTGGGAAGATATATAGCTTTGGGCAATTTAGTTGAGCAGGACCTAATGAGTAACTGTACATGTAGAGCTGCTTAGACTCAGCACATTACACCATAATAAACATTAATGAATAGAAATACAAACTAGGAGATATAAAATGCGGCCGAGACCTCGACCCAAACTGCTGGAATTTTTAATATTTTCCTTTTGAGCCGCCAATTTAAATCATTCCATCCCGATTTGTCCATCTTCGCCGTTCTTCCCAATCAAATATGCTGCTAAGCCATACTCGTATTCAAGTAAATAATTGTATTATAACGGCAGAATTATCAAGTCCGGTGCTCAACAGTAAAATACTAGTGGGCCAATCATCCCCATGCTCGCTTTGCAAAACTTGGATCGGACATATCTCCGCTGCTTTCAGCACCACCAAATGTATCCATACATCTAGACATCCAATCATTTCCTCTTATTTGATATAAATGGAGTATATGATCTACTAAAGCATATAAATATGCTAGAATTAGGAATTTTCTCTCACATGGTATAGGAAAGCAGGATTTGGTGACGGAGATGAGACATTAGAATCGCGATATCTGTGAGAAAAAGAGGGTGTAGACACAGATCTTGATTTATGTTAAAATAATGATACAATTTCAAAGGATAATTAGGAAAAAATTCCCAAACTAGTATGTGTTTAACAGGCTGAGAATTTTTGGTCATGGTAGACTTACAGATATGCTAGAATCGTTTGGGAGGAATGGATGCTTGTCACGGTCAAGTTTTTCGAAGGATTCACGTATCATAGTAAGCCAACATGAAACTAACTTCACCCGCGTCACAAAAACAGAATAGTTTGATAGATATTATTCAAAGATCTCTTATTAATAATTAAGTAATGTGAAGCCTCCTAGCAAGTAAAGTGCCTAGCCAGTATATAGTAGATAAAAAAGTAGAGTGTAAAATGTATTCTTTCATCTCATCTCATCTCATCGATCTCCGAGTCATTCCCATCTCATGAATACTCGACTCCCTTTCTGAGCGAGATCTCTGATTCCCTTACCAGTAACCCAGCTATTAATATCTCTCGATACCATACAGATATGCACCCCGTATTCCCACCAAAATCAAAACCTTGCTTTACCCAAACCCTGCAGATGTACCCGGCACATCCATCCTAGCCCGCCCAAATCAAATCAGAATAGACCCAAACAAAAGAACAAAAACACATGTAATTTTGGTGACCTCACAACTCCTCTCCTATGCGACCCTATAATGCCCATTGCGGCTTGGCCCCTACCGCCCATGTGTCCAATCCAGTACAAATAAAAGATGATCAACCCGATGACTATATAAGGTAAGGCTCGAACAAAATAAAGTGAGAAAGGAAAGCGATGTAAAAAGGAGATAGAAAACAAATTGATGTCTCAGCTGACTCGAACAGACTCGCTCAAATGGTATCTAGTAATGATAACGATATATCTCGCCTCAACACCCTAGTCAAGCAACAAGACGCAAAGCAGGCTAAGTAGTAGTAGTAGACAAAATTTAAAGAAAAGAGAAAACAATGGAAGGAAAGTAGGTAGAATCCGAAGTATTCGGCAGGATAAAGCGGCAGCGAAGGAAGGTCGTGACGAACTTGCGAGCTAATCCCCCTCTTGCCACAAGCATGACGCCAAGGAAGACAAAGGATAGCCATCTATCCCTTTCCCGCACAATTCCGGACCCTCCATATAATGATAACCCGTTATTGAAGATAACACAATAGTTACGCATGGGCGTTCTTGTGTCCAATGCATTGAATAGTGCAGTGTAGTGTATTGACCAGCCGACATCTAAACAACACAAGCTAAAAACCATAATGCTCGGGCATTATTCGCATGCAAGCAATATGCACAATGCAATGCGAGCTGCAAGTATTTCTCCAAATCGTGCAAGATATGCCAAGCGAGTAAAGGCAGGTTCCATAGCTAGGAGGGGTTACCAAGATAGGTAGAGAGGTCTTGTTTATTTAATGTGTGCCAGTGATGATGCCATATGATGAGATGAAACAAGATCTTTCTCGGAATACCATCGGACAAAGTAGATGTGACATTGATACGAACATAGAAAGCCAAGCAGAAAATATGGAAATAAAACAAGGTAAGTGGCCAAAGAGAATATTGGTATATGCTAGTACGATAAATTGAAGCAGGTCGCAATTGGATTGATAAACGCCACACCACCAAGGACATTTATTTAGTCCAGCCAAATCCAAGAACCAGAACCAGAACCCCCCGTTTCGCCACTTCCCATCCGAAGTAAGAGATATGCAATAAGGTCTAAACAAGGTGTTGGTAAAATATTCGATTTCGGATGTAGTAGTGTCGTAGTGCATCAGGTGATACACGTGTAGGAGAGATAAGGGATCTGGAGATAGATAGTCATGCATGTAGAAAAGTAAGAAATAGGAAAATAAGCGTGTGGCGGAAAAATGGTGTGTTGATATGGTACGGTGGCTGTGTTTGAGAACGAAGATGATTGCGTAGAGTGGGATGAATAGATTTGAAGAGGGTGTGGAGGATGGATGTAGCGTTAACAGGATTTAGGAGGTGTTTTGATGGAGTGCAGTCGTAATAGGCAGTAGTGGTGGATATTAAAGTCGTAATAGGCCGCGGTAGTGTGCTTCAATCCATCGAGAGTAAGTATCATCGAAAAGGACGAATAAAACAGAGGATGCCCAACAAGAGTGTTTCGTGAGACGCAGGGTCGCTTAGAGAAGCAGGTATAACGACAAAAACGACTAGAGCGTGTTTTTGAATACCCTGAGAATATGGATTAGTCCTTTCGATCGTAACGATTAACTTGATAGGTCGATAAGTCGATTAGAGATAAATTGATTTGCAGCAAGGGTTATTAGCGTAGTAGTGCATGGATTTGTGCGCAAGGTATGTTTGATGCAGGAATGTGCATGTGAGGGTAATACGAGATAACTCCTGCCGAATGAGCGTTCATCATCTCGCACTAACCCACTTTCATACCCCATGCTAAAAGAGAAACAAGATCCCATGACCAATGAATTCCATTGCTCGCAAGAAGGTAGAGAAAACAGGACACCCTCTCACACAGAGAATCCCAGATTCCCTATCAGACGTGAAGCCATGAGTTCATGATTTTGCTGCATTAGCTCAATCATTCACCCAATAGGACCGCGTAATCGATTCACGATTCACGTACGCGGTATCTGCTGACTCTGTTGTTGATGCTGAAGAGAAGACAAAGTACGACTTCCATTGCCCCCGCCAGCCATTGAAGCATCCACAACGTTTCTCGGCGTCTGATGTTGCTGTTGGCCTTGACCTTGATAATCCACCCCTGACCCCGAAGTGCCGGCGGCAGTCGCGGGACTATTTTCAAGATAATTCGACAAGTCCCATGAGCCTCTAGCGCTTGCTACAGCTGCCGCATTTCCAAGTTGTGCTTGATAGTGTTGTTGTGGTGTAGGCATGTGATGTGTGGTTCCTTGTGGCCAATGACTCGATTCTTGTGTACCATGTGGTACTGCGATTCTTAGATCAGGGGGACCACCTTGGAAATTTATTGATTTTTGGCTTTGTGGTGAGATTGCTCTCTGTGCGGGAATATTGGAGTTGTAAGCTGTAGAAGTTGTTGATCCTGATATTGATCGTGGTGAAATTCCTCCATGATGATCACTTGTGTATGGTAAGCCTACAGATGAAGTTTCCGTAGCGTAACCGGTGGAGCTGACGGGTGTCAGGAGGGCAGGGGCATGTGCGGGTGGAAGGGTTGAGGAAGGACTGGCGGACTAAAATTCACCGTTAGCATTTTAATCCATACCAAGAATCGATAAACCAAAAGGTGTGCTTACATATTTGCTGATAATCTTCTTCAAAGCGGATCCTAAATCCTTCCAGTGAAAGACTTTGACATCCTTTTCAATATTACGAGGCTTGGGATTAGGGAACGCCATGATAACTTTAAAGAACTCCTCGCTATCAGGCTTTGCCTTAGACACAGTTGCGGGTCGGAAACCTTCTAGATTTCTCCGTATTCTGTTCTTCTCTTCCACGGTGAACTTTGCTGCCACTAACGCTTCCAATAGGGTAATAGTATCAACGCTTGTGACATAACAATCATTTTTCTCTTCCCAATATATGCAGCTGATTACAACAGATTGAGGTGGTCGTTCGTCAGCTGAAATAGAATTGAAAGTTGTCGTGATAGTGCATCCAGATTGTGATCGCTTGAATTGGACCAGCCGCCTCTTTGACTCCCATTCTTCTGCGGTCCAGTTATTTACCATCATATCACCCAAATCCCCGCTGATTTCCAATTTTGCTTTGTTTGCGTACATTGGGTAAGGATTGTATGTATGGCCTGCATGAGGCGTAGCACCCGGACTTGAAGATTGTAAGGTGGAAGTTCTTATCAAAGCTGGGTTGCCAGGAGATGGCAAGGATGACATATTAGAACGTTGCATTGAATTTGATGGTAAACCTGGGCTTCGCGCCATACTTGAGCCAATCGTGGAATATCCAGAGTTCCAAGTAGATACATGCGGAGAATGTGCTTTGAGAGTGGGTGGCGAAGTTGTTGATGAATTTCCATATCCATAACCTATGTTTCTAGGAGCAGCTTGCGCTGGATAGCCACCGGAGGATCGATTATATTGAGGCAACAGATTACTGTAGGAAGAACTTGCTTGAAGGTACGATGAGTATGATGAGGGGGAGCCATCGCTCGATGAAAATGAATAAGGAAACTCCTCTTTCGGTTTTAGCTGCTGGGAATTACGTTTCGCTGGGCTCCTCATTAATTCCGCAGATTCTGTCGAGATCTTCCTTTTTCTAGTTCCCTCAAGTGACTGTGGGCCATTTTCGAATGTGAAGTCCCCAACATCAACCTTGGAAATAACATCTCCATCACCTTCCATGAACATCGAAACTGGTACCCGGGAAGAGGACCAACTTGTAGATGCAAACTGAGGAACCTCACAAGTCACAACGTAACTGCAAACTCCTCCAGACTGGTTCATTTTCCTTACGGAGGCCTGGCATTTCTGTTGTCCAAACACCAGATAGAAAGTCGGCGAGTTCGAAGTCAAGAGCTCGTACAAAGTGGTTATGTAGACGCTGACTGTAGTACCCTGACTTCCCCGCTGAGGTGAAAATGATGTAACTTCGGGTATTGGCGTAGACCCAACATTCAAGTAGGGACCCGCTGGTTCATCATAAGTAGTACGTGTGTTACTTGATGCATAACCTAGCGAAGTCATCTGTCCGGCATTTTGATAAACTGGGGCAGGCGTTGACGTTGGAATTGAAGACTGAGTTCCATATGGAGGCGTTGAGTATGGAAATGCGTTCTCGGAATATGGTCGTCCAGTTTCGTAGCCTGTTTTTGAAGTTAGTGATTCCTTGGCTTCATATGACATTTGGGTAAAGGAGTTTCCCTTCACCATACTGACCATGGAGCTGTGGTGGTTGCGGTTTCCCGTAGGCAGACATTGACAGAATATCTGTCGGGGAATCCGCCCGGGGCACAAGGGCTCCCTCGTACCCTCCTTCGTGTAAGGCTGTAGTCTCTGGTGATGGATAAGTCTCGTCGATTATTATCGGTCGACCAGAGGAGAGGTGTTCGGACTGTAAATAAAGCATTGTATTAGCGGAAAAGATATCAAAAAATAAGAGTCGGAAGGATACACATACGTCGAACAAAGTGTAAGTTGAGTAGGCCAGTTTGGCGGTGGGAGAAGAATAAAGCTAAAAATACTATCGACTCCACAAGAACACTAGATGAACACTTCCACGAATCGAGAAGTTCTACTGATGAATATCGTAGAAACTTCGGTCCATGGAATATCCAAATATCGTGAAGTGTTAAGGTCGTGAAGAAGGAGAATTGCGCGATGCTGAGCGGTGTCTATATGACGATTGGAAAGAATGAAGTACTGTCGATTAAAATGCTTTCGACAAAAGTAATGGAGCCGTTTCCAATTATTCTTCAAGTGACAAAGTGTTGGGTGTATAATGGTAGTCTGTTAGATAAATTTTGGTACTCTAGGACACTCAGATAGAATAATTCCCTTTTTCCTTCCGTTCTTGGGGAAAATTAGGGTTTGATCCGCAGTGACTTATAACGATTTAATGATGAGATGCCGAGTTTAAGTAATAGAACTTGAATAGAACAGGTTAGTCGAAGAAATAGTTTCAGAGCTGAATCCTCTTTCAACGACGCTTGTTTTCCAATTTCTTAACTAGCGATTTTAAGTTCCCGCGCTCTAGAAATAACTAGGGCAAAGGCGTAAATCTTTTGAACAAAGTCTCGGGAACATGAAACTAAAAGGATAAAGTACTTTAGAGAGTCGATAACGATACTAAAGGGAACTCTATGAATCAATCAGCCTGAATGACTCTACAAAACGATGAAGAGACAAAAAATATTCTCAAGATGGCTGACGAGGAGCGTTCATAGTTTAGTTGCATTCATGGTGAGGGATGGGTTGAGGCACGTACAGGACAAAGAATTTGAGGTTTCTTGGATGTTCGATAGGATATGCCGATTGCCAGAAGATATGCAGCCACCCGGATGGCCGAACCTTTTGAATGAACCTGTTCGTTGCGAGGTAATGTCAGTATTCGTATATCAAAAGTATGCCGTCATTATAAGTGTGCCGGTGACAAGTTGTCGTCGAGAAAGATGGTGTAGTATAAACAGGTAGTAAGTAGCATGTGCGCATGAGGGAGGGTATACCAAGGGTACAACGATAGCCTAGTGGTTAGATTGTGTGGTGGTCGAGGTGGAGGTTATGCTTTTGATCACCCTAGTTCCGTATATAGAATGGCACATATGACTTCTCAATGCAAGGATGAGGAGGTGTGATGAACATAATAAATAAAAAAGGGTAAAGCGTGAAATACATACTAATGGTGGGGTCTGGAAGGCACTTTTAGGGTTTATGAGTAAGTTAAGTGACTTCTACTGGGCGAAGAAGAAACGCAGTAGTTAGCTAAAAAGGTAAAGGGCCTGTTGCGTGTGGCCTCTCTCTTGATTGCTCGGATCTCGTGTAGGGTGCAAGGCGGCTGATGGCTGATCTGCTGAATGTGGTCACACCAATTTGAAAGGTTCGAGGAAGCTGCTTCAAACGCCTCGCAAAGGCTGGGCCAAGTCAAAAGTCTTCTAGTTTGCTTACCCCGAACAAAAGAATGTAAATATCAAGTCCGTTTATCGGATCCTTGGTATAGTTGCGAACCCAGATATACTACTTTTGCGGCTTTCTATTTCATCCGATCGTGTATTGTATATATTAAAAAACGTTTGAAGTATTTCGTGGGATGAAAATGGAGGCTTCGAACGGCAGGATTCGGATGCAGGCTAGACACGTTCTTGATATTGGTTTTGGATGTGGCGGTTGCCTTCATAGGATTTGGAATGAGGCAATGGTGCTTCGATGACTCCGAGTCTGGGCAAAGAACTTTTGTTAGGTTCGAAAATACGCGGTCGATATTTTGCTGAAATGCTGCGCAGTTTTGGGTGGTTTCTAAAGTCTTGAAACCATAGGTTAAGATGAAGTGTGGAGAAAAAAAAGGCTGACTTTAACTTTGAAGGCAGTGAGGGAGAACGGGATTTGTTGCGGACGGGTATGTAGATGGTATGGTTTAGTAGGAGTGTGTCGAAAGAGAAGTGGCAGTAATCACTAATTAATATTTTATCGAAGTTGTTGAATGAATATTAAGAGCTAGACATGGAAGATGTGAAGATTTTCTGCTTAAAAAAAACAAACCCAAGGAGTAATAGATGTGTGTTGGCTTGTTCGAGAAAACCGAGGTAGGTAGTATAGGATCAAAGTAGGAACATTAGAGCTTGACCGGGAGCTCTTCTCGAATTCGATGCTGACCTCGAATTTCGGCTTGGATTAAAGAAGATGGATGTTGTTGTTTGAACTGAGGTGTACTAAATCTATGACATGCATTCCCTAATGGAGAGGATAACGAATACGTTTTCTTGCTCTTGCATACGACAGGGTTTCTCTTTAGGAGCAGGAAAAGACGTGGAGTAGATTTTGGATGAAGGATTTCTTGGAAAGGTGATGATTTCCTAAGGTTCAAAGGATAGAGAAGCCACGGTCAAATCTAATCGGGTTTGGTCGTGTGCTTCATTCGATGAAAGTAGATATTGAACTGTAGGTCGGCGACTGCGGCTTGAATTGATGAGATCGAAATGGAAATTATATTCTATGCCGATTTATTCAGAATGTGGAGAGGGAGGCTTTTGACAGGACAGCAGCTTCGGATTAGATTGGACAGAATTGCTTTCTTTTTTTTTATCTCTTTTTCCTTTTTCTTTCTTGGGACTTGGTGGTCTGAATTAAAAATTTATGACAATTAATATTATTTATTATTATTATTATTATTATTATTTTTCGAAAAAAAAAAAAGATGGTACGAAATTTACAAGAACAACATTAGTGCACCAAAAAATTCATGATGGGAATGTGGATGACGGGACTTTACTGTAAGAGGCGGTGACATTTTTCCCTAGAGAGTGGAATGAGGACAAGGGGAGCCCACTCAAGCTCAAGGATATAAGTTCGAAGAGAAATTCTAACGAAGACCCTTGTTCGGAGAAGGATTATGCTTTGGGTATGGAAGAATTTCCGTTTCACGGACAAGTTTCCTCTTTTCCCCAAGTCCCTGTTGAAAGATCTTTTTATTTTCCTTGAGTTTACAGGGGATTATATGGGGATGATCGTTCTATTACAAGGATGATAGAAATTTCGAGAGGGAACTCTTACCCTGCTCATTATTTTCTATTTGGCTTGTATGCTTGGCCATTTGAAAGAGCATTTCGGTAATCAGGTCGACATGGGATGCATCCACGGGTGAGATAGATGGCCGCGAGATGAGATGTTATTGTCGTACAACGTACCCAGGCTGTAGCTGCCCCTGCTAGGCCCATCGATTCAATTGCGGCGAAGCTATTTAGTGGATCAAATAGGGCCACGACTAATATAAAAATAGTGACAAATTAGAAGCTTTTCTGCCTTTATAAGCCTTCTAAAGCCCATGATAACTTGAGGGATCCCTTCTAACTTCTTAAAGCTCCAACCCTGCAAACTCTCTTTTCTTCCTTGAGCTCCCTGCTTGGAAGCTACTTGGAAGCCGCGGTACCAGAGCATCCACTGTCCGGAATCCCCCAGAACCCTGAAATAATATACTGCTCCTCCGCTTTCGTAGAGATTGATCGAATGGGATGAATGGGAATGGTAGTAGAAAAATGGTAGAGATGAAATGGATTAATGATGATTGAGGGGCATCGTTTCATACTTTATTTCGTTTCCGATTAGGCCTTTGTTCTAGTGATGAAGGGGGATTCTCGGTTGAGCAAATTGGTGTTTGTCAGATCGATAAATTGTATTGTTCTCAGCAGCACCACAAGAATTGATCGCGTTAACACATCATCATTGCGATGAGGTATGCATTATCTTTCATTTAATCGCAATCCTCTTTTAATTCACGTCGCAACTCGTGGAAAATACATACCGCAGTACCTTCAAAAGCACACGTAATTCCACGTACCCTCTTCAGAGCTGTACAATCAAAAGCCCCTCGTACAAAGAATACCAAAAGTGCGGTACGTACCGTTCAATTCCTGCCCAAGTGAAATGTTCCGAAGAAATTATCATCTGCCCTTTGGCAACTTACATCTTGCATATAATACTTGCATAAATGAACGTCACTAGACTTTGTACATACAGCACAAAGCACCCTTCATTAATATCCATGCCCGGCCAATTGTGAAACTTATTCCTTTTTTCCTTTCGCTCGGCACTTGAGAAGATCACTCAATTGTTTAAGAGCATTTAGATCCCTTGTTAACCCTGGCTATCAATTCCCAATCTTCGGCAACTGGGTCTATCGAATAAGTCCGACGATCTCATTATCTGAATCTCCGAATTTAGCTTCTTCTCTTGTGAAGATGAAATTCCTTCGTGGGAAATCGTCAATCCGGGCATCATTTACTGCTGGGCCTGCTATGCTTATTTTCGGTCGCAGTATTCTAGGCTACCCCCTCGGGAGAGGGCACTAACACCAAAAAATATTCTTGCGCAATATTGTACAGCAGCTCAAATTTTTCGACATATTCTCCTAGCTACATAACACAAGCACAAATGACCATTTCATCGGAGAAAAAATTCTTGCTATTCTCTGGTCGTCCTAATCGCTTTCGTCGGGTTCGGTCCAGAGCTAGCAAGGTGAGCGGGATGAGCATGGGAGGCTCGACTCTTTTAGGAATTAATGGCTGTCACTTCTCATGCTGAAAGCTTGGAGCGAAAGCTGGTGCTCATGATAAGCAATACTAATACTTGAACTAATTAATCGGGAAGTGGACTCCTCCACCAATATTGATGGATTAGAATCGAAAAATGGGTGAAATATGAATTATCCTCACCATCGATGTGATTAAAGACGCCCTCGATGATAAATAGGCGTTGGAGTGCTGCTTGACGAATCACGGCAGAAGTGTAAGGGTGCTGCAGGCAAAAGATCGACACTTGGATGTTCGGGAGTGTCAGGTCATCTACATTATGAGAAGAGTGCTATGCCTAGGTAGGTGTGCATATTGTGCATATTAGACAGGGTTAGAGGAAGTAGGATCACTAGACACTGGACGCCACAAACGACAGGCCTGTTCGGAAAGGAAACCCGAATTCTGGAAAGTACCTCTTTTCCCTTTTTGTGCCCGGTGTAGCCAAATTGATATTCTCCATCTTTTCCCGGTTGAGTTGAAGAGCTAGGATGAATACCTTGGATGGTAGCAGGACTACAACTCAAAGTTGCCCAGCCATAGGAAGGTCTTCAACACCTTACGAGAAAACCACAAGCCTCCCGTCGTGACCGTCGGAGCACAGATTAAAATCGTATTCACCGCTGCTGTGGAATCAAAGAAAGGGAGGAACAATAACATAACCCCTACCTTAGCTTTTCTAATACTGCAGTGCTTCCTCTTATTCGTTACCTTCCCGTCGAAATACTTTCTCTCACTTCCCAAAGGAAGGGGAGAGGAATGCGTAATACATTTGGTCAAAATACTTGCGTCTCGTAACCTGTCTGTTATTCTATCATGTGAACTATGAATAGAACCATAAAACGACCACAATAGCTCGGTCTTCGTAATGAATTTATGAAAATATAATAATGATATATTTTCTGACAAAGAAGTGACCAGATCATGCGGGAGATTTCCCCAAAGTAACCCCGAACTAATCCTAGTCAAGTAATAAATTCAGGAGAGTATGTGACGAGTTCTCTCCCTTTTACCATTTGGTTGGTTATGATTGGATGGAAACCTTGAGGTCAATTCGTGGCTGTGCTTGTTTTGAAATAATTGACCCTCGTTTTTGGTTGCATCGACAGGATTTGGGGCATCCTCTATGGTATTGTCAGCTAGGGAAAAGGACTTTAGATCTTGATTAGTCATGGGGTAAATAGGCTTGTATGTACTCCATTGCTCCGTATGCAATACACCAAGAAATGGAAAGCTGCTTTTACAAGAAATATGCTAAGAAGTTGCTAAGAAGTTGCTAATAAATTGCTAATCCTCATCCCCTTCATTGAATTTGATTGCGTTGTAGATTGAAGCGATAACATCGGTATATTCCATCAATCTAAGCAGAGCTTTTGTCATTCCGGACCTTCTTCAACTGTTCCGTTCCAAATTTTTCCTATCAAGCGAAGTATCTTTCATTTCATCGGAAACTACTTTCCTCACTCCTATTCTAATAAACTCTCTCGCTCGAAAATCAAAATGGGTACCGCTACTCCTATCTCTAAAAGTGGCATTGATTTAGGTCTTTTCTCCCACCAAGACTATCAAAAGATGCAGATACTATCAGTTGCTTTTGCTTTTTCTTCCTCCCTCAACCCCTTACTCATAAAAGCCATTTTCATGCATTAATTCAAACCGTTTAATATCTGTCGTATTTTTCCAACAGAAACGGACTTTCAGGTACCAAGGAAAACAAGCTTTATGACCTGAGCCAGATCACCAAATTGACAGCTCGCAAGTACCTAAAAGTTTCCAATTCTAATTCTAAAACTAACTCTGACAACCCTTTTCTCTTCTCTAAGGCGTGGCTTCAATAGTTTGAATAGCTAGAAAAATCCTCGAGAAAATTAACAATATTTCAACTTTTTTCCTTACCTCATCTCATCATGAATATCAGTTATTATCATTCTATCATGATCAGATCGCTGGACTCGAGATTCCGCGATTGCATCGTTGTAGTACACGATATTGTCGGATTGTTGCACCTCATGCAAGGTCCCATATTCATCATTACCTCATTACCGACTTCGCTCGAAAGCTAGATTGGCCGGCCTTTCGGGTGTGATGTTGAATAAAGTTACGATCATCTACTAAGATTTTCCTTGTCATACACAATACCTACGCTTGTTTTCTGTAGCAGGCCAGGGCTCTACACGCCGTTTGCGGCAGTGCTGGACGGACACCACACCATACACAAACAACGTTTGCGAGTTGGTCAATGAATCAGATGGAGCCACGACATCTTACAACTTACAACTTACCAGACAGGCTCTTCATACAGTTATCATACAAATTGTTACAACAGCAAAACATCGATTGAATGCGCCACCAAACTTTTGGCTATTAGCTCAAAATTAGTCGCGACTCGAGCCCCTTTCCGAAATCGTGTTGGTTTTTTATGCGGCTTGCAACTCTGACTTCTAAGCGCGCATTTTTAAAATTATAGCAAAATATATCATAACAATACAAATTTTCGATTGCTACGCCACCAAGGTAAGCTCCGTGTAATTTCCCATATGGCTACCTGCATGAATTATTTCCTTACACAATACTTTTTATTCTTGAGAAAAACAAAAAACATCGGTCGGCACAGTCCGGGCCTTGGAATACTCCTAGTAAATTCGCCAAGAATTGCCATAATCGGGTTTCGAGTTCAGCTGAGTTAGATAGTCTCGAATCAAATGCTTCTTTTTTGATTTGCTTGCTGTTGCTGACATAGCTGTTGTGATAACACCTCTTATATCCAACAACGGATATAAAACTGAATGAGTAAGAGCTTACCTTAATCTTTTGATTCTATTTGTGTGTTCTTCTGTGCATGGACAGGTAGCAGGGCCTTGCATCCCTTGTATCACGGCAACTTTCTTACCAACCACGGTTCTGGATCCTTATTTGATCTTCTTACCCTTGGCTTGCTGCATGAAGCCGAATTTCGGTTCCTGGTCGTCGGGTTGATCATAATTTCATGTACTCATCCAATTTAGATTCCATGTATCTCTCTCTCTCGTAATGCGCTTGTTGGCAAAATGTTGATCTGGACTATTTTCAGGTCCATTGTGCTGCGTGACATCTAAAACGACAAGCTGAATCAACGAACGACCTTGCATTGTATTCAACAAAACGATCAAAACTAAAATCTTTGCGAAGGGGAAGAAAGGTAAGGAAAAGACGCTTTTCCCGTCCTGTACAAAAACTCCACGTGGCGACGACGGAATTGGAAATTGATGACGATAATCTCACTGCTGCATTTGTATGTGTTCCCGCGGCTGCCACGTGTATTTAAGGCAAGCCGAGAATTCAAGGAATTTCCTGCGGCCGGGCAAAAGTTGTTATACGAGAGAAATTCTCAAGAGCGGAATGGGGTACACGGTATGTAATCAGCCTTTTCTTTCCTTCCTGTCTACTTGGCATGTGCATAGATGATCATTGGACGTCTGTAGCTGCAAGAGATCTACGAAGCATAACCGTCTGCGCGGGACAGGGAACAGGGCTTTCGATTCATGTATGATGAAGTGCCACCAATATCCCTTGGGAAATCACGGGTAGCTTCATATTCTCATTCCCCATTGGGAATATCTACTCGGCTTGCTGAGACGGAAGATGAGGCGGGATGAAAGGTACCACAAAGTACCGAGACTCGAGAAAGTAAGCTCACAGATAACGAGGCCTTGAAAGGCACAATTTCAAGTCCATTTGCGAAATTTGGATAGCCAAAGTTTAGATGGGAGCTGTGTAGTTGTTCAGTCAAACTCTACTCGAGCTTTCGATTCCAAAATGTACAATATAAGTCTTTGATGCTAGTGCAGATCAAAGGAGAGAAAGAATTATATGGGTCTGTCAGGAACGCAGTCTAGATGAAGTACCAAGGCTTACGATGGCATGGAATGACATTGATGATGCTCACTTAGTTACGCGTCCTTGTAAGATCTTATGCGATATCTACTTGTGAGCTAAAAGCAAGATTTCAATCACTAGTCAAAGGTCAATACAAAAGCCAGCCTTAGCATATTGGATAACTTTCTCTCTTCTCAAAATTTTGTGGCATACCTGCAAGTCAAGAAGTTTACAAGTCATGAACTTCGAGAAAGTCAAGTATACAACTAAACATGTGGTTCTCAATCTTACTGGTTCATTTTAGAAAGGTCGAGTTGACTTTTGTCTTCGCTGAAATTGCTACTATAACTGCCATTGAAATATTGCAAGATGTTAATAACATCAGTAGCGATTTTAAAATGATGTCTAGTTTTTAAGAACCAGGGACTTCACTTCGAACATATTTGTTTGCTTGTCAAAAGCCTTAGGAATTACCTTTCTATCTTGATTCAAATTCTACTCCTCTCCTGAGATCCTAGTTATATAGATGGGAGGTACAGCAATCACATGTCATCGCCATTGAATTGATTGATGGGAAGGATTTGAGCATTTTTAGGAAATTAGTCATCAATACTTTTATTGTTCAGAATACAACACAAAAAATAACAAAAATGTAAACTTTCGATCCAATATCTCCATCACAATTAATTTTTATTTCAATAATCGAGCATTGTTCACCAGAACGAAAATGCACTGCAACCTCATCATGTATATATCTCGGCGTCCCGGCTCACACACATCCCAACCCCTGACGACAAATCCCCATAACCCCTCAAAAAAATTCCCGAAATGCACGAACCGCGGTCCCAACCACGGAACATTTGGCGATGTATGTACGGAGTATGTGATGTGATAGCGGAGTGCAGGAATCGTGAGATTAAGAAAGTTTAGGTGATGTGATGTGATTCACTTATTTTAAACATTTATTTGCCGATCACGGTCGTAGTCACTATCACTTGCATGTGCAGATATTATGTATGTGTGTGTGTGTGGGTGAGGGAACATGGTTCAGACGTGGAGTTCGGGAGGGGTTTCTGTTTTGGGGTTGCAGCGCCGTGGGGGCCGGAAATGCGGGGGTGCATTTTATAGAGTATATATAGTGCTTTTCCAACGACATTGCATGGCATGGTATGTGGTGATTTTGATATTATTTTTTGGTGATGGAGGGAGTTATGGTTGAGGGTGAGAAATGCTTGCTTGGATTATAGCTGTTTATGCTCATATTTTTTATGGATGGATGTTGGAGGATGAGGTAAACTATTTGTAGCTCTACCACTTCGTGATTAGATTTCAGGATATCTAACTCTCCCGAATAATCTAATCTCCCACTCTCATCTGACAAGTTATAACTTTTGCCGCCTTAAATTTTATTGCCTAGCGTATCAATACATCTGAACAATGACAGCCTCCCTGCCAAATATGCAACTCCGCGTCGTTTCTCTCATCTATCAATCTTTCCCGTACCAGATGCTTTGATCCCTAGGAAACTACACATTACCGACCACCACCATCTATGTAATCCGTTTAGGTCTTATATATAACCTGGTTTCATGTATTCGGGATGATGTTTTTCGAAGTGTTTCCCCAATAGCAAATTTTAATTGCACATATTCATCCCGCACTCACCTACCAAGATACTGCGCGCGTGAACTTTTGGGGCGATTTTGATACCTATCAACCATGGAGCCTAGGAAAACCCAAAATTTTCCCCAGTAATTCTCCATTTATCCTAAGACATTTCAGGTCACAAGTGCAGTTCCGACAGCAACCTCTCCACCTGAGAGTCCTCGGCTATCACTATCCTCAAAGTGGCTATACATACGACTGACGGTAGTATTATGAAGTACTATCATGATAGCTGATATTTAAGTATTTGATATTCCAGTAGTAAGTCTTACATTTAAATTACAATAATATTATATATTACAGTACGTATATAACCTGGCCATATCACATTATTCATTTACAGAATCACAAGAATTCGAGAAATTCTACCAAATTGAAACAAAATCCCAAGAATATTGAAGTGCTATTAGCAAAATTCTAATAGATATTACTTCAAGAATACCCGTTTCGGAAAGGTATTGTCTGAATTTCAATGCTTTGGTGTATTTCGAATAATGTACAATATTCTAAATTCCATACGATATTATCAATGATATAGAATCTCATATTAAACACGGCAATACATATTCAAAAATACCCTACTCCTTACTACGAATCAGCAGCTAATTATTTGATATGAATTCCATAGCACGATTATACATAAATCTTACATATCACAAAAGTGCAAAGATAACTTAGCGGTGATCAAACTTTTAATTATAATAAGAATATAATCTTGCAAGTGTATGTAAAGAATTCAGAATATATGTATGTCCAAGGTATAATGTAATATAGCTCCATATGAATTCCTGTCTCAAAAGCTTTCCAATATTCGGAGCATTCTTAATTTCAACTACCTATGAAACGTGGACTTCCCACTTCCCATCTTGAGAAGAAAGAAAGGAAGGAAGGAGAAAGTCCGAGTAAATCATGAATTATTCCCGCCCTTCCACCCCCCCCTCCTTCCTAACACAACGCAAATCCAGAACGATGTGTTTTAATCTTCCTAATATATAATTAAATGCAACGTCTCACTCAGGCCTAGTGTCTAACACAATAAACATACCATTTTCTTCATTTTTTAAAATTCCCCTCTGTGTCAATGATGAAAGTCTTCTGAAAAGCATCTAAAAGCATCCAGATTAGATAAAATTGAATGAATGGATGGCATGTATTGGAGTCATCTAAGACAGAAAGTTCTTTCTAATTAGACCGCGGTGTATGTAAAATTGATGTTAAGAAGGATAACTACGGTTAGCAGAAACTGGAGGATGAGAAAATGATTATTTGCTCGGGATGTTTTGAGGTGGTGGATAGTGCAGTAAGTTAATGTGTCATAATATGGGCTGCAGATGGATTAAAATCCGGAGAATTTCTTATCTTCGATGTTGTTTTGATTATCAATAAGTTCTATTGAAATAAAAGATTGAGTGAACGATTGAAATGGGCTTCTATGATTGGATTTAGTTCAATTTTTACTACTCCCTCATGCCTGAAACTCGACAAACAGGCCAAATTGAATTGCACGTACGAGTAAAATCTAATTCTTCAAAATCCTGAAACACTTAACCGGGTATTATACTACAAGTCTAAATTCAATCCCTTATCCTCCTCACTTATCCTACCACCAATTACTCCTAAGCAACTCTAAAGCCCTCAATCCACTCCCTAACCCTCTCACAATCCCACCTATCAGATCTATTCTCCGCTATCATCCCCTTAATTCCCTCCGCCATCTCGTGGTTTTCAAACTCGGTCGGATATATACCCGATTTGATATTATTTATTACAATATGACGCTCGGTACGAGTTTTAAAAGGGGTAATTAGCTCAAAAGCTATAATACCCAAGGCATAAACGTCTAATTTAGGACAAACAATGGAAGATTTTCCCGGAGGCATATATAGTTTCGTACCTGCTTGCTTTGATCCGAGGCGAGAAAGCTGTGATGATGGATTGAGCTCTATGGCTCTAGTATAAGGGCCAGTAGCGGGAGTAGCTGTAGTTTCGGCTAATTTGACTGCTAAGCCAAGATCTCCAATGCAAGGTGTAATGTAAGCTTTGTTTTGATCGGCAGTACCAGTACAGGTAGGACAGGCCCTCCGGCTGACGTCTATGAGGTCGTAGGAAGGAACGAATGCTTCGAGGTCTTTTTTAGCAGATAGGAATATATTTGCTGGCTTGAGATCTCTATGAATCAAGCGTTTTGCGTGGAGATATTGAACTCCATTGAGGATAGCACTTAAGATTCGGATTGTGGGAGTTGTATGAAAGCAGTGGCGGATAGGAAACTCGTGGCCTGTCTGCGGTGCATCAGTCGATATGTATTCCTCTAATGTAAGAGGATAGACAGTGAACCGAATGTATAGAATGCGAGCCCTGTTGTCTCGTGAATTGATGGCATTGTCATTGTTATCATCTTCGTCATCGTCATCTTCATCTCCAGCTTCATCTCCATCTCCATCTTCTGCTTCCACTACATTAGTAGACTTCCTACTACCCGTTGTAGTCTTTGTCTCTGAAATATCAAAGATGACATCACTGCTAATTCTCCCTTGGCGCTGTCTTCTGTTGTCCTTCTCTAATTCTCTCTCCATATCTAGACGCAAGCTGGCCATGCCGAAAGTGGGATCTTCCTGCAGTCCAAGTTCGTCCTCTGATCTCTCGACTCCACTAAAGCTAATTATTAGTATAAAAACAAATACTAAACAGTTTCCAGTAAATAGGATAGAATTCAGCCTTTGAAATATTTCGGTGTGCCTGGCAAATCCAATTCCGCAATCAAGCTGGATGCACGAGGCCGCCTTCGTGTATCAAGCTGGTATTAGTATTTTGTTAAGTGGATCTATTCTTGATTGCGTCAGGGTTTCCAATAGTCCTGGTTGGGAGATTGAATGATCACATTCAATCTCCAGAAACTTGTGAAATATTGAGCTCAACTCAACATTCAAACAATTTGAATGTTACAATCAAATCCAAGAATCAAGGGTTCCTCATTGCCGGGCTTTAATCTGGACTAATAGAAGCACTAACTATAATTGTACGGGAATTTAAATCTTCACAACATATTTAAAAGGCATCTTACCTCAAAGTCATGGAAAGATAGCTTGACTCATCAGCTTCCATCAATCGCCTCGCTGATGGAACAATTTCATTGCCCATTTCGATCCAGCATCCATAGTAATTGACGATATTGGGGTGCTTGTGTTCAGCCAATGCTTTAACCTCAGATAATAGTGCTGCTGTATCAACCTTGCGTAGCTGATCTGGTGTGATAATGACCTAGCAAAATACGAAAGTTAGCGACGTAATATTCAAACCATAACAGAGACCCAAACAGAGCCAAACGCTTAAACAAATATGGGGTGCCCTAATATAGCTGAAAATCAAGGCAGGGTGTTCAGCAGTTCGGTCTTAGAAGATGAGATGAAAACTTTCAATGTTTGGAAAAATCCAAACTTTTGAGTACAATTCAGTATTTGGAATAACTCGAACGTCTCAATTGAATCTAAGCATCCAAAGGCTCCTCATTGTTGAACTGCAGTCCGGCCACCGGTTATATTGATTGGGAAGTGGCTTGGTGCTCACCTTCTTGATAGCGCACTCTAAATCATCAACTCTGTGTCTAACTTTATAGACTGCGCCAAAACCTCCTTTGCCCAAGAGACTAATCTGCTCCCATTCTCTATTATAAATCGACCTATACTGAAAGGGATTCGAAGTCAACGCGGCCGATGAGAATGGATTCTTGGGAATCATCTCAAGATTTAGATTTGGCGGCTGATCAAAGTAGGACAACCCAAATGATGAACCAGATGCCAGAGGGAGAATAGAGTTCTGGCTGAAGGTCGAGTTCTGCATCCGCTGTGATGCACTGTTTGCGAGAATTAAATCGAAGGTTGAAAGATAACCCTCACGAAGAGCTGCGAATTGTCGACTCGCAAGCTCATCTGCTCTAGGAAGTACCCCTGACTTACGGAGCTCACTCGCCATATCGCTAAAGAGAACTTGAGCTAAACGTTGGATATCTGGATGGTCCTCCGGTAATTGATCATGGGGTGCACGACCAGAGTTTAAGGTGGTCAAGGCTTGTGCTTTACATCTTGCCTCGATCAAGGAGAGGTAGAAGAGAGTAGATTGTTGGTTATTTGATTGTCCAACTGGCAATGGTAATCTTACATCGCCAAATCTTGTCAGAGCCGTGGACGGAGCCAGGTGAGGAAGGTGTATATCTTCGGTGGATGAATCACATTGAGATTTTTCATCCATTGTATCTTCATCGCTAGAGAAGGTTTTCTTGTTTCCATTGGAAGACATTCTGTACTCCACCCCTATTTCGTCCTGGGGCGATTTTCGATATCGAACTGAGGTCTGAACATTGAATGACCGATATATAACCAACGAAGAGAGAGAAAAAAGTGCAATATAAGCCTGGTATTAGAGTCGAGTACACTTTAATAAGGGTAAGTCTGACTCCTATATAGACTTTTGTCCTTATTGTAATCTGTCAAGTAAAGGGCCTCCTACGGCAGAGCATGGGATGTAGGATATGAAGCTGCACCGAGCTCTAGAACAGTCATCGAAGCTTCTTTCTATTTCTGGAGTCGCGTCCCGAAAAAATGGGTCTCGGATCCAATGGACCACGTGATGAATGAATAGATGATACTGCGTCGGTGAGACACGGCAATATTGTTATCAAACCTTCCGAGGACCTTTGTCACATTGAATTTCTCTTCTCAAAATCGCAGCGAGCCTGGATTTATTCGATCTTTAGCAAGCTGTTTTTATTTCAAATACCGGCGAATCAAATTCGAATTAAACAATCCATTGCCAGCTTAAATGTTACTGGCTTTTTCTCTTTGCGATAGTGTTGCGCGCTTCTTATGACCGACTGACACGTTCTATATGGCTGGAGGTCAGGTGCTTTCTCTCTGTTTTTGGGTTGGACTGTACTTTTTGTTGGAGAAATAAAGCTACAGATCGGTGCAAGGAGATATATCTATAAGCCTGACAAGAAATTTGTTCTGGAAAGCACTACGGTGAATGCATGCCTTGATAGCGTAGCGCGTGGTATCAAATCACAGCTTAATCCTACAGCTCTCTTCACACGCCTATTTTCGAGACCAAGCAGTTTCCAATTTCCGTTTTATCGTATTCCGCACGGGAGGCTGGTGATCTCTCCATTAGCTAAAGAGTTTCTACTCTCGAAAAACGACTCCTGAAGACAAGTCGACGAACAGGATAAAGGATTGTGAAACGATTTCTAATACATTGAATGACAAGCAACTATTGCACCTTTCATCAAAGTTATCTTGCTGCGCTTGAGATATTCACTCAAGCATCGGTCCCACTCTAGATATCGCCTATAGCAAGCTTGCCACTTAACTAAGTAAAGGATTGAGGGTGGGTAGGTACTCTTGGAGGAATAGATGCCGAGCAATTTTTACTAGTGACGGAGACATTAAATTCAAATCTTGCCACTTCTCAGAAGGTATTGCACGGATTCCCTCCATCGCTCCGTCGACTGAAGGACTAGCGCATAGCACTAGCCACTGTCACTAATCGAATCGGCGGCAGTGATATTATCTGTTCAAATTTCACCACATAATATCTCCACATTACTATGCACTTAGTGGACGTCCAGGTGCACATCTGATTTCCTTGGGATATATACTCAATTTGGCGGCCGTTACATTGTTTGGAGATGCTTCAACTTAATCTATCCACCCAACTCAAGATTAAGCGACCCTCACTACTGTATCCTATAACAAACATCAGCACTCTCATCGAATCATGAGGACACTTCCGTGGAAGGAAAAGGGAGGTTCAAGTACAGTATCTCACCCGAAGAAAAGTATCGCATCAGTAGGCAGATCTACAAAACGCTCTCGTGTTGAAGCTTCTCCATCGGACAGCGATGAGGGCTCCGACCATCCGCGCAAGCAGATCAGCCCCAAAAGTCATAGTATGCGTTCTTACGAGCAGCCTTTCAATGTCTTGCTGATTTTCTAAAGGTCGTGAGCCATCCACATCTCCGCTGCCAGAACCGCCGGTTGAAAGGTTTGTTTTATATACATGATAAATCTCTCTGTATGTTACTAACTAGATTACTAGTTTTATGATAGAAGGTCGAGAGCATGACGATAAATATCGTATGGTTGAAGATGAGTTCTTGACCGTCGCGAAGTCATTCACAGTTCATCTACACACAGCTGAATATAAACGACTTGGAAAAATAGCCAAAACGCGGAATGCCGATGCCATCAATTCCATTTCAAGGCCGGTTGTCGGTAGGATGCCTGATGCAACCAGGCGTAAGACAGAAGAAGTTACAAGGTCGAAAGATCAACGAAACATTTTAGAGAAATTGGTTGGTAAAAAAGAAGGGGGACTTTCTGATGATAGTGATGAAGAAACTTTACCTTTCGTGGGGACTTCGCTTTATGGCCTGATGACAAGCCCGAGGAAACGGGGAGTATCACTCATGAGCATTTCTTCCCCTACCAAAACAACAAGAGCAGCTGCGGGATTTCGCAACCCTACCAAAATGAAAGATGTACCACGTGCGTCTTCTCCAGCTATCAAACGCAAGACTCAAGCTGTAAAACTAGACCTAGATTCTACAGCCTCTGAAGATGAAGACGATGACCTTGACGGACCTATTTCTGCTCCAAAATTTTCGTCCTCTAGACAAGATACCCGGAAGGATTTCGTGTATAAAAAGCAGGAAGCCAGTTCGCCGACGGAACAAAAAATAAAAGGCTCTACTGCGTTACCGATTTCGAAGAGTCCTGCAACTCTCAATGCCAACACGACTAAATCTGCCAAATCTCCGGTGGCCGGTTCGCCGTCTCAACCGTCTACTACTCAAGATAGGATAGCAAGACGAATTGCGCAAGCGAAACTTAGAAAGCAGCAGGAAGAGGAAGACAAAAGGAAGCTTGACATTATATCTACGTTCTTATGATTGGTTAAAGGCTATTTGGTGATGTTATCATCACAATTCTACATTTATGATTCACGTGGTGTCAAAGAAGGCCTCATCCAAGTAACTATGAACTAGATGATTTATTATACTGGGTGCAGGCTATATGTAGAATGATTGGTACATTATCATGCCTTGAAAGGCGTCTCGTATGGTGCTTCAGCTTGCGGCGTGATACGTGCAAGATGTCTGCGAGCTCCGCCAGACCAATCAACAAGAGCTGTATGGACGGCCACTCTGTTGTCCCACACGACCACGGTTTTAGGTGCCCATTTGACTCTTACATGGAAATCAGCTCCCAGCGCAATATGATCATACAAGAAATTCTAAAGAACAGTCAGATCATCGTTGATGCAAATGTTTTTTGGGGGTGGGAAGGGGATATTACCAGTAGCATATCACTTTCCTCTTGTTTAAAACCAACAACTTTTCGAGTGACTGATATCAAGGTCAGTACGGAGCACATAGAGAAGAGCCGGCTCGTACTTACATTGTCTGTTGACATATAATGCCTTTTCTCCAGTTACTGGGTGCGTTCGAACAATAGGGTGAACGTTCACGACAGGCTCCCTGCGAGCAATGCCATTCCTATAGCGAGAAGCGTTCACTTGTTCAATTCCGGAGTGTGTCGCAGAAAGCCCATGCAAACGCTCTTTAAATGAGTCGCTTAGTCGATTATATGCTTCAACACCATTGGCAAAAAGAGTATCGCCTCCGCTTTCTGGGACGTCAAGAACATATAAGAACGTTGTTCCCGGAGGCTGCTTCTCGTAAGTGACATCTGAGTGCCATGCTACACTGTTTGTTCGAGTCTCGAAAAAGCTTTCAGCCGTTTTGTCGCCAGCTGATCTATGTACTAGGTGGACTTCAGGATGACCAGCAGGGGCACCAGATGTTGGATGAATATGAGGTCGCCCAAAGTATCGGCCGTACTCGACAGCTTCTGCGATTGGTAGATCCGCAAAATCTTGATCTCTGAAAGCTACGACTTTTCTTTCCGCGACAAATCGAGCTAATTGATCTTTGCCGGCATTGCTCAGCTTACTCAATTGTACACCTTTGATTTCTGTGCCCATTGCGGGTGTCAAATCAACTGTTTCTACACCTGGTGCAAGTAGTTCTGGATATGTTGTGTCGGCATCCAGCCCATGGTCTCTGTGCTCAAAAGACTCAAGGGGTGGGTATGTTACATCATCCCATGTAGGGAGATAATGCGGGTACTAAGATCAGGGATTAGAATGATCAGTTACTGACTACTAGTAATGAATTTTTCGGAATACGTACTGACGCGGCAGCAAATTTACCAATTCCTTTCTCTTCAGCTTCCTTATCGAACGACGTGGGAGCAAGCTCTTTATAGCTTCCAAGCTCAGTTGCAGTAAACCTATCATTCACAGGCTTTTTCAGTTGAGTTGGAATATTAACGGTTTCAGTTGCTGAGGGTGCCATTGTACTTGATCAGTATTATTGCGTTTGTCGTTGTTGCTGTCGTTAAAGATGTGGCTCTATAATCGGCTGCTGAATGTAGGTTGGGTCATTGTTTTCACAATCGAACAGGATTTGACAGGGCTTAAATATATCTGGATATAACGCGTATTCGCAAGTTTAAACTAGCCATTGGCCCAAACTTCTATATTGAACCCGTCAATGCTTGATAACGACATCGTACATGGTTCTCATTGGGGCTATTCCTCAGAAACTCCCCCGCAAGATCTACTCATAGATAACGATTAAATTGTAACACTCTTGGGACATCCAATACGCAAGCAGAGACATATTATGCGCAATACGGCGCAGATGATCGTTGAGATATTAGGGTGGCTATTGGTCGGTGAATGATGGTGCAATTGTGCTCAGCGATCACGAATGTTAATTGGGAAGTAGGCTGCGGATAGTGGGGATATCGGCGATGGAGCAGGACAAAGCTAGCATTATAAGTTCCCTGTATAATTACTTGTACCTTATCAAGATGAACTTCCTCGACATCCAACATTACCTGCCGAGAAGTCGGACTCGAGGAGGGATGATGCTCCACGTGATATTCTCATCATTGATGGTAGTCACGTGACAGATCCAAAATACAAAGAGTCTTAGGAGAGGTCTCTCAGTGTGAATTTGACTTTCATCATGTTCTGAGAGGGGAAACATGTCAAGTTCGATTTAACATAAAATATTATTTTGTCTCCATTCATCAATCACTCATTATGGCTCAAATGTTGATTGCTGAGAAATCAAGTGTTCCATGTGGTCGTTAAATCTATCCGTACTAATCGATGGCTAACCGTAGCCGGCGTCATTCTCTATCATTTATCTTTGCGGGGCGACTTTTTTCTTTTATCAAAATCAGAAAAAATTGAAAATAAACAGCCGCCATCATGTCTGCTATGGATGTTGACGACGCGCCCGTATCTATTGCCTCAAGATTTCAGGCACAAGATCAGCAAACTGGTGCCACGTAAGTTTCTTCTTTAGAAATCCCAAGTCATTGTCGCTGATAGTTTTAAGTATTCTCTGCTGCAATTGTGGCGCTCCTATCGATGGAACAACCTCCGCCGGCGCTCTCTGCTATGATTGCGTAAAACTTACTGTCGATGTATCGCAAGGTATTCAAAGAGAGGCCACTGTACACTTTTGTCGAGATTGCGAACGATGGTTACTCCCACCTCAAACCTGGATCCAAGCCTCACTCGAATCCCGAGAACTCCTTGCCCTCTGCCTGAAGAAACTTAGAGGTCTACACAAAGTACGAATTATCGATGCGAGTTTCATTTGGACGGAACCTCATTCTCGAAGAATTAAAGTGAAGCTTACTATACAAGATTCAGTATCGGAGGGTGTGGTATTGCAACAATCGTTTGAGGTTGAATATGTGGTTGCCTATCAACAATGTCCCGATTGTGCGAAATCTTATACTGCAAATACATGGAGAGCTTGCGTGCAAGTCAGACAAAAGGTCCCTCACAAGAGGACGTTTTTGTATTTGGAACAGTTGATCTTGAAGCATGGTGCACACAAGGACACTATCAATATTAAGGAAGTTAAGGATGGTTTGGACTTCTTCTTCGCAGCACGAAACTCAGCCGAAAAGTTTGTCGACTTCTTGCATTCCGTGGCGCCTGTTACAGCAAAGAAGTCTCAGGAACTCATTTCCATGGATATTCACACATCTACCAAATCCTACAAGTTCTCCTTTTCCGTCGAGTTAGTTCCGATCTGTAAAGATGATTTGGTTGCGCTTCCGATTAAGTTAGCAAAGTCCGCTGGAAATATTTCCCCTCTTGGTCTCTGTTATCGAATTGGTAATTCTATCAACATTCTTGATCCACAATCTCTTCAAACTGCCGAAATCAGCTGTCCTATATACTGGCGTGCACCATTCAAGCCTTTGGCCGATGTCCAGGAATTAGTGGAATTCATCATTATGGATATTGAGCCCCTTGGACCTACAAAGGGGCGATGGGCGCTTGCCGAAGCCACTGTTGCTCGTGCATCTGACCTTGGATCTAATGACAAAACCTTTTACACAAGAACCCATCTAGGAAATGTGGTTCATCCTGGAGATTCTGTCATGGGATACATGATGACAGGTACCAACTTTAACAATCCCCAATACGACGCTCTCGAGGAATCCAATAATTATGCATCAAAGATACCTGATGTGATGCTCGTCAAGAAATTGTACGCAAGAAAGAAGAAGTCTAAGAACAGGAACTGGCGTCTTAAGCGTATGGGCAAAGAGGAAGGAGAGGTCTTACCCAGAAAGCAAGATCAAGAAAAGATGGATAGAGATTATGAGATGTTCTTACAGGATGTGGAGGAAGATCCAGAGCTTAGACAAACACTTGCTTTGTATAAAGCTCAACAGGCCCAGAAGGAAGCCGATGCTATGAGTGTGGCAGAGACTAGTGATGGTGAAGATGAGACGCCAAAGATTGATATGAATGAGCTTCTCGATGAGTTTGATGAGCTCAATATGCAAGATGATCAATGAGTTTGATGATTCTCTGATGGCGGTTCTTTATATCCTTGGGTGGCGTTGGTTAGAAACGGCGTTTGAGTGTTGCTTGGACAACTTAAAATGGTTACGAGGTTGAGAGCTATGAGAGGAAAAGGGCATCGGCCAAAGCTTGAGATAGCAAGATGATTAGCTATAAATTATAGATGCTAGTGCACCATCAACGAGTGCAAAAGGGCATTAGGCTAAGGTTGAGCTAGCAGAGTGGCTGGATAGAAATCACAGATGCTTGTGCGCAAACATTTGAGGTCTTTTGTTTGAATTGCTCAAAACTTTTATCAAATGTTTCTGTGAAGTGCAACGTCCCTACCGAATATTCACCAGCCCTCATAATCTTTTAACTGACACTTTGCAAACGAAGTCTTGTCCGTTCTTATACACTTCTTTCCCCTCATTATCCACATCAACGCTCCTGGGCGGGCTCTTCCCTCACCTCCTTCTTGCTCCGTGGGGTTCAGTCTCATGCACCTAATTCTTAAAAGCAAAGTCCCATAATAAACACTAAATTTCTCACGATGCAAATCTTGGATTTTTGTTAAAGGTCCGGAGACGCAAATTTAGATACACGTATGTTTGATGTAATGTAATGCAATTTTTAAGCTGTAATGGGTGGGTGTCGCGTGAGATATACATCCGCTTGAATTCTGTGACGGGAGGAAACCCGAGGGGGGGAGGGGACGGTAAGAGGGATAGGGAGGTGCTAGACTTTGGAAGGTAGGGAGGATTCAAAATTTCATGATTAACCTTATCATCGCTATGCTAGTTTTCAGCTGGAGTTCTAGGGTAAAGGGGGAATAGCAAAGAGGTTCTCACAGCGGTGCGAAAGATTGGGGGTGATGAAATGAATAGATGGGGGAAGTTATTTCTGGATGTGTGAGTATACCAGCTAAGATGTCTGTATATATTGTATTATTCGACGGGGATATTGGGGATGAAATGGAGTGCAGTGGAGTATTACTTATATATACCTCTATCTCTATCTCTAGATTGGAAATTTTAAGATTTCTCTCGTTATCCCGATTATTTCATCTATGAGGCAGATACTCTCCCATGCGTTGGTTTCAGATGGATTTTACATCCGGTTTGATTTGTATCTAAATGCCTTGCATTAGTGTTAAGAATAGGAATAGACGAAAGATGTCGAGTCGACGTATTATGTGTGTTATCTCTTTTAATATCTGTTGACCTCCTGGGATCTTGGCAGCATATGCATATATATTGTATGATGCATATAAGGAGCAAACAAAACTCAACTTTTAATTCATTCTTTCCTTTTTGGTATACTGTTTGTTTGCTTTCAATATTTTGATTTCAAAGCACTTTAATTCCGAAGGCCGAATACCTAACCCTATTCCTTCATTTTTTGAATATATACTCGCAGCTTAACTGCTTAGCTAGAGAATCAATCAATTCAATCTGATGCTCTTTCTGGTCTCAAGAAACCCAATAATATCTCTTCGACATCATTTGAAGTTGTAGCGCGTAATTCAAATATGCAATGGACGTGGAGCATATAAACACAATTACTTTAGTATATTAGAGCAAGAGTTTGTGTCAACGGACTGTTCTTAATACGACAAACTTTGACTAGTGGAGTACCGCAGAGGTAGTTAATGCCCATCTAGGTTTCTCAATAGCATCACTAGTAACTTGTAGGGAACGCCCTTTTCAGTTGAATTTGTATGTAGATGCATCGATTCGCTTGAGCATCAATATTCCAATGACATCCGGATGAGGAATGTTTATGATAATTCCATCAGTATGTAGAAGATCATGATGAATACTTCGAATAGACACAAAAGGGGTGAAGAGCGCCGGATATTCAAACCTGTGAAACTAGCTAGCCTCGTGGCTGAGATAGGAGACCTAGTTTCATTGAAATTACAATGAAAGCGTGCTTCTGTTTGAAAGTCCATTTAAATATGGCAGGACTTCCCTAGACAAACCAGTCACTTGATAAGTTAAGTTCATCACATCTTTTTTTACTTCGACGATCAGATTTGGGTTCTCAGAACCGTTTGTTTCAACAGGAGCTGCTCGTAGTTACCTTCAACGAGCCAATCTCAAGTAGAAGAGTTAGACTCAAAATCAGTGAAATTCGGATCATATATCACCTCGCTAGCAATCTGGGTCTCGCCTCATAGTTTGAGAAGCACTTGGCACAGCTATATACCTGCATCCTATATATGTATCCCACGAAGAAAGAAGATGCAGAATTAGCGAGAAAACATTCTTCATCCAATAATATTAATCTCATGCTGTTTAGTATACTCACTACTTAAGTAAGTGAAGACATATATCACGTGATCATTAAGCTTTTGTTGCATTATCCACATCATGCTAATCTCACATCTCGATGTTTCAATTCTCGCTTTGTCCATCATATCATCATCAGCATCACCACCACCCAATCAGAACTGCATAGTAAGATGGAGGGAATAAATTTAATTTGACAAAGCAATTATGAAGCAAAATATCATTCATCGATTTAATATACCATCTACAAGGGACACCACAATCGTCAAGATACTTTAACTCACTGACGTCGTTGATTAAAGCACCATATCAAATATGACGTAGATAATTTGTAAGGAGTCTTTACTCCGACATACATCACAATTAATTAACCACATTTTCCCCCGCATTTGACATTTCCATATATATTTCCCATATCCTCGTATCTATTTTCTTTTTCCCATACTTATCAAATAAATCATCACAACAGGATCAATCGGGATCACTTAATTCTATTCAATATGGCATTTACCCAAGCAGCAGCTCTCCTAGAGAAAGTCATCGGTCACGATTCAAATGCTACCACCGAGCAAGACGTGAGCAATCCCGCTCGCGACCGTCAAAAGTATGCGGATCCAAGTGGCGAGACGATGAAAGCTTTATGTTGGATGGGGAAAAATACCGTTAAGATACGTATGTGTTGTCTATCTATCTAACCTCGTTAACTTCTATATGACAATGTCTAATATATACCCTTTCTATGAATATATAGAGGAAGTACCAAAACCAAGAGTAGTCGAGGATAGAGATGTCATTCTCAAAGTCACGGGGAGTACAGTGTGTGGTAGTGATTTGCATTTACTTCACGGTTCTATTGTGGAGTTAGAGAAGGGAGATATCCTCGGTCATGAATTTTGTGGCGAGGTGGAATCTTTTGGACCCGGTGTTAAGAATTTGAAGAAGGGCGATCGTGTGGTTGCTAGTTTTCAGATTGCTTGTGGGGAGTGTTACTATTGTCAGAAGAAACAGTCGTCGCAATGTGAAAAGACGAGTAGTAATACCCTCGCGAATGGAATGGTATGTTTCTATCTTATCGAAAAAATACTATCAAATGCTAATGTAGTTATGATAGTATGGAGGGAGAACGGCGGGAATGTTTGGATATTCTCATTTTACGGGTGGATTTGCAGGTGGTCAAGCAGAATATGTTAGGGTTCCATACGGAGATGTGAATCTTCTTAAACTCCCACCAAATATTCCAGATGAGAAGGGCCTTTTCCTATCCGACGTTCTTTCAACATCTTGGAACTGTGTCGTTGACACCGGTGTCGAAAAAGGAGATGTAGTTGCTATTTGGGGCGCTGGTAAGTACATCACAACAAAAACCCCTCATTCACTCTGACAATATCCAGGCCCAGTCGGACAAATGTGCGCCGAATTCGCATTTATAAACGGTGCATCACGCGTCATCCTAATCGACGGTAACTGGAGATTAGACTACGTCCAGAGTAAAATCCCCAAAGTCGAAACCCTCGACTACACCAAACTCCCGCGAGGAACCTCCGTGACCACCAAACTCCGAGAAATGGTTCCACGCGGTCCAGACGTAGCTCTCGAATGCGTAGCAGGCGAATACGCCAAAGGCTGGGCGCACTATTTTGAAATACTCCTCGGGATGGAAACCGACACGTCCGAAATCATCAATGAGATGATCACCTCTGTTAAAAATTTCGGTCGCTGCGGTATCACAGGCGTTTACGTAGGATATACCAACCACTTCAAT